GTGGGGCTCTCCCTCCGCCGGCTGTCACCCTTCAACTCGGTTAGCGGGAGGCAGCACTTGCACCTGCTGATTACGGGGGAACGTTCTAGAGGTACAGCGGGGAAACGTTGCAGCTCGAGCCGAGGGTTTATTTTCAAAGTGCACTGCACGTGATCGATATTTAAATTGTGGGGTTTTTTTTTGGCGCGGTCACATGGCCTGGCCGTAGCATGCTCGCCGCCGCTTGTTGTTGCAGAGGTTCGCGGTTCGATGGCAGTGGCCGCCCTGGTTGATACTGGGGTTGTGTATCAACCGTAAAATAACACACACTACACGCCGTCTGCTTTACAGCGTCATTAGCAAGAGTAGTGCCATTGCATGCGGGCGTCAGGGTGCAAGTTTGCCGAATTTGAAAAGTGACACCAAAACATTTCTCACTTGGGATTATACGTAACAATCTAAAACAAAACAAAATGTTTCACCAGGTAAGGCCCACTGAGCTATATAGCTAATTTTCTAAAGCGATCTGGCCACATGATAACTAAAGGAAGTGGCTTATCATGAAGAAATGTATAGCAGGCAAATACTCTAAACGAATGTTGATTCTAAATGTGGAGGGAAAAACTGGAGGACCCGAAGAAAAATCCACGCGACCGCGGGGATAAAATGCAAATTCCAAATCTACAGCAGACGTCATGGTCAGGATCGAACCCACAACCTCCTGCATGCCAGGCGATGTAGTTAACATCTCGCCTCCGTGGCGCCTCTCATCATCTCATCGCCACCCCTTCCCCACCCGCTACTGCAAAAACCTGGCAAGGCCCTCCTGACAAAGAGTCATGAGGCTCTGTGAGACTTTCCTAGGTAAACAATCGTAGTAGTAGTAATAATAATAACACAGCCATGCACTTAATTCGTACTTTTCAAGTACAGCTTCATTTATATCCACTTCCAGCAGGAAATGTTTGGTGGCTGATGTTTATGGTAAGCTCTCTCTCCGACTGAGCTTCCGGGCTGTGCCGCACAGAGCGTTGGCTTGGCGCGATCTTCGCTGCTTTGCCCCGCTTTGCAAATCAGTTCCTGAAGAAGCTCCCAGAACGGGCAGCGAAACGTCGGGACGCTGACGAACCGCAAAACGCCTTGCAGAGCGACGTACAGCACAACATCAGGAATATGTATATGCAGGGTGATCCAGTTATTGATATATTTATGGAGAACTTGTAGAGTAGACTTTTCATATATTTATACATATTGCGCGCTCTACTCATCCCCCACCAATATCAATGTACGTGTGCATGTTGAACTTCTTTCGCACCGCACGTAGCCAACCATGCTAATTAGAGGTGCGGGGGAAGGACAACAAACTAAAAACAAAAATCAGTTCCAATGAAATTCTTTTCAATTTACATTTAAAAGTGCATACCTCCAGTGGCTTCCTAATATCAGAAGGAAGAGCGTTCCAGACGGTCACAGAAGCGCATCTGACTGTGCACGATGCAGTGACTGTCTTTGTTTTGTTCGATGGCTATGCCAAAAGCCGCTGCGAGGTTGACCGAAGTTCGCATGATGATGATTTATGTTCCTTGACGAGATTAGCGAAGTATTGTGGTTCATTTGTGGCAAGCACTTTGTGTGTAATGAGTGCGAATCAATGCAACTCATTCAAATCATTTAAACTCTCTCCCCTGCAAAAACATGGAGCCACGGTTTTCAAAATACTGTACTCAATCCTATTCTTGTGTATGATGGCAATATATTTAGAAGATAAATACCAATGTCGAGGTCTGCTAGCCACAACGAGAGGGCTTCACGAGAGGGTTTGTGTAGTTTTGCTATTCCTCATCTGTTGACGGAGTGCAGGTGTGATGGTGGTTTGCTCTGCGGTCCAGAGTTTGGGTCGCATGGCCACAGTCGCACTATCGTGGCTTGTCTTTAATTTTCCGTGCATAAAGAGAGAGTGCGCATCGGTCGGGAGGAATGCCAACGCCAGGAGGTGCAAAATGTGGGTCTCGAATGCGGTGTTTATTCTGCACGTCCGCTTTGTTCCACTCTGGGCTTGTATATTTTTGTCCACTCTTTAATAAGCCAGTATTTCGGGATGCTGTCATATTTTGCTGCTATATTAATTAGAAAATTACCGCTGTTGTTGTTGGTGTTGCTACTGCTGCTGCTGCTGCCATGCACAAGTATCTTCTGCCCATAAAATTCCATGACAACAGATAATATTGTGTACGGCGTTGAATGTTGCATTTAAAGGGGTTTAAAGTGAATATGGGAGTGCTCTTGCCAATCCGCCGATGAACCATGCACATTGTTTCATTACAGATGTGGCGATAGCAGACAGCTCTGCTTATGTTGGCTTCTACCCATAATGCTCCATGGCGATGCATGCGGAGTTTGTGTACTGGAAGTAGCGGGGTTAGTTCTCTTACAGTTGAAATTCTTTTCTACATTATTTCACAACAGTTTTCAAAACCGTTACGTTTCGTGAGGATCGTAGGTAATGTAATGAGATCTTTTAATGCGTTTAATTTTTTTTCTTGGCTGCATCGCAAAACGCCTGAAATCCAACCTGAATAAATTCCAACTTTGGCAAGTGATTAATTTTACGCGCTTTTATATATAAAAATAAAAAGTTGGTACTGGCTACAGCGGCGGCGCAAGAGGTTTTAATTTGTGAACTAAATACCGATGGAACTGTTTGTATCCGGTGTGCAATTCATAACGTTAAATTGATTTATAACAGATGTAAAGCTGCAAGCCGTCACACTGCCCTAGCTTTTATTTTCGGACGTATGTAAATGTACAGCTGACTGCTTGACGGGGGTGGGGGTGGGGGAGAATGCGGTTGAATATTTCACGGAATTACACATTTGAACGATTAATTTCCATTTGCTTCAATAACAGACGTGTCGGGGTTGCGAGCGCTTTATTCGAGCGCAAAACATAATTTCACTTCCAAAAAAAGAATATTAGGGGGGGGGGGTTTATTATTATTTTTTAATAAAAGGGGTACTAATTTCAGCCAAGAAACGATCTCACCAGGAGGCACATTGCACTCCGCTGGGACTGTGTGCACATGTCCTCTCCGGTAAGTTTCCTCCAAATCCGACAGACGGAGTGGCTTTTCTTTGGACTCGATCCGACCTCCTTAACTCTCCCCATCTATTATTTGCTTTAGCTCCATTACACCGCCGCAATTATGAGCTGGAAAGGCTCAAAAAGCACCAAGCTGACTGAAAAGCGTAAGGGGCCAGTGCAGTCCAGTGCAAGTGCTCAGCTGTGATTTATAACAATTTAATCAATCATAATTCACAATCCATTTCGTCAATCCGCTGCTGGATGAAGGCCTCCGCCATTGCAGTGTCAGTCATGGTCAGTAGGTTTGTGAAGAGGATGCCCAGGGCCGGTTTTAGAAATCACTCGCCATTGATGGAATTGATCTCAGGTCTAAACAGCACAACCACTGCGCCACCACTCCACCCACAATGATTTAATGGTGTGAGTCGTTGAGGCTTGCCTGGATAATTCAATAACATTTAAATTGACATTGATGATGTAAAAACAGAGTTTCAAACGGACGATATTTTATAATATTTCGGTGAATGTGCCCCACAATCGTGTACGTGGCACCAGATGTGTGTCCGGGAGCGGTAGCGTAGCAGTTAGTGCACTGCGCTACCAACCCAGCGACCAGAGTTCGATGCCTGCTCATGGCCAACACCAATGACAAATATCTGAACTGATCCTGAGCCTTCCTCAGGTCGACTCAGCCTCAAATGAGAACCTGGTGCAGTGTGTAAACATCGCCACTAGGGAGACAAAGGCGGCCGGGCGTGGTGCTGGCCACCATCCCCTCGTGCGCCGTACCGGCCTTCACAGGTCTTTGTCTTGTGTCCACGCGCTTTATAATCTTCACTGTTGCAAAAAAAGGCAGAGGTGGAACCCTGCAATTGCTTGCTCACGCCACCGCTGGTGGAAAGACGGCCACCAGAGAGAGCCCCTCGAGCTGCGGAGTTGTTTGTGTGACCTCCTCCTTCCACACCGGCTCGACACGTCGGAAGAGCCGGGAGTAACGTGTCCGCACTTTACCCCAGCACACGCTCCATGCCGGTCTGCTAGAAGGGACGATGATTGCCAGCTGGACACAGGTGGGGGAGTTTTTAAGAAACTTGAGCACCGTTGTTTCAACCGGCATCGCGTCGGGAGATGGACTCAAACCGGTGACCGGTGAATGAGTGTCGCAGCCGTGACACCGCTGGAGCAGCAGCCCTTGCAGAAACAGTAGGGGTACAAGAGTGGTGCGGATGGTCATGGGATAGGCACTCCTTGAAAAGGAAGGCTCGTGAAACATTTTGGTGAAATGTTGCCAAAGATTCGACGTGTAATCTAATTATATATATTCAATCTTGAATTGAAGCTTTCGTGACTGCAGGGATCCGTAGGAATAAAGTAAAATAAAACACGACGTTTCGGGCCCAACACAAGCGTCCATCATCAGGTGGGAAAGCATGATCTACTGCTGAGGCAGTCTGCCTGACGGACGCTTGTGTTGCGCCCGAAACGTCGTGATTTATTTTATTTTATACCCACGTGACTTTACCGAAAGAACCAAAGAGTATATATTTACAGAGCACCTTCACTCAAGGCGCTTTATCGTAGTTTAATAAACGGCGACAGGAGAGAACGACTTCAAGGGCAGGGGGCGTGCAAGGGTTGAGGAATGTCCGACCACGATGGAGGGCATTCGGGGATCACGGTATGGTGACCTTGGGCATGTCAACCGCTCTGCTGGTAATAAATAAATAAATAAACAATCTTTTTTTGAAGCTTTCGTGACTGCAGGAATCCATATAAATATATAAATAAACAATCTTCATTTGAAGCTTTCGTGACTGCAGGAATCCATACTCTTTGGTTCTTTCGGTAAAGTCACCGTTGCACCACGGCACAAACCCTGTTACGCACGCTGCTGCTGGCGCGTGGGCAAAAAATAAAAAAGTCGCGTTTTGTTCCCACAGGCGCGTGGGCCATCTACTTTCCGCAGAAGACGTACCACGAGACCATCCCCTTTGGATTCGCGCCCAACGTCAGCTTCCTGCGCCTCTACGCGGTGCTGCAGGCCGGCGAGACGGGCGTTCAATTCGAGCTCGGCAAGCTGTCGCTGGTGATGCACCACGCGTTCCTGCCCTGGCAGAACCACCTGTTTGACGTGGACGCCGCGACAGGAGACGTGTCCCTCAAGCTCCCGCTCGAGGGCCAGGGGCAGCGGCTCAAGCTGGGTGAGTCGGCGGGGGGCAGGGGGCAGATCGGACTTGGTGGCAGTGTGCCCGGGCGTGTTTTTAGTTTTTTTATCGTAATGGGGGTGCGCGGTGGGGGGGGGGCTTCGTCTGGTTGGCGACAACGACGATGGCCTGTCGAGTTTGAGTCGAGCCTCGGGTCTGTGGGTTTTCATGGAGGCACTCTCTCTCTTAGTCTCGTCGTTCGTAAGAAAGGTTAACTTTTGGGTTACATCGCGTGATTGTAAATGCGTCGTTAAACCCCGCCAGCCACCCGACATGACCGATTGGTAAGGTTTGTCAAGTAAAAAAAGCGTGCCAATTAGTTACTACTTAAGCACACGCGGTGTGTTGGAGATTAAACCCAGGACATTTACAATTTGAGTGCGACGTTTCGCTGACGATTATTATGGATGATATTGGTCGTGAAAGCCGATGTGTCAAACAGATCTGCTTGTCATTACACACAGCGCCAATTAGCAAGTTTTTAGTCTTCCTCGGTGTCACTGCCGTCTTTGACGAAGCCACTAAATCATTCATTCAGACACGTCAACCTCGTATCGTCACGGTTACGCTTTGGGTCTATTTCTGGGAATGGTCGTGGTCATGCTTGTTGATTTTTTTGTCCACTCAGAACTTACGTGTGAAGTATAAATGTATTTTTTTTGTAATGTGCTACATTCGGTGATGGAATTGTGCCAGTACGACAGAATGCCATAGCAGCACGACTCAAACCAGGGCACGTACACCAGCACCTCCTAACGCTTTGACCTAAAGCGACACTTGAGGAGCAGTGAACATGAACCGGTTTCACGCCGGTTTCACATCGAGCCTTCTGTATTTCTGTGCCGACGGCTGTGACCCACGTTTGTTCTTTTGTTTTCGGAGAGAGTTTCCACGGGGGTAAGTTTGATGCCACAAACCCACGCCACTCCGGCATTCAACGACTCCGTGGTGACCTCTAACGCACACGGCAAATGTGGATCCCGGTATTGGCCACAAAGCCGTGACGCGTCACAACAAGTCGCCTCTCTGTAAACCACTTGGTGCTCGACGTAAAAAGTTAACTTTTTTTATACTTGTGTCAAAAACAAAAAACCCATTTCTAAATTGTGTCCGTTTCTCCTTCTAAAGATCCCAACGCACCGTTTGCCTTCAGGCTGCACGTCAACGCCACGACCAGCCGGCGCAACTCGTCCCGGGCGCAGTGCGGGGCCGGCGGGGGGGCTGCCTCCCAGCGCGCCACCGCGCAGGCCACGGTGCTGCTCAGGGTGACGGCGCCGCCGTTCAACTGCTCGCTCCTCACGCCGCAGGAGCTCTGCTTCAGGGAGGCGGCGCCCTCCCCGCTGCAGCCGGGCCCGGCGGCCGTGTCCATGCACCTGCAGGAGAACGCGGCGGCCGGGACGCCGCTCGTGCTGCTGGCGCCGCTGCCCGTGCGCCTCGCCTGCCCCCACGTCAACGTCACCTACGCCCTCGCGCAAGGTTGGTGAAGCGGCCCGGGTGACAGAGGTCGCAAACGGGTTTTGATTCCTTACCCGTACCCATACCCATCGCACCAGGGTCGAAAATGGCTACCCGTACCCGTACCCGGCCGGGTACGGGTAGCTGGGTATCGGGTAGGGTACAGGTATCGGGTACCCGATTGCGACCTCTGCCGGGTGAGGGCGCAGCCCCCTGAAATTTCCAGCTTGCGCCACTGCCGCTACCGAAAGGGGCCCCTGCGAGAAAGGCGCAGCTCTTCAAGGCCCCACCACCTCTCGCTTGGTTCACGCCTTTCGAGTGACGCTGCGATTTGGCTCCTCGCCTCCGTCGAATATTGCACGCGTTATTAATTAAATTAATCTTGATTAATTATTATTATTATTTTTAGAAGGAGATCTGGAGTGTTTCGGCAGGTTTCATTCACGCTGGCCAGATGTGTTGGGAGAAAAATGTGAGAGAGCCCACCACACACAACCCTCCCGATCGATAACTAACTGCAGTAGTGAGCCCATTTGAACTGCTGCATGGATAGAGGCCGGGGGCGGGGGGAGAGCGGGAGTTAAGCCACTTGCACAGTTCATTCAAATGCCCACGCCAATGAGAGGCGAATCGAACCAGTGAGCTATGGATCTCAATTCCAGTGTGCGAACTCGACGCCGGTGGAAGGTTTGTATTGAATGCGAATATAAGAATCGTATTTGTTAGTGCAGTGTTATTGCGGTGGGCCTAAGAAGAGGGGGATGATTGCCAGGTCAGAAATAATGATGGAGTGGCAGCCAGGGTGGGAATTCGTCCGAGGGAATCGGAATCAGAATCTTTATTTATTATGGAGAAATTCGACTAGCTATGAAGATCTTTTTCACAAATCTCCAGTACAGTAAAACCCCTCTTAACGACGGTTATTGGTTCCAAGAAACCGGTCGTTAAGTGATTTGTTCGTTAAGCGAGTAGAGGAAATACACGTTAAAGGCTTAATTCGTTCAGATAGCATCGAAAGTTACCCTTTTTAACCCGAAAAAGTACTTTATAATATTTAATCAATGGATATTAATACATAAAAATACTAATAACGTTATAAACGCATAACATTAAAAGAAACGTGGTTAATCAATGCATTAATCAATATTTACTGGAGCTCCACAACAGCGCGTCGTTAACAGGGGAATGGTCGGTAAGCGAACACATTGGGCTCTATGGAGGCACTACACTCTACACAACACTATACACTACACTATACACTACTATACACTACACTATACACTACACTATACACTACTATAAACTACATTATACACTACTATACACTACACTATACACTGCTATACACTACACTACTATACACTACACTACTATACACTAAACTATACACTACCCTATACACTACACTATACACTACTATACACTACACTATAAACTACTATAAACTACATTATACACTACTATACACTACACTATACACTGCTATACACTACACTACTATACACTACACTACTATACACTAAACTATGCACTACTATACACTACCCTATACACTACACTATACACTACTATACACTAAACTATACACTACTATACACTACACTATACACTACTATACACTACACTATACACTACACTATACACTACTATACACTACACTATACACTACTATACACTACACTATACACTACACTATACACTACACTATACACTACTATACACTACTATACACTACACTATACACTACTATACACTACACTACTATACACTGATGATGATGATGTCATCCTCTTTGGAAGGAATCTGACAACATTGCTCGACATTTTTGTTGAGGTTAAGTGCTCTGAACGGGCCTGTTCTGAAGACGCGTCGAGATGCAGCCACCCCAAGAGTATTTTACGATGAGGCGCAGGATTGAGTTTCCACGATCGAAGCATTGAGAGCACAGCATAATGTCGTTACGCGCTGCCTAATGCTGCACAGCGCCACTCTAATAAGTTGGTCTCGGTGTCGTTCTCTTGTTCTGCGTACTTACCGTGTCACTGCCTTGCAGGCAGAGGCAGCCAGTCGTGGGCAGAGGGAAATAATGATGGCGTCAACTTGTAACGTACTCGCTCTCGAAGAGAAAGGGCAACTCGGAGGTGTTAGGAGCCGCAGACAAGCAGGAAGGCAGCTACTTGACGAGCCGGCGCCAACGATTTCCCAAGCTCTGTGGTTCGACTGAGACTCTTCGACTTAGACACATTCGACTTAAGAACTCTCAGAGATACAAACGAACTTGTGCGCATGTCCAGTTTGCTCTTCGGACCAAGAGTGGTAAGTTTAACCGCCGCACAATAGATAGCGGTGGTGGCATCTACATCTGCAGAACGTGAATAATCAGTGGCATCTACATCGACGGGAGGTTATACAAATTTTAAAGCCATTCCGCATGTTTAGTGCACATGCCGCACGACCTGTTTGGTATCGACAGGAGTAATTTAGACTTACGAAAAAATCGAATTATGAGCAGACTTCTGGAACCTAACTCGTTCTTAAGTAGAGGAGTCCCTCAATATATACTGAGGTGTTATCAGCCAATTAATGAGTGTTTACAGATGGGAGGAAACCGGAGCAACTGGATAAAGCCCACGCGTGCGAGGGGGAAACACTGTATCCCATAGAGACGAAACAGGTGGAGTCCACATGGTTGCTGTACTGCCTTCTCCTGGCGAGCCAGGGTATATGGCTCCTCGATGCGCACAGGAAGAGAGTTCTGCAACATTTGTGTGATACACCAACCCTCGTCTCCACGGCTCCAGATTGCAGCCGTGTACAGCTACCGCCGCCCCCGTTTTAAATAGGCAGAACGTCTTAAGCCACCTCGGTTTGAACATGAGCAGGGTGTCGACAGCACGGAGGGCTCGAGGAAGATGCGCCGCCGTCGTCTACGCGGTGGCTCTTAAAGACCCCCGTGACGCTTTTTTAATAAGAGTAGGTCACGCGCGTGTGTCGGCATCACGGTGCAAATTTGGCCATTGGCAAAATCACTCGCGAAACTACCTGATTGGGGGGGAAAGCACCACGTTGTCCCCTAACCGGCAGACTATAAACATCTTGCAGGCTCATGCTGCGTGAACCACACAGGGGCAGCTGCCCCCGGGGGGGGTGCGGGGATGTGCCCCTCTGCTCGACTGCAACATGGCATCGGAACGGTCGCGGTGTTGCGATGCGTAAGTCGGATCGACGTGCCCCCCGGGGGGGCATTTAAGCGGAGAGGGCGCCGCTAGAAAAACCGCTCCGCCCTTGACCGCACACCGCCGCGTCCGACGTCTCTCCCGAAGGCTCGCTGGCGTCTCCGTTCCACGTGGACGCCGCGAGCGCCGTGCTGCGCGTGCTGGAGTCGCTGGACCGCGAGCGCGTCGACCGCTACCGCCTGCACGTGGAGTGCACCGTCGTCGGCGGGGACGGCGGCGGCGGGGACGAGGTGGCGGCGGCGCGCGCCGTGCTGCCGCTCGCCGTGTTCGTGGACGACGAAGACGACAGCGCTCCCTTCCTGGAGAACGGCACCGACACCAAGGAAGTGGTCATCACGTACAACCGCAGGAAGGTGATGCCGCTGCTGCTGCTGCTGTTGCTGTTCGTGATGGCGCTGATGGTGATGCTGCCGCTGCCGCTGATGATACCACTACTGTTGCTGCTGCTGATGATGCTCTTGCTGCTGCTGATGCCGCCGCGCGCTGCTGCTGGTGTTAATGCTACTTCTGTTTCTTCAGCTGCTACTGCTGCTGCACTCAATGACCAGCGCGTTGTGCGTTCACGTGCACCCCACGTTATTGGCGACAGTAAGGCAGATGGCGAATTTCATGTCTCCGCTGTGGTTTCAAGTTTCACGCTTTTTTTGGTTCAACCGAGGTGAGAACTCAAGGGAACGGGATGAGTCTCGTTTGCAAAAAAAAAAGCGACCTGCATCACCAAGATGACAGAAGCCAAGGAAATTCAATAAAGCGCACGCAATGAGGCCAATGGAACACCGCTGTGCTTGTGAGTGATCGCGACGCAGCGTTATGAGGAGCAGACCGTGACAGATTACTCTCATCGCGGTGTGTCATGTTTAAGAAAACAAAAACATTCGCCATTCGTCTTTGCCATACCCAGTTCACGATATTTCATTGTTCATGAATTCACGAGCGTGTTTTATTGGTATTCGCAACTGGGCTGCTGAGGTCTGGTGGCGTCACAACTAAAATGCCAACTCTATTGGCTGATATCATCATAGCCCTGGGGCCGGCCCCGGGACACGCTGCTGGCAGGGGCAATATCGCTCGGCTGGCCTGGGAACACGTGGGGATCTTCCAGAAAGAGCGAGAGAGTCTGTAGCCTTGGAAAGGGAAGTCTGGACCGCCCTACTCAACACGCTGCCACCACGGCGCTCACCAGGACAAGCGGATTGAGAAACGAACGAATGAACAATAACATTTCTTTTTTAAATCACGTGCTCTGTGACGTAAAGAGCCGTGATGCATTCGTGTGAACATTGGCCGCGTGTGTCTGTGGGGGGGGAGGGAGCGGTGGCACAGCAGTCAGCGTGCTGCGATACAAACCCGGCGACTCGCTCATGGCTAACGTCAGTAACGTATATCTGGTCCTAGGCCTCCCCTAGGTCGACTCAGCCTTAAATGAGTGCCGGCCATGGTGTGTCAGCATCTACACTAGGGAGACACAAAGGCGGCCGGGCACCTTGTTGCTTGCCAGATCTCATCAAGGAGCATAAACCATTATCGCGCTGTACTCTGGTCATCCTCGCAGCAGCGGCTCTTGGCTGGCCATTGAACAAAGACGGTCATTGTATCGCACGCTTTCAGATGTACTCCTGCAGCCGTCTGGAATGCTCTTCCATCTGATATTAAGAAGCCACTGGAGATATGCACTTTTAAATATAGATTGAAAACGAATTTCGTTAGAACTGCTTTTTGTGTTTAGTTTGTTGTCTCCCCCCCCACACCTCCTATAAGCACAGTGGGCTGCGTACGGTGCGTAAGAAGTTCAACACACACACACACCAGGATAAGTGTGCCGGGTTGGCCTTGATCGGTGCACTTGCCCAACAGGCTGCGTAGGCTGCACGGGAGATCTCTGTCGTTGTGCACCGTGACAGGACGACTTGGTGAGCGAGATCTTGGTGCACGATTTGGACTCGGGCGGGTGGTCGATGAGATACAAGCTCAGCAGCACCGGCCCCAACTCGGAGTCGCTCTTCTTGATTCGGGACAACAGCAGGGACACCGCGTACCCGGTGGACAACCGCACGGTCACCGGCACCACCTACGTGTTCGGTGAGAGACGGAGGGATCCGTGGCCCTGGCCGGCTTTGACTGGGCACATTCTGTGACTGAGCTCCGCTGTGTTGATTGGTCGAAATGCATTTCATCTTCCTCCACGAAACTGGCACCGACTGGACGTGCTCCGTTACTGTCTTCATTTTGCGATGTCGAATGGAAGGAGAGATTTGGTGGGAACCCGATCACCTGATTGGCCCACCACGCCCCGTAGTTGGCCATCCGAGTTTGAATAAATTCGTGGGGAATGATGTCTGAACTGGTCCTGGGGCCTCCTCTGAGCCAATTCCCACTGGCTAGCGTGGTGAAGTATGGTCAAACAACCCCCAACAACTGCTGCTACTTCAATACGGGCAAACATTTATTAAATTTTTTCGTCTATTTGTGTTTCACCCTTGTGATGGGACTTTGTAAGATGAACGTTGAGAGGGCACGGGGTAACCAATAAGGTCTGAATCGGTCTAATAAGGTTGGCACTGATAAGGGGTTGACAGGTGCGTAACGATAATTAAGTGTCGGGCGGTTGCAGGTTTAAAGACACAAATTTACGTGATCTAACCCAAAAAAATCGATATTATGTTCGACCGTGATTCACTAAGTTGGCCAGTGCAGCTTAGTGAAGGGGGCACGCCCATTTACACTCATGTCAGCCCTGTTGTGTGGAACTCAAACTCGTCATGCTGAAGCTCAAGTGCGCCAAGCAGATTATATCAGATTCCGACCGAATCTCACTTTCGCCACCGGCGTCGAAGGGAATGTAAAGCGACGGTGTTTGAGCTCGCTGCTATCGCTGTAGTGGTGGCGCAGTGCAAAATACCATCACGCCCCCCCACCCCCACCGTGTCTTGAATTACCGACCCCCTCCCCACTCCCCCACTCCTCAGGTTTGGTTCTCAAGAAGAACTTGCCGATCAAGTTCCAGGGCGAGTTCCAGGCGGAGCTCAGAGCCACGGACGTGCAGTTCCAGTGTGGGCGGACGGACGTGCTGGCACGCGTGCGCATCCGCGTGCTGCCCGTGCCGCTCGCCTTCCCGGCGCCGCTGCTCACCGTGCACGTCGAACGCCGGGCCGCTCGGCTCGCTCAGGCATGGACGCGGCACGGGGGGGGCACGGGGGGGGGGCACGGAGGGGCACGGGGGGGGGGCACGGGGGGGCGGCACGGGGACACGTGGTGTCCTGGGTCCTTTCAAGCTCACAAAATGCCCTTTTAAAACTAAAAATATATATAATCTCTACTTTTTGGTTCTTTCGGTAAAGTCACGTCGGTCGAAAAATAAAATATTATTTTTACCGAAAGAACCAAAGAGTATGGATTCCTGCAGTTACGAAAGCTTCAAATAGAGATATATAAACTACTTTCATTTTACCAAGTTAAGGCCCACTGGGCTATATATTTGTTGATGTACTAGATGCGTTAATCAGCAGGCAGCTGTCTCACGCAGCTTCACTTTGTGCACCATCTTTCGGAACGCATCTACTACTGCTGGTTGAGTTTATTCGACTTGTTACACGGATTGATCCCGTTTTTGCCAGTTGCTCCGGCTATGCAACACGCGAGATCCGTCGTCCGCGAGCGCAAGCAGTGATGGCAAAAACAAAATGACGATATTCCTTGACGAATGTCGCACAGCATGACAACGTATTTTGAAAAGCCGTAGAACAACGTGCACAACACTTGCAGGGCCGCACCTTCACCGCGCGCATTCGCCGCAGGTGTGGAAGGCGTGCGTCCTCAACTGCTCCGCGCTGCACACCGCCACCGTCTCCTACACCATCGCTCCCGCCGACTCCGAGCCGCCGCCGCCGCCGAGCGTCCATCAGCCGCCCCCCCGCGGCATCTCCCCCAACGGCTCCGAGGAGGAGGCCGCAGCTGTCGGCGCGGCGACGCCGGCGGCGGCGACGGCGGCGGTGGCGAGCGGCGCGAGGGAGCGAGCTCCGTCGGCGTGCGCCCACGCGCTGGCGATGACGCGGCCCGGCGGGTGGCTCTACGTCAACGACACGGCGCTGCTGTGCGACCGCGTTCGCTGCCCCGAGCTGCGCTTCACGCTGACCGCGCACGACGCCGTCACCGGACTGCAGGCCAGCACCACTCTGCACGTCGTGTTCAGAGGTGCGTCCGAGCGGGCGCGTTGTGTACGTGTGTACGTGCGTGTGTGTGTTGGCGCAGTAGGGGCCACAGGTGGTGCAAGGGGCAGTCATCTCAGTCAGTCGGCCCGTGGCACCTGCTGGGTCTGCCCCTTGACCTCCTGCCTCAACGTGCATCTTTCCTGGCACAAGCACCGTGGTTTCTGTCACCGCCAATTAGTGGCGAATGGCTGTTGTTGTTGTTGTGTGTGTGCTCGCTAACAGTGGGGAGCGGTAGTAGTGTAGCGGTTAGCGCGCTGCGCTATGAACACGGCGGCCCCGAGTTCCATTCCCGCTCACGGCCAACACCGGTGACGATTATCTTAACTGGTAATGGGCCTCCCCTAGGTCGACGCAGGCTCGAATGAGTACCTGTGCAATGTGAAACACCGCCACTCGGGAGACAAAGGTGGCCAGGCGTGGCACGGGGTGTCTTTGTGCGTGGGTGTGTGCGTGGGTGTGTGCGCGTGGGTGTGCGCGTGGGTGTGCGCGTGGGTGTGTACGTGGGTGTGTACGTGCGAGTTGACAAACCGTACATCGCTGGTAGATGTACGCTAAGTTGCTTTTTCCCCCCAGAGCAGCATATTGACACACAGGGATTGAGCACATTTCAGCGCTCAGTAGGATTAGTGGTTCAAGCCTCTGCTCAAAACCTTTCTTTTCAACTGTGCCATTAGATCCCCTTCGCGTGCGAGCGAGTTAATTATTTCATGAGTTCATGGGTGGGTGGGTGAGTGATTCGTCTGAAATGAACATCTAAAAATCGCGGGAACTGCTCAAGATGGACATTTCTTCCGAGACACCATGTAATATCAGTCCACTGACGTGCTTGGAGTACGCCCGTCATGTATGTGTGTTGAACTTCTTTCGCACCGTACGTAGCCAACCGTGCTCATTGGAGGTGCGGGGGAAGGACGACAAACTAAACACACAAAAGGCAATTCTAAGGAAATTAGTTTTCAATCTAGTTTTAAAAGTGCTTAGCTCCAGTAGCTTCCTAACATCGGAAGGAAGAGCATTCCAGACGGCCGCATCAGCGCACCTGAAAGCGCAGCATCGCGGAAACGGAGCAATGAAGCCGCGGCCAGGAGCTTCGTGAGTTGTCGCAACGTGGCACTTGGAGAGACGGTGGTGGGCTCAAGAGGAGGCCTTCGTCCAGCGGTCGATCGATCGATCGTGGCTGATGATGATAATGATAATAGCGTGGACGTATGTGCGTGATGGCGGGAATAGATAACGCTCAAGCTGGTCGTCTGGGAAGGTGGAGTGTTGCTCTTATGTCGGACCGGCGCACACGGGGGGGGCAAAGTAGTTCCAGTCCGCGTCGGGTGACGCGGCCCTTCACTTCATTAGACTTCGGCATCTAGTGCGCCCCGTCCGTCTTTGTTCGATTGTTCACGTGCGCCATAATTATGGCATCGTTTTACATGATTAGGGCATTGGTTACATGAATAATGATTAGGGCATTGGTTACATGCAATTAATACTTATCAATATTTAATTAAGGCAAAGGTATTCAGGCCGCGAGTAAAATGAGTTTATGCTTATTTGGCGTTTGTTGCATGCGATCCGTTGCTCTCGGTGACATTGAGCTCATCTGAGCTTCGTGCAAAGAATATTTCTTTGCTGATTTTCAAACGCTACCTGAATATCGCCATTCAGTAAAGAAAAAAATGTAATACGGCTTGTCGTGCAGCAGTGCTCGAGAACATAATTCAATTGTGGGCAGGTTTCGAGATAACGCGCTGGGGTTTCAGAATGATTCTCATTTTTTTCCGCGAATTTCCGAGAGAGCCTACGCGTTTGCGCGATGATGGATCACGGATGTCTAGCACCGGCTTGCCGCATCGCTGGCCCTGCTGCTGCTGCTGCCCCCTTCATTCCCAAGCTTTCTCTACCGGCACACGATGCTGGCGGGTGCACGTGTACAGCAGCCAGTTCTTGTGCATCCTCCTGTATAAGAGTGCCACCACGCTGTCCATTTTGTGCTCTTGCATTCAGTCAAAATCAAAGTGGTGTTCTCGCTCAAATGAGCATTCAGGCAGTGCTCCTCTCCCGTTTGAAGCCGAGAGCCAGTTGTCTAAACTCCACATTCCAGGGGCAAGTCAACCCAAAGGACAACCGCTGTTGTCTTTCCCTCCCATAAAAAAGTGGGGCTGCCCACCCACCTCCTCGTGCGCCTTTGCCAGCCTTCATAGGTGCTACTGGCTAACAGCACATGCTCCAACATTCTGTTAAGGCTACACGGGGGGGGGATTTGTCTTTGTGTTTCTGTGCACTTAGGGGAGTCGTGCGTGCCGTCGCCCGGCAAGTGCTCCAGCTCCTGCTCGGAGAACGACCGGCAGGAGGGGTGCGAGAGTTGCAGTGCTCTGGGCGCCGTCACAGGCCGCTGCCAGTGGAGGCGGGGACCCTCGTCAGGTGAGGCACGCACGGTCCCCCAGTTGCGCCGTCCCTCCCCCGTGGCGCCGTCCCTCCCCCCCCCCCCCCCCCCCCGCGGTGCCATCCCCCCCTGCGGTGAGCTCTCGAGAGGGATCGAGAGGGAGCTAGAACGCTCGAGAAGACGGGCGGGGCCGAGGGCGGAGTCGGCCCCGACCCGGGAGGCTAGAAGCTCCACTCCACGTCTACAAGCTGGAAGCTCAACATCTACAAGCTGGAAGCTCCACGTCTACAAGCTGGAAGCTCCACATCTACAAGCTGGAAGCTCAACATCTACAAGCTGGAAGCTCAACATCTACAAGCTGGAAGCTCCACGTCTACAAGCTGGAAGCTCCACGTCTACAAGCTGGAAGCTCCACGTCTACAAGCTGGAAGCTCCACATCTACAAGCTGGAAGCTCAACATCTACAAGCTGGAAGCTCCACGTCTACAAGCTGGAAGCTCCACGTCTACAAGCTGGAAGCTCAACACCTACAAGCTGGAAGCTCAACACCTATAAGCTGGAAGCTCCACGTCTACAAGCTGGAAGCTCAACATCTACAAGCTGGAAGCTCAACATCTACAAGCTGGAAGCTCAACACCTACAAGCTGGAAGCTCAACACCTATAAGCTGGAAGCTCCACGTCTACAAGCTGGAAGCTCCACGTTTACAAGCTGGAAGCTCCACGTCTACAAGCTGGAAGCTCCACGTCTACAAGCTGGAAGCTCCACACCTACAAGCTAGAAGCTCCACGTCTACAAGCTGGAAGCTCCACACCTACAAGCTGGAAGCTCCACGTCTACAAGCTGGAAGCTCCACATCTACAAGCTAGAAGCTCCACGTCTACAAGCTGGAAGCTCAACATCTACAAGCTGGAAGCTCCACGTCTACAAGCTGGAAGCTCCACATCTACAAGCTAGAAGCTCCACGTCTACAAGCTGGAAGCTCCACGTCTATAAGCTGGAAGCTCCACATCTACAAGCTAGAAGCTCCACGTCTACAAGCCGGAAGCTCCACATCTACAAGCTAGAAGTTCCACGTCTACAAGCTGGAAGCTCTACGTCCTACGAGGCATCAACACGTGGCCGGGGATCCGAGTGAGGGTCCGGCCCTTCGTAGCTGTAACTCCCACGTATAGTGTAGTTAGCTGGGTGGTCACCACCCCAGGCTGTTTCTGGTAAAGGGACAGTTACCCCTTTATATATACGTGTTACAATAATAGTGTTGCCTCTAAAGAATAACGTATGCGACTCAGTTGGACTCACTACAAATGGATAACCCGGAGAAAACCCACCGCAGAAGGATGAACATACAGACTGCTTGCAGTCCAAGGACCGCTATCTCAAAAGGAAGACATCCTGGCAAAAACCAGGAGAGGTGGTAAACTTAGATTACGATGGGATTATTTTTGTTGATAAGATCGCTCTATCTCGGAAGTCTTTTGGAAATGCCATTCGTGAACATGAGGAAACTTGTGAAAATGTAGCTCCGTGTTTTCGTCTGTCTCGCGTTTTCTCATCCCAGGGATAAATAAGAATTACTCCACGTGCTCTTCAAACCTGCTCACGTGCCCAGACGGAGTGTGCGACGAGATGGAGAGGGACAATGAAGACCTCTGCCCGCAAGACTGCGTTGAGTCTGGTGAGTATCACATCCATTGAATCTTGACTCTGATTAACCAACCTGGAAAAATGATGTCGGGTCGTCTCTGGGTAAACATGGAACGTTGGGACAAGGTTGCACGTTTGTTGGGTGACTTATAATTTATCCGAAGTGATGTGTGATATCTCCTTCCGCTGACCATTTCCTCAGCACAACGCGATGCACTTCTTACTGCGAGAGTTCCGATTGGGTTCCTGATCTCGTGACGCTGATTTTACAATCAGGATAAAATTGGTGGGGGGGGGGGGGGATGACGAAAATACGACATAATGCATTGCAAATGTTAAGAAAAATATTGTTGGAATTATTTTTTAAGCCATCTTAGAAGCCATCATTGAAGTCCATGGTATGACTGAGTTTGAAACTGGATCATAATTTACCATTCTAGTTATTCAGTCAGTCTCTATTTGAGTCTAAGAGTTTATATTTGAGTCTAAGGGTCTCTATGTGAGTGATTGGGTTTTTACGTGGGTGTGTGGGTCTATGTGTGAGTCATTAGCTGTCTGTGTGCGCCCATGGGCCTCTATGTGAGCCTAAGGGTCTCTCTGTGAAGCACAAAGGGGTTTTTTACGTGGGTCTGTAGGTCTCTATCCGAGTCAGAAGGTGTCTCTGTAACTCAATGGGCCTCTATGTTAGTCAGTCGGTGTCGATGTAACTCTGTGGGCCTCTATGTGATTCAGTGTCTCTGTAACTCTATGAGCCTCTATGCAAGTCCGTCAGTCTCCTTCGTGAGAAGCCACTGCCAGCGCATTTCAGTTTCTCGACGCATTCCACCTGTCCCGCGTTGATCACCTGGGCCTGGGAAAAACCCCGATTTCGACTTTGCTTGGCTGCCTCCTCAAGCTTTATCCCCACGCAAAACCGATGTGACGTGAACCGTGATGCAGGCAACGTAATTGGCGGCCACGAGATGGGGTACCCGCTCGGGATCCGCGCCGGCCATGGCACGTGCTACTGCTACGACATCCTCAAGTGCATCTGCGAGCTCCCTGACATAGAAGGTAAAAAGCTCCCCTCCCCCCTCCAGGGCACAACGCAACACTGCAACGAATGTAACGTCTCGGTTCTTGTTTCTCCCATAGGGTGGGGGGTGTCCATGAAATAAAAACAAAACAAACATGAGCGGACATGAAATGTGAACGTGACCTGGGCCTGCCCCCTTCACTCACCCTCACTGGCTAGCTTGGTGAAGTATGGTCAAGCATGATAGAGTTTAATTTTTTTGGGATAGATTGCGTAACTTGAAATGTGTTGTTAAACCCGCCACCACCCGACACAGCCAATCTGTGAGGTTTGTCACGTAAACAAAAAGCACCAATTAGTTACTAGTTCAGCACACTGGTTGTGTGTTGGAGAGTAAACCCACAACATATACAATACAAGTACAGTGACATTTAAGCGGTAATTACGACCAGCCTCATCAAGCGACAGCCAGAATTGTGGAGAAATCCTCTTGTTTTGGTCTTAAATAGAGGATAATTGTGATGATAATAATGGTAATGAAAGCCTATATGTTAAAGAAAACAGCACAATTTCTCACCCACTGTGGTCTCGTAGTAGGTGACATGAAAATAATTAACGTGTTACATCAATGCACGGTTTCTGCAGTGGAAAAACAACCTGGCACCCTTTGAGCCGATCCAGGCTGGCTCAGCACGGTTTCAGCACGGCTCAGCTGTACAGTTGAAAAAAATAAGTCATTGCTGACCCAGTCTGTCCCTTGAATGGTTTCATTTAGCTGCCCTGTCTATCAATGTTGATATTTTTACGTGAGAAACTCAACACATTCGTGAATAATTTACGGAGCCATTTCTGGTCGAAAGCCTCCACCAACTTCGCCACCATCTCTCTCATGATCCTGCGATATAACAATGACCCACTTGGCAACTGCATACAAGCTGATTTCATCGCTCCATCTCCTCGGTATATGCACGCTCTCTCGGATGCGTTGGATTCTTGGCTACCATCATTATTCTTGACCATTGTCAGTCATTCATTTATAGCCGTGACGATGCGTCCTGCCCAAGCCAATGCACTTACTTTTCTAAAAAAAAAACGCAACACATTCTTCAATAACACGGTGGCCTTCAGAGGAAAAATATATGAGGCAACGTTTCGGATAATGGCCCCATCAGGTCCCATGAAAAGGGCTATTGCCTACAACATCGCCCATTATATATATTTTCTAGTTAAGGCCACAGTGTTATTGACAAACGTGTCGAGTTTTTTTTTTTTGCACTCTTGCACCACTGCCATCGTAGCCGCAGCATCAGCTGATCATTGATTGATTTCCGTCTCCCTCTGGTCACTGATGATCATTAAATGTGGTTTCACATTTTTGTTTGGATGAATTCCAGCTTCCAGAATTACAAATATCACTTTGGCTGTCGTGCGACGAATTCTACTCGGTGACAGGACAGGTGGGAAAGTGCTGCCCCCCCCCCCACCACCCATATTGTACGGATAGTGGTAGTAGTTCTGTGATGTCCACTTCTGCAGGCAATTCTTGCTAATAGGCAAGGGAGACAGCACTGCTCCGTGAGAATCCCACGTGGATTCTGAGAATCCCACGATGGATTCTCACATCTCGTGACATGATGCTGATGTCACATTTGAGATCAAATAGGGGGGGGGGGAAAGATAAAAAATGATGAGCCCAATGGAAACCCACTTTTTTTGTCAATTCATCGGATCAAGCTGATAACCTCTGTGCTCCGCTCTCCACTCAAGGCCTCGCCTGGTTTTGCTTTTTTTCATTTCAACTCGAGTACAAAATTTAATTCGGACGAGATGAAAGAAGGGAATGTCTTTTCTCGCGGAGAGACGCTTGGCTCTCTCACTTTGCCCTTTAATTTAACGGCCGATCTTTCCGGATGGCTCAACATATATTTGAAAGCGTTAACGTTTGCCTGCCGTCCTTTCAGTGCACCGTATAAATGATCGGAGGACACTATGAAAGAGCTCCTCTGTGCTTGTAAAGCCACAGAGGATGCGGTGAAGCTCATTGAGCAATTGACTGCTATTTACTGCGTTTGATATTGCGCATGGGAGTGGAGTTTAGTATTTGTCTCGTGCTGAGGATGTTTCTTGGAACTTTATAGGCCTCCTTAAGGTTTATACAGGGATGAGTTGTTCAAAATACCCTTTTTTATTTAAAAACGCAGACTGTTGTGCATTGGGACATGTTATCAGCTTGTACCACAGGTTGTTCGGCGTGATCTTTAATATTGCACCAGCAAAGCTGGGAGCTTCGTCGGGAATTGGAATGCATGGAACGCAGGAGCTGAAATTTACTTGAGTTATGTTACGGAAAAAAGTAAGTGGACTAGGACCCGTGCACTGAAGGTGACGGTGGCTGTTGGTGGAGACTTCATGACGGAATGCCAGCCAGAAGGTGGGAACCGCACCTGTGCGTCCATGGCCACCACGGAGATGAAATCAGTTTGCATGTGGAAGCTATACAGATGGTCCCATCGCAAGACTGTGACGCATGGGGAAGGCCTTTATCCAGCAGTGCATAGAATCTATAGATCATAGGCTGAGGCAGGATGATGTTGATGAATATTATACTTTAAAACTCTTAACGTTGACAGGATTATTTTATAGCTCAAGTGAATTTGCTCTGACTGTGTAGCCCCCATTTTGATAGCTCTGCCAGACTCGGTGTGCACCACGCCGTGATGCCCTGCCCATAGCTGGCCCTGGTGCAACTGCACCGGGCCCCTGGACTCTAACCGCGCTGACAGCGTATCCATACCACGCTTGTAATTCCAAATGTCACATTTTGCATTGGCGCGAAAATTACAGGAAACGTTTGCGTTTTGGACCCACGTGAGGGGGACAAATATGCCGAAGGAAAGTCGTTCCATTCTCTTTAATGCGTTTTAAAAACAATAATGCTCTCAGTTGTTTTGATTTTTGGAAGAATTCCAGTGGCCGTGTTTAGTTTCGTGTCGAGCTTAATTTTAGTTCAGTTGCCATTTTCCATTATGCCCAAAAAAGGCAAAAAACTATTAAATTAATGTACAAAAGATGTAGAAAAATATGTTTCTTGAGAAATAGCCTTGGCTGGTTGTCAAGCGACTTTTTGATGAATTTTGAAGGGCGTATATACTGTGAATGATTTTATTTATTGCGGCGTGACCCAGTTGAGATGGACTTTCCATTTTACTTTGTTTCAACTTGCCACGCCGAGTGGTCCAACCAGCGACCTTCTGCACTGCAAGTTCAGCATGGTCACCATCTTACACCTCGACAGGGAGAAAAAGGTGCATGGCATTAAAATAACGTTGTCAGATTCAGTTTTTTTCAACGAACCAGATTTTACCTTAACACATAAACTGAACACTGTTACAGTCAGGGCCACTTCGCTGCAACCATTCACGGAAGACAGAGGGTCATCAAGTAGTCTTAGAGTTTAGGTTTCTAATGTGACACCACAGCAAGACAAATACCATCAACCGAACAACCCGCAACTGCAGATGATTTTGCTCTTCACAAATAGCATTTCTATAAGGAGTAGATTAACGTGAGGATCAGAGCAACCGGTATTTTGCACAACGGGCAGCAGCTCTCTACGACCATGTTTCCGGGTCGTACCGAGCATTGTTCGGAGCGACGTCCGACGTTTCGGTTCCACGAGCATGCTCCGAGGCGATCGACCCCCACGAAGCCACGACCTCCGGACGACCTTTTGTGGTGACCGTCCGCTTTGTTCACGTCCTCGTGCGCGGTCCCCTCCGCCGCATCGTCCGTGCGCGTAGAGCCCGGCTGCGACGAGGGCTGCCGGGCGGTCGTGGCCACGGCGGGCGTGTGCTCGGTCATCATCGCGCTCTCGCTGGCCGTCACCATCCTGCGGCGCCGCAGGCAGAAGGGGCAGCTCAAGGGCAGCTCACTGCCCACGGCAGAGCTCACGTTCCGGCGGCAGCCGGTCACCTACTCGTCCAACAACAACCGCATGCCGCCCTCGGAGTCGGCGGACAACCTCTCGTCGGTGGAAGCCTGCAAGATCCTCGTGAGTCGCCGCCGGCCACCTCGCTCCCCGTTCACAAACCGCCCTCCCCCCCCCCCCCCCCCCATGCTTGAGATAAAAAAAAGTTCAAAAGCCGACCCTACAAGCTGCTTTTTACACACGACGCATTTCTGCAGGAAGCAAGGAGTCACCGCGTGGTGTCGATGCGCACAGTACGCCTATCGCCATCGTCTGCTACCCCCTCCCACCCACCAGGAGGATCCCAAGTGGGAATTCCCGCGCAAAAACCTGGCGCTGGGCAAGACGCTCGGCGAGGGCGAGTTTGGGAAGGTGGTGAAGGCCACGGCGTTCCGGCTCAAGGGGAAGGCCGGCTACACCACCGTGGCCGTCAAGATGCTGAAAGGTGATGATTGCATGGGAGCCCTGTTCACTGTGGCTCACGAGGACTTTCTTTTACTATTATTAGTGGTTGTATTTGTGCACGGGTCCTGATAATGCCACCTGCGGTTAAGTCGAAGGTCAAAGTGGATGTCCTGCTCAAGTGGGAATTGAGGTGATGCTCGCCCTCCGCTTGCAGCTTTGAGCCAATGGTAAAAAAATCCACTGTGTAACAAAACATTATTTTTTCCTAAATCTATTGCGCCTCAAAAGTACAGAAAATTGATATTATTCCCCAAAAACTTTGCTTTTGTGGCCAGGACAGTAATATTTAGAAATTGACTTATTTTTAATGAGAAAACGGGTGAATTTGTATCTTTTCGTTCACATAAGTCAGAAAAAAGCAACATATGAATCAAAATTAACATGTATTTATACTGAAGAAATAATACAAAAATTACTACAAAAGATTTAGACACCAAGGTGCACTGCCATAGACGGGACTGGCCACCGGTGGACCGAGTTCTCTGTGGGGAGGAAAAATCTCGAAAAGCTACTCACTTCTAAATCTTTTGTAGTCATTTTTGTATTACTGTGTTCTGGCAGTGGTGTAGAAATAGGCACAAAAACTGCAACTATCACCAATAACAAATGCCCTCTAATGAGCTAGAAGTTACACGCAGTGAGATATTCTACAGCAATAACAGAGAATGCAGAGCGAGTAGAAACCTGTAGTTTGTTTGTGATGTGCCAAAAATGTATATACTGTACGCACTTTGCATACGATTTGATTTCCAGTGGAAAATACTGTACACCAAATAAGCAAAACGCACAAATAGCAGTGGAGACATTCACACGTGAACAAACCGATTGCATTAGCTGAATGAATATCTATGAAAACGAATTATACGAGAATACAGATATCCTTCGGGAAGCCACACGAGTGAAGGTTTGTGATGTGTGATGCGGTCGGCCATCTGTGATCTACCAGAGTCGCCTGTATTGGTTTTTGTGGGGACATGCCAATGCACGTCATTCAATGAACAGCGCAGCTTAACGATCTTGCAAAATTCGACCAATGGCTGCTCCGTGTTATTGCATGAATGTCACATTTACAAATCCTGATTTCTACTCCAAATGCAATTCCACAGATTTGCTTTGTGATATTACTCATTTGCCTGCACTTTTAAGAAATTAAACATTGTATTTAAACTATTATAAAAAAAAAAATCTATAAATTATGAAAAAAAAAATCTCCAAAGTAAGACCCACTGAGCTACATAGCTCTTTTTTCAGAAGCGATCTGGACACAAATGAAAGCGCAACGAAATGGCTTATCACATGGAAAATTTCGCAGCCAAATCCTATAAACGCATATTTATAAATGTGGAGGGAAAAACTGGGGACTCAAAAATCCACACGACCACAAACTCCAAATACACAGGCGTCGGGGTTTGAATCGAACCTACGACCTCCTGTATATCAGGTGATGTAATTAACATCCCCCCACCGTGGCACCCTAATGAAGGCCTCTGCAAGCTACCATCACCTTGCAAGATCTCCATGGTTTGAGCGCGTTGGTCATGGCAGAGAGATTATCATAGTTTAGTCTAGTTTCAATAATAGTATTCGTAAACCAATTGTTTTCATAATCAACTGACCCAGATAAATAAATACATTTAAATTATCAGTACGCTGGGATGTAAGTTTCCCTTAAAAGTGAAGTTAGAACTCTTGATATATTTCATTAAGAAAGCCCCGAAGGCAGGCTTGACCTTTGAACTGTTATTCTCGCATATTACTCACGTTTTCTCAACGCCGGGCAATTTGAACTTTCCACTGACATCAAGAAAATAAACTTTAAATACCAATTAGGAACTGTGAAACTGCTAGGCCGGAAAATTGCTTTCAAAGGTCTGGATCTATGACACGGTAAACATCCTCGGCCCCAGGAGTTAGTGTTATATTGAATGCTTTTCAGTAATTCCTAAATGCTCCTACCAAGCCTTCAAATGCAATAATAATAGCTGAGCTGCCGCTAATGGACCACACTGGGTCTAGTGCAACGATACACATCATCCTGTATACTCAAACTTAATCTGGAGTGGCCTCATTTGGGCAGAAAGACAAATTGAAATTATTGTCTGCAGAGGCCAGATCGTATCGCAGGGAATTACTGTCCAGCGAATGAGGTCGGTCCCTTACCATTGACATATCATCGCACTCCCGAACAAAAGTCCCTGTTACAGCCACTAAACTATTAAGCCATTATAATAATAATCTTTATTCTATAAATAGTTATTTGTAATGAAATATTTGAAAGCGCTTTTATGTGAAAAATATTTCAGTATTAAAAAACTACGCTCACAAGTAGGGATAAAATCCAGTCAAAATACAACAGGAACAAATAATAATGCTGATAACAATAATCACAACTACACTCGTGCTGTAGATAGATTTCAGAAAGCGCTATGGTAAAAGCCATTCATAATAGTTACACTCACTGTGTAGCTAAAAATTAAACTACAGCGAAAGCCTACGAATAAAAATTGATTTTTCAAGCTGGTTTTTAAAGTGGTGACAGTCACAAATCCTGATTTAAAAGTAGATAGTAATATTGGCGTTCCACAGTCTTGGTGCATCGCAGCAAAATGCACGATCTCCCCATATCTGCAGCGAGCAATGTGGCCATATAGCCGCATGGCTAATGCATTTATTTATTTATTTTCTTGCCCACCAATGTTATCCTGCCTGCTATCGGCGTTATCTCATGAGCTGAAGTAGCCATTGAGATATCTTGTAGAAGAGTGCGTCTCTTCGTGTTAGAGAAAACGAGCCATGTGAGTAGACGTTATGGAGCTAGTTATTTATTTATTGCCAAGTAAGGCCCACCGAGCTTTGTAGCTCTTTTTCAGAAGTGACCGGGCCACAAATGATTGTTCATTGAAGTGGCTTATCATGTGGACATTTATAACAGACAAATACTCTCAACGTGTGTTTCGATTCTAAATGTGGAGGTTAAAACCGGAGGACCCGGGGGCAAATCCACGCGACCACGGGGAGAATATGCAAACTCCATATATACAGGCGTCAGGGTCGGGATCAAACCCACGACCTCCTGCATACCAGGCGAGGTAGTTAACATCTCGCCACCGTGGCACAACTAAGAACCAATGATGATCTTCCCATTGTGAGTCAATGGGTCCGATCACAGAGCTGCCCTCTTGAACGCACTCCTGTAACGCACAGCCCCATTCACGTGACCTATGGTCCAGAATTCAAAGGGCAGAACTTTGCCATCCGCCCTGCCAACGAGAGCAATGATTATCACGTGGTAGTTAAACCGAGTTTTAATTCTCGAAGTTATAATTTGGCCAAATTAAGTGCAAAACCAAATTGAATTTGATGGCTTTTTTTGCGCAGAATTTGGTGACTGGGCAAAGACCTTCAACTCATTGGACTTGAGGAACCCGGTTACCTCCCAGGCTAGTCGCCTCGATATGAACCCAGCATCTCAGCGGTGTCAGCTCAGTGCTCTGACCTCAGTTAAAAGGCCACTTAAATATAAAGTTTGTAAATACATCTACCCACAGATTCTGAGTCAGCGCTCACCTTACTCCACCCCTCGCCAAACCCTCAACCCGACCGCCAATTTACATTTTTGCCAAATGTAATTCTGCAACAACGACAGAAAACGCTTAATAAAGACAATTAATCACAGCTGACCACAGAGCTGGAAATGCTCTGACAAAATCAATATGTGGGAGATGTAGTCGGAGGAAAATGTATTTACGGGCATGTTTACGATCAATGTTGTCACTGCTCGGAAATTGAAATGAATTCAATTTTCATAATCACTACCTCCTTTACGGAGGGTGCATTAACTGCTGGCCACGAGCTTGGAATTCCATTCTCTGCTGAAGCGCATTGTGTCATGTCAATGATCAGCTTGTGGCTGTATGGAAATCAATGTGGTTTATAATCCTTGTATATATCGAAACAATCGATGTAATGTTTGTTTTAAGCTCATTTAATGCCAGCAGATGCGGATACTCGATGCACAAATGGAAAAATGTGTGGTCACCTCGAACAGACCATGGAGCGTATAAGCGACTCAATGCCCCATTCACGAACTCGGAGGAGGAGGCACCATCACAGCGCAATATTCTGGTTCGACCACCTGAATGTAAAATGAGAGCCGTCACTCTGCATCAACATCAGCCAAGAACGCAGGAGAACCGGAGTCCTCATGAAATGTGTTTTCATTGGCGGAAATTAAGGCACCGTTCCTGGCCTACCTTTCCAGCGTGGAGAAGTATGGTCAAATAACCTCACGTGACCTACACAGTCTGGGGAGGCCTTCATCTAGCAGTGTCGAATCAAAAAGTTACTTTGATTTATATATATTTATGTTCATTTCAGTTTGTATACTGTATAGCAGTCGGCAGAAGTTTTACACCAAAATAGTACTCTTTTTTATTACATTTAATCATTGGAAATTTGTCATCAGATAATTGCTGTATTGCCACTCAAAGCCAGTAATTGCTTCTGTCTGAACAGAAACTGTGTGCCCAAGATGTCATGTGACTCGCGGGGTTCCCTTCAGAAATGCTCGAGAAGAAGAAATCTCACTATATATTGTTTTTTTAAACAATTCCAACGAAAGTTGAGAGAGTAAGTGATTCAGGTTTCAAGTTTATTTTGTTTAACCAGGTGAGGAGTCAAGGCTGCCCTCATTGGTAAAAAACGACATATGTCATGCGAAAAATTACGAAAGCAAAACAAGTAGCGTCGAGTTCAGAAAAGCAAAAGACATTGGAACAAAAGCAATATGAATACAGTCTGCCCCCTCTATATTGTGTACGGCTGCCTCGGCATAACATCACACAAGGCGGGATACTGCTGGATGCTTCTAGATGCTACCCTCAGTCTTTGTTCAGCCTGCATACGCATCTTACGTCTTATCGCGGACTGTGCTTTACCCTATATTATATATTTTGAACGCGATTTTTCCATAACGCGGTGTTCTTCAGGAACGCAACTGCCGCATTATTGGAGAAGGGAATGTTTGTCGGATTAATCAACAGAGCTAATCATTTGAGCCCTGTCTTTACGATTGTGTGTCTGTCCATCGAACCGTCTGTAGTGGGAGTCATGGTAACTCTCATGAAGGTGATCCAATGTAAATTAAATGTTGGCATTACGCGTTGTTGATCGCAGGGACTGGACCCGAGCCAAAACTGGGAAAGTTGATTTCAAGGGGCTGCCCAAAACTCGGTGATCAACTCCAGCGACAATTACGGCCTTTCAGCCAATGTGATGACGCTAATTAGCTAATTCTGAGGACGCAGCGCGTCGGATCACAGTTCATGCAGGGTTCATGCAAATGCGTGATTTTTCTTCCTCTTTCTGTATAATTTCTCGCTCTTGCCCGGGGTACCGCTTTCAATCACTTCAAATTCCATCCATTCAGGGCTGCACTTTTACCTCTTTTTTACCTTTTAGACAGTGCTTGTGTTTTATTTCCACGTATATGTATTCCAAAGTGAAATTTGTGAAACTATTCTATCCTTGCGTATGGCAATAGGTGCGTGAATTAGATGTCAATGTTGAGGTGTGCTAGCCGTGCCGTGAGGGCTTCAGGAGGGAGTTGGTGTCGTGTTGCTGTTCATCCTCCATTGAAGGAGTGCAGACTAGAGTAGTTTACTGCACGGTACATAGTTTGGGTTCCATGGCCACAATCACACCGCAGTGGCTTGCCTTTAACTTTCCATATGTGAAGGAGGTGTGCACATCGGCCTGTTGATGATAGTTCTGATGCGGTCCGATGGTCACGCCGGCATATTTGAGGAATGTCAAAGTCAGGAGGTGCGAAGTTTGGGTCTCGAATTGTGAACCTATGAAGGAGACCAGAGATCTCGGTGAACTTGTTGTATGTACCGTACGTTGAACTCCTTTCACACCGTACGTAGCCAACCGCGCTAAGCGGAGGTGCGGGAAAAAATCGTGACCACCGTTTGCCTCGATCGCTCCGTCCGCAGAGTGCGCCTCGCACAGCGAACTGAGGGACCTCCTCTCGGAACTCAACCTCCTCAAGCAGGTCAACCACCCCAACATCATCCGCCTCCATGGGGCCTGCACGCAGGACGGTGAGTTCCCTGTGACCCCCCCCCCCGTCATCGGGATAGCGCAAGTGATTCAGCGTTAATTATATTAAAAGGCATAGCGCTGTTGTTGTAAAGACATTGTGCTCACCGCAGAGAACTGTAGCGACACGATCGTGCTATGAGAGCTGGCACGAAACTATGCCACACGCCCTCCCACATGGCCTTGTGGGAGCATCGCTACCGGCAGAGTTATTTTATTTCTGTTTTTATCACGATTCCGTTCAGAACGGAATCAGAAGAAAAACTGACGATGTACACGTACGTCGTCGGAATGGGAAAGGCTTAAGAGGTTTGGAAGCTCAGTTCTCGACGGACAATTAACGCACAATTAACAAAAATACTTAACACATTCATCCGTGGCCTTCAAATAAAACAAATATAATCTATGAATTTTAGAAATGTTGCCCACTGCCAAACGTTACAGGCAATGGCGCTTTTTCATAGCACATACGGGAGATGAACAAGAGCCATCCATTATAAAGTATTTATTTTAAGTCGACAGTGTTATGAACGAATGGTGTTGATTTTTTTTTCTTTCACGTAAAATGAACATCGATAGACAGGGCAACTTCAAATTAAAACCATTCATGGGAACAGACAGGGCCAGCAATACCTTCTTTTCCACTGCACAGCTTAGCCGTGCCAAGACCGTGCTGATCCAGCCCGGTACGACTCAGATGGTGCCAGGTTGTTGTTTTTTTCAACTGCAGAACCCGTGCCATTCGATGTTGCACATTAAGGACGTTTTTCATGATGAAAATGATCATCCACTCTCTTGGCCATGCTTGTCCCTGAGCAAGATTCAGATGTCTTGTGAGACTAGATTTTGACGCTTTGCCCTCTGCTACGGCTCGTCACCACCGCCGGTGGAGAAAAGCCGTGCGTGTGTCAGCGGAGAAGGGGTACGAGAGTAGTCAGAGAGTGGACTTCCGGCCACTGCTACCAACCAGTAGCCACGGAGGCTGTTGTCGCCTCTCTCACCTGACTGCAGCGATTCATTATTCTCGTGACGTGACTGCCAATAGGAAAAAAAAATATGAAAATTGCTAAGACTGATAACAAAATATATACTAATGTAAAAAACAGGAATCAATCAGCAGCGCAGATAACCAGGGACAAGGGAATTCAACTTGACACACACTCACATATTTCAGCCGTCGTAATGAGTTTCCTTGCAAATATTAAGACTAGTTTCCACTTGTAAAGCTTATTCAAACTGTACCTGATGGCTAGCAGGGCTTCATTGCTTTTATTTATATATTCTCTGTCTGGCCGATTAGACTGGAGGAGGTGGCATGTGAATAGTAAAATTCACAAGCTCATAGTTAGAGGTATTCTGGATGTGGTGTGCCGGGTGCAGAAATACTTTTTGAGTCGCCAACCCCGACAAACCCAGCTGAAACAACCCCCCCCCCCCCCATTGTTAACACCTTAAATACAAATTAAAACGACATTGTGTCTGTGTGTGTGCGCATGAACGTGGGGAGCAGTGGTGCAGTGGTTAGCGCAACGCGCCATGTACCCAGTGAGCCGAGTTCGATTCCCGCTAATGACCATTAACAGTGGCGATTATGTGAACCGGACCTGGGCTTCCCCGAGATCGACTCAGCCTCAAATGTATAGCCTCTGCTGTTTGTGAACATCAGCCCTGGGGAAATTAAGGCAGCCGCGCGTGTTGCTGGCCACCAACCCCCTCGTGTGCTGTGTTGGCCTTTATAGGTGCTCGCTAACAACAATTGTCCCAGCAGTCCGTTAAGGATATGAGGGGGATCTTTGTCTTTGCACATGTGTGTACGCGCGTGTGTACGTGTGTACGTGTGTGTGTGTACGTGCGTGTAAACGTACGTGTGTTCACGCCAGCTGACAAACCCGTACATTGCTGGCAGATGTACGCCACGTTGCTTTTTTCACCCCGAGCAGCAGATTGACGCACAGCGATGGGGCACATTTCGGCGCAGGTATCATTATTGGGTCAGGCGAATCGAGTTCAAGCCACCCACCCCTCGCGCGCCGCGTCGGCCTCCACAGGCGCCACTCGCTAACGGCACCCACCCTCAACGGTTTCTTAAAGGCTGCGCGGCGGGATCTTTGTGTGTTGGTATGCGCGGCGACCTTCGTCGCCGAAGGCCCCCTCTACCTCATCGTGGAGTACGCCAAGTACGGCTCCCTGCGGAGCTTCCTGCGCGTGCGCCGCAAGGCGGAGTTCGCGGTGCCGGCCGGGTCTTCCAACCGCAACTCGCGGCTCCTGGACAACCCGGACGAGCGCGGCCTCACGCTCGGGGACCTCGTCTCCTTCGCCTGGCAGATCTCCCGCGGCATGACGTACCTCGCCGACATGAAGGTAGGGCGGCACGGCCTTCGCACGCGCACCGCGCGACACGTACTGACGCTGCTTCCGTACCAGAATGTTTCTATGCATATGTGTGTTAAGCTTCTTTCACACCATACGTAGCCAACCGGCGCTAATTGTACGTGCGGGGGGAAGGAAAACAAGCTGAGCACAAGAAGTAGTTATTGTGACCAAAGCTGACGTAATTGTGGACACTCTCGTCTCCGCCTCCCTACCGGTCTCTTCATCGTTCCTGTAATGCGCAACAATGAGCACGGTCGGCTAAGTACGGTGCAAAAGAAGTTCAACATACAGACAAACAGACACACGTGACCGCCACCCGCACGGTGCAGTAAGCGTCCAATATGCCCCTCGACCGACAGGGCATGCGGGAGCCCCTCATCCGGCATTGTATCGACGCCGGGTTGTTCATTTCCACTCGGGTTTTATGGCTGCATAGGCTTTTGTGGTTGGACTGTGTCGCTCTATCGTCACATTGTGCCATGTGTATGCATATTTTTTTGGCGTGGTGTCCAACGTTTCGCTCTGCATGCCTTAAGAAGCTCGTAACACTTGGGGAACTGAATTCAGTTACGTTCTTGGATAAGCTCCCAGAACGTGGAGTGAAACGTCGGATATCGTGCTGAACAGCGTGCGGTACGACCCGACAACACGTCAGAGAGCTGCTCCTGTTTATTTATTCATCAGTTGCTTCACTGCTCACGTTAACCGCCCTGTCTAAAGAGGCGCTATTTGTCAAAGCGGGATCTGCGGTTGCCGTCCGTATGGCTGACGGTGTTTGCGTCTCGTCGGTGTTCCTGGGTGTGTTGGGCCCACGCCTCTCTCCCAGCTGGTGCACAGAGACCTGGCCGCCCGGAACGTTCTGGTGGCCGAGGGTCGCAAGATGAAGATCTCCGACTTCGGCCTCTCGCGAGACGTCTACGAAGGAGACTCGTACGTCAAGCGCACCAAGGCAAGCCTCCTGCGTTGTCCCACTGTCGTGTCGCTCTTTTTCCACTGCACAACCAAGCCATACCAGGGCCCGCAAGTTGTTTTTCCACTGCAGGACCCGAGCCATGCTGCTCACCCCTCGCAGGCAGTGAACGAGTCGAGACCGCGAGTAGATGACACGGTGACTCCGCGTGCGAGCCGTACTGACCGGGCGTCATGCACAACAAACGTGTCATTGGCCAAGACACCTGGCCCTGCTTGGCCCCTGAGAGAGATTCAGATATCTTGCGAGGCCAGCGTATTGTAAAGAAGAGTCCAGCAAATGCGAGTAGGGTCGGTGAAGGTCGGCTTTATTCACAAGATATATACCATCAGCAGTCCACCCATAGAGAGATCTTCAACAGATCTTGAGCTCTCCTCTGCCCCTCTTTACTGACACTCATAACCCCTCCCTGCCGAGTTGTAATCTTCACCAAACTCCCACCTAAATCACCAACACGGCCAATATCCAATGGGACACTAGCCACACCACTCGCAAGGGCCCCAAGAATCGAACTCCGGATCTCAGAGATGCCCGGCTCAGCTCTCTGACCTCTGAGCCACCTGGTCACAGCTCTACACGGCAGCCGACCAAGTCACCCGGATCTCCTTGATGTCCACAGTTACAGTCATTTTTTGCTCGGCGTGTGCAAAGCCGCGATAGAGACGCACGCAAAGGCGGTCAAAATCCTCGCTTCTTAATTTGTTCGGATGAATATATGGAAATAATAATTCTGCCAGAAACATTGGCATGGCAGAGATGTGCAAAAATTAATCGTTTAGATTTACCATCCGTAAGTGAGCGCTGCGACTATCGTTGTTTTATTGCAATAGAAGATCATCGCAAGATTGCACCGCTGATAAATTCGCGCGTGGCTCGACTCCCAAGCTCCCCGTTGAAAATGTTTAACTTTATTTTTCCTTTTGCAATTAACGTTGAGAAAGGGCAACGTAATAGGAATTTGACACTGCTGAATATTTGCCAGCGTTTACAGTTCATTGCAATTGCTTTTTTTCAGAAAAATTAATTGCCCGGGAAAAATAATTAAGTGAAAGAAGATGAGGCATGTTTCTTAGTTTGTTCCTGTTCATTACAACCGCACTTTATTGCGGTCTGATAGATCGTTGCGCTACAATCGCGTTTCTACATTAACTGGACTTGGAATGTCACTGTTAAGTAGGCCACGCGCGATTGGTAAAACAAGCGAGCCGAAGACCTCTTTACAGATCCAGCCACTCATTTGGATTGTGATCATTCACTGAAGAAGATTTATTTCGTGGTAATGCACACGCTAACTCGTGTGATTTTGGCTACAGTATTGTCATAAAGATCAAGATGTCATCACGGCGCCAGAGCTGTTGATGCCACCACCAAACCTTGCCAACCGGCCCCTACCCTCGGGCAGATCTCACAGCGGCTTGCGCAGTAGACACGCAGCGAGCGCCAGGGTCTTCCGTGGCCGTCTCCCGCCATCTGACCTGAGCTCATCTTCTTTGGACACCAGACTCATGGAGAACCGCTCCAGTGGCTGCCTAGGCAAGATTGTGATATCTGGTAACGATTGAGGTCACCGTTCTTGCGAGACGCATTTATTGAGATGTCTTCATTTGTCGAATGTGCTCATCATGTACTCGCATAACGGGTTGGATAAGGCTACCACAGTCATACAGTATTAATAAATGTCAAAGATTGGTGTTCATCAAAAAGGCAATTTTCAACAAGTCATCAATGCTCCCAACACGTTGCATAGTATTGTACAGAAATCAGGGTAATAAAAATTACTTATTGCATTGTTTTATTTCCAATGATGAATAATGCTTTCCTCAAAGTATTATTTAGTAAAAGATAAATAGAATAAAGAAATAATCATTAGTAATGATGATCATTCATATTGCTCGCAGATTTTGAGAATTGTATAGATTTATATTGGCAAATTAGTATTATTCAGAATAATTAAAAATTGGTAGGTATGATGACCAATTCACCCGCAACGCACCAGATCTTTGCAGATCTCGGAAACTAAGCAGCGTTAAGCCTGGATTGTGTTTGGCTGGGCGACAACCAGGCAGCAGCAATGTTATCAAAGCACTGCGGAGATACATAGTGGGCAGGAGCCGACAGTGTAGAAAAAAATCTATTGTTGTACTCTACTTCTATGCCCCCCCCCCCCCCACCAACATCTATGCTCCTCCCCCGCGGTATAGACGGCGGCGGTGGCGGTGAGGGTGACGACGACGCTGACTAACCCACCGCGTTTGCATTCGCAGGGCCGGATTCCCGTGAAGTGGATGGCTATCGAGTCGCTGTTTGAGCACATGTACACCTCCCAGAGCGACGTGTGAGTTTCACTGCTGCCGATTTCATTCCTCCAATTGGGAAGCACCTCGGGGAAATACACCATCTTTTTGTTTTCATGATTATTATTGTTGCGGTCTAAAGTTTGCATGTACACGTGTTGAATTTCTTTTGCACCGTACGTAGCCAACCCGTGCTAGTCGGAGGTGCGGGGGAGGGACGGAGCTAAACACAAGAAGCAGTTCCTGTCGCACCTTCGATGAGCACGGTTGGCTACGTGCGGTGCAAAAGAAGTTCAACATACTTACCATACAAGTTCACAGAACCCTGCGAACTTGTATAGTGACTCCTGCAGAAACGGCACCTTATCATGGCACCCTCCATAGGTTCACAATTCGAGGCCAAAACTTCGCACCACCTGACTTTGACATTCCTCAAATATGCCGGCATAACCATCGACCGCATGAGCACATCATCAACAGGCCGATGCGCACACCTCCTTCACTTACGGAAGATTAAAGGCGAGGCGCAGCGGTGTGATTGTGGACATGCAACCCAAACTGTGCACCGTACAGGAGACGAATGCAGTCTGCGTTCCTTCAATGGAGGACCCAAACTCTCTGCTGAAGCTCTCTCAGCATGGCTAGCACACTTCAAACATTGGCACCTAGCTCCTGCACGGATTGCCATATGCAAGGATAGAATAGGTGCACGAATTTCAATTGGAATGCCATATACGTGGACATAAACGTGAGTACTTTCTAAAACAGTAGTTCTTAACCTGGGGTTCACGCACTCCCTGGAGGTGCGAGATGCCCTGTCTGGGGGTGCAAGGCATGACCAGATTTTTTTGGAAGGTAAATCATTGAAAACCAAATTAAGCATGGACACGTTAGTACAACTGCTTAGTTTCATAAAACCTCTGTATTTATTAACACTATACATTTGTTTAACGATTGAGAAGGAGTGCAAGGCTGCAGGAAAGGTTAAGAACCCATAATACAGGTTGTTTTGGGTTAGATCGTGTAAATATATGTGTCGTTAAACCCACCACCACCCAACACAGCCAATTAGTTTTAACGACACATAACAGGTTTAACGACACATTTATATATTTACACGATCTAACCCAAAAAACCTGTATTAGGGGTGATATTGGACGCGAAAGCCTACGTGTTGAACAGGTTAAGAACCACTGGTCTAAAAGGTGAAGGTAAAAAAAAATGTAAAAGTGCAACCCTGAATGGCTTGGTGGTCCGGGTAGGCTGAATGTCCGTGTTGACAGCTAGAGGTCTCCTCCCATTGCCGCACATCGTCCAGGTGGTCCTTCGGAATTCTTCTGTGGGAGATCATGACGCTGGGAGGAACTCCGTACCCGGGCATCCCCCCAGAGCGCCTCTTCAACCTCCTCAAGACCGGATACCGCATGGAAAAGCCCGAAAACTGCAGCGATGACCTGTAAGGCGTCGATCATTTTGACAGATTTTGTTTCGCAGTCCTCCGCACCACCGGGCAGTTGCCCAAGCTCGCGATGAATGCATCTCGCGTACTCTGTCCGGCAGCAGAAATCGACGCGCGGCGACGTGGTGTTACCAACGACGTGCATTGGTGCATTCACCAGAGGGCAGCGGAGCCGAATTCATTCTATACTCTACTTCTATGCTGCCATACCTATTCCACCTGCCTGAACAGCACGGTGAAGTGTGGTCAAATAAAAACCCGCACGGAAGTGGGAGGCCTTCATCTAGCAGTTGATGGTACAGAGGGGCTGTGCGTGTACAGGAGTGCGTTCAAGAGGGCAGCTCTGTGATCGGACTCACAATGGGAAGATCATCATTGGTTCTTAGTTGTGCCACGGTGGTGAGATGTTAACTACCTTGCCTGGTATGCAAGAGGTCGTGGGTTCGATTCTGACCCTGATGACGCCTGCTGTATATTTGGAGTTTGCATGTTCTCCCCGTGGTCGCAAGGATCTGTCTCCAGGTCCTCCGGTTTTTCCCTCCACATTTAGAATCAACACGCGTTTAGAGTATTTGGCAGCTATACAGTTCTACAGGATAAGCCACTTTGTTGAGCTATCATTTCTGGTCAGGTCCCTGCTGAAAAAGAGCTACATAGCTCAGTGGACCTTACCTGGTAAAATAAAAAATGGTTTAATAGTTTTAGTGTAATACTTATCATCTTAAAGTAATCACTGAGAGGTTAACAGTGGTCATTCCATGGAGATGCAGTCCTTGGCATGGGAATGTGGAATTTGTATTACTGGATTGAGGCTGCCAAGTAAGATGAGCATCGCGCCATTGGTCGTTGGAGAAGAGATGCATCTGACCTTTAAATGAATCACTTATCCGTGGAAAATCTACGTGAAGTGCTCTTGCCAATAACACCTTTGGCTGCTGATGAGACCCAGAAAGGTCAAAACCGATCCAGAGTTAAGCTGTTTAAACGAATGCCGCTGGATAATATTGCTCTGGAAAGCCAATAGGACAATGGATTAAAACTATATTTGTATTTATACGTGGCGACAAAGAACAGTGAGTCCTTCTTATACGTGCCTCATGGCATTTCGCAGAACATTGAGACAAGTTTGTGCCGCCTGGTTTCAGTGGCGGCTGCTGCTGCTCTTATGTAAGCCGGCGAATGTGCAACAATTGGGCAGTAGGAGTCGAGAGATTTATGGAAGTGGCATATCAAAATAATGAACCGGTCCCCGCTGTTTTATGTTTTACTCTTAATTTAAATTCCTCCCGAACGCAGCGGTTATTCTGGCAGTCAAACTCCGACTGCCCCGTAACCTGGCACAATGCAGACGCACTCCGTCTGATGAGACTGAGACTTTTACTGTTCATGTGCAGCGCCAGCGGCGCTACTGGCGGCACCAACACACCGACTCAAATTTACCCGAGCTCTGAATTTATTTATTTTTAAACACACATTCCGCGTGTCCTCTCCACGCTGCATTCAATCGTGGCACGTATAAACGTATATACTGTAAATGGGTTTTCTGAGAGCGTGTGTGTTGGTTTTTTGTTATATTTTTTTCAGGCATATGCCATGCATTATACATGTAACAACGTAACTGTGAAAACCCGCACCAGTCTCCTCAACATAGAGGACCTCACATGACACCACCGTCTGGGTCTGGTCTTTGGCACGTAGCTCGTCTTCAACCAGACGTTCTGGCTCACCTCGCCCTGCGGTCTGAGTGTCAATAAGATCCGACCACGTCCGTCACAGTGCTCACTGAAGCTAGACTGGCTTCCAGATGCCGAACGAAAACGTTGTATGGTCGCATTCATTACACACAAAGTGCTCGCCACAAATGAACCACGGTACCTTGGTGATCTCGTCGAGGAACATAATCCATCCCGCGAACTCCGGTCATCCTCACAGCGGCTTTTGGCTGGCCATCGAACAAAGACGGTCACAATTTCAGATGCACTTCTGCGGCCGTCTGGAACGCTCTTCCTTCCGATATTAGGAAGCCACTGGGAGCTACGGACTTTTAAATCATCGAGATTGAAAGCTCATTTCTTTAGAACTGCTTGTTGTGTTGAGTTTGTCCTCCTTCCCCCGCACCTCCGATTAGCACGGTTGGCTACGTACGGTGCGAAAGAAGTTCAACATCCAGGATATTAGATCTGGAACAAACCCAACCGTGCGTGGGCTTACAGCCCAAGTTGACGCCCCCCACGCTCGCCATCGTGCTCGATGATGCGGACCAGGCCTGTCATCCAGGAGACCTGGCTAGGGGTGATGGATTGTGACGACGCCTGAAGGAACATTCGAAACGGCCCATTGATGGCTTAGCAAGATGTTAACTACCTCATCTGGTATACAGGAGGTCGTGGGTTCGATTCCGACCTTGACGCCTTTGTGTTTGGAGTTTGCACGTTCTCCCCGTTGTCGCGTGGATTTTTCTTAGGGTCCTCCGGTTTTTCCCTTCGCATTCAGAATCACAGCGCGTTCACAGTAGTCAGCTGCGATACATTTCCACGAGATAAGCCACTTCGTTGAGGTATCATTTGTGGTCAGGTCGCGTCTGTAAAAAATCTATATAGCTCATTGAGCCTTTACCTGGTACATTTTGTTTTAGCTTAATATGCCCATGACCGTAATCATTGGGCCAATCTATACTGCTGGATGAAGGCGGTCCCGGCTTCACTGCCGTATCCTGTAATGCTGTGGTATCTCTCACGCATGTTGTGGATGCCCTTCCACTCACCGTGTTCCATGCCGTAGTTGCCACCGTGAGTTACTCTGTACAGGTACAGACACAGCTTTGTCAATCAACCGATTCCAATGGACAAGGTCGAGGGGTCATTTGAAAGCTTGTATTACGTGAACCAGGTCAACATTTCAAAAAAATCATATTAACCTCTGACCTGATAATTCGGCTTCACAGTCCCGCACTGCGAATCCACTCTACCGTTTAAAATAACAACAACAATAATATCCCGGAATGTGATGTTAACCAATGCAACCATGTTTTAAAATCATACATCAGGTAGGCATGTGCCATTGGGGGAGGGGCGTGTGAGGGGGGCAGGTAAGCTTGACGTACATTTGACATATCCTGGTCAGGTTGCATATCAGTACAATAGCCACCCCTATATATATGTGTGTTTGACGTTTCTGTCACTTAAGCGCGATTGTACTATGATCGGATAAAAAAAAATTCTACCCGAGCCAACTTGCGCTTAAAGGGAATGTATTCTTTAACGTTGATTTATCTTCGTGCAATATTTCCGATTTCCCACGTGAGACGGTTGTTTTGCTCAGTTTTCTCCTTCCTTCTTGCCGCTCTTGATTTAATGTCTGCCTTTGTCTTTTTTTGGGGGGGACTCGGTTCACTCTTGAAAATGAGACTCCATCCCAGTCTTTCGAGTTCCCATTTGGGTTTGCAAAACTTCAAATGTGATTCTCAAGAAGCCTTCCCTCACCACTGGTGAAGGTATGGTGGGCGGTGTCAGCGTGCTCGGTTCATATGTGGCAGAGGTTGAGTGTCATGCAGAATGCCATCTTCGACATAAGATGTGCTACCCACTTGTAAACGAAGACACCGGCCGTAAAAACAACCTCACAATGTCCCCGCTTTTCATTGCATCGGACTGGCTACGAAACATCACAGTGCGAAGTCGCTGTAGTTCATTTGATAATGAAACCGGGTGCGTTTGAATATAGCCCGCCCTTGGACCCGGCGCATGGTTAACGGGGATATGGGGAGGCTGGAGTTATTTACGTAAGTGGCTGCGCTCTGTGAGGCTCACGTGCCCGCTGCCTTGGCCATCTCGTTCCAGTTCCTCGTGCCGTATAAATGCGTTTGACGTTTGTAAAGCCGGTCTGTGCAAGTTTGTACATTTTACAATGATTGTTCGGCCGTCGTTGTGTGTTTGCTGTGTACGCGCCACTTGGCGCCCTGACAACTGCGCAATCGAGGTGTTCTGGATCGGATGAAACTTAGAAAAGCGCCTGGTCAAATACACTCTCTGACCCGAGGGGTTATCCAAGCAAATTTGTTTTATTGAAAGTAAGAACAAATCACCATACCCCACATCGTGTCATCGTGAGACAACAACAACCGTCATTCGCCACTAAGTAGCAGTGACATCATCACTGCGCTTGTGCCAGGCTATGTGCACTTTGAGGCCACGTGGAGTATCAAAGGCTCACTGGCAGTACGTCACGGGAAAGACTCAGGTGCCACGAGTCGACTGATCGTGAGACACACACACTCACACACACACACACGAGTGCGTCATGCGATGCTGTTTCTGCACAGGTACGGGCTGATGCAGCGTTGCTGGACACATGACCCTGCCAGGCGACCCCACTTTGCCGAGATCAGCAAGGACTTGGAGAAGATGATGGTCAAAAGCAGGGTGAGAGTTGCACGTGCCGTCGGGTCTGTACCGCGTGTCGTTCGGCATGATGTCTGGCGTTTCACTGCACGTGCTGGGAGCTTCTTCATGGCTGAAAATTATTCCGCGGAGGCGCAAGTCATACTCACCTTTATGGGGGGGGGGGGGGGGCGCCATGCAGTGAACCGACACCGACAACTGGCCCGAACGCTGTGGTGTCATCTATTTATCAAGGTGTCACCGACCGATGGAGTGAGTGTTACACGTGTGGAAGCCAGAGCACCCAGAGTGAAACTAATGTGTGCGAGGGGACAACACTCCATCGCATACACTCGAAACAGGTGGAGTCCACATTGTTTGCTGCGCTGCCTTGGCAAGCCAGGGGTACGGGCTCTTCGTGGACACGCACGGGAAAAGTGTTTCACAATCTTGCGATCGACCAGTCCTCGCCTCCTCCGAAGTGCTGGATTACAGGTGGTGGTGACTTGCATAGCGATGGTGGCTTGCATAGCAATGAAAGTGGTGGTGGCTTGCAGCCACCACCGCTTTCATAGCCACCACAACTTTCATAGCCACACCACTGCCAGAGTAAATACACAGCACAATCACTGCCACCATCACCGCTGACCACGCAGCCACCTTTTCCACCACAAAAAATTAAATGGACCATGCTTGGGGTGAATTTGATTGATAGTTTAAGTGACAAGTGCTTTTAGTACGCACTGAATTTACAGTTTTGCCATTTCATGTCACAGTGACCAATGAAATGCATAGTGGTGCTCATATTGATTAATAAGAAATCATTTCGAAGCAATTGCGGAGGTAAGAAAGCTGACTATACATTCACATAAATAAAATATGCTGAGTAGCGACAGATTATAATTAATGTGAAAGTTAAGAAACCCACGACCAATCAATCACCGTGTGGTGTGGATGCTGATGTTGTGTAATGGTCAGCACGCATGACTTTCAATCCAGAGGTTGCCTGTTCGATCTTCCAGCAGGGCAGTTTAAACAATGGTGCAAGATCCTTCAAGCCTTTCGGCTCTGCACCTTCTCCTAGACACCTGTCGAGTGTGGAAGAGTAGGCCAAACACCCTCTAGTGGGGTTCTCTGGAGCTCCCTCGTGTGGCTGCCCTTCTGCCAGCAGTGGCATGGGCAAGCACTTGCAGGGCTGCCCCTTCATCTTTGTACCTAATACATATCAATTGTCTAACGTGTGATGATTCACACCCCTCTGCTTTGAATACAGTCTCTAAATACAGTGGCATTGAGATGCTCTATAAATCTAATATATATTGGTGAGTTGGCTGAGATTATGGAAGGAGCTGCAGATGACAAGCTGGTTTTAACTGAAGTGGGAAACAAGACATTGAACTCGGGATCTCAGCGATGCTAGCGCAAGTTCATCGATATGGACGTCAACATTATCCCATTGAGCCATCTAGCTCGCTAACAGTTAAATCTCGACTCTTTAGCGAGTCTCCCTGGTGGTCAGTGTTTTCCTTTCATGTTTATGGCTCAGCTGACATAATTCAACCTCAGCCCCTTGATAATACACTTGGGAAGGATTATCGAATTAGTGCATCATATGCAATGTTAACCTTTTTATAGCATTCGCAGACATCTTATTAGATGAAATATCAAGTCGCTGGAATTGAGTTACGCAAGTGGTGCTGCAAAGACACACTTGCAGGTCACATGATCCGACAGCTGATCGTATTTCAAAGAATTACATTGACTTGAAAATTGTGGAACTGCAACTGACAAAAACGGCAATGGAAAAATACATGAAACTTGAAACCGGGCTGATAATTAAAATAAACGTCCTTGCAGCAGAAATTTGTATTTAACTCTATAATAACACGGGGACAGCTGCGAATTAATCACCAAGTTGGGCGGTAGTATGGCGGGGCAGTCGGAAGGTCACAAGTTCAAAGCCTGGAGAAGGGGTGACCTAATCATCCGGGTAAGACAGAGAAGTTACAGTGTTTGTCCGAGGCATTGACGTGTCACAGCCAAAGCTAAGTGGAATTGTCTGTCACTGACCCGAGACTACCAAATAGAGTTGAACACCGCGTAATGTTTATTTGAAAATGGGGACACTTTGAATGACATCATTATAATTATTTATATGCCACGTCAGATCCAATAACATTGTTCACAACACTGAGTCGCTCTGCGGTGGTGGTCTTAAGATTACATCTAGAATTGAACTGCCAAACATTCTTTTTCTGAGTTGGCCCTTTCCTGAATGCGTTTTAGGGCTTGACACTGAGCGTTTGCACTGGTATTCATCCGAGTCAACGTGATAAACATGTGACATAGACACACATGTTTGTTGAACTTATTTTGCACTGTACGGAGTCAACCGTGCAGGGAAGGACAACAAACTAAACACAAAAAGCAGTTCTAAAGAAGTCAAATCTCGATGATTTAAAAGTGCACAGCTCCCAATGGCTTCCTCATATTGGAAGAGCGTTCCAGATGGCCACAGAAGCGCATCTGAAAGCGCGCGATGCGGTAACCGTCTTTGTTCGATGTACCTGACATAGATGTAACATGCGGTTTATTTTTCGTTACTTTAATTAAAAATAGCAATAATATCAATTACAATAAATGTTGAGCACTTTGTCAATCCGCTACCGTGTCAAGGCCGCCTTCCCAGGCCGCATCAGTCATGGCCGTTGTGTTTCCATACTTCACCACTGGTCAGCGTGGGTTAATGAAGGGAGGAGCCGCCCCGCTTCTGGCTCATCAATCATTCACCGCTGTTGTTAGCCGTGCACTGCAATGGAATTGTGGTCTCTCAGCATTTGTAGTGCAGTGGCCCCTTCCAACCGCACCCACCTCTCCACTCCCACTTGGATACGCAAAGTTATTATTGGCTTTTTTTAGTGCATGTTTCAGTGGGACTGTAGGGAAGACGGTCTGTGGTTTATAGTAGCCCTGCGTCACCCATTTGTGTACCATCTGTGCAGAGGCCTCATCCTCATCACGCAGGGCAGCATGCCGGTCCCATTACAGCCGTCTCGGTGATTTAATGCAGCTCTTAAACAATCTGCATACCAGACACAGGCTACATATTTAATTGAATGTGTTGTTACACAGATGCTCCTCCACTGCACGCTGCTAGAGCAGCCCTGTGGTATGGGACACGGATGCACGATTCCCACACAGCTGAACAGAGAGTTCTGATTTTTAAAATTCTTATAGTCAAATCACGATGTCTGTAATACCGTAGTAATGATATTGCTTTCGATGATGACAGTGATGATGGTGGCAATAATCATAGCGATGATGATGATGGTGGTGGTGGTGGTTGTGGTGAATTATATTAGTGATAATAATGATATCGCGTTCCCCCTCTGCCACTCCTTTAAACAAAAAAAGGTCACACTGCAGGGTTGTGCTGCAGTAGGTCATTCTGTGAGGACTGGAAAGCCACACATTTCCTAAACTAAACTAAAACTTATTTTTATTTTACAAGGTAAGGCCCACTGAGCTACATAGCTGTTATTCAGAGGCGACCTGGCCACCAATGATAGCCAAATAAAGTGACTCATCACGTGGAGATGTATAGCAGCCAAACACTCTAAACGCGTGTTAATTCTAAGCGTGGAGGGAAAAACCAGAGGACCCAGAGAAAAATCCACGCGACCACGGCGAGAACATGCAAACTCCAAATATACAGCAGGCGTCAGGGTCGGTATCAAACCCACGACCTCCTGTATACCAGGCGAGGTAGTTAACATGTCGCCACCGCGGCGGCGTGAGTCCATGTGTCTATGGGGCCACCTGCTACCACGTGGGATCATTGAGCAGTAAACCGTGAGGAGCCTCTGGAGCCCACTCCATGGTGTGAGGTCACCGCTGCCGCGTGGCTGCAATTTATCAGCAAACTAAGGGGCTTTGTGCAGAATGGGCCCTCCCCCCTATTGTTCATCTTGTGCCAGTGCCCCCGTGCTGTTTTGAGTGCATTTGTTTTAATGGCGATGATTACTGCAGCTGAGAGTGTGTGTGTGCCTGCAGGAAGCGGTAGTGTAGTGGTTAGCCACCTACGCAACGAACCTGGCGACTCGAGTTCGATTCCCGCTCATGGCCAACACCAATGACGATTATTTGAACCGGTCCTAGGCCTCCTCTACGTCGACTCGGCCTCAAATGAGTATTTGTGTAAAGATTGGCACTTGCCACAAGTCTGTTAAGGTTATACGGGGATATTTGTCTGTGTGCCTGTAAGGAACACATTCCACACTAATGTATGAAAGGGCATCCTTGTTTGACTGCAATATATGTATGGTAATAAAATTAACTGAAGATGAATAATTATAATAGTTAAATAAAGTTAATTTAATATACACAATTCATTTTAAATGAGCACTTTTTTTTACATTGGTTGCAAGTTTTTTACGTGCGATGTATTTAAAATGTGACATTCATCGTACAATGTATTGGTTGTACTCATTATAAGCAAAATTGACGTGTGTAATGAACACGTAAATATTACACAAATGAAGATAAAAAATCGTGTTGATTTAAAATATTTTATATCCAAAATATAAATCAGCAATCAGTAAACATGTGACCACCCGTGGCAAGCCACATGGGCTCACGTCTCAGTGGCATCTCCTGCCTGGCGCTCACACGGTCCTCGCTCTCCACTCAACTCCTGCCCTGGGCCACCCCCCAACATCCATCGCCACAGTCCTCGACAACCTGGCCCCATCGCTCTACCCCACCACCTCCTGACCGTGCATTCTCGGTCTCCGTCCTGTGTTTACATGTTCATCACCTGTGCTCCTCCGATTAGCACGGTTGGCTACATACGGTGCGAAAGAAGTTCAATATACCAACATACTTCTGACAAAAGATGTCAGTGGTGTTTCAATATGTACAAGATACAGATGGGCTGTTTACAGCACATAATCATATGCGCCCTACTCGGTCGTTCGCTTGAAATCTTCCTCCTGATAAGGTTATACTGTCGACGATCTTCAATAGCTGTTCACATTGGTAAAGCCTTTCATAATGTTCAAAACTTGTGACCACTTAATTGGCCACATTTTAAATGAGCACGAATCAACCGGTGCGCGCATACCCACACCATCGTCACTGCCGTCACCATCGTCGCCGTTGTTGTTGTTGTTGCACAGGACTACTTGGACCTCACGGCGCCGGCGGCGTCGGACGCGTCAATTTACGAGGACGGCGGCTCCGACGAGGGCACGGGCGAGGAGGAGACGCCGCTGGTGACGTGCGACGACTCGGAGGCGGTCGCGGCCATGCGAGGCCTGCCCGCCACGTGGATCGAGAACAAGCTCTATGGCAAGTGGCAGCCGACGCTCGTTCGCTTACTGAAAACGTGTACAGCGCAGATCCACTGCTGGATGAGGGCCCCCCCCTCCCCACACAGTGCAGATTGTGGCAGGTGTTTGACCAGCTTCTCGCCAGAGCCTTGAATTCTGTAAGAGTTCCGAATGGAGTCTTCCTTTTCTGAAATGATGTCGAAAGCACAATTGGGATACAATGGGAGAAAAAGTTTAACAAAAAGCGTTCGTATTAAAATAAAATGCTGGAATGTTTTTTAGCCACATTAGAGGCCCACACTATAATTGTATTTTGTAAGGGAAATGCTTGATTTTTGTATCGGAAATCACAGCGAATCCAATATCTCATAACTGTCACAAGGCATTGGGTTATCGATGGCTTCCCAAACTCACGATCGCTTCCCCCTCTTCAATGCGGATAATTGGATTCCATCTGTAATTTTAAAATGGTGGTTGATACAGTAATAAAAAAAACGGTCCATTCATATTAACCCACGAAGGTGGCTGCTGCTTGTTTTATGCTTTAACACTATTGAATGTACAACTCTTTTGTCAATTCACTGCTGGGTGATGGCTGCCCCGCGCCACGTGGGTCTCGGCGGTAGTCTTGGCAGAGGTCGTGTGCACCCACACTTTACTCCACCACATGCGGCCTGCAGATCCATTAACTGTGGCGTCAGTATTTATGCTGCAATTCTCAGTGAACAGAGGCGGGGGAGGAAAATCAAGAAACTTGCCCATTGTTTCAACTGCCGAGCCGGGAAATCGAATCGTTTCATGGTGCCGCGATGGCGAGACGTTAACTACCCACCTGGTATACAAGAGGCCGTAGATCCATCCCGACCTTGACATCTGTGTATTTGGATATTGCATGTTTACCCCCTTGTCGCGTGGATTTTTCTCCGGGTCCTCCGGTTTGTCTCTCCACATTTATAGTGGAAACACGTTTAGAGTATTTGTCTGCTATACATTTCCACGTGATAAGCCACTTAAATGGGCAATCATTTGTGGCCAGGTCACTTCTGAAAAAGAGCTACATAGCTCAGTGGGGCCTTACCTGGTCAAATAAAAAATTGTTTAGTTTTAGTGTAGTTTAGAATGGAACTGAAAACCTGCAGCATAACAACTCCAGTGGGCTTAACCATTGCACCACTGTGGCAGTATCCAATAAGTTGAGTAATGCCAAGACATGCGGTAAGGTGTTGTGATCGTGGTTATGACACAAATGATGATGACATCTCTTTTGTTTTCCCATCATAGGCATGAGTTGCCCAGATTGGTCGGAGGATCGTCCACCGCACGAGCCCGCGGCGCAAGACCACAAAGACGCCGGCAACGCGAAGTACACCAACGAAGAGCTGAGCGCAGTGCGCTACGCCAACTGGATGGTCACACAGACGGCAACCTAGCAGTGTGTGTGCGAGTGTGTTTGAGCGCATGCCAGCGCAACCTATCCAAAGCTGATGTCTGTTTTTGTCTTTATTCTCCCGGACTGTTAATAACGAGGGGAGCGCCAGGATTTATTTGTGTATAGGTTTGGGAGACTAAACTGGTGAGGGGGAAATGTTAAAATTGCTGTATCTAGAGGCCTTTAATTTATGTTTTGTAAATTCCTGTCATTGTCGTCGTTGTTTGCTGAATAAATTAAAAATGCACCCTTTCGCCACCAAAGTGGAATCGTGATGTACATATTTAAATATTACAATTGCCGTACTGTTAATCTGCTATGTATTTCACTCCGCGTATAGTCATACAACATAACGCATTTTGTATGTGTGCTGAACATTAGGCCTATGCTGAAGTGTTGTGTGCCATTAAACTCCCAGTTGGTTATTATCCTGCTTTTAAACTGATAACACATCCAATAGGCATCATGCCATTACATACTGTAGCTTGGTAACAAATTCTAATGGTATTTAAATACACTAGACGGCCTGCATGATATGCATACTGGGTAGGCATCGGACATTGATATTTGCCATAATATTCCAATGTATTTGTGGCAAATCATTAAATCATAACTTGAAAACTCCCTTAAAGCATTCTCATTGGTGTTTTTTTTATTATTATTAATAAGCACACATGCATATGGTGGGGATGAACCCAGAAACGTGAGTCTTGAGTTTGGGCCACGGCTATAATCAGCACCGAGTGACATCTCACCTGATGTGGGCTACGCCTTCAACAACCTACACTGCACTGACCAACGTGGTGAAGTATGGTCAGACAACCGACACGGCGTGAGGTGGCCTTCATCCAGCAGTGGATTGATAAAGGGATGAAAGTTATTTATTTACTAGGCATAGACCCCAGTTAATTTTTGGTTAGATTAGTAAAACAAATCGCAATAAAAATTTATGAAAAAACTCTGAAAATGCTTTTTATCCCAATAAAGATTCTGATTCTGAAAGAGGCCAATATATATGAAGATGACAAATATGGTAATTGATCCCCAGAAAAGCTAAGTTAATATTTATAACACAAACATAAAAGATTAAATAAGCCGATGTAAAATTAATTATTGAGATGGAATAAGCTGGCTCGCAATGGTAGGCCCTGATCAGAACTGTGGATATTTTTTTTCTGTTTACAGAAGTACTTCTCACATGATGACGTCCTGATTTTGCCCATCGAGAATGATGCGACGCTGCATGCATTTGTTTACAAAAAATACCAGACGTTTTAAATTAACCGTAGAGTTTGATTTGCTTCCCGTTTTCAGTAGCCATTTTTTTAACTAATAGCAGCTGCCCTTAACGTGCAGATTTATGCATTTAACTCGCATAGGACGGATTCTCCTTTGATATACCCAATATATAAGCGGAACCGTTGGGTGACAGAGTTTGCCGGTTGGCCGGAGCAGTGTAACCAAATCCATGAATTAGATTAGCCTAATTCCATTAATGTTGTTTGCATGAAATACAGGAAATGTTTGGAGCTCCAGAGATCACGGTGACCACAGCTGGACAGAGATGTGAAGGGAACAGACCACAAATTTAATTTGTACTTCAGACAGATCCCCCACCGGGCAGATAACCAGTCTGCAGGATGTGCATATCAACCTCCAGCCCTTCCGGATCGTTTATCCTGCTCACAACCTCAATGCAGCTGTCAGAAATCAAAGAATGGCATAGCTGCAGTTTTGTATTTAAATGCAGCATCTACAGTCAGGAGAATATCTACCGGCATGGCAAGCATTCAAACTGCTTGCTGCTCTAAGCACTGCACACATCACTGTTATGAGTTGTGCTAACCCTAACTCAATAATGATAAGTTTTACATTCTTGGCTGTAACTGTATACATTTTTTTCCACAGAAAAAACAATCAGTTTCTCCTTACTGAAATATTTTTGGGGGCAGATTTCATTTAATTCGGGGATGCGGTGAGGCAGGGTATGGAATACTGCGAAGTAGACGTGGAGATGGCACAGGGACAGGAATGCATGGGGAAAAGAGGGCCCGAATGGAAGGCCCCACAAAGTGTTTACGATTACTACCCTATTCTATTTTATTATTTTACCAGGTAAAGCCCACTGAGTTATGTAACTCGTTTTCAGAAGAGACCTGGAACACAAATAATAGCTCAACGAAGTGGTCTATCATGTGTAAATTGATGTTGATTCTAAATGTGGAGACAATTTTCGAAGAACCCGGAGAAAAATCCACAAGACCACGGCGAAAACATGCAAACTCCCAATATACAGGCGTTGGGATCGAATCCACGACCTCCTGTATACCAGGCGAGGTAGTTAACATCTCGCCACTGTGTCCCCAACTCGAGAACAACGTTTCTAGCCCTAAGCCAGTGAGCAGCATAAGTTAAGCCCACGTCCCCTAGGCAAGGGTCAATTTTACATCCAGCAACCAATGTTGACTTCCTATCGAGTGGGACTGAATCGACCCAAAAAGGGTCGATGAGCTGAGTCAAAGCCCTGACCGGGATTTGAACAGTGGTTCGTAGTGGTTAACCTTAGAATTCGCACTAACCACAACGCTGCCCGAATACAAATTAAACACCACACTGTCGTTAATAGCAGCTTCTACATTTGTGTTTCGTGCTGTCAACTCCCATTCCATGTTCAAGTCCAGGCTCGCTACCTTACTCGTAATTCTTCCTCTGCCTATGGCTGACTGCATCTCTACTATGAAATAAATACACCCACTGCTTCTTTGCAGCGTCTTGCAATGAGGTCACATTTATATGCTGTATATAAGACGCTGCGTGTATGTTCATACGGAGAGAAAAGTGGGCTTGTTCGTAAAGCAGTCGCCAGCATGCTACGCACGGTGCAAAAGAAGTTCAACATGCATACCCACATTCAACGTATGTACATACTATTATGGGTGGTATTGGTTGCGAAAGCCTACGTCTTAAGCTGAGTAACCTCATTGGGGAGAATACTCTTCTTCAAAGCAGAAAATTTGGAGAAACTAGGATTTCTCCACAACTCTGGCTGTCGCCTGATGAAGCTGGTTGTAATTACTGGCGATGCGTCGTATTCGAATTGTAAATGTTGTGGGCTTGCTCTCCAACACACCGGTGTGCTGTACTGGTAACGAATTGGCATGTTTTGTTAACATGACAAACCTTACTAATCGCCTGTGCCGGGTGGTGATGGGTTTAACGACGCGTTTATATTTACACGATATAACCCAAAAACCTCTTGTGTACAAACTCCGCAGCGGTGTTTCTCAAACTTGTTTGGCCCACGGACTGCTCAGCCGATGCAAACATTTCCGCGGACCACTCAACCCCTTCTATCCCCGGTGACAAAATCATTCCCTTCTCTCTCTAAATACCAGCCACAACTAAATGATTCACATTACCGGAACATATTTTTTTTTTTGTGAACGCAGCAATCAGATGGGTTTTTTTAGGAAGGAGCATTTAGATCTTAGGGTTACGGTAGTTTAATCGGAGTAGTTTACCCATCTTCATTTATAAATTCAATATCCCAAGTCAAAATATTAACGCCCAAAACAAAAGGTATAAAAATCGCGCCAGCGGTGTTCTTGGGACCACACTTTGAGAGCCCTCCGGCAATGCAGCCCAGCTTGTTTGTGCGGGACACTTGCTGAGAAGGGGTCGATGGTTCGTGGTCAATCGTCAACGCGTTACGGGAAACGTCACCTCGGCAGAGGCGGAGCGGTGAAATCGCAGGATCGAGGGGGAGTCATTCATCCAGCAAGGGGATTGACCGATTGACACCGCGAACGATGATGCCCCCTGACAGTTTCCAGTCGCATGGAGCTTCACTGCCACCCAGTGGGAGTCATGGGGAAGTTAAATTGACATCGAATTTCGCGTGATATTTAACATCGCTGTGGAACGGCGGCGCAATGATTAACTCTGAACCGTCGTCACCTGAGTTCGATTCCCAGCCACGGTTGACATTAGTGTCAAGCGATATCCGAACCTGTCCTGGGTCCCCATCCTTACAGCCCCTACCAACCCCGCACTGACCAGTGTGGTGAAGTATGGCTAAACGATCGCGATGACCGAGACGGAGTGGATGAGGCGTGCGTCCAAGAGGCTGCAGAGCAAACGGGGCAGCATGGATGGGGCATGTCGAGGCGCGGCTACATCTGCATTGTGACCTCCAACTTGGAATTATCTCGAGCAGCTTCAATCACCGCGTCTTATCCGCGCACCTCCGATCAGCGCGGTTGGCTACGTATGGTGCGAAAGAAGTTCAACACAAATTATGTAAAATTTTGATTTAAAGCTTTCGTGACTGCAGGGATTCATATTCTTGGTTCTTTCGGTAAAGTCACGTAAAAGGGAAATAATAAAAATATAAAACAATAAAATTCACGTTTCGACTACAACACCATCAATCATCATCAGGTGTGATTTCACGTGACTTTTACCGAAAGAACCAAGAATATACATAATGTGCGTACATTCTGAACGGAGGTCCAATGATCAGTTTCTTACCAACGTGTTTTGTGTACCTTTAAATTAAATGTGTTTTATATAAAAACCCATTGGGACGAACACAAAAAAATAACCTCTGAAAATCAGACACCACGTGCAAGCGGAGAGGGCCCTTGCTCTATAACGTCTGTCAGCTCATCATCAGCATTGCTTTGGTTCGAGCCAAGCCTCACGCTGCTGATGAAACACTAAACGTCGAAGCCGTTCCCGTGTTTTTCTCGTATTGAAACGACACCCCCAGAACGACACGTGGCCCACTGGGTGTTTGGACGACAAATCCCGATTGCTTTGTGTGTGTGCAGGGGCAGGCGTGTGAAGAGAGTGAATTGTCCTATCATAGATACATATATTATGGCTGGTTTAACGACACATTTATATTTACGTGACATAACCTCCAAAAAACCTCTTATGGATATTATAATTAATTTAATTAACAAATTACATCTGCTGACGTACATATATAACACAATTCTGGATTTGAAGTTTTCGTGACTGCAAGGATCCATACTTTGGTTCTTTCGGTAAAGTCACGTAGGTGAAAAAAATAACATTTATTTATATTTTTTATGTATTATTTTTCACCTACGTGACTTTACCGAAAGAACCAAAGAGTATATAACACAACTCAACACTTTCCATGCGTGTCAATGTCATACGTTAACATGACATATAGCACTGCACATGTGCGTATTGTTTTAAACGTTAAATACATGGCACGTGTCATCTTGAATGTTTGTGTCACAGCTTTTGTCTTCGTCGCAAATCCATTGCCAGCAGCACGCACACCCGGAAGTGACACCAGGAAGTGGGCGGGGCGTCGCGGTGGGCGGGGCGTCGTGGTGGGCGGGGCGTCGCGGTGGGCGGGGCGTCGTGGTGGGCGGGGCGTCGCGGTGGGCGGGGCGTCGCGGTGGGCGGGGCGTCGCTGTGGGCGGGGCGTCGGGGTGGGCGGGGCGTCGCGGTGGGCGGGGCGAAGGGGTCAACAACTTCCGGGTCTCGCTTCTCGGTGTCGCTCACCACGTGCGCTGCTGCTGCTGCTCATCGCCATGGTGCGGAGCGCCGTCTCTCTCCTCCACCTGGGTCCTCCCTCACCCTTCACGTGTCCTCCTTCGCCCCCCCCACACCTTCCACGCTCTCTCCTCTTTGCGCGCTCTCTCTCTTCTCCACGAGGACGCGTCCGCCACTTGCAAACTCCTCCGACTCTCCCTCCTCCTCCACGCACCCACTCTGCGTGCTCTCCTCTCCTCCCTCCACGTGGATACTAATCGCCTCCCCGTGCCCTCCGCTGCTCGTCCCTCACGGCTCACTCTTTCCTTCCCACGGTTTTTAAAAACATTTTTAGACTTTAAACTTTCGTGACTGCAGGAATTCATATTCTTGGTTCTTCACCTGAAGAAGACCGCTTGTGTGAAACGTCGTGGGTTTTTTGCTTTAAATTTAGAATTTAATTTTCTATCTACGTGACTTTACCAAAAGATCCAAGAATGTTATTTTAACACTTAGGCTTTCGCGACCATTATTATTCGTAAAATATAAAAAAAAAAATTGGGGGGTAGGGGGGTTAGATCGCGTAAATATAAATGAGTTCGATAACCCACCACACAGCGGGTCGAGCGATGGGGAGGGTTGGAGACACGGAAGAGTTGTGGCCGCTACCATCGCAGCGAGAAGGGCCCAGCGATGTTGTTGTTGTTAGTCAGGCAGTGCACTTTGCTGTGCAGCATGATGATGATGAAACGAGCAGGAGTTTAATTGATTGTAAATTGTAACCGATTCACGCGCTCACAGCGTTTAAGAGACTGTTTGGGGCAAGTGCTGTTAGCGAGCACCTAAAGACCAGGACGGCACACGCCGGGAAGCCTTTGTCTCCCCAGTGCTGATGCTTTACACACTGCACCGGGCATTTATTTAAGGCCGAGTCGACCTAGGGGAGACCCATGACTGCTTCAAATATTCGTCACTGATGTTGGCCGTGAACGGGAATCGAACTCTGCTCTTTGAATGAGAAGCACTGCGCTAGCCACTGCACCCACCGCTCCCCACGGTGAGATGCACTTGTGTACAGATGCGTTCGTGACAAGTGGCACGTGCAGCTTCCAGCTGCGTGCCGTGTTGCTGCATGTCGTGATCGCATCACGCCGTGTCTCACTGGTCCTGATGTAGTTTATCAGTGTCATTGTTTTAGTGTTACAGCACTCTGTTCGGGGTCACTGTTAGCATCACTTTGTGAGTAAATATGAGTGTGTCAAAGCACTGTTGTACTGTGTGAGCCCTGACCAACTTGGCCAACCAGCCACGAATACCAGCCCTCCCACTGACCCCAATTATCTTGTGGTACATGAAGGATCTGATCTGACGCCTCCAGGATTTCAATTTCAACCAGTCACAATATCTCAGATCAAAAATAATCGATGCTTGCACACCTGAGTAGAATAGTTCATCTGTAAGAGATATACGTGTTAGTAAATTAATTGTCACCATGCAGGTTGTCAGCAGAGGGCGGCTCAGAAAAACATCCATTGGACTGCCCTTCCCTACACCCTGCCTTCACCTAACCAGCGTGGTGAAGTACGGTCAGATGAGCCCCTGTGAAAGCACACCGCGTGGGGAGGCCCTCGTCCAAAGGGCTACTAGACACGTACACCATGCGGACTGGCTTAGTCCGCTGCGAGAAGGGGCCAATGCGGAAGCTAATGCGGACACGTGCGTTCTGGAGAGAGTCGTTGCAAGCGCAGCAGCTCGTGTCCCGCCTGTGTGTGTGTGCCTGCAGCCCAAAGCTCAGAAGGCGAAGCCTGTGGCCAAGGCGGTGCACCCCTACAGCCGCAAGGCAGCGCAGTTGGCTCGCGAAGCCCACAAACAGGACAAGAAGGAAAAGTACGGACGTTGCTCGTTCAAGACACCGCGACGCGTGCCACACTTTGCAAACATTTCACGTTACAACTTCTGCCGGGGAGGAGTCATCGTAGGGGGGGCTATATCATCGTCGGCTGTAATCAGGCCACTGCTAGATAAAGCCCCCCCCCCCATCACGTCCATTGCATGCGGTCTTGTAAAGCAACAGTCCATCGAGCAGCCATGAGCTATCCACTGCTGGTTGATTTCCGCTCTCAAACCATCGCCATGTCCCCTGCCTTGCAATGCAACAATTTACGTAGCACTTGCACACGAGCTGAAGGGTTCAGTTCGTACTCAACCAAGGTGTTTTACTCAAATGTATGGTGGTGATGACTAGAATACTGTGCAATTAATGGGTAAAAAAATTTCCAGCTAACGTTTCAGAAAGCTGAAACTAGTGTTCCTTAGTTTCTCAAACACCATAGCGGTACAGCAGTGTTACTTAACCCAAAATCCCGAGTTTTATTCCCAGTCTCGGCGTACATCATTCCTGAGTGATAATTATTGAACTGCTTCAGAGGCTTTGTGCATCACCAACACCGCACTGACCAGTGTGGCGAAGTATGGCCAAACAACCCCATACAACCAGCACATCATGGGGAAGGCCTTCATCGAGCAGGGAATAGGCAGTGTTGTAAACTTCTTCTTGGTTCTTTCGGTAAAGTCACGTATAAGGGAAGTAATAAAATAATACAAATAAAACATAAAATAAAATAATTCTCACGACGTTTCGGCTACAACGCAAGCAGCCGTCTTCAGGTGAAGAACGAGACACTGCCAAGCTAGGAGCTTATATATAAGCTGAGTTGGAGGTGGAAGAAGAAGAGAGCCTTAACAAAAGAATGGGCATATCAAGAGGAATTTAGCATATTCATGGGAAATGCGTAGGAGGTGGGCAGGGGGTTTCAAAGTCATATTATGCCCATGCATTATGCAGGATCAGCAGCACCAAGGGAGGGTGCAGAGAGTAGCATTAACAAAGGAAAGGAATGTTAATAGTATGTAGCTGCAGTTACTAAACAACCACGTAGAAAACTAAAGTATAAACTACATAAAAAACTAAAGTATAAACTGCATAGCACCATCAGTATATTTACTATACTCTAAACTGTTTGCATTTATACTGACTTGTATGTTAAGAGTGTTGCTTTTTGTTTGTTTCAGATTAAAAACTGTCAAGGCTGTAAAGCTGAACCTCATTGGTGAGTAAGAAAATCGTCTTGGCTTCAGAATCACACGGAGCAATTCGTGACAAAGTCCCTTGAGTATTTGGAACACAAGTGCGGTGCTTGTCTGAACATGCATGGCTTCCTGTGTTCTGGATAAAAAACGATGTGTTTGCCAATACACTGCTGTTTGTACACACTCAGCAAGCCATCAGTTTGGGTCTGCTGTCAAACGACACTTCGCTCATTGTATGACTATCATCGGTCCATTTGCAGACAGCTGACTGGAGAAAACCTGATTATATATTCACCAGTAAAATGTCATGATTCACCCTGATAATGTTTTCTGATTCATCTATGCCTGCTCAATCAATTATTCCTCGGTGGGAAAAAAAGCTATATTCAATGGAGCAGTGGCCCAGACTAGGTTTAGATATAGAATGAGGTGAATTTAATATGGGTAGGAGTAAAATCCAGGTCGCTTCTAAAAGTCAACGACCGGCTCCCACTCCACACATTTGTCAGCCCACTGCTGGGCGCGGGCGTCCCCCACGCAGTGTGCGGGGGTCGTGTGGATTGTTTTACCATGCCTCACGCTGGTCAGTGCAGATTAGCGAGGCCAGACCCTCCACGAACGCGTTTAACCCTCCACGAACTCGTTTGAAATCCCGGAAACCAATCTGGGATCGTGCGAAACAAATTGGATGAAGTGGGGTCAAATGAAGACCGCTGGCGAACACTCTGGAGTTCTGTGGACATTTCAAATGAAAGCCTCATCGACGACCCCACGATTACTATGCACGGCATTGATCTGCGAAGAAAACTACGGTGCTCCATCGACCGTTTCAGAACAGCAACAGGTCGCTGCGCCCACCTCCACAAGTGGATAATTAAAGACAACCCACAGCGTGGCTGCGACAACCTGAACCAGACGATGGACCACATTGCAAACAACTGCATCCTACGCCGCTCTCCGATGGACTGAGCAGTATTAGTCGCGCTGCTCCTGAAGCTATCGCATGGCTCACTGACTTCAACTTGGACGTGTGGTTTGCACACACTTGCCCTACGCTAGAGAGAGAGTGAAGCCAGAGAGTATCGAAGTGGTAGAATAGAGCTGCAGCACAACTTGGGGTTTTGTCGCACAGTCCTCTGCCACTGACTGTGTAGTCCCACAGCCTATAACAACCTGTTATGCACGGTGGTCACCCATCCCCAGTACTATACAGACTCGGTCCCGCTGTAATTCCAAGATCTGATGAGATTGGACACATTCTGGGCAATTACCTTTACGTATATAGAGCTCTTTATGCAATTGCTAATTCTTTGCTTGGCTTTTTTTTTCCTTATCCCCAGGACAGAAGTTAGACTGGTTTAAAAAAAACCTCGATGGCGACAAGACGCAGTACACAAAACAGGAAATGTGTGCTGTCATTGAAAGGTCAGTGGCACTCCACAAGCGCTCGACATTGTCGATCAGTTCAAGGACAAGCAGCCAACGCGCTTCAAGCAACATGAATAACCATTCCCTGTAATAAGGCGAAAGAATCAAACTTCATGTTGGGATAATTTTTTATTGTAATGCATCCATATGGTGGTAACATTGACCAGGCTGCAAAATCCTGTTGGCTTGTTCATACGATAAGAGATGTGTAAGCAGAATGCGCCCACAATATTGGTGTGTTGCATATAATTAATCATCATCCTGAATTGAAGTCGCCTATTTGGCCTGCTGCTCACGAATGATGCACATCTCCTTATGTATACAGTCCTGTTCATATAGCTGACGTTGATGGAGAGCAACAGCTATAATTTTGCAAATAATTGCATCATGAGTAGCAGAGTGTATGGCTATGATGCCTCCATTGTATTTGTGAATGGGCCATTGAGTCATATGTTCCATGGTTCGTTTTGGATGACCACAGTCGCACACTGGAGAGTTTTTATTTTCCATTTGTGCATCGAGTATCAGCATCTGCCTTTGATTTGTGAGAATACGGTCTTTGGCTGTGGCTCGTAAGCTTCACAGCCGATTGAAGCCAGGCATCTTCTGCGTCGGGTCTGTCACGAGCTGTTTGTGACTACATGTGAACTCTTATTTGGCTTTTCAATGCATTATCACAGTTGGAGTTGCATTGTTGAAGGTTAAGTGCCTAGATCCACAAGGGCTTGTGCCACTTAAAGTGAAGGTGAGGGACGTTATTGAGATCCTGGTGAATATAGATATGTTATTTACAGTAACTCTACTGCACACGTAAAGTTATTGTGTGGTTTTCATCAGATTTGTTAAAAATGTAGCTGCTCTCCAACACAGCGGTGTGCTGTACTAGTAACGTTTGGCATGTTCTGTTTACGTGACAAAACCTTGCTCATTGGCTGTGTCGGGTGGTGGCGAGTTTAACCACACATTTATATTTACGTGATCTAACCCAAACAAATCTGTATTACGAACGATGTTTTTTTGCAGATACCTCGACCGTTTTGCCGCGGAGCTGGAGCAGATCGACCTGGTGAACAGCGTGACGGGGCGGCAGGGCCGACAGCACGGCCCGCGGGAGGCCGCCATCCGCCAGACGCTGCAGCGCGAGCGCGAGCTTTACGACGGCACCGGCCTCGGCACGTCCCCCCACCCCCCCCTCCCCCGTGCACCTTGAGCAGCCGTCGAGACGGGAAAACTGCCTTGCACCGAAGTCAGAACTTCAAGGCACCTCGGAGACATTGATAATTATAGCGAGGACTGGTGAACGATCACTTTGGCTTGACACTGATTGGTTCCAAACTGAATGTTGTTTTTAACTTAGGCGGAATCAATGTGGGTGACTAGACTGAATGACAGTCAGAATATACTTTCTATTTACTCTTATAAGTTGACAATTGAGGACATTGGGAGCACAATATCGGTTTGTAACACTTTCCCACACAATCGCCGTACATGACAAATTCAATCATATCACGCAAACTGGGAGAATTATAATTCTTTAAAAAGATGCAGCCACCAATAGTCACTGAAAACTTATCTGAAAGACATTCGAGTGTGTAACTTTAAAACTTTTCCATTGACAGTGATCGCAATGACAATTTATTTTTGGAATCTCTCCTTACAGAAGTTCCTGATGTGATCAATGGAAAGAATCTGAGAGTGTTCAGGTATGCCGCGTTCAAGTGCCCCATCGTGATATGCTGGCCAGTAGCTCAACACGAAGTTCAACATTAGTTAGTGCCGGGGCATCGTGGTCATTTACCCCCTGGTGTCAACACACTCATGGCTATTCATGACGTCTGGTTTGAGTCACACATTATTTCGTCTTTATAGGTCGTTAATGCAAACAATTGGTGATTGCTGCTGTGTCGGCAGTGGTGCAAAAAATACAATTGAACAAAAAAAAGCACGTATCAACATTGCCTAAAAAAGAAATATAATCGATGATGTTTCAGGAAATGGTCTGTCTTAATAGCGCATGCGCTACGAAGAAGGGCCATTTCCCAGAGCATCGACCATTATTTACCTTTCCGTTCAGGCAGTGTTATTGTTGAATCTGTCAAATTTTTTTTATAAGCTAAAGGTTGTATTTGTGGAAAGCGGCCACGTGGATCCGGCCGTAGAGAGAGTGGCTCGCAATCGGAAGGTTGTGAGTGAAACTCCTGATTTGGAAGGGTTGACTTGGCCCATCATACAATTTGGGGTGGATGCAGTGAGTACCACTTTGTGGGAGAAAGTGAACAGTTGCATGGATAGACTCACCCCCTGCCATAGGAATGTATAGTTACCACCGCTGTGAGGACTGAACAGGATATGAGCACTACCTCACTGCTCACTTGAGTAAGGATATCGTGTGACTTGTTGTAGATTGGTGGTTAATCGCCAACAAGAATACATACAAGAGTTATAAGGGTTAGGATATAATATCTAAAACATGCACATCACTGCTATTACTTAACATCGAGCGAGTATGCTGTAAGTGCAGAATATTTGACAATTGTTGTGTTCTGTACCAACCCTGCAGGGAGTGGGATGGGGACCTCAAGGGTCTGCCAAACCTCAAGATGAGAAAGGTCTCGTCCAAAGATGCCACAGCAACAGAGAAACAGGAACAGGCGGCGGAAAATTCCGACAAGGATGACGCGGATGAAATGGAGGGAAACGCTTCTCCATGACGCCACGTCACAAATAAATCACGCCACCTACCCATGCGCAGGCTTTGTGTGTAAGTCTGCGTTAATGCTCTGAAATAAGCGACTGTATCATAGCGTTTCAAAATAAAATATATTCCCACCATGAATGGTATTAAATAATGTGGGTTTATGTTAACGCGTGGTATGTCTAATCATTTGACAACTTAAGTTAGTTGCAGCGCTGCCCACAACCATGTTGCCCCCGCAGCCAATGACAAACCTTGCACAGCGATCGCCTTTCCAAAGCGCTATCCAGGCTCAAAGCTGCTTGGCTTTTCAGATCTGATGAGACCGAGGAGCATTCTGGATGACTTGCGCAATCGTCTCCCAACTAACCAGTAGAGTTCTCTCAGATAACTACGTAGCAGATGCCCTTTCACCATGATCAGTTCAGGTTTGTGGTATGGGGGGGTGGGGGTCCCCAATATATACATTTCGCACAAATAAGTGTTCTCAATTAAAAAAAGGGAAACTTTTAAAGTGTACAGGGCTATTGAAATGCTCATAAAAATGTTTAAATGAGATGAGTATACATTATGTTTAAAGGTTCTAAAACTCGGAATTGGTTATAAATATCTACATTGTGTTGTACAGGATAGTACATATTTTGGTTGCTAGGTATGTAACATTTCCCTAAGTTATGCTCCCTATCCCAACCTTATTCCATTGTTTCTTATGGGAGGCATTGGCCCGCTTTGCGTCGCATCGGCAATGTTTATGCTCTTGCAGTCGCTATCCCCCCCCCATTTCCCGTTATTCTCATGGGGGAAAGTTCCTGTTGAACATCGTTTCGTTATAAGTAGCAACTTTCCAGTCCATAATGCCGACGTATATCGGAGGACCCCCGTATCAAAATGCAGGTTCTTACAACCATCTTTCTTCAGCAAACTTTTGACACAAACTGCAAGTGAACGTGTAATTCAACGTGAAATGCGCCGCACAGTGTCGATAGCTGTCAAAGAGCGAGGACGAACTGGGAGGCACGAGGAACCGAAGACGAGCAGGTCGGCGGCCACGCATTGAGCCAGACACCAGCAATTGTCCAAACTCTGCTCCCAATTAATAAAACCGTAGTTCCTGGAGGAAACTCAACTGTGGGAGGTGGAAACATCGGTTGGAACAGATGGAGTTCACATTTTTGCTGCACCGCCTTCTGACAAGCCAGGGTACGCCTCCTCAACACCCATGGGGAGGAAAGTTTCACAACGTTTGTGCGATACACGAAACCCTCGCCTTCCGCGGCGCCGAGTTACAAGCGTGCGCCACCGCCGCCCGCCTATCGCATTGGTTTGTCTGAATCCTTGACATCGCACACAAAACCCCTCGTGGACCTCTTCACATTCTCTAAAACACAAAACATTAACTGTCAAAGGGAAACTGCCGTAGCCATGGAGTCAACATTGGGACGGACCAAATCTTCCTGGGGGTCCCAACCCAGAAAAATATCTAAATTTTAAAACTCATTTCCTGCGTAAAATATTTAAATATTCACTAACACATTGGATGGACTCTATTTATTTTTTACAATAATGTCAAATAGTATATTGTATTACATTGCTCTGTTTTTATTTATTTTTCCATTTCTTGTTTCATTGTATGTAATGGCAGAGATGAGGGATTAATAAAATACAACCATAACCACAATAATATAAGCAGAAATCTATGCATTGATTTATATGAAAAGTCCAGATATTGTGGCCAAGATTTAGCAAATTGTTGTTTTTATTTACATAGCATAGCAATGATTTTTTTTTATAGTAATAGAATATTGGGGGGGGGGGGGGGTGTCCCAATATGTATAATTGCGGCCTTGATTTTGTAGAACTTCCAGAATTCCAGGTAAACTCGGTCAGTCTGACTACGCGCATAAAATTCTGGGTGTGTGGTAGCGCTTTCTAAAAGCAATCGTGAACCGTTCGGGAAAGCTGACAGGGACAGCGCTGAGACTTTCATTCGGGTGTATTCTCCGCATTGCATTTCCCTTTGTCCACGCAGCGGTTCGCGTTGGTTTCCACGGAGAGGGCATCGGCCTCCGTTTCTTTGCCGTTGGGTGCGTTCTGTTGGAGGCTGCGGGCGGGTGACGACGTGGACAGACTTCTCCTTGACAGCAGCTCTTCGGCCAGAGCCTCGGGGCAGCTGCTCACGTGGATGATGCGATTGTAAGCCTCGAGGCGTCGCCACATGCGCACGTAGACCTTGCACTGCACGTACATGAAGACCGTTCCGCCCGTGAACCCGATGGCAACCACGGCGAGCTTGGTCCAGAATGGCCACTCCAGCACACCTGCAAACAACAAAAGAAAGCTGCAGCAAAAGTCACGCCGTTGCAAGCATTGTGTAATGCGTCAAAAAAACGCGTTTGACCACGGAGGTATTTAATAAGCGATGTTATATTGAGAGCTGCAGAACGAGGTGACGAGGGCAAGGGCACGTCAGGTGATTTTGGGCATTGGTTCACTGGTTCCACCTGCAATAGGAACCAGTTCAATATATACCATGTTTCTGTAAGTTGTCAATGAGCTGTTGGAGAAGGGATACAAAAATAGATTATTTGCTGTTACATTGGGATTCCGAAGAATATTACCAATCATCTAAATAGTGTATGTATGTTGAACTTTCGCACATTACGGAGCCAACTACGTTGTTAATATTTCAACATGTACAGCTCAGTGGCAGTTTTTAAAGTGCATAACTGATTACTGCGTTTTTTTAATCGTTTCCATATGTTTTGTCCCAATTGTACGATCAGTGTTTGAAATTCGCAGAGCAGTCCACCCCCATGTTAATGATTGGTCTGTGGAAGGAGATATCACAGAACTGCCTCTGAAATCCGATCAAGTGAGATCTGGTCCACGGTAGGGGGTTTCACTTGCCCACCCGCTCTGCCACAGATCAAATTGATCATTGTGGGACAAACTGATATTTTTATTTATCGCAGATGGAATTTTTGCCAAATTCAGTGCAGAACCAAATTTAATGTCATAGGGGGTTTTATTGTGCAGTCATTGGTGTGACCAGGCTGACACCATTAAACTCGCAGCTCTGATTAACACGCTTGGTGGCGAAATAAGTTCAACATACAACTCATTACATTGGAGAACCCGGTTTAATCACAGGCAAAATTGATTCGAAACCAGGATCTCGGTCGTGCCAGCTCAGCGCTTTTTGACCACTGAGCCACCTGGCCACTTCAACTGAGCCCCGTTTTGGTGAGAGCAGGTGTTGGGGTGGAAAGATGTTTGTAGATGGTGCTGCACGCACCACTGTGCTGAGCCTGGCGAATCTCCTCTGCCGTTCGGGAGACGAGAATGTAGAGCGACCACACCACGCACACGATGGCAACGACGTGGACCACGACCGAAAACGTGAGCTTTCTCCTGTCCCGCGCTGTCATCTGCAGCTTCTCCCACTGTTCAAGAAAAAAACACCACGTCCAGCACGTCAAATCGACATTCGTAACAGATGTACGTGTTATGGTAACAATTATTGTCGCCAGCGTAGGTCATGATCGATACACTCAAGCGGAGGGTCGAGCATGGGTTCCAGGTTTTGTGGGTTTGAGCATTGGGTCGAGCATGGAATCGTAACAATTATTATTTATTTGGATTCCTGTTCCATACCACCTTATTTGGGCATGACCTACCTACTTATATTTTTATTTGGCCCACTTCAGCAGTTTTTTCTTGCTGTGGTTGTCCCACCTGATGACGATCACTTGTGTTAAGATCGAAACGTCGTGATCGATTATTTTTCTACCTACGTGACTTTACCGAAAGAACCAAAGAGTATGGATACCTACTTTTTAATTTAAGGCCTCCATATTTCACGGACTTAATTCTATCGCTTGAGCGCTGTGCCATCGTGTGCGTTGGGGTTGCAATGCCCGGTGCTGGTTACTTTGCACAGGGGTTTCAGCGTGCTCTCCATGACAAAGCTGTAGTTGCATAGCTCGCAACAGCTCGCGCCCGAGCTCTTGATCCACTGTTGCAGGCACGCCTGGTGGACAAACTGCAGGGAGCCCGTGCACTGGCACGGCACGATGAGAGGGCTTTCCTCATCTCCCTCACAGTGGCAGATTCTGAAAGAGCAAAAAAAAACAGTAGTTCCTTTAGGCCAGAGCATAAATTGGTACCACAAAATGTGGAATCACTTCAGCCGCGCCAATGTGTATATATGACCAGTAAGAATGAATTATTTGATAACTCACCAACTTCAAATTGTTATCACACAATTCGCTGATGTTGGCCACAAATAAAATAGAACGAATGAAGACATTTCACCTCCTCAGGTGGTGCAGACAAGTGTAATATCTGGTCTGTGGCGATGGAGTCGATTGCCCCCCCACCTCCCCAACTTGAGACCCCAAAATGTAGTACTGATATTTTGCAAATAATATAAACATGCTCTACAATTTCCCTTCTATGGCATGTATATCAACGTCTTTTTAGGAGACGGGGAACTGTAAATGCTTCTTTCAAAGAAAATCGTTCGCCAAGATTAACAAAGAAAAAAAGCGATCAAATAAAGAGATGCATGAGAGAACTTTCGGAAAGCTGAACTTGATGATAAAAGGAAACATTTCAATGTGCCTAAAGAGTAAACGTTTTAATCTGAAGTTGTGTGTGGATGGCAAAACAAATGGACATGAATGAAGAAAATGGAACTTGGTTGAAAAGACACAGCGAGGCATGTAGATCAGAGAACAAGCGCAGGTTACGACGTGTTAAAGTGACTTATGACAAGTGCCAAGTATGTTGACTGCGTGCCGCTTGCACAAGATTGGAATAATTATGAAAATCGTCAAAATGATGTCCTTAACCTGTGTTAAGTCTCTAACATGTACGTTAAAAAAATGAGATAATATTGTATGCATCCATAATTATTAATACCGATAAAGCACATAGACATTCTCCAGACTAATCCACATCAATATTCAAGTCAAATATCACATGCGCTTTAACAACTTGGTGATTGTATACGTGTGGTGGCAAGGTGCTTAGGTAGGTTGTAGATTCAACTGACTCCTTGCATCTCTGCAAATGCTTCAATGTTTTTCAACATCTTTTTGGTTCTTTCGGTAAAGTCACGTAGAAGGGAAGTAATAAAATAATAAAAATAAAACATAATAAAATAATTCTCACGACGTTTCGGCCACAACGCAAGCAGCCGTCCTCAGGTGAAAACCAGGTCTGTCGAGGCGACAGCGTCTGCTTTTCAACAATTTTAGAGACAAACATTACCCACAACTCTCACCTCATTGAACCGTGCAACCTATCAGTCAAACGCACCCGTTGATGTGGCTGTACACTCCATGGCCGTTGGCTTTTTAAATCCTTTATATTAAGTTCGCTTGCTTGCGTGCTTGCGTGCTTGCTTGCTTACGACTGTGCAAATCTTTCGGTCGTTTTTTAACCCACTTCCCGTGATCCAATCGAGCTGACATTTTCCACACAGACTCGTTGTGCGTGACAATAAATTTTCGTGAAATTTTTTTTCCAAAATTTTACACTGTTTAGGGAAATTTTTTTAAATATTTAATTACCAATTGCTTAATGCTGGCAGACAATCATCTGACCCATTGGTGGCAGCCATCTCAAGCCAGAGGACGAGAGGACTCTAGCCGCCACGCATATAAAGGATTTAGAGTGAAAAACTTTGTTTTTACGGGTTAATTTTTTCTGCACTCACGTTTTACGAGACGTAACAAAAACTTACGTCTGCTCTGATCGCCCACTCACCTGCACGCGACTCCAGCGGCTGCACAAATCGAGTCCCAGCGCCACATTGGCACCATCCGCACGTTCAGCGGTGACGACGAACGGCTGTCTGAGTCGGAGTCCGTCTCTCCCACGCACAGTGGCACGTTTACGGTTACCCTCTCCATCGGCAAAATCCTAAATGCGGCCCTCTTGACTCTCGCCACCTTCATTTCCACCGCTGCCAACGTGAAGCTCTCTTGCCGCTGTCAAAATTATGCTCCCGAAGCCCACGGACAAGAAGATCGTGACCGCAAAGGCCTCCATGTTGCGTGACCTTCGCATGTTGGTGTCCACAAGATATAACCAACGGGTAATGTGTGCTCGTGTGAAATGCCAGGGGGAAAAAGAAAAAAGACTCGAACGCTTTGGGAGTGACATCCCACCACTTCAAAGGAAGGGCGAATCCCTTCATCCAGGACATTCGGGTCGATTGAACACATGAGTGTGTGAGCCCAATATGCCTCACTTTTAAGGTCAAATCCAAAGGCAAATTTGAGCATTGGCAATAATGATGATCAGCTTGCTGCTGTGCATCCTCGTGTCTTTATTGAGATGAGAACCCATTCATGTTTATTATTCATTCATTTGGAAGGGAAAACATTGATGATGATACTGCAGTCGATCTCACCGTTCCACATGATGGACATGATTTTACTGGCCAAATATCTACGTTTTCCTGTACTATGTAATATCAGATACGACGTGTACTGTTGACAAAGCATATTTTGGTAATAAATAGGCAGATAAAGTCATGGAGGGGTTCTTTTGGAAATAAAATTTCACTTCGTGATGAAAAGCAAGATTCGGGCGAATGGAACGAAGCAGAAAACGAGACAGAATTCCGTCATCATCGTCATGCTGCCAGTATCCACCATAGACACTATCTACCCCTGGGTCTAAGGCTTTATATATAGTAGACACTTATATACACACACACGCGCACTTAGTATATATTTGCATATTCCCCGGAAATTTATTCAGGATTAATTGTATCTTCCAAAACCCATATTCTCTAGAAATCATTAACAATTAATGTTTCCATGCAGAGCTACTAATTTGACCTTGCTATCATACACATTTGTGATCGAGAGATAACCGGCTTCAGGGAAATCATTGTTAGAATGTGTCCCCCGGCGTGGTACCCATAAGCAATTGTCAGCAATTGTGGAAACAACATACGATGACGTCACGCGCATAAATAACAATTGTTTTCATACAAAGCTACTACTTTGACCTTGCTATCATATAAATTTGTGATCGAGAGATAACCTGCTTCAGGAAAATAATTGTTAGCATTTGTCACCCCGCGTGGTACCCATAAGCAATAGTCGGCACTTGTGAAAACCGCGTACGATGACGTCACGCTCATCGATGAACGGGCTCGAAACTCGCGATTACGTCACGCCCGAGGACGCAAGACGCGCAACGCCGGATGACGTCACGCCGCCACCCACGTGACGTGCCTTGACTCGGTTAAGGGGACAGGGTGGTGGACAACGACAGGTCCCGGGCGCGCGTTTGTTGTCGTCCCAGCGGGTGACGAGGGCACGAGAGGAGGGACACGAGCGGTGAGGAAGAGGTGAGGAAGCGGTGAGGGGGCCGTGGGACGCGCTCGCTGACGGGCGGAGTAGAGGGGGGAGCCCGCGGGCTGCGCCGCCGTGCTACTGAGGGATGCCAGCGGCACCAACCGGCTCCGCAGACACGTGACGCGCCGGTGACGTCGCTCCCATTGCCCACCGACTGTCGCTCGGAGCACGCGAACCACACAGCACTGTAGAGCGCGTGTCACTGTGTATGTGACACTGTGTGTGTGTCACTGTGTGTGTGTCACTGCGTGTGTGTCACTGTGTGTGTGTGTCTCTGTGTCACTGTGTGTGTATGACACTGTGTGTGTGTGTGTCACTGTGTGTGTGTCTCTGTCACTGTGTGTGTGTCACTGTGTGTGTGTCACTGTGTGTGTGTGACACTGTGTGTGTGTGTGTGACACTGTGTGTGTGTGTCTCTGTGTGTGTGTGTCACTGTGTGTGTGTGTGTGACACTGTGTGTGTCTGTGTGTGTGTGTGTCACTGTGTGTGTGTGACACTGTGTGTGTGTCACTGCGTGTGTGTCACTGTGTGTGTGTGTCTCTGTGTCACTGTGTGTGTGGCACTGTGTGTGTGTGTCACTGTGTGTGTGACACTGTGTGTGTGTCTCTGTGTCACTGTGTGTGTGGCACTGTGTGTGTGTCAGTGTGTCACTGTGTGTGACACTGTGTGTGTGTGTGTCTCTGTGTCACTGTGTGTGACACTGTGTGTGTGTGTCTCTGTGTCACTGTGTGTGTGACACTGTGTGTGTGTCAGTGTGTCACTGTGTGTGTGACACTGTGTGTGTGTCTCTGTGTCACTGTGTGTGTGGCACTGTGTGTGTGTCAGTGTGTCACTGTGTGTGTGACACTGTGTGTGTGTGTGTCTCTGTGTCACTGTGTGTGACACTGTGTGTGTGTGTGTCTCTGTGTCACTGTGTGTGACACTGTGTGTGTGTGTCTCTGTGTCACTGTGTGTGTGACACTGTGTGTGTGTCAGTGTGTCACTGTGTGTGTGACACTGTTTGTGTGTCTCTGTGTCACTGTGTGTGTGGCACTGTGTGTGTGTCAGTGTGTCACTGTGTGTGTGACACTGTGTGTGTGTGTGTCTCTGTGTCACTGTGTGTGACACTGTGTGTGTGTGTCTCTGTGTCACTGTGTGTGTGACACTGTGTGTGTGTCAGTGTGTCACTGTGTGTGTGACACTGTGTGTGTGTGTGTCTCTGTGTCACTTTGTGTGACACTGTGTGTGTGTGTCTCTGTGTCACTGTGTGTGTGACACTGTGTGTGTGACACTGTGTGTGTGTCAGTGTGTCACTGTGTGTGTGACACTGTGTGTGTGTCTCTGTGTCACTGTGTGTGTGGCACTGTGTGTGTGTCAGTGTGTCACTGTGTGTGTGACACTGTGTGTGTGTGTGTCTCTGTGTCACTGTGTGTGACACTGTGTGTGTGTCTCTGTGTCACTGTGTGTGTGTCAGTGTGTCACTGTGTGTGTGACACTGTGTGTGTGTCAGTGTGTCACTGTGTGTGTGACACTGTGTGTGTGTCTCTGTGTCACTGTGTGTGTGGCACTGTGTGTGTGTCAGTGTGTCACTGTGTGTGTGACACTGTGTGTGTGTGTGTCTCTGTGTCACTGTGTGTGACACTGTGTGTGTGTGTCTCTGTGTCACTGTGTGTGTGACACTGTGTGTGTGTCACTGTGTGTGTGTGTCACTTTGTCACTGTGTGTGTGTGTCACAGTGGGGAGCGGTAGTGTAGTGGTGAGCGCTACGCTGCGCTACAAACCTGGCGACCCGGGTTCGATTCCCGCTCACGGCCAACACCAGTGACGATTATCTGAACCGGTCCCGGGCCTCCCCTAGGTCGACTCAGCCTCAAATGAGTACCTGGTGCGGTGTGTAAACATTGTGCCACTAGGGAGACAAAGGCGGTCGGGCGTTGTGCTGGCCACCCACCCCCTCGTGTACCGTTCCGGCCTTCATAGGTGCTCGCTAACAGCACTTGCCCCTACAGTCTGTTAAGGCTATACGGGGGATATTTGTCTTTGTCACTGTGTATGTGTGTCACTGTGTATGTGTGTCACTGTGTGTCACTGTGTATGTGTGTCACTGTGTCACTGTTACACTGTGACACTGTGTGTGTCACAGTGACACTGTGTGTGTCACTGTGACACTGTGTGTCACTGTCACTGCTTGCGACTGTGTCAGATTTTGCCACTGCTCGTGCCACTGCTTGTGACACTACGTGACTACTTGTGATGCGGAGCGGTAGTGCAGCGGTTAACGCGCTGCACTACAAATTTGGCATCCCGAGTTCGATTCCCTCAAGGTACCAACAGTGACGATTTTCTGGACCAGTTTTGGGCCTCCCCTAGGTCGACTACGCCTCAAATGAGTACTTGGTGGGGTGTGTAAACATCGCCATTAGAGAGACAAAGGCGGTCGGGCGTGGTGCTAGCTACCCACCCAGCCGTGTGCCGTGTCGGCCTTCATAGGCGGTCGCTACTAGCACTTGCCCCAACAGTCTGCTTAGGCTATTTGGAAGGTCTTTGTCTACTTGTGATGTGTATATAACACTGTGATTGTGACATGATGTGACTGTGCTTGTGACATTGCCTGCTTGTGTCACGTGGCCTTAACGTGCACATAGCCTGGCACAAGCGCCGTGGTGCCGCCACTGAGTGGTGAATGGCGGTAGTTGTGTCACTCCGTGTCACTCTGTGTCAGCTTGTGAAGTTGCCAGTTTGTAACACTGTGTAAACTTCGTGTTTGTGTCACTTCTTGCCCGCTTGTGACACTGTGACCCTGTCTGCTTGTGGCAATGCTGCTAGGATGTTGCATGTATGATGATTCATCATATTGTTGAGCGACCAAATATACAACATTATCTTCTTGCTTAATTTGCTTTTGAAAATATTATCTGGACAATTGTAACACATTGATCGTAGGGTTGACTATATTAGTCAAGACAAAGACACCGTGACATTTCTTGAGGTTGCTGTATAAATAACTTGATAAATATAGTAGTTCCCTCGTCATCATTTCCACTGATTTGTATTTGGACCAGGCTCTAGGACCAAACATACTTTATTACGTGCAACTTACCCTTAGAGACTAAGAATTCCTCACAGCCCACTATCACTATCTCATGGGTTCCCAGTAAAATTCGCCAATTAAAACCAAGCAGCAGGGCAGTGATGGAATGCAAATCCAGCGTCTATTCTGTTACATTTGTTAACCCATTGGCACTTTGCAAACATGTGCAGACATGTTTAACACGTAGGCTTTCGCGACTAATATTATCCACAAAAAAGGTTTTTTTGGGTTAGTTCACGTAAAATAAATGTGTCGTTAACCCGCCACCACCCGACGCAGCCAATGAGTAAGGGGTTTGTCGCGTAAACAGAACGTGCTAATTAGTACTGCTACAGCACACCCGTGTGTTGGACAGTAAACCCACAACATTTACAATTTGAGTATGACGTTTTGCTGGTAATTACAACCAGCCGCATGACGCAATTTGCCAAACCTCTCTAATAATCCTCGTCGTGGCTCTGTACCCGAAGTTACAAACGACTGTACTGCTCCTTACTTATGTGAGCGTGCTTATATGCCTGCGTTGCCTAGGTTGTGTGCATCGTGGGATACAAACTCAAGTTTCATTCAAGTTTGATGCCAAGTATTTATTTTAACGCCTCCTAAACCTGTCATCTAACCTATACAATTATTTTTTTATGTCTATTTTGTAAACAGACCACGTTGGCCACCATGTCGCACAAACTGCTGAAGCCTGTAAGCTACATGGAGGGGGGGTACAGCTACTGGCCGGTGCTGTCTCCACGTGGAATCCGCCTGTACACCTACGAACAGGTGCCTTGTTTCCTGAAAGGAAACCCGTACATCACGGACGGATATCGAGCGTACCTGCCCTCTCGCCTCTGCCTCAAAAGGTGACGTTGCGTGAACAGCATTGTATGTTTTTAGTCGGTCCGGGGTATTACATGTGGGGAAGTGCATAATGATCCTAGGAATGTTAATCATGTAACTTTACAGCTAGCAATTCACTGCTGGATGAGGGCTTCTCCACACCATGCCTCACTTCACTCCACTCATCAGTGCCGGTTGGTAAATGTATTGAGCATGGATGTGAGGGCATAGAAGTACGGTGTTCACATTTTTCTGTCCTGCCTCCTGCAGCTCAACACAGTCCCACAAGTAACCCATAACAGCTGTTTTATACGCGGTGGTCGCCCATTCATAATAAGAACTCGTTAATCACTCTATTTGTTTTGTCCTGCGTTAACCCTGATTACTTATTTATGGAGGAAAGCCACTCTGAATCATACGACCATTTTTCAGAAGGTCCTGCCATATAGGGTTTTTATTTCAAGATTTTTTCAAACAGTTAGTGAATGTTTATGTGTGTGGGAGGAAACCAGAGCAGCCGGAGAAACTCCACATGCGAAGGGGGCAACACTATCCCCATACAAATGGAAAAATATGGCGATTAGTCCACTTGCTGTACTGCCTTCTCTTTGCAAGCCAGGGTATGGCACCTTGACGCCCACGGCAAGGGAGTTTCACAACGTCTGTGCGATCCACCCACCCTCACCTCTACAGTGTTGGATTACAGGCATACAAAGCCACCACCACCGGGCTAGCAGTGGCCAATATGTTGATCGCAAATTATGTTTTGTGAATCCCAGGATAAATCAGAAAAAAACACACACCAATTTTCGTTGCAACTGATAGAAAATAAAAATCCGTCACGAAGAATTCATGCATAAAAAACTTCTCCCAATAGATAGTGAAAGTACTTTATGTCTATAGTATATTACAGGGTTAAATAAGGGTCAACTTTCTGGTGGATCGTGGAGCCCATTGAGATCCACCAAAATGGAGAGCAGTACATTAGCCAGCGCTGCATTAACCTTCTGTAAACGCTCTCCTGCAGCCTGTTCATTGTGTCCAATGAGACTGTGAATATCTGGAGCCACCTCTTTGGATTCTTGCTCTTCTTCTCCCTCGGGGTCTATGACACCCTGGTGATGCTGCCAGCCGCTCAAGCATCACACGACGATTACATCATCTACACAATCTTCCTCTTCTGCTTCCAGGTTAGCAAGTACCCACATTCCTTTTTCATGATGCAAGTTAACTGGTGAATTATTGTTTTTTCTAACTTTTATTATGTTGGTGTGGAATTATGTAGGTAATCGATTGAATTGAATGCCCTTACATATATTGTTTCTTTTTCCTGCAAAAATAATTTGTATTTTGCTTTGTCATAAAGTATAATAATGAATAACAGTAATTATTTGCAGTCGATGCACTACCTACCAATCATCCAGATGATGCACATTCATTTCAATAATAATTTCTGCATCTCCAAACAGATAAATTGAGTTATATTGGATGATCCTTATGGTGGAAAAGAATACCATTCATTTGATTGAAAATTCGCTATTCAAATGAATGTCATTCTTTTAACACCCGAAGAATTCATTCCGTGGTAAATCCAGCAATTTCCACTGAATTATTATAAGGAAAATTGTGAAATGTTGATGAGAGGGTTGACTAAATTATTCAAGGCATTATGACATTTGTAAAGGGTGCTATATAAATAACATTTCATAAATGTAGGAGTGACATTCAAGCTCCCGGTCATTATTTTCACCGATTGTTATTTAATACAGGCTTCAGGAGCAAGCATATTTGATTACTTTCAACTTTATTAAACCTGTTAGAAACGTATTCAAGTACATGGAGAACTGATTATGGAAGTCATAGCATAGAGAAGCACTCACTGTTCCTTCTTCCCATGGTGGAATTGTGGAATTCAAATATAATTATTGCAGAAATCGCCCAGCAGTAATGCTGACCGTGCCTGTCCATCGTGTCGCTAGGTGTGCATGCTGTGCTCTACTGGTTACCACCTCTTCTGCTGCCACCGCTCGGAGAAGACAAGTCGGCGCTGGCTGGCGCTGGACTACGCTGGGATATCTGTTGGATTGCTGGGATGTTACATACCAGGAGTATTCTATGCCTTTTACTGTGAAGAGGTAATTTCCACTGTAGTCACATGCAACGATGGTTCACCCCAAATGATAGCCATTGCCAACCCTAGCTTAGGCTGAACATCTCTAAAAAAAGCTTTATCTCATTGGGTTCTTGAAGCTTAAATAATATGTAAATATCTACGTCTAAATTTCGTTTTTATGTATATTTTTTTTGTAATGCTTTGCTATCCCTTTGTGCACAAAATATAACAGTTTCATGTAAAATCAGATATTACTTATTTTTTAAATGTAATGAAAATCAGAACCAATTCTGGTTAAGCCACATATATTCTTAGTTTGTGTTTCTCATCAATGTTAATAGTCTGATAAACCTGCTCTGCATTACTCCACTAATTATCACTCAAATTGAGTTGGCTAAACATCCCAATTTAGGATCACAGTGCTTGGTCAAGTATTTTTGCCAGTACTGGCTGCATTTTGATGCTGCTATAAAAACTATATTCACTAAAATCTGTAAATGAGAAAATCCTTCACAACAAAATTATATAAACCACAAATGAATAGCAGACACTTTTTACAACCTTGACCTTATCAGTGTTGTCACCTTTGAAGCCTTGACATGGGCGTCATTTCCCATGTGCAGGTCTGGTGGGGGAGCGGTAGTGTAGCTGCTCGCGCTACGCTGCGCTACGAACCCGGCGGCCCCAGTTCGATTCCCGCTCACGGCCAACACCAGTGACGATTATCTGAACCGGTCCTGTGCCTTCCCTATGTCGACTCGGCCTCAACTGAGTACCTGGTGTGGTGTATAAACATCGCCACTGGGGAGATGAAGGCGGTCGGGCGTGGTGCTCGCCACCCACCCCATGGTAGTGCCACAGTGCCGGCCTTCCTCGGTGCTCGCAAGTAGCACTTGCCCCAATAGTCTGTTAAAGCTACATGGGGGGGGGGGGGATTTTGTCTTTGTCTTTGCAGTACTGGAGGCAGGTGTACCTGGTGACGGTGCTGGCCGTCATGCTGCTGGTCTTCTTTGCCCACATCCACCCGCAGTACTTTTCCCCGCAGTGGTATACCACGCGCCTGGTCATCCTCTCCTGCGTCTCTCTCTACGGTGTCATCCCCACCGTGCACTGGATCGTGCTCAACGGAGGACCCACCACCACTATCGTGCAGGTGGGGTGGACGAAATATTTAGCAAATAAAGGGTTATGCGTCCTGAGCCACGTGAATTTGACAAACGTATGATGTCAAGCACACGCCTGCCCAGAAACGTAAAGGTAATCGCCGAGACTTAATCGGGCGGTCGCAAAAAGCATCGTTGATATCTAAGTTGACTGGTAGAGAACTCCATTGCTCTGCAATTTTAAATGAGAGACGGCTGTAATTTTCAAACTCTTCTCACGATCTCATTTTTATAGCACGAACAATAATCTGCTTTTTTACATAATAAAATGCCAAGAAGATGTGTTGTTAGGTGTTGTTTTAGTTATGTTCTCTAGGCTTTAAATAATATTCTAGCGAAAAAGAATTACGTGAATAGGAGCACACATTTCTTCGATTTGTTAGAGCAATTTTATTTATTGAACCGTGTTAGTCTTCTGTATTCGTTACGCCCACCTCTTTGGTGTCGCTATCTTTATTATGTCTTCTGGGCTTCTTTGGCTGTTCCAATGCAATGTCGATTTGTTACATGGACATCCAATTTATCCAGTTACCCAGTTAGTTTGGATGGCAATGCCCTACAGCCACTAGCAGTACACTTTATTGTTGGGGTGCAGAGGATCCCAGTCAGCAGCCAGCCAGGATACTCAATGCATAGATTATTTTTAAGAGTAGCATGATTACTCGTACTTTTTATATGACTCAGATACCATATAAAAGTACGAGTGATGCGAGCATTTTAATGGTCTATATGCACTTCAATACAATGTAAAAGATGCATTGCAACCTCAATCCACTTTATAAGATGTGGGATATTCTACAATTTTAGTCATGTCATTTGTGATGAACTGCGATAACAATGATTGTAATTTCAGCTAACATTGATCCTGTAATTGTAAAAACAGACCACAGATCTACTTTTTCATTTCTACTTTTTAATTCTATTTAAAAAGAGTCTTTGAAATAGTAATTTGGTGGTGATGAACATGTATCCAAGAAGGAGTTTGTGGATCACATAGATTTGTGAAGCCCAAACCCATATAATCTCTTTGGGATTGTGGTTGCATTATGTAAAAAAAATTGTATATATAAAAAACACTTGTTTTAAAGAAACGTGTATCTAATTCTTAATTTCTCTTTATCTGCTTAGGACTTCTCACCCCGAGTGATGATCATGTACCTGCTTGCCGGCGTTGCATTTGTCTTCTACGTTGGCAAGGTTCCGGAGAGGTACTTTCCTGGTACGGTGATCTCTTTGCTTATTTCGTTCATTTCTTTAATTTATTTATATATTCGTTTTATATTTCCTAAACTTTTGTGCCACTTTTACATCGAATGTTGCTCTTAGATTAGTATCCATTCAGATATCTCGCAGAACAGTGCATCCCTTCGTGGCAGAGAATGACCATGGAAGTTGATATCACAGAACTACCGCTCAAATCCATTAAAGTGACCTCTGGTCCAAACGATAGGGGGCGCTAACCCACCCACTCTCCCACTTAAGAGAAATATCATCACGTGACATTTTTAATTCTCAGAGCTGGAATTCTAGCCAAATGAAGTGCAGAGCCAAGTTTTACGTTCCAATTTTTTGGTGCAGTCATTAGTTACCAGTGAAGCACGGTCAAATAATCCCTGTGACCCTACATGGCAGACAGAACCCCTCATCCAGCAGTGGATTGACACAGGGCTGTATATGTACATGCATGCTAGATTATTCAGATAACAATCTAATGCTCCGGTCTATATGGCATGGCTATGTATGTGCCCAGGAAGGCATTGTTGCCTTTGATATTATTGGACATTTCTTCAGAATTTTAAATGTAATTCAAGTTTCAATTAATTACAGAATGTCAGTGTACGTCATGAATGCTATCAATGTATTCCATGCGTGCATGTGTGTGTGTGTTGCAGGCCACGTGAATTTTGTGGGTTCCAGCCATCAGTGCTGGCACATCCTGGTGGTATTTATGTTTTACTGGTGGCACCAAACCGCAGTGCTGATCATGAAGTATCGCCACAGCACGCCCTGCCACGAGACGTCGCTCCGGTCATGAGGGCCAGAGCACAAAGCGCTGCATTGTGTGCAATAACAAGGGGGTTAGATTCAAACAGAAAAACACTACATTTTGTATGGGAAGAAACATCTTTGGATGTATTGTCCTATGCGAAGTGCATGTTATATAAGATATATAACGTTAAAAAAGGAAGCACTCCCATCGCGCTTCTTGAACTTTCATAACAGGATGAAAACCAAAAACATTGTGAATGGGTATTTATTATTGCTGATTTGACGACGTTTTTTCTAAGTCTTACTTGCCCGTGGCAATTGACTGCAAAGAGCGAGGTCTTTCAAATATTTCTGTCATTTGTTGAATGCTATGATATTTTATTTATTAATTTCTTTACATCGATGCTAACATTGTTGCGGATATGCTGCAATTAATCAGCTGGCTTTGGAGGTGTGCATTAACCATTCTATAAAACATACTCTGAATGTATTAGTCCTCTATCATCAGGATATCGTCTGTGACACGGAAAGTCGAGACTACTGAAATGTACAGAAAGATCTAAAATCAACTTGCGTTTGTCATGCACAAATCATGGTCAGTAGTCGTTTGTATTTGACGTGATTTCAGTGGCAATCTACCTGTAGTCTGCAGACATAAATGCTTTATTTATAGACCTGGTCAGGGCTGCCTTGTAAAAAAAAAGACTCCGGATCGTCATGGGTTTTTTAGCTGGTTATAATTAAAGGTCTTTAATCTTTCTTAGTTTTATGTTTAGATTAAGTGTATCATGTATATTTCATTGAATTCGCGCACATCTATCAGATCAAAACAAGCATCACTGAAGCAGTGTAAAAATAACAAAGATGAAAGAAATTGGTTCTCTGAGACAATGTCCTTCGCAGAGTATTGAGCCGCTGCTTATGAGGTCCTGTATCTTAATCCCAGTTCATGAGCTCAGACGAGACGCAGCCGTTGACTTGTGGGCAATCACCCGAGGTGGCATAACAACTTTAGCGGTTCCAATGTCTTTGTCGTCATTAGCAGTGCATTCTGTGATAACAATTCGATATGAGTGAGCTGTCATATAATTTAATCCCAATATCCATGTATATGCATACATCGTTAAGACTAAAGTTTTGCTATTTTAGCTGGCACCAATCTCTGCTCTGGCCCATGGACTGAGTCGGCTGTCCAAGATTAAACCAGATTCTCAATCACAAAGAATTTATGGCCTCAGCCTGATTATAATTGACCATACAAAAACAACATCGTGTAAATGTGGTTTCCCTGTTGCTTGGCTGGTCCCAACCCTAAGGGATGAAGCTTTTAGTGAGTTCACCGTTCAGCCTTGGAAGTGCTTCTATATTGCCTGCAAGTACTTCTGTGTTGCCTGACTAAAAGGTCGTTCATTGTTGACAGGAAGATTGGTAGTTGTCCACTGTCAGCTCCCACAGCATTGCCCTGTTTTGATGTGAGGCTGAATTTACTAAGAGTTCCAACAAGATACGTTTTTTTCTCCTGCCTTAATTTTTTAGTTTTTTGTCAAAATATAGATTCGATTCTAAATTAGCCGCATTAATGAGGCTGAACACTGTATGGGTAAATATTGGGGGGTGTTTTTTTGTTTCTTTAACATGAATTATGTTGGTTGCAGAAGATTGACAGATGGGAAGATGTGGTGGAGGGATGGGGGCCATATGACATGCGGTGCCGATGTGTGCGTTGCACTGTGAACCTGGCGTCCAACGGTTGCTTCCCTGCCAGGGCTAGCATCGGCGGTGAGTGATGTTTGGTCTGGTCCAAAGCATCCCTTCTCCAATTTGCACTGAAGTGTGGTAACAAAAAAAACCCTTGAACTAACATGTATAGGGAGGCCTTCATCCAGCAGTGGATTGACGGTATGTCACAGGAAAAGCTGAAGGATCGAGTATAAAAACGAAATCGTGAGGTATTGTGACAACAGTGTTGGCCGTGATAATCTCTTGCAAGTGCAAATTATCATCGGCGTTTCTTACTCAACCTACGGCATGCTTGGGTGTTTGTAACATTGAATTAAACGGGTGACACAAAGGCCACACTAACGTCTGTCAGCAAAACTTAACAAAGTAAAATTAAGTGCAAAGACTGCTGGAGACACGGTGTATATAGGAAAGGATTGTAGAATTAATCATGAAGACGAGGCCTGTCGTGGTTGGGGCGTGCAGGATGGGGGTAGAGTACTTCGATAAAGGCAAGCCTTTGGAACGTGGAATTAAGGGGACAGCCTCAAGTCAGATCGATATGGGGGAGGGAGGTGGAGGCTGGTATGATCGCATCAGTGGCATTCGCCACAGTGATCTGTTGGATCATTTCAAGAATATGTCCATAGCCCATTTGAACATTCAAATAGGTGTGACCACAATACTGTGGTTAGATTGTGCTGTAAAAAATAAATACGGGGAAACGGTGAGACGTGAAATACAATTCAAATAGAGTTTCTGGGTACGTTATTGTGCTGTGAAAGACTGCGAGATATGTCTGTAAATATTGTCCCAGGTTAAATGGACGAGTTTCATGTCCGATATTACATTTGTATTTTTCGTAATTCATATAAAACTTGAACGTGTGTGCAGTGTTTTGAGTTGCCATAACACTGTTCTTCACAATACCACCTTAAACCACGTGATATCTTACTACAGCCTGCACTGGTGCAATCGCATGTGTAACACTTTAATAACTACTAACTCTATCCATAAAAAAAAACTTTTAGTATTTCTACATTTTTTATGCTGTATTATCTTTTTTTTTACTTGGTGTTTTATTGCCCACAAATGTGTATCACCTTTGTTGTAGCAGACATGTTCGTGTTAAATTGTCCTGCAGTTATATTTACGAAACAATTACCGTCTCAATGCAAATCAACATTCATGAGTAAAATAGATTTTTGACACGTTTCAATGTCGTTTTTCATAAAAATGTTAATGCTTAAAATGTACAACGTCATAATGTGTGGGTTTCAATCGACATGTCAAGATGTTGGAAGATTAAAAGGCAATGTTAATTGTTAAACATTGTTTGATTAAAGTATTTTAATAAGCTGAAGGATCTTAATGACCTGTTGGTTTGTAGATTATCATTGGGTCAGAAATATATCTACAAATGTAATTTTCCGCATACAAACCGTCATGTTATTATTTTTGGTATTTCAGAACATTAACTTGCACTTACAAGGTCCTATTTTTTCTTATAAGCCTTACTACCAACATACCACACTCTGAGATTCATGATCAATGTGCTCACAACATTGGCAATTGTAGCAATAAAACCCACCTTGTATAAAACATTTAAATCATGCAGTTTACAATAAAGTTTCCGAGCTCAAATCCCAACGCTTCATCCGTTTGCAGTCAATAAATCGGTTCCACTGGTCAACAGGAAGTAATCAATTTACAATTTGAGTACGACGTTTCGTTTTAGTAACTAATTAGCACGTTTTGTATACGTGACAAACCTTACTAATTAGCTGTGTCAGGTGCTGGGGGGTTAACGACACATGTACGCGATCTCATCCAAACAAACCCTTTTTGATTAATATTGGTCACGAAAGCCTACGTGTCAAACTGAGGTCATCAGTTGACCTAAGGGAAGTTAACATGATATGAGTTTTCAACTTGATACAGATGGGCTCTGCTTAGCTTTTTACAGCAGGGATACACTTGTAGTGGACTTCACTAAATTAAAACCATGTTAATTTGTGTTATTATTCTCTATGAAAACATGCATTGCACTCAACAGCTCTGGGTCGTCTTTGCTCGCTATCGAACCAACCCGGGTCCCGAGATCTTTGAGAACATCCCAATGTCTTTGTCCCCAATTACGTTGAAGCTCTGAAACAGAAACGCGTGATAGTCTAATAATCAATGCTGAGCCATGCTTACAATTAGCAGTGGTGAACACGTATTTCTTCTAGATTTGAAGCTTTCGTGACTGCAAGGATTCACTCAGGTTTTTTCGGTAAAGTCACGTAGGTAAACATAAAATAATACAAATAAAATAATAGAAATAACTAATACTATTTTATTTCTATTATTTCAAATATCTTATTTTTATTTATATTCTTTTATTTTTACCTATGTGACTTTACCGAAAAAACCTGAGTGAATCCTTGCAGTCACGAAAGCTTCAAATCTAGAAGAAAGAGTATGAACACGTATGTTTGTTAACACACGCTTTATTGTTTACTTAAAACGTGGGCAAATGTGTCTAACTTTATAACAAAGTTTTAATAATTATAAACGTGTGCTTCATAAACTCCTAACGTTTTACCAGTTGCAGTCGGCTATGTCACCAGCTCATTGTGACGTCTTGCCTGTGCATAACATCCACCCTCGTGTGACCGTTCTCAAGAGAAATTAAAATTGCATGAACTCTCTAAACCGTGATTGTTCCTTATTCTGAAGTGGAATTGCCTTGGTAATAACAAATGCGTGAGGTTCTTGGTCTGCCAACTATCACACTGATGGTATATATACAGATACTGTAGGTCTGGGGTATAGTGTTGCCCGCTAATTTATTATTTGTGTGCTTAGTTGTCCTTTCTTCCGTATCTCCAATTAGCACGGTTGGCTACGTACGGTGCGAAAGATATATACGTAGTTTTAATGCTTACATTTGCTTTTTGAAAATCCATATTTTGTACAAAAAGAGCAATTTTACCCTCGAATTTCCAACAAAGCAGGGCTACCCCACAGACTCAAAAGAACCGTGTAACCACTTTAACGGTATTTCTTGAGACTTTTTTTTCGCTAAACCATTCAGTAGTGTGTTCAACTTTACTGCGGTATGCTGCACAGGTTTGGTAAACCTAAGCTGACCAAGAAATGTGTCCCGATTTGATCTGTGGAAAAGTTGGCAACCATGTGTGGCAGCCATGTGTGGCAGCCACAGGACTTGGCAGAGGGTAGAGCGCATTGGCAAGGTGTGGTGACATCGATGGCTTCAGCCATGATGACAACTTAATCTTGGTGTTGGGAGCCATGGAGACACCATTTGACACTGGCTTCAAAGAAATTTGGTATTTTATTCCATGATAATTTTCAACAATAAAAAACAATTGTTTACATCTTTTTTTCTTAAGTTCACATGATAACTCAGGAATGTCTTGTGAATGATTTGTGCAAAATAAGTAAACACAACCAGTGTTTCATCACAAATACAATTTACTTTCCCGAAATCTATTTAGGTTTGAAGTTAAATTCTCACATTCACTCTTAAAATGGAATTGTGTAAGTATATTAATAAAATAATTTTTAAACTTCTGATAAGGGCAAACGGTAGCACCACAGGCATCGAGATACAATGGGATCTCATTGAGGTAGAGCTGTATATAGAAGGTGGATTCCTGCCCTTCCTCAGCACAGTTGATCTCCTCGTCACGCTCACAACTGCCCAAACCCTCGCACTGTGACAACACAAAAACAAGATTTGATGCATAAGGACAAAATGTGCTGGTCCGGAAATTGCGGGCATGCATTGAAGAAAAGTTATCATACAAGAGGTCAGCTTCATCTTTGAAAAAACCCAGCAATGTGAGTAACGGGATGAGTGTTTCTGCATGTCCAAATCGCAAAACTGCCGGTGTTGACACTTGTTTCAACCTAAACGAAGACAAACACACACACATACACACATGAACACTGGGTTTCAAATTTACAATGTGCTCATGCAGCAGCTTTATCACAGATGAGAAATCAAATCAATACCTTGCAAGCAATAAGAGAAAAGGCAATTCTACAATTGCCTATCATATGGATGGATTTAGAAACTGAAATTTTTTATTGGACTCTTTATTAGGAAGGCACTTCTGAAATTCCTCAAGTCTATCTACGAATGGGTTATGATGTTCATATTTTATTCCCTTTAAAACATGTTTCAAAATCCCGACCTTGCCACCTGTATATTTGGAGTTTGCATGTTCTCCCCGTGGTCGCGTGAATTTTTACTCCGGGTTCTCCGTTTTTTCCCTCCACATTTAGAATCAAGGTGCGTTTAGATTATTTAGCTGCTATAAATTTCCACGTGATAAGCCACTTAGTTGAGCTATCATTTGTGGTCAGGTCACTTATGAAAAAGAGCCATATAGCTCAGTGGGCCTTGATAAATAAAAAAGTTACTTAGCAATCAACGGGGTACCTATGATTGATTCACTCTGTAAAGCACACCAGGTAATGGCCCTACGACCCCTCAAGGGCCATGCCACAGGATTAACAATACAAACCTTTAATCTTGACTTAAAGCTTTCGTGACCACAGGAATTAATATTCTTTGGATCTTTCGGTAAAGTCACATAGATAGGTTGTTATTTTTTACCTAAACCCCACGATTAGAGAGCCAAATCCTTCACAAGCGCACGAACACACACAAACCCACAATTTTTTACTTTTATTTCTATAAATAGATATTGGTCGCGAAAGCCTATCCAAAACTTTGCAATTGTCTCGCAGACTAAGGGATTTATACTTCAGTCCCATTCTATAACTTCTTTATGTGGGTGTAGACGACATTTCTGAGAGGGTTGGCTTGCAGAGTGCACAAACAAGGTAAAGTCCAAAGTGACGGGTCTGCACTGACGCTCACCACGCGCCCCGCCACCAGACCGAGTCGTCGTTTTGGTCGTGGCGGGCGGCATTACTCCACGTGTATGCCGATATTGCACCATTCGGGACGGCAATTCGGCTCGTGGCGAATTACCAATACTGTATATATGCCGAAAGCATAATTATAAGTTTTTATTGTATTTACAATACTACCATACATGTATGAAAGATAGTAACAACCTATTTAAACAAATACTTTTTTAAAAGTAAAATACATGCTCCAGTTGAACTTACTGTTGCCTCTCAGTAACTGCCTGGTCCAAACCAGTAAATATATCCTGCAGCAGCACACAGCTGATCCGGCTGTTGATGGGATAACCTCTCCCCCGCAGCCAGAAGTGCTTCAAGTCCCCCAGATACTCCAATACCTGCAACACATGCATAAAATAATTTTGAAAAAGAACCACAATTTAACAAAGGGGACACTCACAGCATTTAGATTAAGCTTAATGTATCAGATGATGTTGAGATATCCATGTCAGAGGAGGTAATGTGAAATCATTTTCATCAATCTTCTTGGGGAAAAAGTGACCGCCATTTGGACATAATAGTGCAAAATCTCTGCAACTGATGGCGGTCTTCATTTTTACTTTATTCCTCTTAGTCTCTCAGTCTGATTCTGCACGTGCTTTTGTTCCATCTTCTTTATCCGTGTCAATTTCAATGATCCATACATCAGAGCAAGTAATTAATTTATAAATTAAGATGTGAAATATCCTTCGGCATATATGTTGTGTAACACTTATTTTGTTTTCACGAGTATTTATTTTCCTGAAGGCAGGAGAGTGGTTTGTTATGTAATATACACGGTCGCCACTATAAGAGTAACTAACGTATGGTTCTAATGATGTTCTGGAAGAGCTAGAAAGCTCAAATGTGGCACGAATATATAAGAAAAATTTTTATTTTATGTAGGCATCCAAAATTTACAGCCCAGATTTTGATTACTCTCACTTGAACAACCAGGTTGGCCTAAAGTTCTGCATTTCTTTAAGCTTTGTGTACAATATGAAAAAATACATCGATATCAAAATCTCCACCATCTGTGAGCCAAGTAATTTGCCTTTTGTGGAGGAGTGCGATGCCAAAGTCAATCAACAGTGGGCACTGACTGCTCTTGGGTCCTCAGTACATGGCATAGAGATTAAGCTGCCTTCACGATGCCTAAGCTTCCCGTGGAAGGAATTAACAAAGCACTGACAGTCAATGGATAACATAACTATACATTTAATACATTTTTATTTGAGCAGTCCCCGACTTGCAAACCAGTTCCATTCCCGAGATCCGTTCGTTAAGCGAACGGTTCGTATTTAAATGCACATATGGTCAGTGTTATAAAATGTGTTATGTATGGATGTTAAACTTCTTTTGCACCGTACGTAGCCAACCGTGCTAATCAGAGGTGCAGGGGGGTTACGGTGAAACAAAAAAGCTAAGCATTGTTAAACTCATGAATAAGAATAAATATTGTATATTTGCCGAACCAAATAATTCCGCGGTTTGGTTCGAAAGTGCGAGTTCATGTCCGTAAACGCAGATGTTTATAAATCTAGCGCTCATAAGTCGGGGACTGCTTGTATATGTAGGTGTATGATGGCGGGTGCGGAACACACCTTGGCATCTTCAGCATCGAAGAGTTCACACCAAGTTGAGTGTGTTCCATTCACTGCGAGTTCAAAGGAGCAGCCGTAAAATGCGGCTTGAATTAATTCTAAAAAAAAATGCAAATAAAAAGTGCGTGAACATCTTTTGCAGGAATTGTTATCGAGTTAAAATAATATGCTTAATGTATCAAAGTAGCTTAAGTTAACATTCATAATAAAAAGGAAAACATGTCAGCAATCGTTTATTTGCGTATCCACTTGGCCAGTCGGTCAGTTAGTCGGTCCGGGCCTTGGAGCCTTATTAGAGGCTCCTATTGACAGATGGTTGAATTTCAGCCACCACTCAGCAGTCACCACTCATTATAACATATTTGTAAGTGCACTGAGGGTGGGTGCTGTTGTTATTGATTTTGTTTACTTACATTGTTTTTCAACACTGCCTTTCTCAACAGCTGTATCCGTGTATACTATATTGGGAAAATGTCAAAACTGGGTGGTTTTTAACTTTTGCCGACAAAACTGGATCCCAAATGTCAAAACTGGGTGGTCTTGGAAAACGACAGGCAAAACAGGGTGGTGCTTTTTGATATTACAAAACTGGGTGATGTTCAATGTGGACAAATGTCAAAACTGGGTGAAGAAGGTGTACGATTTAATGTATCATTTTGTACACGTTTAGGTCCTTGCGTTATTCATTCATATGTCGCCACAGATTTAGAGCGTTCCAAATGATGTTTCTCGTGGCTCATGTTCCATACCTTGCACCACAACTTCCCGTTTGCATACTGGCACAGTGTGCCAGCTTGCAACTACAGTAACACTTTCAGCTCGCGAACATACACGTACTTGCCATTTGTATACTGGCACAGTGTGCCAGCTCGCTTACTTGCCGTTTGTATACTGGCACAGTGTGCCAGCTCGCTTACTTGCCGTTTGTATACTGGCACAGTGTGCCAGCTCGCTTACTTGCCGTTTGTATACTGGCACAGTGTGCCAGCTCGCTTACTTGCCGTTTGTATACTGGCACAGTGTGCCAGCTCGCTTACTTGCCGTTTGTATACTGGCACAGTGTGCCAGCTCGCTACTACAGTAACACTTACTTGCCATATGTATACTGGCACAGTGTGCCAGCTTGCAACTACAGTAACACTTACAGCTCGCGAACATACCCTAACTTGCCATTTGTATACTGGCACAGTGTGCCAGCTCGCTTACTTGCCGTTTGTATACTGGCACAGTGTGCCAGCTCGCTACTACAGTAACACTTACTTGCCATATGTATACTGGCACAGTGTGCCAGTATACAAATACCAAGTGTTTGGATGAATGGGGTGCTGGCACACTGTGCTAGTATACAATTATCAAGTGTATGTGACAAATGTCAAAACTGGGTGCACCCTGAGTGTCCAAAACTCAAGTTTTTGGCCACCCAGGGTGCACCCAGTTTTGACATTTGGGATCCAGTTTTGTCGGCAAAAGTTAAAAACCACCCAGTTTTGACATTTTCCCATACTATATTACAATACCAAACTACTTTTTAAACTGTTGTTTACTTCTGTTTTCCCTTAACCTTGGTTATTCAACATCTTTCTACTGCCGTATTTCGAGTTTTGGCACTTCCTGCGCCTGTAATTGTATCAATTTCATTGTTTTTCCACTGCTGGAACTAATGATAGAAAATCATGGAAAAGGGGAAACAACGAACATATTTAACATCTTCACCATCTCAAATTCAATTTCAGAGATTAAATCATAAAGCTAAATGTATCAAAGTACGAAAAAATAAAAACATTCCTGCGGAGGGAGCTGGTAGGAACGTTGGGTTGCTCGATCAATGGCCAGGGTCAACGGCGGCGTGGTGTATACTGCAAATATGCCCAACTGTGAGGGCGGGCACAAGCCGGCGTGAGTAGGTTAAACGTTGAGTTTTATAAGGGCACCACGGGGTGACCAGCCCCTCCCCACCCCCTACCCAGCCCCACCCCTCCCACCCCCTACCCAGCCCCACCCTCCCCACCCAGCCCAGCCCCACCCCTCCCACCCCCATCCAGCCCCTCCCTCCCTCCCCACCCAGCCCCTCCCCACCCTCCCCACCCAACCCCACCCTCCACCCCCAGCCCCTCCCCACCCTCCCCTCCCCACCCAGCCTAATAGGTTTTACCCTTTCTGGCAATAAAACAGGTGTCCTCATGGGACCTCTTTGTGTGCTGACACCATGGATTTGCTAACTTGATAACCCAGGTCTGTGTATATTTGACAGATTCACTAAGAAAATCATGTTACAATACAGCTTTAACTCAAACGTGGGCAAATAATTGTTGTCTTGTGCATAAACAGTCGATTTCTTTTTTTATTTTGCTAGTCGGGTGCCCTTACTTCTTGTGACGTGTTCTTGAGGCACGCCGATCCTCTCCGAGATTTTCCGCTGCACGTTCCACATCTCTTTGCCCTCCATGAAGGCGATCACGTGGTAGAGCGCACTCACATTTTCTTTCACATTTTCAACAAACCTGTCGCACTCGTCAAAGAATCTCATGACCCGGTCGTCGACTGTAATTTCCGGGTAATGTGCAGGCTGGTGGTGCCGGAGGGCACGCATGAAGGCTGTGGCGCTTTGGACACAACGTGGCTTGGAGCTGCTGAGGAATCGCAGGGATTTGTGATTGACGGCCCACGTGCCTAATAAATCCGGGAATCGTTCAGCAAGCCGCTCTGCCAGTTGCGCTTCATCTCTAGCTCCCTTCTCGACCAGTTCTCCACCGAGCTCTTCACGGAACCAGAAATGCCACTCGCCAATCTTCCGCGCGAGTGCCGTGGTGCCGGCAGCCATCAACTGATGCATGATTCGCATGGCGCGTATTTGACGGGCGGTCGGCAAACGAGTCCCGTGGCGGATCACAGCATTGAGGTGCATTGCCCGACATTCCTCTTTACCTACCCATCCACTGTACTTGCTCACGTCCTCGTAACGTGTTTTGGTGCCAAAGTGGCCACACGATGGGGTCAGGCAAGGTGGAGTATTTGCAATGTCCTCCAAAGAATGAGTCGATTTGATGAACAATGACATGAGCAACAATACCAAAGCCATCAGATCTTTACGCCAATACAGGAGCCGTCGTAAGGCCATGGGAGTGTGCAGCGTGGCTCCCACCGACGGCTCCTTCTGCAGGAGGACATACACGAGATGCAACATCGTTAGTTTGCTTGCGGTAGAATAGCAATGATAAAAACGTCAAGGCTACGGTGTCTGTCACTGCACACGAAACACCCGGCCATTGCGACAATTGCAGAAACGAGCAGAGGCGGGGTCGACATCCATCCTTCAAGGTCTACGATTACAGTAGAGCACCACCCGGCTGGAGCTCTTCGCCTTATTCTGATGCAGCTGTTCACAGACCAGATGCTTATTTTCTATTTGCTGTGTTGCAGTCCAGCTCCCTGACCCACATGTTAGCACCAACGTTGGCACTTCTACCGTTTAAAAGTGGTTTATGTAGTCCATCAAAACCCCACTTTGCAAATGTGCAATGTGGTTGTTTTCCTCATACCAACACCCTTAATTATAAACATTATTAAATTAATAATGTGTATAATAAACACACCACCTCCTATGTCAGCCATGGCCAGAAATTCAGCTCAGGTGGCAGGGTTCAGAGCTTCGTGCATTAAACATTGCACAGAGACATTTGGCAACGCAATACAATACCGTAGTTCCAAACTATCACAAGGGTGTAGCATTCACAAAATCACTTAAAAGGAACGCAATTTAAATCACAACAAACTATGTTGAAGGCAGTACAGTCATACCGAGTTTTATCAAGGTATATATACTGCATATAAAGAATATAATGCAGTCAAGTTTGAGTGATTGATTTCCTGCTCCAATGACCATTGAGAACGGTGATAATTAGTTTGCAGCCCTTGAAGCAACTGGTGACATTTAGACGTTCCCATGACGGGGGAGAGTCTTTCCATAGGGGGCAATGCATCAACGCTTAAAATATCTGCAATATAAAACGTACTATTCAAGTGAATATCCTATAATGATATATTCACTACGTTCCCAAGTGTGCATCGTGCAACCTTACGCACTCGTTTAGCTTTTGCTCCGTTGTCTTTTGTCAATATCCATATTTCCGATTCGACCCTTGCAACTAATTAGACACAGTGCACACACAGTGAGTATTAAGTAACCCTCACGGGTGTCTCTTTGGAGTACTGGAGCGGTGGTCAGCGCGCTGTGATCGCAATTTTGTACGCTCCGCACCAGGTGCCCATTTGCGGCTGAGTCGACCTCAGGGAGGGCCCAGGACCGGTCCAGATGATGGACATCGCCGGTGTTGTGGCCGGGTTCTTAGCACGGCGCGCTGACCACCAACACCGCCACGCACGCGATCCTAAGGGCACAATCAGCTGCAATCCTTCGTTATAAACTCTCAGACAATTATTTTTTGTAACAATATCAATGGTAATAATTACTATAACGTAACTCATTTGTCCGGTAAAGCCTCGTAATTTCATAATTGCGAGTGGCGCTGCTGTTTGTTGCAATACAACAAATGCGTGGGGAGCGGTGGTGCCGCGGTTAGCGCAGCGCTGCCAACCCGCCAGAAAATCCCGAGTTCGATTCCTGCTCACGGTACAACACCACAGGGCCTCCCCCTAGGTCGGCTCGGCCTCAAATGAGTACCCGGTGCGGTGTGTGGTAAACATCGCCACTGGGGAGACAAAGGTGGCCGGGCGTGGTTGTTGCTGCTCGCCCCCCACAGTCTCCACGGGGGGGGGGGGGATCATTGTCCTGAGTTCGATTCCTCGCCAAGGTCAACCCGCACCGACCGGCGTGGTGAAGTATGGCTGATCTACAGAAGACACGGCGTGGTGGAGTAGTGGTGGTGTGCCGAGCAGTCAGTGACTCTGCTGGTGTTAGTTAGTTAGAGTTAGTATAATTACTGGTGTTAGTTAGTTAGAGAGTTAGTATAATTACTGGTGTTAGTTAGTTAGAGAGTTAATATCTTTGCTGGTGTTAGTTAGAGAGTTAGTGACCTGCTGGTGTTAGTTAGAGAGTTAATATCTTTGCTGGTGTTAGAGAGTTTGTATATTTGCTGGTGTTAGTTAGTTAGAGAGTTAGTATAATTACTGGTGTTAGTTAGAGAGTTAGTATCATTGCTGGTGTTAGTTACAGAGTTAGTGACACTGCTGGTGTTAGAGAGTTAAGAGAGTTAGTATCATTGCTGGTGTTAGTTAGAGAGTTAGTAACATTGCTGGTGTTACATAGTTAGTGACACTGCTGGTGTTAGTTAGAGAGTTAGTATCATTGCTGGTGTTAGAGAGTTAGTTACACTACCGTACAGTGCACCGAGCCTTGGGCCTACAGCCCTCAGTGCTGTCGGCAGCCGTCGGCCGGGGCTCAATAAAGCAACAATTTTAGTATAATAATAACTTTAGTATAATAACAACGTGTAGATGTGCAGGGTGTGAACACTAATGCGACATCACCTCAAGGCGGACGACTGAGCAAAGTGTTTATTTTTAACAAGAGGACTTGAATACAGATTCACGTATTTAGTTCGACAGAGAGACGTAGCGATGTCATACAAATTGTAGATATACACACACGAACAAATCCACACACAGGAGCATATAAATACACGCGATTACAAGCCGCAGCACAATACATTGTGACTTTATTTTACTGACAAGATACGAGAGAGACGGCCTTGAGCTTGGATCCAATTGAGGAGAGAGAGAGATCCACAGCACGGGCAGCAGAGAGAACTCTTCGGTCGTCACATCAAGCACGAAACGAAGCACGAAACGGCCGCAGCACGACATCATTGTACGAATAAAGACGTCGAGAAGATAAATAAACTTACGCTGCGACTCACGCGGCCGAGGGCTGCTCGGTGGTTGTCTTTAAATGCGGGCTCAGTGGCGCCCCCGCCCGAGACGTCAACCCCTCACCAGCCGTGCCCTCTTACCTTGTTACACACAAATTAAACACCTTCATGGTCACCCCCGTGCCCCTAAACATCTCATGGTTTATCCTGAAAAGTGCCATCACAAGGGAGAAACAAACAAAGACATTTTTTTTATTTTGCTGGCACGGCTGTACGCCGTGTGGACCTGACAACTCAATTTCCACTATGGGAACCTCATTTGCCAGTAAAAATATGATAATTGTTTTTTTACCCTTCCATCTGGCAACAAAACTGACACCTTTTTACAAGGAGTCATGTTTGCATAGACCACAATACCTGCAGTCATAATACAAACAAAAGACATAACTCTGATAATGTGCACTGTCCTTGAAGTTGATTGGTCCACACGCGAGACAGCTTTCCTTAGAGCCTAGTCTCACATGGTGTTGGACCAGATGACGCCAAAAGGCGCACAACTCAAAATGAACATTGCGCCAGGACTCATCACCTGTTTGCAACCCTGAGCAATAGGTGGAAATTCCATATTTCTATGGCGGGCACGAGTCCATCCGTAGAACAACCAACGTTGACTTCCCCACAATGTGGTACTTATTTTAAATCCTGGTCCTCATTAAATGACCTTCGGTCCACGCTGGATCACTTTGCACAGTACAAGCATGAGTGGTTTGGATAGAGGACACAAAAGGGTATACAAAGGACAGGTAAATTATTGCTCAGAAGCCTTCGTGTAAGTAGGTTATGACGCATGTGCCTTCTATGCTGGCTGATTAAAAAGCTCATAAGCTGACTGACTTCCTGTTGGACTTCTGTTCACTTACATGTGTAGTGTCAGCGATTTGGAGATGAGGTTTGTAGGAGGCAACTTATTTTATTCAGTACATTCATGGTCTCATCCACGTAATCTCTATAGTCGCTTAGCCTAGCCGAAACACAACACTAGCCGTCTAACACTGACAATATCTAGCGAAGATGGCAGCACCGTCTAACACTGATGGCGCTGACTGAGACAGCCAACTTCCAGCAGCGCAATATCTAGCAAAGATGGCAGTGACGACGGCGACGAGACGACAGCAACGACGAGACAAATCCAATCCCAGAACCGGCAGCCTCGAGCTCCCACTCTCGGCTCCTTTTATCCTCCCAGCGTGGCCTAACTCCGCCCTGGCCACGCCTCGCTTCTCGAACCCACTAGCAGGTTCCAGGGGATTCCAGATGGGGTCGTCTGTGACGTTTGCCCCAGTTCCTCCGCCCTGCCAAAACACCCCAACACACGCTCACCGGCGTGTGTACTGTCCACCACAGTTTCTGCTGCTGCCCAGCAGCCGGCGCTATTACACTACACATGCACTGAATCACGTGTCTAAGAATGAGTATTTCTATGTAATGGTGCAGCCCTGCAATTGCTTGATTATGGCACTGCTGGTGAAGCACATCTGTTATAGAGCACTAGAGACCCTCTTATTATTGTAATTTGCCCTACTCTTTCACACTGGACAGACGTCTTGAAAGAGCTGCCTACCCACACTTTATCCCACCACTTACAACCTGCCAAATACTTAACTGTGATGTGCAATTTATATAGAAGAGCAGACAGAGGTGGGGCTAATTAAAACAACAAACCAGCCCCATATATATATATCAATGGGACCCTTTTTGGCAGAATCAAGATCACAATGCATACATCATTGTACCAACGCATATTTGTTTGCATGTTTTAACACAAGTATGTGTGATTAATATAGACTTTACGTATATCCATAGGGTTGTTTATTTGGTGTTTCAACATCTTAAACTTGTATTATTGCCAGAAAGAGCTGTACATTTAACATTTGCCCTATGACCAAATCACCTGGAATGCACCGACAGTTAATTTGGGTTAGATCGTGTAACAAGAAATGTGTCGTTAACCCTGCTACCACCCGTCTGAGCCAATTAGTAAGGTTTGACATGAAAGCAACACCTACCAATTAGTTAATACTTCAGCACAACGGTGTGTTTGAGAGTAAACCCACAACATTTACAATTAGAACAAGACGTTTCGCTGGTGATTACATCAGCTTCATCAGGTGATAGCCAGAATTTTGAAGAAGTCCTCCTGTTTCGGTCTTAAATAGAGGAGTAAAGGTCATGTCATCACTGTGAGCCTATCAGGTGCGAAAATAATCGTTGTATTGTACTTCTATGTTCCCACATTTATGCTCACCGTCTTCATCAACCGGCACTGACCAGCGTGATGGAGTATCGGACGCTAAGAGCCACATCGATTGTTACATTACAACCGTGTCAAAAGATAAGCTTTCTCCCGGCAGTAGATTCAGAATTGCTGATGATGATCTTTTGTGATAATGGGGTTAGAGCTACAAAATGCCATCGTGTTCTTAAAATTGTACATAATGGCTACGTATGTATTATCCCAGTGAATCAGTTGCAGAAATTTAAACATTAATTTTCCGTTTAACTATGGAAAAGCAGTCAAGTGAGTTACATATTAGCATATTAGCGGAGTCCTCATATAAATTGCATGTAGACTGCTGGACGAGGAAATATTGCCCTGCTCTTCTCGACAAAGGAGGTGACATAAAATATTTCCAACACTCGAGATCACACGCACTATTCAGGTTAACAAAAGTAAGTTGTGCTCGTTTTCATTTAAAATTGTGTACATGTAATAATGCACGAAATTAATATGCAAAACTGCTGTTTTCTATGAAAGTTTTAATGTATCGTTTTTTTATTTGTTTTGTTTGTTGGGAATAATTTTGTTGGGAATAATAACAAAGGTATGAAACTATAACGTGCAGTAGCAGACCCAGCCAAACATTTTGGAGGGGGTACATCATTGCGGGAAACACAATTGGGTGTAAATTAAGCTTTCCTCTTGTAGCATATTAAGCTACAATTAATTATAAATACGTTACGTACAAGTTTATATTAATGAGGAATCTCTAAAGTGGCCTATGATGTACGACCGCCAAACATCTGGAAATGTGCTCTGATATTTATGCCGTTGTGTTAATTGATGGCATGGTGGGATGGTTGGCACACGGCGCAGTACGTACCTTACTTGCAGTCCCAGAGGTCGTTTGTGGGCTTCAATCTCCTGGCTTGACAATTGAAACAACGGTTGTAAGTGTATTACATTTATTAATGTATTAATTAAAACTACTGGACATCTGTGAGTCGACTGGACATCTGTAAAACAAAGAGCTTTATAGCTCATCGGATTCCTCCAGTATAAATAAAGATTCTAATTCTGAAATCCACTCCCCCGCGTCTGTCCACCCAGTAGTAAAAATGGGTACATTGCGGTTCATTGGCAGGTCATGTGTGGTGGGGTAAAGTGTAGGTACGGAATTCCCAACGCTTCCAATAATTTTGGCCAGCAAGGAAGAGCAGGTTAAACAACTCATGGAGGGGCTCTATAGAGCTCCTTTGAATGGAGGCCCTTCCACCAGCAGTATCATCACTGATTCGGCTTTATTAATTGAACAAACCAAACGGGTTTCCTTAAAACCCTCTGCTGCTAGACCTCCCAGATTGTATGGTTTACCAAAAATCCATAAAGAAGGTACACCCCTTCGTCCCATCATCTTACCATTGACTCACCCACCTACAAACTGACCCGGTTTCTATCTGAGACCTTGCAACCATTCACTGGTAAGACCACCTACCTCTCTGTACTTAACTCAGCTCACTTGGTATCCGTAATTAATGACATCTCACTATCTCCAGGTGATATACTCGTTAGTTTCGACGTAGTTTCTTTCTTCACCAAAGTTCCTATGCCCGATAGGCCGACACCATTGCAATCATTGAAGATTTAGTCCAACAAGGATTGAATGCTGATGTACCGGCCCTGGTTAGACACTGCCTAACCAATACATACTTCATCTGGAATGGAACATTTTACAAACAAGTTGAAGGCATCCCAATGGGTTCTCCCTTATCTCTGGTTGGAGCCAATATTTTCATGGAAAATATTTAGACAGACACCATCCAGGCATCCACTCTACGCCCGTCCTTGTGGAAGAGGTACGTAGATGACACGTTCGTCATCTATCCACATGGCTGACCAGCTCTGAACCAATTCCTCAACCTACATTAATTCCATACACCCAGCCATAAAATTCACCATGGAGGTGGAAAAGGATGGCAAGCTACCATCTTTGGATGTTCTAATCGAAAAGAGACCAGATGGCTCAATGGGACACTGTCTACAGGAAAGCAACTCATACGGATGCCTACCTAAAACCGGACTCCCAACACCATGCATCCCAGAAGAATTCCCTCATCAAAACTCTACACCATTGAGCTCGATGCATCTCCGACCATCATCACCTAGCCAGTGAACTGAAACCCGTGCACCAAGCTCTCAAGATGAATGGATATTCGGACCACACAATCCGTAAAGCCACCACCCCAACCGTTGGGAAAGAACCATCTGAGGACCCAATCAAAACCATCACCTTGCCATACATAGCAGGGGTCACCAAAAAGATTTCCAAAATCTTGAGCAAACACAAGATCCAGGCTCGATTTAACACAGTACATAAAATTTGTGATCTAATCCCATCTGTGAAGGATAGGATCCCTGATATGCAAACTCTGGCATCTACAAACTAAGCTGTGTCTGCAACAGTAGTTACATTGGGGAAACTAAGCGACATGTCTCGAACCGTGTTCCTGAGCATAAAAAACAACCGGCTTACATGCAGCGCTGTTCCGAGCTCTCTGCAAAATGGCGCCCGCCGGCCATGCCCTCCCTGGGCAAAATGGCGCCCAGCACTGGTGTGGTACCTGGCCCGGGCACCACGGCTCCCGCACCAACCAACGGGAGTTGACAACTTGCAGCTCAGCACACGGCAGATGCCTGCACAGCGCGACTCACGACCTCCTCTCGATACCAAGATCCAGGATGGTCATGTCTATGCGCCGCTTCTCGGTGGCAGCCCCAACAGTCTGGAACGATATCCCTCTGCACATTCGCAGCATCACCTCAATCGCCTCCTTCAAGAGACACTTAAAAACTCACCTCTACAATCATGCTTTTGAGCGACTCTGAGCTTGGCTCCGCGCCTCTGAGTTGCGGCCACTACGTCTGCAAATTTGCGCGCGTTACAAATTGTACTATTATTATTATTGTAGGCGGGGTCAGCCAATCCGACGAACATGTCCAGCTGGTTCGTAAGCGCTGGTGTTCATGAGTAGACGACTGCCTCTAGCCATATTTCGTAACCAGCCAATTGCTCCTGTTTAGTTTGGTACTACGCGAATGTGTGTGATCCATCCTCTGACCATGGTCTCGCAGACAAGAAAATGATCATTCTGCGCAGCAGGCAGCACTTGAGGGAGCTGATGGTGGCCTTGTCTCGCCGTCTTCCTCACTCTGCCAAGGCGAGTGAACTCAGCAGCACCTGCTTTGTTGATAACTGGAGCATTGTTTCATTGCCCGTGACCAAACCACCCCGAATGAAACCAATCTCATCACATCTTAGAAGCTAAGCAAGGGTGGAGCCCGGATAGTGCTTGGATGGGCAACCACCACGCATAACACAGGTGCTGTCGGGTGGTGCAAGAGCTACGTTATGGGCAGCAGAAAGCAATGCAATTAAAATTCTGTTGTACTGTACTATGCTGTGCGCCCAATTATCAGCGGTATGGTGGCCTCAGTGTGTGGATAACTAGCGCTCTTCCTCTAACGGTAGTGCGGTAAATATGTCCCTGATTGGCGTGACAAGTAACGTGCAGTGTAACTGCACCGTCTTCATCACACGGTATCTTCATTCTTATTATCATCCATGTCTGCCATCATCATATACCTCTTTCATTGTCATACTCCGAATGCTCAAATAGACCTGACTCACTGCAGGATTTCCTGAGTGGGCAAGCATAGAAAATTAAATCATCACCACAATCACCACCATTTGTGACCATCTTATTAATCATCTTCATAATCCATCATCATCACATATATCTGATCTTCATCCTTCTCTAATCAAAATCTTCATCATCTATCTATAATGATCATAATCAAAACCATCTTAAACCTCCATCACCATAACGTTTCATTATCTGTTAAGTCTTCTCTCAGTATGCAGTGTTGTCGTCATCTATCGTGTTCAACCATTGTCATCAACTCCTTCATCCTCACCATCATCTGAATCTCTAAATAGGTAAATTAATTAACTATCGTGTTTCTGTAGACGTATGGGAGGTTGTACTTTGGACTGAAAGGCATTTCGGGACCTATGGACGTTTACGTGGACTCCTGGCCAAACTTTCAAGCCGTAGTTGTACAGCCAAGGGAGGAGGTGAGTTATATTTGGGGCATGGGTGGGTTGACCAGTAGCGGGTAATGCTCGACTTACGAACATAATTCGTTCCTAAGTTGGAACAACAATGTACCAGATTTCAATGCCAATTCGGTCGGTGTTATTAAATATATTATGGTTCAAATGGAAGCATTGTTAAGATAAGATAAACTCATGAAGCAGAATTAGTATTGTATATTTACATGTGTAGTGCGTCCAACTGAGTCGCAGACGTTATCTTGAGAGCAACACTATTTATCATACAACAGCACGCAACACAACACTATTTATTATACAACAGCACGCAACACAACACTAACACTATTATACAACAGCACGCAACACAACACTATTTATTATACAACAGCACGCAAAACAACACGATCTACACTCGAGCCTCGAATGCCCATCTAACCACGCTACGGCAGAACTAGACACGGTTCGCTATCCCGGTCCGGACCACAAGCTGGGTCCCGGCTAGAGGCTTCTTCTCCCCGACGTGGATCTTCGTAACACCAGCACACAAAAACCTCGAGCTCCTCACGGGGCCCTCATTATATGCCCCCGGGATGGGGCTGGGGCTGTCTCCGCCCTCCGCCCCACCCACCTTCTAGGTCTCTCGAGCTCTTTCTCGAAGGTTCCCGAGAGCTCTTTTAGACCACGTGACCGCCCCGCGGCCCCCGTCCAGCGGTGGACCCCCCTCCAATATCATCCAGTCACGTGTCAGCAGGTCAACCAGCGTATCATGCCTCAACGTAACCCTGGCTGGCTGATGCTCCCTCTCGCTCCTTCACCGGGAGCCCGCACCGCACACTGCTAGCGATGCCTCCGAGCAAACCAGCGCTCACCCAAGCCCCGCTAGGGCTGGTACTACACCCCGTAACCCGGGCTGCCCATAATGACAACACATTATCTGCCGTGGCTTCGTAAGCCACGGCACCATACAGTGACAACCACAGTCACTACACATGTAACACTATAATAACACTATATGGTAAATAAAACAAACTTAATTACCATAAATAGAAAAAAAAGGTCAGTTTTATTTTCACTTGAGTCCTGATACTGGCTTGCGCGTAGAAAGAGGCACAATGAGTCACCACAATTGCCCACACAAAGACAAAGATCCCCCCGATAGCCTGAACAAACTATTTGGGCAAGTGCCGTTAGCGAGCACCTCTGAAGGCCATCACGGCACACGAGGGGGTGGGTGGCCAGCATCACGCTCGGCGCCTTTGTCACCAAAGTGGCGATGTTTACACACCAAGTACTCATTTTGAAGTTGAGGCCAGAATATGCATAGGAATGGTGGGTGGACGTATATTTTATTCGTGCCAATAACATTGAAGCAACTTTCTTTGAGCTCATAAAAAAATGTAAAGGCTAAAGTTGTGTTGATTAGTTTTATTTAAGTTCGACTCGTATGTAGAACTTAATGATTCATGTTGCAATCTTCCCTTCAAGGCCGGTGAAAAGCCGTTCATGCCCAGCTATTCCACATTTTCACTCAACCCAAGCAGCCTTGCTGACCTCCTGTTTAATGTTGTGGAATGGAAGAAGCCCTTCATGCTGGCAGGTGAACTGTCTATACATCCAAAATAGATTTTACTGGGGGATTGGAATGAATTAGTAAATATAAAATTGCCTTCTCTTACCCAGTATGCAAAATGTTTATATTGTTCTTTAAATGCAAATACATTTTAGATTATGGAAGGGATTATCTGTTAATCAATATCTACTCTTGGATAACTTTTCATATGTCAATCAGGAAACATTATTTATATATTCTTAACAGGCCCCATGGTGTACAATGCATTCTTCAACTCTCATCCACTCCACCTATCTGGTCTGTTTGTGTTATAAAGAAGGGCCATTGCTAGAAGCATCTCCCGTTATATAATGTTCCTTATAATGTTATTGCCAAAAATGTAGACTTTTTAGTTTTGGGGAAAAAACACTAGAACAACAGTTACATACAATTTGGCTTTCTTTGCATTCATAATTATCACATAAAAATACTATAGCATTGTTCTGCCATTTCTTGCCACTGTACATTGTATTTCAAGCAATAAGTGGCACATGCATGAATATTTGTCTGAGGAAATCCTAAACCGCTACACAGCACTGTTACATTTGGTTGAACGTTTTGTGTGTAAACAGGTATAGATGTTGATTTGAAAGAACGTGTGGATGATTTGGCGGCCAGAAAAAATGTCCGTCTCTCCTGGCCGTCGCCCTACAACATGTTCACAATGAATGACCCTTGCCACACTCAGGTACAAGTCATGCCGTGCTATATTTGCCATGGTTTTTTTTTATTCAACCATACGATTTTATCAGGAGACGAATTCAAAAGTGAATGCAACTCTTGTCCTCGGCCTAGGCCTCGAGTGTGGCCTTAGTCCCAAGGCCTTGGCATAGAGCCCCCAGCCTTCACAATGGCCTAATACTAGAGCAGTGGTTCCCAATATTTCTGGATCCGGAGACCATTGCCAATCCAAAAAAAAGTTTTGTAATGCACAATAAGCCAATTCCTTTAAAACTACTCTAAATCATAGTGCTTTCAATAGTGATGTCGACTACTTCCCCATGACCTTGCGGACTACCAGAGGGCCAGTGGTCACTTGGCTAAATATGGTGTGAAAAAAGTTCAACATATATACACTGGTCTTGAGGATACGACCTTGACTGGCACTGGCCTCAACCTCATACTCTTGACCTTTCATCCTCCAACTTGGCCTTGTAGATCCCGACATTGAATAGGGTGTCCACCTTCCCTGGTTTTCCCAGAATCGTCCTCGTTTTGAAGTGGTTTTCTTGAGAAATCTGTAAGTCATTCCAGGACATTAAAAATCCAGGTTGTGTAATAATTCATCACTTGAAACACCACAATGTATTGTAGTTCCCATCTCTTGTGACGGTAAGATATTCATCCCAATCATTAACTTCGGCTTTGGCAACCAAAGCCATGAATTAAGAAATTGTCCAATTATTAACTTCTGTTTTATGCGTGTGTTTTATTTGTGCTTCCATTGTTTTGCAGATTTCCAAAATCTAAATCAGGCCTGAAAACAGCGATGTTAAATACAAGCCACGCTGAGTTGGTGTGCAACTCATGGAAATACAAAGGCCACCCTGACAGCCTGCGCTTAATCCAGACTTGTTTAAAAAAAGGATTTCCCAATAGCTGTGTCCTGGACGCTTCTGGAAGTCCAGTCGCCTGGATTCTCTGCTACTCATATGGAGCGCTTGGCTCAGCATTTGTGAGGCCTGACTACCGCAAGAAGGGTCTGTTGTCACAGTGTATGGCAGCAATTATACCCAAATTAAATGAGGATTTCCCTCTGTTTGGTTATATTAATGAAGAAAACACCAATTCATTACAGTGGGCCACACAATTTGGGTTTTCGAAGCCGATTGACCATGGGTTTGCATGGGTGACTGCAGAGCCCTGATATGTGCTGTCTTAATATTTAGTAAGGAGTGATGAATCCTCACTTGATGTTTTCTAGAATGCTGTTATGGTGGCTTGTAGTAGGCACAAACTACTAGTCGAGTACATTGAATACCTATCTATAACGATCCCAGTACTGTCCTTAATGACAAACGGTAACCCCGAGCACTATTCCACAGGCAGTTTTTGCAAACCCACTGCATGCACCACCACAATCACACAAGGACAAAATAAATCATATCACCTCTGCACAGGTTATTATTTCATAGATTGGCAGCTTCATGGTCTTTTTTATACCAAAAATTTCTGAAAGTACCAGGTGCGGATCGCAACTGCAGGGGTTGTGAAGGCAGCGGTAGTTATGCTGTGCACTTTCCGAAACTTGCACTCCCCTCTCTCCACGCTGTAACACGCTGTAATGAATCCGCGACAGAATAAATGAGAAACTACCGAATGCGAACGCTCAGGGAAGGCAATCGTCACCAATGGGCGGACTAACACCCATAAAAAAAATATACCAATGACCCCCTACAGCCCGAACTGACAGCCCAGTCTACCATGTGAGCCTTTCCTGCCTATGTTGTTGTGGATCTTGTGTTTTCTTTTTCCAAAAAAAATCATATTTTTTTTATGTTTATTTAGAAACTAGCTCGTTAGCCCGTCCTAGGACAGAAGCTGTAATATTAAAGATGTAAATTAACGTTTTATTGTGTGATTGTTCATTTTATTAGGAAATGTAGCACATAAAGACATTTTTCTGAACTTATTAAATAAATTAAGGACTTTGGAAGAGTTCTCGGGATACGATATTTTGTGTTAATCTCTTATCACTGATCAAAAGGTTTCCCTGCAATTTATTGGAGCACGTTGCCATTGGAGTCGATATGCTTTTCCACTTTCACTTTGCCTTTTCCGACAGCAACTTGTGAACTTTCCATCTGATGGCCGCTCCTCAGCAAAATTTAGTGAACCACATAATGTACATTCAACACACTGCAGTTGTGTTCAATCACTTCCACAAAGTCATTTGCCGTAGCATGAATAGCTTGACTACGACGTTCTTGTGCTGTCGTATGTGGAGTTTCTCGCTTGCGTCGATTTGCTTGATAAAGAGCATCAGCTGCACGTCGAGATTGCGTCTGATCCGTACTTTCTTGTTCTCGTCGATTTGCTTGCCTTTCAGCATTCTCTCTAACAATACTGTCCAAAGTGTCTTGGCTCTGGCGAGCTCTCCATCTCTGCTGTCTTTCTCTTTGCAAACGGCATTTCTCAGCTGCAGTATTGTCATCCCCCATGATGTTTGGCAATCCTGGGCTGACGTATTTAGATCTTTTGACACTTAACGTGCTCCAGCAGCTGGAACACTGCAATAAAGGTTGCCTCGCCTATCACAAGGACAAAAGTCACCTGACCCTCGCTCTGCACGGGTTCTTAGCTGTGTGCGATGTGGTTGCACTAAAAGAGTGTGACCCTGGGCTGCGGGAGGACGAGAGAGGCACGCACAATAGCTGCGGGCCTGATGCCACGTGGGAGCCCGACCTCGCCTGAAAATAAACATTCTCGTGCAAAATAATAAATTTGAACAATGAAATAACTAACACGCAATCACACTTCCATACATAAATGCATGCAAATTCACACATCACTTTAAAAGGGCAAAAAAACATTTTGCACAGGGACTTGATGCAACATGGGCAGCTATGTTGCATGTGGATTGTTTTCCTGGCAGCTGATTGGCTGGTGTAGTGGGAATGATGACAGTCCCTAGCAACCACTGTAGCGCGTCCCTCTTTGCACTACGCACTTTCGGAGCATCCATATATAAGTTAGCGCAGGCATGTCCAAAGTCCGGCCCGCGGGCCAATCACGGCCCGCGGGCAGATTTCATACGGCCCGCAGCTTCGGTCTTATAATGTGTTAGTTATGGCTCGCCAGCTCTGTCAGAATAAATACATCATAAAACTCATGGAAATTTAAGGTATTCTATACAGTTTGTTCAATGTTATTTGACTGAATGAAGGGCAGAATTGCGTTTTTAGAGTTGTTCCCGTCTGCCTGAGTGGCTTATATTTGGTTACATTGTCATTTGAAAAATAAAGGTAATTGTGACAATGAAAATTGTTTTATAACAGTGTGTATTTACATGTAACTTTTGTGGTTAAAACAATGTCAAAAGGAACTATTGGCCCCCGGGCATCTTCACTTTATCAAATGTGGCCCTATTTGCAAAATGTTTGGACACCCCTGATTTAGCGGCATCTAAGGTGGTCGAGATGGCGGCGACGAAGGTGACGAACCGCAACACAGCGAGGGGATCCACTTGCAGCAACCGCCCTGAGCCCCCGTCCCGGGGCCCCTCTTATCCTCCTGGCGTGGCCTCGCCCCGCCCCCACCACGCCCCTTTTCTAGAACCTACTAGCAGGTTCTCGGGCTTCCAGATCGACCCCTTCCTGGACTTCCCCTTCGATCCCCTTCTCCTGACGTGTGTACTACCCCCTGCTGCCACTACCACTTGCCCGTCAGCAGCCCGCGTTATTACACTACATATATATTTGCCTGAGAGGATGTATGCCGTTTTTTCTGTAATCAGGCCCCTCGTCTTTTGGCAGAGAGAGCCCTTTGTGGACAACTTCTGCAATAGACCTCATGACCCATGCAAAATTACACGATGTGGGATTCACTCTTTCTCAGAGCACCAGGCTACAAAGGCCTGAATCTTAATGATGGAAACACTGAAAAGAGGTCTCGGCTTTCTTGTTGTTCTTGCAGTACTTAAATAAGCAGTGCTGAACACATATTGGCATGAATATATGCTTTATTGTTTCCTTAATACGTGGGGAAATGTGTTAAATCATTTACCAATTTTAAACAGTTGTTATTTGTAAATGTGCTATCTAAAATTGTTACATTAAAATCAGTTAAGTATACCATGCCATTTCACCTGTACATAAAATCAACTCTTCTGACCGTTCAAGACACATTAAGTTTAATAAAATATATAAACAAATACGAGATTTGTCCTTTCTCTGAAGCAGAATTGCCTTGGTATAACAAACGTTAACCATTCGTGGTCTGCGAATTATGAAATATGTGGTTTGTTAAATGTACTGTTACATAGCTCGAGTGAAGTTATACTCTTCTGTCTGTGGTGACAAGTTTCCTTAACAAAAAAAACATTCAAACAACCATTTACGAATCAATTATACATTTCCTCATCATTGTGATCATGAAAATACATAATATTATTGAGACAATTCGTATGTTATCTTTCTGAGCACGAAATGTGTTTTATAAGGGCAGGTCGGGGTACAGTAGGAAACCTGAAAAAGTGCTGTCGGTGCTCGAATCTGTGTAAACCTTAATGTGGGAACTTTCTGTTTGTAGCCACACTTCATCACCCTTTGTCAAACGCAAAACTGAAGAGCCTGACAAGCTGTAATGGCCCGAGACGGAGGAATATTTAAACTGAACTGCTTGTCCATTGCGTCTCAGGGAGACCCGGACGGTGCCACTTCCACCGGTGAGATGGTAGTCAAAGTAATAGACGCCCGGGAAATGGCAAGTGAACTTGCCGGTTAACGTGTTGTAATGATTCTGCTCTTTGTACATGGCCTTGCTGAATGTTATAGGGGATCCGCTGCGAGGGTTCGATACAGACAGACCCACGGTGAATGCGGATCTGGGGGTGGCAGCCGGGACTTCTCCTTTGTCTCCCTTTTCTCCCTGAGGTCCACGATCCCCTCTCTCTCCAGCGGGACCCATCGGCCCCATTTTTCCAGGAAACCCTGCGAAGGGATTACGAAAAGTTTCTGCACCTTTAAAAATTGAAAAGCAAGTGTCTCCGGTGGCGTAATTCATCGTGTAATCGTACTTGTGTTTAGCAGGCGTACTTCAGTGGACAATAACGTAGGCCAATAAATAATTTTGTAAATCCTACATTAAGCACACTAAGCCCAACACATTAGACCTTGGTTGTTGACCTCATTGTTTTTGATGGCGATATAAAAAAAATGTGCAAAAAAATATCCAATAAAATTAACATTCACAAACCCTGGAATCAGTCCCGACATATACATCGGAATGATGTTAAGAAAGATAAGTTATCAGAGCTGAGCCTTTGTCAATCGTGAAAGCAATGATCCAGTGTGCTTAACACAATCGACGCTCTGTATTATAGTGCCGCCACAAAAGTTTACATCTGGAGGACTTTGTAACGCCTGGCTATGGTGGGGTGCAGTGACAGTTCAAGGTTTTTTACCGGTCTCTCCTGCGCTCCCTTTGTCCCCTTGCACGCCATCATCCCCCCGGTCTCCTTTCTTGCCGTTCTTGCCAGGCTGGCCGTCATGTCCGTCCCGTCCATCTCGCCCAAGAGGACCGATCGGACCTGGGTTTCCTGGGATCCCGTGGTTCCCCGGTATGCCCGGCATGCCTGTGCAGCACCTTCCCACGTCCTGCTCAGCGCCACGGCCACTATCTGTGGCCGCGGCCGTCATTGAAATCAACATTTCCTGCTGAAACAATTCGGCGCCATGGTCGCTATCTTTGGTGGCGGTCGTCGTTGACACCAACAGTTGCTGCTGAAGCAGCAGCAGCAGTAGCAGTGGGTGGCTGGATCTCGGACAGAGGGCCATCGTCTGTTGCAGGTGGAAGTCATGAAGTTTGGGAATAATTTGAGCAAATGAAAAAGGGGGTGAGTGGGGGGGGCATTGGTCAGTATCACTTTTCCAAGAAATTATCGACCTCCCATGTTGTGTACTCCCTAAGTAACCCACAATCCCATTGCTCTACCGATGATAAAAGAATATAATGACGAAAAACGAAACTGCCGTTGAATTGTTGAAAACACATACGCCATTTATAGATGAGAAAACAATGAAAGAAAGTCACCGTCTTCTCTTGAAATGAATATTTTGTCGTTAAAGTTTTCGCTATTGCTCAAGTGATTTATCAAAAGCAGTTCCACGTGTGAACATTTAAAAAGGTGAATAAAGTATCTTTACAACATCGCAAATTACCCAAATGAAGATACCAAGTCATGCATGCCTATCACTGTAAGATACATTGTTACATTTCGGCGAGCACATTATTTGTCAGAAATGCAAGAAAATTCATCTAGCTGCATTTTAAGCCAGCGGTTGAGCGATTGTGAAAATCATGAGACTATTTCCCCACTGCTCGTCCCGCAAAGTGAACCCGACTTACCTTCTTAGATTTGCAAACGGAAACTGATACAATAACCACCAATGTTCAAGGCGAACAGCTCGCTGGTGTTGACGGTGGCTCCGTTTTTATAGCTGGACCAGGAGGCGCGGTGGAGTGGCAGGCAAAGGTGCAGCTGAGGAATGAGGAAGTTTAAGAAAATCTGGGGCGAGGTATCGAAAGTGGTTTCTCAAGGGGAGAGACTCGGAGTGGATTCTCGGATGAACCGACTCTGGCACGGCTCGTGTGCTGTGGAGAAGTGACGGCATCATCAGAATCAGAATATTTATTTATACTGGAGGAATCCGATGAGCTATGAAGCTCTATTTCACAAATGCCCAGTCGGGGGCAGGTAAGAACGTTACAACAATACAAAAAAAACACGATAGGAGTGCAAAGTACAAGAAAGGTAAACAAATCACCGAAACAAACACAAATACAACGAAACCATCCCCATCCTACCAGGCAAAGCCTACTGAGGTATTAACTTATTTTTCAGAAGCGACCTGGCCACAAATGATAGCTCAATAAAGTAGCCCATCATTTGGGCAACTATAGCACCAAAATAATAATAACAATAATAAAACATTGAATGAAGCCGAGGACCATAATGGGTTCTTTGTTTATTAAAGTTTGTTTTCAATTGAAACAAGCAGCACTTTGCACGATATTGCATATGCTCTATATTTTAATATCCCTCTTTATGCATCTTGTAATGTGCATTGTTTGTTATAGTCAATATCATCATTACCCTGTTTATATATATGAAGAGGAGACTTGAGATGGTTAATCCTTCTGGGGCCAATCCGTTCAGAGGGTCCTCCACTCAATGATCGGATTTCGTGTCGTACACGGCAGCGCTCCCGTGACCCTTAACCCGTGGTTGTGTGGTGTTTGTGTGTGAGGATGTCCCGAACATCCTCTACATATATAAAGGATTGCATGACCAATATGATTTGTGATTAGTTTATTTTGGGTTAGATCGTGCGGCTACCGTACTGCAGTTATAATTTTAACGTGTCATTGAGCTTAGTTAAAACAAATGGGCATTATACCTAAAGGATCTAACCCAAAACTAATAAAGAATCATCATCGTCATGAGGGGCGGCCTCTGAGCAAAACATTCTCCCCTTCTCCTCCCTGCTAATTAAGTACCACCTCGAATTTTAGACCAGGGCTTTCTACACTGCGAGGTCGAGCCATGGGTTCCGCTGGTGACACCTGACGATCGACCACTCAGGAAGGCAGATCATTCAGAGTGTAGCTTTAATTTTGACCTAAGCTCCAATTCACAAACCAACGAGCAGCGGGCACTGGTGGCATTATGCCTCGTGATGTTTGCTCACTCGGCCTACCAAGATGACTCAGGTGCGAGGGGTCAACATGGACTTTAGGGGCAAAAAGAGAGACATTGGAAAAGGTTTGGCTCTGAGACCAATATCTACTTTCATTGAGGGTTGTGGTATATCTCTATGACTTAATGACAACTTCCTCTTCTTTAGCTATCTGTTCATTGGTGGATCTTTGAATTAAACTTCATCGTGTATGGTTTAGAGCTTTGTTCTTCATTTCACCCCCCCCCCCCCCCCGCCACCTTCCTTCAGGTCATATAGCAGCATTTTCATTTGTCTCCCTCTGGGTCACTTTCCTAACATTCTTCCATCCAGAACATTATTGGTCAAACTTTTACCTCCAAGACTGTGTCCAATCCACACATTTTTCATTTTCTGGATTGTTTGAATTATACTTTTCTCCGTAACTTGACGTAAAAAGTGTCCTCACTCTTTCTTTCCATCCAACTGATTTTCACAATTCTACACCATACTTTAAGACTCAATTGTATTGTTTTTTTGTGTCCAAGTTTCTGCTGCATTAGCGAAACAATGTACTGTACAACATTCTTTGGCATGTGTTGTGATGGGTACTGCAAGATACGATCATATCCGTCCAGTTGGCTTATGGTTGCCAAACGAATACATTCATTATAAGGTCGTGCTCACTACACACATAGTGCATGCCACCAATGAACCACGACACCTCGCTGATCTCATCAAGGAGCATTAACCATGATCACGCGACCTCCGGTCATCCTCACAGTGGCGTTTGGCTCACCATCGAACAAAGATGGTCACCGCATGGCGCGTTTTCAGATGCGCTTCTGCGGCTGTCTGGAACGTTCTTCCGATATTAGGAAGCCACTGGAGCTATGCACTTTTAAGTAATCTAGATTGAAAACTAATTTCTTTAGAACTGCGTTTTTGTGTTTATTCTGTTGTCCTTCCCCCAGAACTCCGATTAGCATTTCTCGGACGCGGAATGCAGGATGAGAGTGGCACGTACTCATAGGGTTTACTGCCTATGCTGGCCCTGAAGCAAGAGAGTGATAACCCTTATCAGGGCCTTAATCTCCCCAGCCGCCCACTCTCCTTTGTCCTATTTGACCTTTCCCCTACCTGCTCTGGGATCACTGTGTAAGAGTACGGGAGCGGTATCATCACGCTGCTGATTCACGGTCATGGCCCATGATTTGCGGCAGTGGTTACCGCCGTTTCGCCCAAATCAGAGGGCTCCGTGGTCTATCGACTAATGGCCTTCGTGGCCGCCCAGCTCACCTGGAAGTGGGCCCCATCCTGGGCTCACCCGACGGCTATAATAGGGGCTGGGGCACTCCATATGTACATCAGGCTTTGAAACCAAACTATTTTTTTTATTTTACCAGGTAAGACCCACTGACCTGCATAGCTCTTTTTCAGAAGCGACCTGGCCATAAATGATAGTCCAATGAAGTGGCTTATTACGTGGAAATGTATAGCACCTACATACTCTAAACGCATGTTGTTTCTAAATGTGGAGGGGGGAAATCCACGCAACCACGGGGAGAGAGACATGCAAACTCAAAATATACAGCAGGCGTCAGGGTCGGGATCGAACCCACGATAAGGCGAGAGAGTTAACATCTCGCTACTCTGGCCAATCCCCCAGCCCCCCCGTTAGGAAACATTTGGCTGAGGCCACTTGTGAGATCACCTACAGCGGAGAGTTCTGATGTTGAGGCAGTTGTGCAGGGCTGTACACCCAGGTGTGCGTGGTGTTGTGGGTTCTGGTGGTGCTTTGTGGAGGTGAATTCCACAGGTGCCTGCACGTCCATGGCATCAGTCTCTGAATGTTTTGAGTGAAGTGTACTCTCAGCCAACGTTGATTGAGTCGTGATCAATGATTTTCTCAGTCGTATTGGACCTGAGGGCCCCAGTGACACACCACATTGCAGTGTTCAGTTGGACATCAAAAAGTCGAGTGGTGACTACTTTTGGTCCATGGGGCCGTCCATAAATGACGTCACGCACCTAGGGGGGGGGGGTCAGACACTTGTGACGATGTGTGGCGAAGAGGGGGGGGGTTTGAGAAATGTGACGTCGCATCAAAATGCGCAACTTTAAATAAAATTAGACAACACTTTCTACTTAATTAGACTTTTTAATAAATGTTGTCTCCTACAACATCAGAGTGCAGCGCCACATTTAAATACGCACTACAATGACAACAGTTTAAAGCGATTTGAAGCATGTTTTATTTTTTGGTGGGGCAGAGCTTTGTGACGTCATATTTGAGGGGGGGGGGGTCTGACTTTTTGTGACGCCGCGTGGCGCCGGGGGGGGGGGGGGGGTCAAAAATCGTCCAAAATCGCGTGACGTCATTTATGGACGGCCCCCCTACTGGTGCATCGTTGATGTCCGTAGCATTGGGTGCTGATGCTGCCCAGCTGGTGCTGCCCAGCTGATGCTGCCCAGCTGGTGCTGCCCAGCTGATGCTGCCCAGCTGGTGCTGCCCAGCTGGTGCTTGCCAGTCAGTGGACCAGGTTGACCCTCGTTTTGATCTTGGCAGCTACCTTTGCAGGTGTTCGTGGGGAGAGGTAAGCGAGTGTGGGGAGGGGAAGTATGGTTAGATGGAGCGGGAGAAGTCGGAGAGAACTGGTCCCGGGGAGTCGAGTGAGATGAGAGGGCGAGGAAGTAGGAGAGTAATGGCGAGTAGAGTGATGAGCAGTAGAACACTGGGAGGAGAGTGAGATGAGTGGCGATGGGTAGAAGACAAATGGAGAGTAGAGTGAGATGAGAGGAGTAGAGTGAGGTTGGGAGTGTGCTCTGGAGGTGAGGTTATCGATTCCCGACGTTTGATCGTCGCTAGAAATCGATTCCCTCTCCGCTCGCCCATCGGATCAGCGACGCGTTCCCTGCCGCCATCTTAGGCGGGGAAGTCGACGTCAATGTACACAAATAAAGTCAACAACAACAACACTGTGGCGTTCACATACAAACATATACATACGCACATAACAAAAATCGACGACAGCGCATAAACCAAACAACGTGTTGCGAATGTTTATATTGTTATACTGTATGTGCCTTTGAATAAAATCCGTTGTCCCGAAACTGCTGCCCTCTTATATTTCTGAGGCAGAGTTGTTGACGAGCGTGTGAAGTTTTTTGTTTGTTTTTCTTTCGGAGGCAAATAGTTGCTGGCGAGTGTGTTGAGTTTTTTTCTATTTCTAAGGCAAAATAGTTGAGAGTTTTTCGTATTTCTTTCTGAAGTAAAAGAGTTGTTGACGAGCGTGTTGCGTTTTTGTTGTTATTATCAATTGTGCTCGTGTAACCAAGCACATTTGGCACCAGCAACATTAATAACGTGTTTTAAACGGCAACCAAACAACAGCAACAAACGCGGGCGTCGTCCCGTAGCAAGATGGCGGAAACTTTGAGTCGTCGCCCCGTAGCAAGATGGCGGAGACTTTGAGTCGTCGCCCCGTAGCAAGATGGCGGAGACTTTGAGTCGTCGTCCCGTAGCAAGATGGCGGAAACTTTGAGGCGTCGTCCCGTAGCAAGATGGCGGAGGCTTTGAGCCGTCGTCCCGTACCAAGATGGCGGAGACTTTGAGTCGTCGCCCCGTAGCAAGATGGCGGAGACTTTGAGTCGTTGTCCCGTAGCAAGATGGCGGAGATTTCGAGTCGTCGTCCCGTAGCAAGATGGCAGAGACTTTGAGTCGTTGTCCCGTAGCAAGATGGCAGAGACTTTGAGTCGTCGTCCCGTAGCAAGATGGCGGAGACTTTGAGTCGTTGTCCCGTAGCAAGATGGCAGAGACTTTGAGTCGTCGTCCCGTAGCAAGATGGCAGAGACTTTGAGTCGTTGTCCCGTAGCAAGATGGCAGAGACTTTGAGTCGTTGTCCCGTAGCAAGATGGCGGAGACTTTGAGTCGTTGTCCCGTAGCAAGATGGCAGAGACTTTGAGTCGTCGTCCCGTAGCAAGATGGCGGAGATTTCGAGTCGTCGTCCCGTAGCAAGATGGCAGAGACTTTGAGTCGTCGTCCCGTAGCAAGATGGCAGAGACTTTGAGTCGTTGTCCCGTAGCAAGATGGCAGAGACTTTGAGTCGTTGTCCCGTAGCAAGATGGCGGAGACTTTGAGTCGTTGTCCCGTAGCAAGATGGCAGAGACTTTGAGTCGTCGTCCCGTAGCAAGATGGCGGAGATTTCGAGTCGTCGTCCCGTAGCAAGATGGCAGAGACTTTGAGTCGTTGTCCCGTAGCAAGATGGCGGAGACTTTGAGTCGTTGTCCCGTAGCAAGATGGCAGAGACTTTGAGTCGTCGTCCCGTAGCAAGATGGCGGAGATTTCGAGTCGTCGTCCCGTAGCAAGATGGCGGAGACTTTGAGCCGCCGTCGTCCTCGTCACGGGGGGAGGGCTGGCGGCTGAAACTCGGGCAAAGTTGAAGCGGCCGCGCCACTCCACCACGAGCGGGGCGCTTGCAAGGACACACACACTCTCACCTCACCTAACCTTGTGTTCACACCACCCACATTACCCTAATTGAATCTCATCGTCGCCGTGCCCCGGACGACGCAATGGCGTTCATCGGCAGGCAGCTCGTGCGGACGATGTCTTCGGGCGGCGCCGCGAAGAAGATTAAAATCGAGAGCCTCTCGGTCATCGGCAGCGGGCAGATGGGCGCTGGCATCGCGCAGGTAACTCGGTACCTACTGACAGTACATATAGCTACAGTACACCTAGCTACAGTCTATATAGCTACAGTCCACGTAGCTACAGTCCACGTAGCTACAGTCTATGTCTATATAGCTGCAGTCTATGTAGACTGTAGCTATAGTATATGTAGCTACAGTCTGTGTAGTTAATTTCTATGTAGTTACAGTCCACGTAGCTACACTCTATGTAGTTAATGTCAATATATTACAGTCTATGTAGACTGTAGCTACAGTCTACGTAGCTACAGTCTACTTAGCTACAGTCTATGTAGTTAATGTCTATATAGCTACAGTATACATAGACTATAGCTACAGTCTATGTAGTTAATGTCTATATATTATAGTCTATCTAGACTGTAGCTACAGTCTGTGTAGACTGCCATGTGAACACGGCACAGTACACACTACTGCATACAGTACATAGTATTAGCTTGCATAGGGTTTGTAATACAACATGTGCAGTGCAGTTTACATTGCCGTGTAAATACACAGCTGGGATTGCCCCGGCAGTCCATGTGGACTGTATTATATTATTGCAATACATTAAACACACATACTGTACTGTGTGGCATACGGTAGATTTACACAGATCGTGTGTTCCGTGTATTGTGTTTTGTGCTGCATAGAGTAAATACCACAGTGTATGTATTACTACAATACTGCACGTGTTCGTGTGGCAACACTGCAATTTATTTACGATTTACCCGGCTCTTGATAATGATCGTGGCAGCTGAAAAGAAACCCAAAGTATGTGCAAGAGACCCATGCCAGGTCTATTTGAGGGCTCCTGAAATCTGTTCACAATTCCACCACCCTCTTGCCTGTCCCCCTTGTAACCCAACAAACAAAAACATTAAGTTGCTGGACATTGCACAAACACTAAACAATCTAAAATCTAAACTTTACTGTGGGCGAGGTGCTTTGGAATTCCCTGAACCTCATCCCACACTCGAGCGCGTTCCGTAAACGAGGTCTTAGGAGATTGTTAATGTCGTGATGATGTATCCCCATGTGATTTTTCATTGTCTTGCTTTTGACTTTGAATGGCAGGAAGATATTTGGCAAAACCGCGAGCCCGACCCAATGCTGTCATCTTCTTGGTTCTTTCGGTAAAGTCACGTAGAAGGGAAGTAATAAAATAATACAAATAAAACATAATAAAACAAGAAGATGAATCCCTGCAGTCACGAAAGCTTTAAATCGAAATCCAATGCTGTCACTTGTGTAATTGGGGTGCACGTTAAACGCTGTTGCAATACATTTTCAAACAGCGTTGCCATATATAATTGACCTTAATAAAGCATCGTGGCTGGCATGAAAGTATACAAAACCCACCAAGTTAGACAGGTTTTAACATTTGTCTTTTCAAACGTGTTGGCAAGACGTGTGGTAGAGTTCCCTGTACTGTGAACCCAGGCGACCAGACGTCTATATCGGGCCGTGGCTGACTTCAGTGACAAGTGGCATCTAAACCAGCCTTGCCAGCATGCCCACCACCTTCAACAAGCTGCACTGATGCCCTGACCAGCTTGGTGACGTACGATTTGAGAAAGTCGAACGTGGCGTAGGAGGCCTTTATCCATTGGTGGATTGAGAATGGCAAGAGTTTGTATTGAGTGTAATGCTCGGATGGCTATCTGCCTGCATGCATGCCAGCCGTGGTGTTTTGTAGTGCAGATATGCATAGACCAATCCAAACTAGAACAATCTGTACAGAAACAGTGTACTTGGCATGCCGAGATATCTGCAAAACACATCTCTACATTCTGCAACACGCAATGACCAGCAAGGTGAGGTATGGTCAAATAAACCTCGCTGCCAGCAGTATAGTAACAAACGCGCTGTACTTGGACATACTTTGTTATTTTGGTGTCCCAAGTCACTTTTCGAAATGAGGCTGCCAAGGTATCTTGAGTTATCACCGTATGTGGGTTTCACGCTTTTGTTTTAAAATCTCAATAAGTGTTGCATGCCTGACCAACATGTACCCTGCAGATCGCCGCAACTACCGGCCACAAGGTGGTGATAGTGGACCAGACTGATGACATTCTGCAGAAGGCCATCAAGGGCATTGAGTCCAGCCTGAAGCGGGTGGTGAAGAAGAAGTTTGGTGACAACACGGAGGTAATTCACCATCGTTGGATGTCATCTGTTTTAGAGGTCGCAGGGAGATGCATCATCGTCGTCATCATCAGCCATGATTAATCCACTGATGAATTAAAGTCTTCCAAAGTCATTTCCATCTCTCATACAAAGCAGCAATTCATCTAGCACCTGCGCAAGAAATTATTTTATCTAAATTATTTTATCGCTTCATCTCTGCTGCGGACATACTTTTGGGCGTGTATTCTTCATTAACTGAAATTCTTCTTGCCATGACGTGTTCTGCCCAAGCCAACTTTTTGTAAAAAGTGACTTAATTTCAAGCATTATCCAGGCTCAATTCAGTTAAGCTTCTGATATCCAACAATATCGGATGTATTCTAGGTGATTTCTTAGTGATACATTCCTTTTCTTCAAATGGAATTATAACCCCCGAATGGATTGCATGCCAGTTTGGTTACTAGGACATTTGATTGCTGTGAAACTAGCATTGCTATGGAAAATGGCAGTGTAATTTAATAACCTGATTTTGATAGCATTGTGCATCCTTCGTTATAATTCTTTACCTTGAGCAAAAAAAAAGTTTCTGACAAACGGGGAATAATTCCATGACCTAGATATGGAATAGAACACAAAAATAGCTGGCAAATAGGCACACTGCCTCTTGCCAGAGCAAAGTTAGTAAGTGTACAGTCCTAGATGCGGCAACTGCCCCCTTGGGGTTTTAAACTCAGACAGGAATGTGGTTCAGCTGCCGCACATGGCATTGTGCCAATTAGACCAAGCTGCCTGGTGTTTACAGTGGGAACAGGAGAAATGTAAAATGTTTGTAAAATGGAAACTTGCTTTTTCCCGAGCAGGACTTCTTTGATCAAATATTTTGAGCAAACGGTGTTTGAAAACTATATATTTAATAAACATGACATATAGACATAGGGAAAAAAGGACTATCCACTTATTATTAAGTTAGGTTACACAAACAGAAATGCATAAACACACTGCAAACAGAGAGGCAAGGGAAATGAAAGGGTAAAGAAAGAAGTAACATCGCATTCAACTTGTGCTTATCAAAACATGCGCTTTCTCGTTCGAGCAGAGATGTAGCCAACACTCAACCAGGGAATAGGCCCAACATCAGAGAGAATGGAAATGAATCGGTGGGAGAGTAATTTTTGGTTGCTATACTGCTTCTCCGGGTGCATTTTAATAATGCTCCTTTACCATTGAACAGATGGACCAAACGGTGTGAATACGAATCCGTGATACAGTGCAATCCCAAGAGAGCACATTGGTTTGCTTTTCTGTAATGTTTACATTGTGCCTGCAGATAAGCAGTACGGCAAGCAGGTGTGTGACAGGTGGCAAAGTGGTTAGCTCACTAAGCCTGGAATACTGCAACCTGAGTTTGATTCCTGGCCACGGCTAACATCAGTGGCGAGTAATATCGGAACCGGTGCTGGGCCCCTCCACCACCTTTACTAACCCGCACTGACCAACACGGTAAGTAAGTATGGTTAAACATCCCCCGTGACTGAAAGGTCTGGGGAGGCCTTTGTCCAGCAGGAGATTGACAAAGGGCTGCAATATATATTTTAATCAGAGCACAAGGGTTAATTAATTATATAGCTGCTGCATCAACTACCGTCGATCATTTGTCGTCATGCATGTGGGGAGCGGTAGTTTAGCGGTTCGCGTGCTGCATTACAAACCCGGCGACCCGAGTTCGATTCCCACTCAGGACCAACACCAGTGACGATGATCTGAACCGGTACTGTGCATCCCCTAGGTTGACTCAGCCTAAAATTAGTACCGGCTGCGGTGTGTAAACATGGCCACATAGGGAGACGAAGGCCACCCACCCCCTCGTGTGCCATGCTGCTTTCATATGTGTCCGATCACAGCACTTGCCCCAAAAAGTTTATCTTTGTCTTTGTAGGCGGGAGCCAAGTTCGTGGCTGACACCATGAGCAACATCAGCACGAGCACCGACGCCGCCGCGGTGGTGCACAGCTGCGACCTGGTGCTGGAGGCCATCGTAGAGAACCTCTCCGTCAAGCAGTCGCTCTTCTCTCAGCTGGACAAGTTCGCTCCAGAGTAAGCGCAGGCAGTAACCTGGGCACGGGCGAGCCCTGACGTGAAGGATGGAGCGACGCAGGTGGCTTCGGCGGTGTTGTGGGTGTGCCGCTTTAGTTACATCGTGTCATTAACATATTACAGCATAGGGCACTGACGTGGCCTAGCTGTGGCGCGTTTGTCACTTGTTGTAGAGATTCACGGTTTGATTCTGGCCGCCGTCCTGGTTCGCTCAGCAGGTGTGTTGACCGTAAAATATCACGCTCCGTCTACTTCACGGGGGACGGTAAAGATCCCACGACGCCATTCAAAAAAGAGGAGGCTATTGTGTGCCAGTGTCATGGTCCACATTTGCCACATTTGAAAAATGGCCTGCACAATTACTCTATTAGGATTAAGCATATCAACATCACCCCCGACTGTGAAACTTCTGAAAACTATGTGAAACATAGCACCTTCGCAATCGCCCTGCGCTATATTGGAACAAATACCAATGGTACTACTTAGCAAAATGATATATTCTGAGTTCTTTTACTCATTGGTTTTTTTCCGCCTAGGAAAACTATTTTTGCGAGCAACACATCGTCGCTGCCCATCACCGACATCGCAAACTCCACCTCGCGTCAGGACCGCTTTGGGGGCCTGCACTTTTTCAACCCTGTGCCTGTGATGAAGCTGGTGGAGGTGAGTCCATGCGTCACAGCCACAGAGGAGGCGTTTACCAAATTTAGTTAGTTTACTGCTAGATGGAGGCCTCCCTGCGCTGTTGGTCATTGTTTGACCATACTTCACCACGCTGGTCAGTGCAGGTTGGTCAAGTGGGGACCGAGGGCCCCCGGCTATGGCTTACATCACTCGCCACTGATGCTCGCCAGGGGCCGGGAGTCAAACTCGGGTCACCAGTTTCATAGCGTAGTGCAGCTTGCTAAGCACCGCTTTGCTGCTATCAGCCTTGCCATCACACTGGTGTAGAGTTAAAACAAATAGTTTTGGACAGTGTTTTGAGTCCAAGTGGTTTCCTGCATCTCCTGAGCTGATGGTGCAAATTCAGCATTCCAATGGCAAAGGTGAATCTAACCATAGGATAGCCACTAAATGGTGCCAATTTTATCTATCCCAGATGGATCCCCCCAAACTAGGATTTGTACTCGCAACCTTCCGGTTGCGAGCTGCTCACTCTACTACTGGGAAACCAGGCCGGTTGTGTCTCTAAACATGTAAATGTCGGATTTTATAGAAATATGCTGGGGTGGCACAGACATGTTATAAATGTCATTTAACACGTAGGCTTTCGCGACCAATATCATCCACGAGATAAGGAGCGTTCTGAGTGATTTTCTCAGAGGTGGTGATGGCGTGGACTAACGTGTGAAGTGTTTACACCTTCTGTGTTCAGGTCGTCGAGACACCCATGACAAGCAAGGCAACATTTGAAGCGCTGACCGACTTCACAATTGCATTGGGGAAAAAACCGGTGTCTTGCAAGGTGAGTAGCCTCTGACAAAATTAATTATGGTCATCATCAGCCACTCTCAGTTATATTCTATGTGGTGAAGGTGACGCATATTACGACGCACTGATTCGCCGAATAAAATTAATTGTTGTGTCCACTGCACGTGCTCCGATTTATATGTGTGTGCCGTCGAGTATGAATTGTGCAAATGTTTATGATTATGGAATTTGAGGGATGTGTTGGGAAAAACTTGATAAGCCACGTATATATTTGAAAATAACCAACGTTCACTTCATTGAAACGCTTCACAATCCACTTGTGATAGTTTTTATTTGTACTGTCTCACTACAGATGGCTGCAAAGTTAACTTAATGTTTTCATGCACTTAACCTGCCTACCCAAAAACCGACTTTTAACATCTTGCTGCGGTGGTGAGATGTTAACTTTCTCGCCTGGTATGCTGAAAGGCATTGATCGATCCCGACACCTGTATATTTGGAGTTTTCATGTTCTCCCTGTGGTCGCGTATATTTTTCTCTGGGTCCTCTAATTTTTCCTTCCACATTTAAAAACATGGGTTTAAGAGTATTTGACTGCTAGAAATGTCCACGTAACAAGCCACTTGGTTGAGCTATCATTTGTGGCCAGGTCGCTTCTGAAAAAGAGCTACATAGCTCAGTGGGCCTTACCTGGTCAAATAAAAAAGCATTGTTTGTTTTCTGGATAATATATTGGTTGTCATGTTTTTCCTGACACACAACCTCTTTTCAAATCAAATGACTCCATGGACATCTCTTCCCCTGGTCGTTGGTCACCCATGCCGTACATGATGGAAGCCGTCATACATGTGACGGCTCCTATCTGGGAGACCCACCAACCATGCTCCAGTTTGCGAGATGAAATTTGTGCACCGCACATCACCCCACATCACTCCAAGTTTGCAGTTCGCTGCGAGGTGCAGGCCTCCACACTATATTGATCAAAGGGTTGTTTGTGGTTATGTTTTTTAACGTAAACAATTGTCAATTTAACACGTAGGCTTTCGCGACCAATATTATTCATAATATAGGAGATGAGCACCGATGCCTCAATGATCGGTTGAGCAGTTAAATAACTCTTGACTGTTGACTGGCGGCAGCAGTGGTGACGATGAGCGAGTTGACACGTCGTCTGCGGTGGCTGCGCGTGCAGGACACGCCGGGGTTCATCGTGAATCGCCTCTTGGTGCCGTACATGATGGAAGCCGTCCGTCTGCACGAGAGGGGTCAGTGCCTCTTGGGGACTGCATCGCAAGTGCCCAAGAACCGAGCACAGATTTCCTCCCATGGGCATCCAAATGAATCTGTGACCCATGCTGGACTAAAAGATGCTGTTTTTTAGTCATCTTAACAACATTGGTGGTGGCGGCATTATTTTTCTTGCAATCGTTTTGCTGCACGTTGGTTAAACACCCAATGTTTTATCACACTTCTTGCACAACTTTTTACTTGACCGATCACACAATCCCTTCTAACCTCTCACCCAATCCCTGATAATCTCTCACCCACGTGCAATACAATGTGTTCTATAACATCCAAATGCAACTACATCTCAAGACACTGAGGAGGAACAGTGTAAAATGGGTATCTTGGGGAAAGGAGACTATTACATATTTTTAAGTGAAAGAGAGTCATGGAGAGGGGGGACAAGGAAGGCCTGAGCCTGGACTTGGAATAGGGGCAGGAAGTTGAAAGCAGGGAGCTCCAAACTTGGTGGGCAGCAGAGGTGAATCAGTGACCTGCAACACAAGGGTTTTTGTAAGAATTAGGCCTTTGATGGAAACACAGGAGCAGTTTTGAGAGGTCGGAGCGGAACCAGGAGAGATGTGTGCCAGAGAGAGACGTCAGAGATGCGCTTAAAGGGGATAGAGGCGTCTATGGTGTCAAGAGCAGGAGTGAGGTATTGTAGAAATAAGAGTGAGAGATGGTCATGGCCATGCATTGTACATAGGCGAGCAGTCTGTTTAATGTTCCTGACTGAAACCAGGTCCACTCACCCTTTCTCCCTGCCAGTAATTATATACCACTCACCCAACTTCTCACCCAGCCACCACTGGGCATGACTTCTTTACTAAACCTCATCACTCAACCTCCCACTCGCCTGACAAGTAATGTGTTTTCTCTCTCAATCTCACCCCTGCCCAGGACACGGCTCCAAGGAAGACATTGACTTGGCCATGAAGTTGGGTGCTGGTTACCCCATGGGCCCCTTCGAGCTTCTGGACTATGTGGGACTGGACACTGGAAAGTTCATCATTGATGGTAAAACGACATTGGCATAACCGTAGGACTGGCAATGTGGGCACCAGAGGTACAGAAACAGCACATTTAAGACTGAGTTGGTCTTCTGAGGTGGCTGGGTGGCTCAGAGGTCAGAGTTCTGAGCTCCCAACTGTTGAGATCCTGGGATTGAATTCAGGCAGCCGCCGTGCCCTTCAGTGTAGTGAGCTGATGGTCTGAGCCCAGTCACCAATGACTACCCAATAGTGAACCATCACTTTCAATTTGGCCCTGCATGTACTTGGGCTAAATTCTAGCTTTTGACAATGATACACGAATTTAAATGTCACGTGGCAAATATTACGCTTCAGTAGCAAAGCTGCTGAGACACTCTCTCTCTAGTTTGTGGTCTCCGTAGTAACTCTGTAATGTCCACTTGCTTTGGCTGTAGTCCAACACGAAGGATTGCACTGGTCTGATAAATCTGAATGGTTATTCTCATGATATGACACCGATAGCACCATTGCAGAAAGATTTTGTAAATATGCCCTGGACTTAATGAGGCTTTTTAATTTTCACATTTTTAATTCTTCAGTGATATTCGTTACATTTGTGCAGCACGTGGGACATGTTGATGTTTCCTTTTAGTGGCTACATGTGTTATACAAGTGTCCAGTGTGTGATGCGAAACAACACGTTGGATATGTAAGCACTTGCAGCACTCTACACACCATGTGCAGTGTGGTGGAGTTGAATGTTGGCCTCACTGGGGTTCATCAGTTCGAGCTGGAACTTATGTTGTGTTTAAATGAATCGTGTACTCTTTTACTTTGGCTCTTATCCTTTTCCTGTCAGAGCTGATTATGTATAATCGTAGAGCCATAAGAACTGTACATGTGCGCTGGATGAAACACACTGCCCGTAACCGAGAGCCGGTGATGTCGTAAGAATAATAACCATGTGCGGTCCATTGTACTGAACAAAGCCCAGCCATTCTGGTCTTCCTATTTTAGCCCAAAAAATATAAATCTGCTCACATCTGCTGTTTTCGCTTTTCTCAACCAATTTTAGTGCAGCAAGATGTGTTCTTACCTAGATAACATGAAGAATAAGGCCTTTAATGATTAAAAGAGAACATTTCTCAACATCATATGTAGCTTTAAAGTCCTCTACTTGGACGTGGTGCTCTTTTTCATGCTCGCACACAGTCAGATTGCTCAGGTTTAATCAAAATCAATATCCCGGTCATCATTAATTTCCTAACATCTGCAGCAGTTCTTCGTAAATGCAAAATTGTAGCAGCTGCTATGTTCAACAGCGACTTTCTCTCAAATGGAAGTGCATTTGACTACCGACTCCACGTACACCCCTATACACACGCCACCCCTCCTGCCTAGCTCCTGCAGATGCACCCTTCAGCGTTAATGTTGGAAAAGTCCAAACAGTGGACCGGCAAGAACAGCTGAATAAGCAGTGTCCGTGGCACGCACCACATTTGACCACCAGAATGGAATTTTCACAATGTTTTGCCAGGCCCGACAGTGGACCACAAATGGTTTAAAGCTGCCTCCTCAATTGCTCTCCCGTGTGCCCGTGTTGTAGGCTGGCACCAGCTGGAGCCTCAGAATCCACTCTTTGCTCCCAGCAAAATGCTCAACAAGCTGGTGGAAGAAGGCAAGTTTGGACGCAAGAGTGGGGAGGGCTTCTACAAGTATGCATAAGCCTCGCAGTGAGCAAACGCAGCAGATGGCGCTCAACTTGCCGATGCATAAGCACGTACGCACACGCATCTCACCCACCTAGGGGATGTCCATGGCAGACAGCATAGTATTTCAATGAAGAAAAGCGTGCACGTTAATCCGAACCTCACATGCGATTTATAAACAGGACCAATTAATCAGTTGGGTTGTGAAATTTGCAATTTTAGTGACCTTTGTCAGTAACACACAAATGTATTTTGGTGTCCTGTCTCCCGAAAACCAACTCCACTTCCTCATACATTTTCTGAGTTAATGCTTCCTAATTGGCTGATGAGAAGTGTTTGCGCTGCAGGTCAAATAAAATGGTAAAAGTAATGGCGAGTTTGTAATATGATGCAGCAGCAATCATTTGATCATTCGGACGATAATATAATCAAAGAGTGCTCTTAAAAAATCAGATAAAATGAGCACTGTTGCAGTCAAAACATTTACGTGCAACAATGGGAATTTGCGGTCAAAGTGGCTTCATGTCAGGACGCCTGTCCAGTCCACAACTTGCACATGACACATGGCGGCGTCTACCAGCCACACCCACAATTGCCATCCGTTTCCCTTTACCTGCCATGCAGGGAGATAGTAGATGGGGTGTATTGTTTATTGTGATTTGTTAACCAATGCATGGGCTAAATATAACATTGTATACAAGTCATGTGGATGTGTTAAGTTATCAAACACACACCCACGTCAAGATACCTCTCGTGAGAAAGTTTTAGAAAAGAGCCCTTGCTGTATTTGAATTACGCGAAGAAATTAATAATCAGGTTTCTAGATAAACAAATCACAGCACGGGAGTAAGTGTAAAGCCCGGCATAAAAGAGGAAATACGATTCCAGAAACGATTCCAGACAAAACGTTTGCTCGCAAATGCTGGGTGCCTCCACGTTTCCAGAAACACGGAAATGTGTTTCCCAGAGTTGACCTGGGTTCTACTTTGAGAAAAACTTTCCGTTTGGCAAATCGGTAGGAGAGGCAGAGCACACATCATCGATCACGTGACGAGGTGCGTGCTGCTCGAATCAGTTTCCCGACGTGTTTCTGGGAACGTGTTTCTGAGGGTTTCCTGCGACCGAGACCATCACGAGCTGCTGACACAAAACCACCTTGACTTTTGCACATAAACCCGCGTGCCTTGTGTCATTTGTATACCCGGATAAGAACTATGTGAGGATGAATAACTGAATACTTTTGTAAGCTTTGAGGGGCTGGCCTGAGTTTGTAATTCATTTACAGGTGCTTTTTCTTACTTGCTGCATGAGCCATATCTCTCTATAACATTTTCAAGGGTATTGATGCACATTTGCGTTTAGTGTGGTGTAACACAGGCAAGCACATTCATGTATCAGTCCACCCTGGCCAGGATGAATACGTGCTTAATAACAATCATCGCAAATGATAAATACATTTTTATATTTTCGCTGGCTTTCATGTTAAACTGAAAGTGTATCATGCTGTGCCTAACCGCTGCCTCGGAGCCAAATTAGTAAAACCTGACTACGCGCGAAGCCGGTCTCGTGAAATGTGTGTTGGTCATCCAATCCAGATAATTCACATTCATAAATAATGTGCCCGTTACATTCACATGCCAAAGCATACAAAATTACCACGAAGCCATCTCACATTTGAATTGCATTGTTTTTCCATTTATATGAAGATTGCAGTTATGAAGGATGAAAATGCTTCTTGAAAGATGCATTGTGCTGCCAAACATGGTTATGTTTGTAACGTGACACAACTTAAACAATGCATTATTTACATGAGGAAAGGGTAGTTGACTCAAACTGTTAAGACTGAAATGAAACGGTGCCTGTCATGCCAAGTATTATTATTTCGCACGTGCACAAAGATTGTGCCAGCAGTTGTTACAGAGTTACCAATTAGCCTCCCGTCATGCCTGGGTGACTCTGCGTCTATGGCCACTGTTTACACGCGCCAACAAGGGCCATACGTTTTGAGTGCCATCAGTCATTAATGTTAACAGACACACAAAAATCTGGGAACCAGCTTGAAGAAACTTTGTCCTCCGAGGCCCATATATACTTGTTAAACAAAGTGCAGGATGATGCACACTTTTGTATGGTAAGACTGCACTGCTGTGAAGACTTGAATGAGACATTTGGTAACTTGGTGGAAGTGTGACCTACCAACTGATTGGTGTAGCCGAGCATCTGAAGATTACTGTGAAGGAGCCAGAGCCGATTGGTGCCGTGTGTAACTTGTGTGAACAATCTTTATTTGTCAAGACGTTCAAACACCAAATAGATACCTTTTTCAAGTAATCAAGTTTGTATTAACCACACGTCATTGTGGTGAACGTGTAGACAAACATGCTGTGATAATAGGAGCATTGTCTTTGAGACTGATTACCCTACACCAGAGACTGGCTTCTTTATGGCCTAGTCTCACCACGTGTCAGACCAGAGAAAGCCAAAAGCAAATAGTACAAAAATTGACTGTTGAAAGAATATATATAGTGTGAGCATGCTTGTTTGCATGTTCACCACAAGTACGTGTGGTTGATGCAGACTTTATTCCTTGCAAGAAGTATCTATTTGGTATGTGAACGTCTTAACGCCTGTTTTATTGCCAACATTATCAGCCATGGCCAAATCCACTACTGATGGCCTCAACTAAACCACTGACATATCCTTATATGGCCAATAAAATATACACCACAGTTTAAAATGGTTATTAAATCCATGTCTCATTTGTGACGATAAACCTTTTAAAAACAACACCAAACTTGTAAGTCTCGGGCCATGGACTAAGCAAAGATTGGCAAATGCTTTGTTGATGATCCTGAAGGTTGTAAACCGTTTGCTATGTGGAGACAATCTTGCAGTGGTGTTGGTGGACTGAACAATTATAATTGTGGAGTGAGTGTCATTGAATAAAGAGGGATATGGAAAATTATACTTTCTGTAGAATACTAGTGTTATACATAGTGGGAAACTTTGAAATAAACTACATTTTCTTGAGTTTTGTGTCTGTTGCATTATGTGAGGGAAAGTAAATTAGTCTGATTTATTCAGGTCTTGTTATTTAAAATACATTTTTGTAAATCCAATTTGGTATGAAGGCCATCCACATGCAATGTCAGATATAACACGGTCAGTTAAACTTCATGCATTATACAGTTTGCTTGAATTGTACTAATCTGTCACAGAAAAATATAAGGCGTAACAATTTGGCAGTTTTCATTGCAACTATTAGTATATTGTGACTTTAAACAAATATTTCCATTTATTTAAAAATGTAAAATAACAATTCCTGTCATTTTAAGCTAAAACCTTGGCTGTTCGGACTTTGTAAATAGCACACTTTTGTTCAAAATGCAGGTATAACGTGCCTGGACATGATTTTAGGCTTTAACAAAAAACATTGAAATTTTTTTTATCTTCTCACCAACAATGGCATGATTGTTGGGTGTAAAAAATATTTACATTTATTCAAGTTATAGTACGTTTAACATGCATGTAGTATATATTCAATTTGCCCAAATAATGTCATTTAATAACTTAATCCACATTAAGACAAATGCTCAAGATAATAGCTGGGAATGAAAAATACACCATTTGCTAAAGTATTAAATATCTAAAAATCAATATTTTTCTCACTAAAAAAATTGTTGAAAATCGTATAAAAATATAACCGCATGAATTGGGCAGAACCGTAAATGCTACCACATTTTATCTCACTCACGGTCCCAGAAACAATTCAGACGATACCGGGAGGGCCTTCCGTGAAACCTTGACATCTTATGAATTCAACTCGCCATAGCTTCATTTAAAAAGTGCACTTTTATTTTGTATAATCCAGCAGACAGCAGGAGGTACATACGATAGTGTGACTCCATCACACAGCTAGGCTAGAGTTAGGCACTGCAGTTGTACAGTCTTCCAATAACAAGGTGAATGTAAAATCAAACGCTAAACCCACGGCTTTCACGCAAGCACACGCATTCGTTAAGTCATCAACCGGAAACAAAGGGGGTGGGTGGCCAAAGTGCGTTTCTGCGCTGTCATGGTTCTCTTTCAAACCATACAATACACAGGATCTCAAAGCATTACACCATATCATTTCTTTCAAAAATAAGAGTGTTAATGGCACAAGTGCATTTGTACACCGATTTACAAGATTATTGCGTCATGGGAAAACACGTGCTAGAGTGCTGCAGTGAGTGAAAAAATATACATATGTATATACACGCACAAAGTGTACTATATTCCACATCTCGCCACTAAATCTGCAGCCGCTTGCAAGGAGACTGCACCGGCATGTGCTGGGTAGGACTCGGGCGTGTGAAACATCATCCCCTCGCTTTGCCGTGAAACCCAAAGCGGCGTTAACAGACGATTAAACCACAGGCTTTGTCATCGTCTGAGTGAGTGAGTGGGTGTAGCCAACCAACCCTCAAGGAGCCTTTCTGCATCGTCTCCAAACATTTGTTGTCCTTCGATTAGCGCGGTTGGCTGCGTATGGTGAAAAAGACGTTCCACATACACACGTGCACACAGTGTCCAATATCAAGAGTGACTGCCACGTGACAACTCCGGGGAGTTCCTGCCAAGCCGAGTTGGCCACTCTTTGCGTAAGGCAGTGCGCCGTTGAGTGTATTTAATACACACCCCGTGCAACAGTCATACTACAGGTGAATCGAGCAACAGGTGCCTGTGGCCATAGTCAACATTCATCGTTTTCAATGTCAAGGTGTGGAAATTGTGCCCCCTGGACTAGACTGACAATGGAGCAGAAGACAGGAAGAGCTTCGTGCAAGGAGACATCTGATCCAAGCGGACCAGTCCCAGTCTGAGCAACTACTCTTACACAAACATGGAGAAAGCATGGGATGTTTAGAGGTGAACTGCCCGAGCTACATGTGTGTGTGTATATATACACATGTGCGTGTGAGTGTAGTTTGTTGTAAGGTACACATTTGCTCTGCCTGTAGATTTGTTTTTACTTGGGAGCAATAAAGGTAGGAGAAATAAAAGATTGTACTTTAAGGCTTCACGGAACTAGTGTCGACGTGTTCACTAAGATACAGTTCCAACAGTAATAACGAAAAATCACAACCCAACGAACAAAAGCGCTGTCAGCATGTCACTTGCGTTTCACTCTGCTGAAACAGCCATTGTGAAAAGGCGCCGATTGAATGATTTGCTCTCGTTAAACTTCGAGTAACAGCGCAACTTCACTCGCTATTCCCGTAAACCCACGCGGGTTAACCATCGCTTCTGTGTGAGCTCTGCATATCAAGACTGATAAACAAAACAAAAAATTGACAAGTGTCCAGTGTACATTGCATCAGAATTACAGCAATGATCACATTATGTCACATCAAGCATTTCCATTCACAGATCCAAGAGAGCCACTTCAATGTCGCACAGCTGGAAACGTAAATTGTTTCGTCCATTGGGAGTGGAACTCTGCGCACAGTCAACAAACATTGCCCGTCAGCTGTCTGCTATTTTGAGGGTCGGGTCACGGAGTGGCAATGACGAGACCACAATTTTGCGAGCGGTTTGCACTCCAGAACCTTATTCTGAATAAACCTAGTTTATCAGAACACTCTTAAGAGGGGTACCAGATTAAACTAACAATCTCATTTACCAATGTGTATTAAAAACAAATGGCCGATTCAAGTGGATGTCGTTGGTGGTAGAGGCAATTACATTTGACACCATCTCTGGACCACTACCTGCAAACCCTAGGGCCTGAGTCGTGGTGAGAGTAGCCACTGATGGATCATGATGATTGGCTGCTGAATGCCAAATTAAGGCCATGTTGTGTGGTGGTCCTGCCAACCTAAACTGACCAGAGTGGTGAAATATGGTCAAACAACCCCCATGACGGACACAGCGTGCAGGATGCCTTCATCCAGCAGGGATAGACACAGCTGTACACTGTAACCGAGTGGTAGTGAATGCGGCTTCTACCAAGAGCGGAAGAAGACACCAGGTATCATCGGACAGGGCCCCTTGCCTAGATATTGTGCACAAGAACCCAGTGCAACGTGAAGCCATAATACTGCACTTATTCACATTGCGTCAACTCCGGTCCATGGGCCTCCGAAACGGTTTGCTTCAAGTGTTTTCTGAATAAACCGTACGATATCATATGAATATACCGTAACAAAGGGTGATAGAAAAATTGGAGCAATATTTTTTTAAATCAAGCATGTCCCTCGGCAAAAGTTACTTTATTCATGAATGTAGTAGCAACCTTCCATGCCCAGGTCACACAGTATTCTAAGGTGGGTATCTTTGTCACGTTTTGGACCACCCCCTCCCTTCGTCCATGTGCATTTAAGGTGGAACACAGCACCAAGACCCATTGCGGCGGCAATGGCCACGTGAAAAACCAAACACTTAAACACTGCCACGCATTTCTCTGCACCGCTTTCGTTTACCGACTGCAGACGTTTTGGTAATGACACCACCACAGCCCACCCCCACTGAACTGGTTTAGCAGTGGAGGCGCGACGTCATGCGAGCAATATGTATAAACGTATCGACGCGAGTTTCAAACAATAATTCTCAAACAGAGAATTGTGGCAACGTTGATTTTGAATTTACAAGCAATTATATTCCAGCCCATGTGCCTGTTACAATGACACCTCTTCATACATCTGTGCAACGTTCCAAACATCAGCTTAGATCATTCATGGTCAATCATTAAGTTTAAAGTGGCTACCATGAAAAAAGAAACTATCTAATTGCACACCTGGCAATCATTTAAGGCCATTTGTAATTCTGATATCACAATCAACTGTGTCAAGATGTCCTCAGAAAAAAAATAGGATTTGGAGACATTCGCTAAACATTAATTTTTTTAACAAGCGAGCCAAACACCGCCTCGTCCTACGGCACGCTGCTTCCGCAAAGTGAAAACCGTCCTCGGCAATGCAATGGAAGATACAAGTGGCAGGAGGTGGAAAATGAGCGGCATTCGTTTCGCTAAGGTTAAAAGTAGCCAAACACACGCTGCTTCAGCAGTTGCACTGCTGGATTATTTTTTCCGCCCGAGGACGACCGCTTGTGTTGCGATCGAAACGTCGTGATCTATTATTATTTTTTCTACCTACGTGACTTTACCGAAAGAACCAAAGAGTAGAGCCAAACATAGCCAAGGGGCACGCAAGTTGATACCTAATTTGTCGAATGACTAAATCTAAGGGGGGAGCTCTTTGGAGCGCTCCAGTGTGGATGGCGGAGCACCGCGTGTTGGTGATCGAGCGAGTGTCGTCAAAGGTGAAGCCCCGCAAAGTGCCACACGGGCACGCGGCGAGGGCCAGTGGTGTGATCGGGCAGCGAACGTCATACCAAGAGGCCAAACCGTTGCCACTGGCCACTCACAATGCACTCTCTCGTACAAAACCCTGTACACAACCGTGTGGCTCTGGTACACTTATTAGAGCACGGCTTCTCAAACTCCAATCCTCACACCCCACCACAGTGCAGCTTTATATCTATTTCATTTGCCACATGCCTGCAAGCCTACAACTGGTAAATTTTCTTTCTAATAATAGGGAATATTGGCAAAAGTAACAAAAAAAAGGGTGGATTACAGGAGAGGAGTGAGAGGTGTTTGAGAAACCATGCACTGGAGGATGGCTTAGTTTTATTTGCAAATTGTGTCAATGTACGGAAACCGAATGCAACAGTTGCCCACTCGTGAAGGTGATCACTCGGACAACAAACCCAACACCCCTTAAAAGACCCTGTCAAGATGGAAGAAGGATGAACGTGTCGAGTCACACCAGAGCTTCGCCCGCAGCCGGACGTCGCCGGCTTTGTGGTAAGGCCGCGGTGCGCGCGCACCGCACTACAGACCCTTGGCTGCCTGCAAGGAGGGGCTCGTCTTTGAGACGGAGACGCCGTGCCGCGAGGGGAAGGGCGCCGAGCCGAACGGGTCCACCTCGTCCAAAGTGCCCGGGGACACCACCACGTGCGGAAACGGGACGAAGCCAAAATTGTCAGAGCCAGGCCCCGCTGCCGCTGCCGTGGCGGCGACTGCAGACGCGGCAATCGAGACCACGGCGCAACCGTCGGCGGCGCCGGCGTGGTTGCTCGGCTGGAGTGCAAGTGGGTGGAAGAGCTTGGGGCAGGAAGGCTCCGCCACGCCAGCTCTCGACTCGTGCGAGGGTTTGTGTTTGTCGTCGGGAGCGTCCGCGCCCTCACGGCACGTCCCGCCCGGGGTCCGCGCTTCGCTGCGGCTGCCGAGCGAGTCGCAGCTGCTGGATCGGCGCGGCACGTGGTGCGGATCCGGAGAGCCGCCGCCGCAACCGCTGTCACCGCTTCCATTGCCGCTGTTGTTCACCTCATGGCCGACGACGCTGGCCGAGTGCTGCAGCGGAGCGTGCCGCCGCCTGTCCTGGGGCTCGTGCTGCTCGCCTCCCCGGTGGCCGCACCGCTGCTGTATTGCGACATTCGCTTGTGGGCCGGGCGATATCTTCTCAAAGGGGACCTGCCCAAAGAGGTCTGGCTTCAACGGAAAGTTCGGCGTCGCTTTGGGCTGGAAGGGAACCGAGCCAAACATGTCGGTGGTGGTGGCGGTGCGAGGGGGCGGATAGACCTCGGGTTTAGAGAAGGGTGGTGCCACCGGTGCCACCGGTGCCACCGCCGCCTTCCTGCCAAACGGAGCGTTGCTGAAGACGTCGAAGGCGTCGTTGTCGTCTTCCTCCTCCTCCTCCCCCTCTTCCTCTTCCTGCTTCGACACGGGCCTGAAGGGCGCGCTCAGGAACACATCGCGGCCCTGGCCATCCCTCGCCGGCCGCTCGCCCGGCCTCACGAACGGAGCCGCCCCGAACACGTCCAGCTCGCCGGCGGCAGCAGGGGCAAGCACGCCGCCGGCGGCGGTGGCGGCGCTCGGAGATCCTTTGCCGGCGGAGTCCGAGTCGGAGCTGTGGCGCTCAAACTCCTCGGCGGCGTTGTTCTCCTCCTCCTCCACGTCACTGCCCGAGTCGACGAGCAGCGGCTGGGAGCCGAGCTTCTCTTCCTCGTGGCTGCGAGCGGTGAACGCTCCGTCCTCTTCTTCCTCATCCTCCTCCTCGTCATCGTTCTGCTCCTCCCCGCTGCTGTTGGGCGTCGGCGGGTCCGACTCGAAGTCGCTGCCGCCCTCGTCGCGCCTCGGGGCGCAGGGCTGAGCGGCGGACGGCATCTCCGGCAGGGAGACAGAGGCCGAGATCCTCGCGCGCGCTGAGTCGACGTCGGTCGACGGCGCCGTGCCGGCAACATCCTCGAGAGTGCGCGAGGACGCCAGCGAGACGCCGGAGAAGGCGGACGAGTCGCGAGCGGCCGGCCGCTCCGGGTGCAGAGGCGCCACCTCTGTCGTCGCTGGGAAACGAAGCGAGAAATGGAGAAATGCGACAGCTTCATACGAGCCCGCAAAAGCGCTCAAAGACGAATTTTAACTCGGCAACTCCAGCAACAATCACTGAGAAAATTAAGTCTCCTTTTTTTGCTCTTTTCCCCAACATAACACGGGAGGAAGAGTAACCTATTACGTATTATTGTTAATATATCCGCAGTAATAACCAGGGCGGCCACCAGCAGCGAATTAAGCGGTGAACGCTAGGTCACGTCACCGTCCCCCGGCGTGTGGAGAGAAAGCCGCGACCTCCGACGCAACTCACTGTTGTTTGCCGAATCCCAGAGGTACTCGGAGGTGTCTTGCACGAAGGGGTTCCAGTCGGAGATTCCGTGGTGGATGTGCGGTGTGGGCGAGGAGTTCAACACCCTGCCCAATGGCCTGAAACAAAGACCAACACGGTATTACTAAATGTATGAATTTTAACGATGCGAAATTTAATAACCATTAATAGGTTGTTATTTTTTTATCTCGTCGACACCAAACTATTCACGTGGTCTTTCTCATAATTTCAGTATTGGTTATTCTCATGGCCTAATTGTGACATTTGTAATTTAAAAAATTGGAAATAACTCTTACCCCGCACGATTCAATGCTTACACTCTGCGTGCGTAATCAATCGCCAATGTATATCCAGAGGGGGGGGGGTGGACACGCATCACTCACTCCGCGATCTCTCCCGCGGCCTCGGCCGGCTGCGGCGGCTGCTGCGAGGACTTGGAGGAGGCCGTCACGAAGAAGAGCGTCCCGTAGTTGACGACGCCGCCGTCGCTGGGCAGGGTGCCGCCCCCGTTGCTCGCCACGGGGACGGCCGGACTGGGCGGAGGAGAACCATGGCCCGTCCGGTCGACGGCCGGGGATCGCACGTGCTGGGCCTGCTGCCACTACAGATGGGAACAACGCTAAGCGACGCTCAATTTTACGGCTCCTGTGGCTTGCGTTCTAGTAAAAAGATCATCGCGGCAGGTGCCGCCGATGCTATCCCACCTTCTCATCCTACTACTCTGCAATGTAAGCCGGTGGGAAAGTATTGCCCTCTTAATGTCTGGACCAGAGGTCCACACAGTATGAGGGCAACACATATTCAATTTACGAGAAATTTTTCAAGAGAAATAACTTTTTTCCTTCCTGACAATTCCTGCTGCTGTTGTAAGGTTATCTAGCGTGTTGGTCCGTGCTCACAGCACAGAGTGATATGTCAGCCAACATGCTGAACGACAACCCGAAAACACACGGGAGAGAAGATCAACATGTGCTCACCAGGAAAGCCTCACCTAGACTCGACTTCACGAACGAACCACTTAAGGGTATTTGACTCACTCCCACCTCCACGTGTATTCCACAATCCCCATCGACCCCCACAAGCTGCCGCCCAAGCAGGTGAGCACCATCACACGTGGCCGCGTGTTCACATGGCAGCAGGGGTGCACGACTTACGAGTGCCTGTTGCTGCAGGGCTGCCAGGTGCTGCGCTTGTTGCTGTAGCACTGCCTCCTGCTGCTGCGTATCCTGCTGCGTCCTGTGCTGCAGCACCGCCTGCTGCGCCTGATGCTTCTGAAGCGCTTCGTGCTGTGCTTGCTGTTGCAACACAGCTTCCTGCTGCGCCCTGTGCTGCAACGCCGCCTGCTGCTTCTGTTGCAGCACCATCTGCTGCTGCTGCTGCAGCTGAAGCGCGTCGTGTTGTGCTTGCTGTTGAAACGCAGCTTCCTGCTGCACCCTGTGCTGTAAAGCCGCCTGTTGCTGCAGTGCTGCCTGCTGCGCTTGATGCTGCTGCAGTGCTGCTTGCTGCTGGAGAGCTTCATGCTGTGCTTGTTGTTGCAACACAGCCTCCTGCTGCGCCCTGTGCTGGAGGGCTGCCTGCTGCTGTAATGCCGCCTGATGCGCCTGCTGTTGCAAGGCATCGTGTTGGGCTTGCTGCTGCAGAGCGGCCTCCTGCTGCGCCCTGTGCTGAATAGCCGCCTGCTGCTGCTGCAGAGCTGCCTGATGCGCCTGCTGCTGCAGCGCTGCCTGTTGCTGCTGCTGTTGGGCTTCGTGCTGCGCCTGTTGCTGCAGCGCTGCCTCCTGCTGCTGTGCGGCCGCCAGCTGTTGCAGGTAGAGTTGCTGTTGCATCATCATCTGCTGCGCATACAGCTGCTGTTGCTGCTGCTGCGCTGCCTGCTGCATGGCCAAGTACTGAGCAATTAAAAAAGAGAAAATGACAAAGATCCCAACTTTAGATTTTTAGACAATCGGGGCTAAGACTGTCCGTGATCACCTATCCGGGCTAGCATGGAACAACTTGGTGGAAATTAAGAATGAGAAAATGTATTGATACTAGCAGAATCCGATGAGCTATAAAGCTCTTTTTCACATAAGTCCCGTAGGGGTGGGTCAGAAATTTACAACAAACCTACAATACAAAGATACAAAAAGAGTTAAGTACAGAAAAAGTAACCAAATCATTTAAAAAATATCGAAACTACAAATAATACTAAACCAATATCACACCAGCTACATTTGTCTCCCCACTGCTCGTGTTGATATTTGCACCCCTCGCAATGCAATAAATTGTTGCAATTTAAGGCTGTGAATCTGTGAGAATCTATTATTTTGTGGCGATAGTGGTCAAAGTAAAGCCTCTATTGAAACAATCGTAACACACAAGGGTCAAAAATCCTTCCCACATGCATCCCCTTTGAGCACAAGAATTTATATTAACTGACGATTAATTTCATAATTACAGGCCCAACAGCAGGTATAGAGTATAGCGCTATCGTCAACAACACTCTGGGCTTAAAATAAAAAGTCTCCAATAGGAAACATGTCAGCAATGACTCTTATTCGTGTGTCATGCAGAACGGCCACTACCTCACCCACCACCACCACGGCACAACCACGATGGGAAACTGTCACCATAAAGACCCAACGACATTGCGACAATGATGGTTGTAAAGCACAGGGTCTGAGGGACAGCAGTCCTCACCTGCTGGATGTACGCGTGCTGCTGCTGTTGCTGCTGCAGGAGCTGCGCTGGAGTCGGCTGGGTGGGGTGAGGCTGCATGTTCTGCTCCGGCGCCAAGTGGCCGTCAGCAACACACACCACTGTGTCTGAGGACGCAAAGGACGGGGGACGGAGGGGGGGTCACGATTTCTTTAATCAAATGTATTATTTGTAGGTGGCGAGATGTTATCTACCTCGCCCGACTCCTGCTGTATATGTGGAGTTTGCGTGTCTCTCTTCATGTGGATTTTTCTCGAGGTTCTCCAGTTTTTTCCTTCACATTTAAAGTCAACATGCGTTTGAAGAGTATTTGGCTGCTATACATTTCCAGGTGATAAGCCACTATGTTGACCTATCATTTGTGGCCAGGTGGGTTCTGAAAAAAACTACATAGCTCAGTGGGCCTTACCTGGTAAAATAAGTAAAGTTGATAGTTTAGGTTTTTTTTCATAACACTGGGCTAAGTACATCCATTACTACAGCCATGACTCCAGGTGTCCTGATCTGACAACTGCCTGTGTTCAAAATCACCCGGCAGATATGCCTGATCTCGCAGGATCTATCGCACCCTGCCAATCGGAGGTACGGCTCTCACAAGCTAAGCAGGTTTGAGCCTGGATAGTGTTTGGACGGGTGACTGCTTTGCATAATCTAGGTTGCTGAGGTGGGCAGCAGAGGGCAGCGCAGCAAAATACATTGTTGTACTGTACTTGTATGCTCACAGTTCTGTGCTCCCCGACCTTCACAAACCCACACTAAGGTGGTGAAGTATGGTCAAATAGCCTATACGGCCCACGCAACATGCGACCCACACTTCTTTGTGGTCACCCAAAGCGATCCGTGTCACCGTCTTCACGTGCGTATCTCTGCATCTGTGTGAAGACACCCACCCGGCGCTGCGTCATGTTTACACAGCTGTGCTCTGTGACAGCCGCGTGCAATCTAAACCGCGGGCTGTGCTCTGTACCAGCTGCGGCGGTGTGGCCGGGTCCCGTGGCGGCATGCTCCGGTGGGGCCTTGCGGGGCGTGTCGCCCGCCTGTATGGACACGGCCCCCAGGCCCACTGGGTTGTGGCCGGCCTTGGGTCTCTGTCGAGGAGCTATGGAGGTCTCTGTGGGGCCACATGGGTCAGGCAACCTGGAATAAAAGAAAAAGTGGAGGCCAACGTTTGATTTAGCAACAGAACCCTGGGCACTCCGTACACACGTTTTTCGCCCAGCTCTGGAGATGGCAGGACACACTAAACATGTGCTTTCACACACAGGTACACACTCAAATGCTCTCACAAAGCCAAAGATCCCCCATGTAGCCTTCACAGACTGTTGGAGAAAGTGCTGTTAGCGAGCACCTATGAAGGCTGGCACAGTAGACGACGGGGTGGGTGACCAGCACCACGCCCAAACGCCTTTGTCTCACCAGTGCCGATGATTTTACACACCGCACACGGTAATCATTTGAGGCTGAGCAGACCTAGGGGAGGTCCAGGACCGGTTCAGATAATCGTCATTGGTGTTGGCCGTGAGCGGGAATCGAACTCGGGTTGCCGGGTTCGTAGTGCAGCGCTCTAACCGCTACACTACCGCTCCCCCACATGCTCTCAAACACCGACACACACTGAAGATGCGTTCACACACAGGTACACAACCGGCACTCACTGAACACGCACAGGTACACAACCGCACACTAAAGTAACCAAGCTTGTCGATTTTAAAGGAGAGACAGTAAACGGTGATCTTCCCCACCGCCGCTGATCACCCAAAGTCGCTCACTTGGTTTTGACCTGGATGCGCCTGGCTGCCGCTTCACTCGCGAGCAGAGGTTCTGGCAGCCGGGACGGGACAGGTGCGCTCTGTGGCGACAGCACGGGATTGACACGCAGAGTCACACGGACGCATACACGCTTGACGCACCCGCTCGCAACGTTACGCTTTACTTTGGTACTTCATTTCAGCCTACGTTGGTATTTTTACTCACCACTGGCATTAGTCATGAGCTCTTGCGTGAGGAATATATTAAATGCCAATGTACATCACATATGACCATGCGAGAGGACTTTGCGGTTCACAACACTGACACACAATGTGCGAATGATATCACAGTGTAGTGAGATGATGATCTCAACTAATTCATCAATGGCTGTATAAAAGTAAACAATTATCATGTTAAATTTGGCTGTGCACCTAATTTGTGCAGAATTTTTTTGCTCCAAACAATTAAATATATTTGTTTGATGAATATGCGATGAACATTACTCTGGTGTGGCAGGGCTTGTGGGAAGGTGCCTGCCCGCTACTGTGTGGGCCAGGGGACACTCGGAAGGGAACTCAGAAGTAGCTCTGTGATATCCGCTTTCACGAGCCATTCTCAAACATAGAAGGTGGCACACGGCTCTGCAAGAGTACCCCCCCGGATGGATTACTTTGTCTCGTGATAGGACACTGGACAGCACAAATGGGCTAAATTTCGATTTTCTTTTCGAACAAACTAAATGAAAAGGACACAAAAGATCCGGCTGACGTACATGCAGGTTAGGCACTAGGCAGTCCTTCTTGGCAAGCTTGAAGCCGACGGATGCAACTTGAAAAATGTCCGGCCTGGTGTCTGGCTCGGGCTCCAGCATGTAACCTGTGCCGGACACAGGACACCACGGACAAGGGGCGCTCAACGACGCATGCTCGGCACCATCACGCAGGTCCCGTCTAAACGAGCATTCTTTGAGAAAGGGTTAATGGATCACATAAAACACCGCAACAATCTTGAGACTGCCCGATTAACTGGGCTACAAGGCGGTTGTTGTTAGAAGTTGGCAGCACAGAAAGTGGGTTGCTCAGCTATTTTTGTTCACATTTGAGTGACTTACATGAAGAAATGCTCAATAAATCAGGGGGAAACATGAAGCAAGACAACAAGAACTCAACTTCATAAGCCTATAAACAAAACACGGAATCATATTTCAAGGAGATTTACCAAAATACATTCGAGTAGAAGGGCAGTTGGGGGGAAGGGCGGGGAGGGGGGGCAGAAAGCACGGCAGAGGAGAAGCAACTGGAGCCCAACACCAACCACAAAGGGCCCCAAGGAAAGCAGTAAATAGACCCTCCTGAAATAAAAGTATTGAACACGCCTCCTTGTGAGACTTTCTTAAAAAATACCGGATGGTTCCTGTCCTCCGGAAGAGACGGTATAATAGTGTGACACGTCTCATACGATGTCCCCTCCTGCCCGCTCTCCATCCCCCTCCTACTCCTCACCGTCCCCCCCTCTACTTGTGCACAATTCTGTTTCCGCTCCTTTCCCCTACTTGCCCCCTTAGCACCGGAACAAACGTCCCCTCCACATTCAGCAACGAGCACCCTCTCTGTCCAGTTTCCGCTCCTCCCTCAAGACCCCCAACTCTTCTCCCTGGCCCATCCTTTCCTCCATCCCTAGGTACCCCCGTAATTCCCATATCCACTAAACTATCTCCCCTTGCCCATCTCTATCCCCGCTCCCCTCTTTTCCCTCCTCCTCTCGTATGCCACCATATCACCTTTAGCTAATTGTACCGTTTATAACCCTTGTAAAGCACCTCGGATGTAAGGAGCTATAAAAATATGAGATGAGATAAGCAGCTTCGCATACTAATTATTGGATCGGCCCTCCGTCCAGGAAAGGAATAAAACTCTTCACCCCCTCAACCATGACTAAATTTGATAAATGGCCATGATTTCAGGGGTCACAATTCCTCTCGAGAATCAGGTGTTATTTCTTAGTTTCATTTGGAAAGTTGGTCTCATTCTGTCTTGTCTGTTCTGTCTGCAACAGCCTACTACGCCTAAAGGTAAACATTTGCATAACATTTCCATCCAATTTGTAGTCCGAATCATAATTTATACTGGAGGAATCCGATGCTCTATAAAGCTCTTTTTTCACAGATGTCCAGTAAGGGCAGGTCAGCAGTTGGTAACTGTAACCAATTCTTAGATACACAAGTCACTGAAGACACAATGAGCATAAGAATAAATATAAATCGTTGGGTCGTTAACAGTCCCGCAGTTAATCGGCAGGCTGCTGTGCGTCAGGATAAGGGGATGGTTAAAGCATAGCAGAGGTAAGGCATGCGTACGTATGAGGCAGTGGAGGTCGTGTGAGTATTTGGAGTTGTCGGGCACGGTGAAGCTGCCATCGCAGATGGCCACCTGGCTCTCTCCGAATGGCAGTGAGAAGAAGCACAGCTTGTAAAGCAGGCAGCCCAGGGCCTGCCAACAGAGGACATGCCTATCATCGGCAGGAAGTACGGTGTAAGGAACAATTGACAGATGGTCCTGTAGGAACCTCAAGCAATATACGGTCAATAGCAGGATTATACAACAATATTTCCCAGTGGGCCACATAACAAATTGAGTATGTGTACTGGCGAACCATGTGACGTCATGTCATGTGTACGGACGTCATGACGTCGTAAAGCCTGTACACGTTACCATGAATATGCACCTCTTAGCCCCAGGTCCCCTGTATATTTTTTATCTTGCTAAGCTATACCTTTCTCAGAAAGCCATATTTCATAGTACGACATCTCCGCAAGCCTTCACAGGCCACATCTGCTGTGCGGGCTGAGAGCTGGACAAGCGCTGGTCCACAGTGTCTGATGGGTGCGCCGAGTTAGGGACGTCGCGGTGGCGAGATGTTATCTGCATCGTCTGGTATGCAGGAGGTCGTGGGTTCGATCCCGATCCTGACACCTGTATATTTGTAGTTTGAGTGTTCTCTCTCCTCGTGGTCATGTGGATTTTCTGCGGGTGATCCGGTTTTCCCCTCCACATTTAGAAATGTGAGTTTATAGTATTTGACTGCTACACATTTCCACAGTACTGAGTTCAAACTCAATCCCTCTTTTGTGCGTGTGTGGCCTCGTCCAAATAATGTTGGCAGCACGTATAGACATACACAGGCCTACACAATGACACAGAGTGTGTATTCACATCAAGGACCTATATTCCTACTTCCCGTGTGGTGTAGAAATAAAAAAACAATCTGCTGCAGCTAAGGAACATTGGTACATGCCAGAGTAAAAAATACTTTGGGGTAAAGTGTTGAGATATAAAAAAACACACCAATGGCAGTAATGGTATGTCCAGCATTTTAAATTTCTACTGAAAAAGTTAAAACATAAATATTCCACCTCCTCACAAAAAATATCATGTAAACTTACAACCTATCGAGAATCCGGACTTTTATTGACAATTAGGCAGGTTTACCTGCATATAGCAATGCTCAATGTTGAATGGGGGCAGGACCGGTTCAGAAATTACTCGCCACTGGTGCTCGCCGTAGCCAGGGATTGAACCCAAGTTGACCGAGTTCAGAAGACAGCGCTCTAAACCACTGCGCCATTGCCTCCTCCTCCTCCTTGCCAATTGTATTGCAGGGAGGAAGATGCCAGGCCATTCCTGCTCGCAGCAAACGCTGAGCGTGACACGCGATGCAGAAGTACAAACCCATATGTCTGCTTTGGTGGTGATGGGGATGCCGCTGTAGAGGTTGACCATCTCGGGGGATCGGTAGGACAGAGTTGTGTACCTACAACACACAAACCAATGCTTGTTTTCATAACACGCATCCTTGCTTTCAAACCTCGCGACAACCACAAGCGGGTTACCAATAACACTCTGCACACTCGCCTCCGGTTGCCTGCTCGCCGCTGTCAGTGTGTAATGACGCACGTGACTTACTTCTGTATTTCCTCCTCCACAGCCGGGACGCCGCTGACTTGAGTATTCAGGACCTTGTTTGTGGCACTGCCAAAGTCGCACAGCACGTAGTTGCCATTGTCATGAAGCAAGATGTTCTCCACCTGTTGGAGCAATGTCATATCCCATGCGTTATTACTGGCTGTGCCAGCAGAGGTCACAAACTAATGGCTTTTCGCCAAAGCGCAATTCCCGCGCATAATCTTGTGCCTGCTCAGCTATGGTGGCGACACGCGATTTTCAAGTTAGACGATTGGGAGCCAGCTGAGAGCACGTATGTGGAACGTCTTTCTAGAGGGCAGAGAGATGACTGCAGGAGGCAGTGTAGCAAGGAAGTTAATGAGTGATAGTCAAACTGTGCAGTGTACTTTGCTCCGAGCATTCTGGTTATCTTTCACGAGAAAACAACAGGCTCAAAAAAGGAATAATTAGCCAAATAATCTAAGCAGAAATTTTTTAAACAATTGTAATGGTGTGAGTCATTCCTAGGTAAAGAAACTGGTAATGCATGACATTATAACTAAAAATTCCATCAAAGCAAGTCAACAACAGCAGCAGCAAGAACTGCAAACAGCAGCAGGAACAGCAGTGGCAGGACCACTCGTAACAACGGCTACGGCAACGCAGCCACCGAAAGCCGCATCTACCAGGGACGTGCGCAACCCTTTTTCGAGCACAGGTCACAGTCAGAATCTCTGAGCTCCCCCCACAGACTGCGAGGGTGGCGTGGAAGCTTAAAGATCGAGACGTGAAACCCGCCAGCAGAAGTGGGCGCCCGTGAACAGCGCGCCCGAGTTGCTTGCCGAGCGTTCAGGCACCACTGGTGCTCGCGGGCCTGAGACGCACACCCGCCCCCCCCCCCCCCCCGACGGAAACTGACGGGAGTCGGCATTAACGGCGACGGCAGAAACCAAAGCACCTTCAGGTCGCGATGGATGATGGGCGTCTTGCACTGGTGCAACCTCGCCACCGCCTCACAGGTGTCGCAGAAGATGCTGAGCACCTCCCTCTCGCTGAAGCCATTCTGCAGACGCCGGTTCATCTGGTTCACCACCTGCCCCGCTGCACCGACAAAGATGAACACGCCAGTGGTCAAGGTCTACCCCCATGAGTCGGGAGGAGTTGGTGAGGATCACGCGGAAGAAAATCACGTACATAAAAAACTTACAAGCAGGGGTAGTGTGATGTACAACAATGCGGCATGATGAGCAGGCTGCTGGAGGAGGAATGTGCTTGTGTTTGGTGTGGATAAGTTGAGTTTTCAAGTTTATTTTGTTTAAATGGGTGAGAACTCGAGAGACCAGGATATACAGTACAGTCTCGATTATCCGCGCTAATGACGGGGAGGAACGGCCACGGATATTTCAAAATCGCGGATGGTCCAAAAATATAAATTTTCCATGGATCTCCGAGCCAAAAACCCAAGTTAAAGTGAATATCACACGCTTCCGTTTCTCTGACATCGCACAGTTTCGTAAATTAAAACTCACAAAATAAATTATCAAATAAATCACTCAAATTGATGCACCACTGACGATTTTGATTGTTTCTCTTTCGACAACATTTTCCTGCTCCCGCGCAGAAGACTCGGCCCACTAAGTGCATAGCAGAGGCATGCCGATCAAAATCCAACTCTGCCAACATTTGTAAAGATATGCAACTACTGTACTGTAGAGGCAATCACATGGATCTTGGATTAACCAGAGCAACACATTTGTTTGTTTCAGCAAGTGACTTGTAAAATAAAATTCAAAGAATAACAATGTACGACGTTTTTAGATTATTAATTTGGGCTTAAGGGAAAATGCATGAGTTATTTATGTTAAAATCTCAGGTGTGCAGTTAATCCTCAAATCAGATAAATCGCACGAGGATAATCGAGAGTTTACTGTAGTCTCATTATCAGGAGTGAACTGGGTCACCAAAATATAATCAACAAAAGAAATTAAAAAACATTAGAGCAATGAAGAAATAGAGATTGGAACCAAACCAAAGCATGCGTATCACACTTAGTGACATAATAGCGTCTCTGCCAGGTGCAGGGAGGCAACTCAGCCTCCAGGGTTACCTTTACAAAACTCCATGAGGATGAGCACTTCCCAGACCTCTGTGACTGCCTGAGCGTTGATGGCAGAGTCGAGGTAGCCCACGATGTTCTTGTGTCCGGACAGTTCCTTCTACACAGGCAAACGAGGCAGCACATGCTGCATTAAAGCGAAACAATAACAGCACTGGATATCTCACGGCATTCATGCCGGTGCAAGGGGCTGGTTGGGTATTGTGATGTTCGACCACAGGTTGAAATACAGGGCCCGTCTAATTAAGGTTTACAAGAATCAGGACATGTTCAGCCTTTTGTTAACTGCCTCCTGGAATGAGGGCCTCCCCACGCCGTGCGGGTTCAGACTTCACCAAGCCGGTCAACGCGGGTTTGTGAAGGGAAGCACAGACTTGGCAGTACAGACAAACAGTACAAAAATTAACTTTGCTGACGTACCCTTTGTTGTCCACAGGTTAAAACCACAGCCTATAACAACCTGTGTCGTGCATGGTGGTCACCCCATCCAATCACGTCCAGGATCAATGGTGCTAATCTTCCAAATTACGGTGCATTCTAGGCGATTTAGTCACAGGCTCCAAAATTAGCAAGCAAACAAGCAAGTCGACCAGTCTTGCAACTTTGGAATATTTTCTCCCATCATGCTCAGATTTGCATTCATGGCTCTACCACCGAGTTAAAGTGGGGCAACATACTGGTCCTCGAAGGCAATGCGTGCAAGTATGTTGAACGTCTTTCGCACCGTACGTAGCCAACCGTGTTAAAGCGGAGGTGCGGGGGGAGCAGAACTAAACACAAAAAGCAGTTCTAAAGAAATTAGTTTGCAATCTAATGATATAAAAGAACATAGCTCCAGTGGCTTCCTAATATTGGAAGGAACAACTTTCCAGACGGTCGCAGAAGAGAATCTAAAAGGATGCGATGCGGTGACCGCCTTTGTTTGATGGTTAGCCAAAAGCCGCTGCGAGATTGACCGGAGTTCACGTGATGGTATTGTGGTTAATTTATGGCAAGCACTATGCGTGTAATGAGTGCAACCCTATAATGTATTAATTCGGTAACCGGAAGCAAATACAGCTCAGTGAGAACTGGACAGGCATGGTTCGATATTATAGTACCCGTCACGACCACGTGCCAAAACATTTTGTCATGTTAAATGTAAAAATGTATCTTAAAAATCAGGTCGTCTGGTTGAAAACACGAAACCAAGCTCGCAACTCGCACGTTTTGGAAAGCACACGACCACTTGTCTAGAACTTAGAACCTCCCACCAAACCGCTCCAGTGTCACGTTTCACTGCACTGGAGAATGTAAATTAGCAGCAATGGATTTCTCAACAGTTCACCGCAACCGAAGGGGATGGGATTAAGCCGAATAAAAGGGGGAAAAAAATAAAAAAACCGCAATTCACGGAGGAGGGGAGGTGTCTCCATGTGCACGCGATGTGAGGTCACTTGATGCCACAGATTCAACTACTGCCAGGTCCCAGAGTGACTGTCTCTGCTAAAACTACCACATTGAGATACTACGACGTCACTGAACACCTTGGTCCACCCACTAAACTGCATGTAATTTGGTTTATTTCTAATATTCACTTTCTGAACACATTGTAACTTTATGCACAGATCCATGAAAAGTTAAGTTTTTAAGATACATTCTTACATTTAACATTACAGAATTAGTTTTTCACTGATTTTACGGATTGGCAATCCACAATCACAAATAAATAATACATTGAGAGATAAAGCCTTAATGTTGTTTGAACAAACTTTTAAGATTTAATCTAGTATTGCGCTTACGAGTATGCACATGGGAAGAGTTCGGTTTAGACCATGCGTCATGTGTCAAAGACACGCAGAATGTGTCATCTACGTTCCAACACAGCCTTGTGAATCCGATTACTGACAACTATCGGAAGAAATGTGCTTAAGTTTCACAACAACATTCTTTTTAGGTATACAAAACAAGAAGCTGACAAAAAATTTAAAACACGCACGCTTATTCTGAAAAGAGCGTTAAACTTATTCACATTAACTTTTACCGAGCACGGGCTGTGAATTGAGAGCCAGTCGTGCGCGTGGGTAATCTATGACTGCAACATGGGACCTTTCTTGTCAGTATCAAAGTATAAGGAGGTTTTTACTCTCCTTGGCAATAAAACAGTTGTGTTAGGATGTTTAAACACCAAACAGAAACCTTTTTCAGGGAATCATGTCTGCCTTCACCACACATTCTTGTGGTGAACATGCAAACAAAAACATGCTCTGGTAATATATGCAATGTCTAGTTTTGGCACTCACTGGTCTAACACTGGTTGAGACGTGTCCCTAAAGAAGGCTGTCTCTGGTGTAGACCAATCAGTTTCAAAGACAATGCAGACATTACCAGAACATGTTTTTGTTTGCATGTTCACCACAAGTATGTGTGGTTAATGGAGACAGGATTCCTTGCAAAAGTTTCTGTTTGGTGTTTGAACATCTTAACATTACTGTTGTATTGCAATAAAGGGTAAAACCTATTCTTATAACCTGTGACTAGGCTGACGCATAACTTAAACATTCCTTACACTGCCAGCTGAGACCCTAGGCAAAAGTGAGGCAACACAGCGACCAGATAAAAGTAGAGTGTGCACTCCCACGGAACCCTTAGCAAAGCTTGAAGGCTTTTGCACCATTGTCAATTTTGACATCATCAAATTCTATCTGGCTACAGCCATTCCGCGTTTTTTGTTCCACTTCTGAGAGCTGCACAGACGCAGAGGGGGAACAATGTGTTCGCAATGACCACACAGCTGAGCCTAAAAAAATAACTCGTGGCTTTGTTTATTTATTTCTCTTTGCTCGCTATTACTAATCAAACTATTGATATGGAGCCAAAGGGGAGGGGTAGTGAGTGCTCCAAAACCAGATTGTGCTTTATACAATTGCCTTGGGTAGAGCCCACATTCTTGGCTTCATCAACCGTTAAACGTAACCAGCGAGTCTCACAACCGTTGGTGAATTAAATCAAATTGATACGACAACATGTGGCAAAAACCAGATTGTGAGCAAAGACTCACCCCGCTGTCTAGACATCTTGACGTCTAGTGCACAACCGTGGATGTCTCTTCTCTCATGCTGTGGGCATCCCAACCGTTCCTCCAAAGAAATTAGCAAACCATGCGGAAAGGACACTAACCATGAGCATTTTTTTTAGCTCTCCTCAAAATCAATTCTGAAACGATTATCGAAAAAAACGACGATCAACTATCAACCCGAATAAGCGTGAAGCTATTTCACTGCCCACCGGCTTAAAATCTCAAGTTTATAATCCAAGAGTCAAGCTGGAATGCAGATTGCCTCCCACAGGGTTTTTCTCTGTGGCCTCTTGTGTATAGAAGTCTGGATGAGAATGTTCCATTTATGGCACCGGAGTCACTCATTCGGCAAAAAAAAAAAACACGGCAAGCAACTCAACTGAATATTGAAGCATTGTTTCAAACTGCCGATTGCGATCACGGAAAAAACAACCGCAGAGACCCCGGACAACGGCTAGTGCTCACCCGCAGTCTTCGCACACAGCCACGCACGAACGATCAACTAAAATTCTGAACGCAACTTCCGTGTATACTTGTGGCTCACGCCCTGTGTTCCCCTAACTCCCGTAACTTGATTTCCCCCCCTTGCATTTATTATATTTACAACCCATTGTCAAGTCATCTAGGATGCGACGGATATCGTCGGTTTTCGTAAGCTAAGCAAGCTTGGACCCGGTGGGTGCTCAGACAGGAGACCACTGTAGAAACAACAGGTTGCTGGCTGTATCTATCCAGGCTCAAATTTGTTCAGCTTCCGAAATCTGCCGAGATCAGGCACATTCCCGGTGATTTGGTCGTGGGTAGTACGATTGACACACGACCGATTGAGAAATACAAAAAAAATACAAAATAAATCGGAATCCCTTGGGTGACTGCAGTGTGTGGATTCTCTTGTGCTAGAACCAAGCAGGGGAGCGAGAGCCAGCGATAGCGCCTACCATGATGGTGATCTCCCGCTTGCAGACCTTGAGGTCGTGCTCGTTGTTGACGTACATGCGCTTCAGCGCGCACTGGATTCCGCTGTGAGTCCGGGCCAAGAAGACGACGGAAAATCCCCCTGCAAAACCACACGCACACACACAGCGAGACATAGGCGACTTTTAGTCTGCGACTGGTGGAGCAACCGCGCGAGGGAGCACAAAGGGATGATGCTGTCGACGTGCCCAGTTGACTTAGTCCACCAAATCCTTACGATCATGACCACAACCTCCCAGGTGCTTATTTTTATACAGAGAGATTCATTAGGGAAATCCATCGCCAATAAGCGAAACCCAAGGCAGCAGGATGGCAGTGCTGTGTTAATTACTACACTAGAATGCGGACATAATACCTGGCTACAATGCACATGCGCACAACTGCGCCATACATAAATGTTTAACATTCTCTAAAGTCATTGTGATAAAATCTGGAATCTTGTTGTTGTTGAGAAAAATATTTCTGAGTTGTTCAGCAATGAAAGGGGGTGAAGTAGTATTGCAGGGAGTTATCACACTACGCGAAAAACCGAGTGACCGGAATTCCATTCCGCACCATGGCCAACAACAGCAGCAAGTAATACCTGAACCAGTGTTGCGTGTATGTAACCTACCAACCCGCACTGACCAGAACAAGTTGGTGAAGGTGGGGGCCCTGGACCAGTTCAGACATCACTCCCCGCTGCTGTTAGCTATGGCTGAGAATCAAATTCAGGTCGCTGGGTTCATGTATGCATGTATGTTGAACGTATTTCGCACCGTACGTAGCCAACCCTGCTAATCGGAGGTGCGGGGTAAAGACAACAAACTGAACATAAAAAGCAATTTTAAAAAAATGAGTTCTCTATGTAGCAGTATGCCCCAACCATTGTTACTGCTCCCCACATCTGATTATAAAAAAAGACGCAAGTCAACTCCACAGCAAACCGTGTACAAATGCCGACTTGTGACAAGTGCGCACGTCTGCTATGTAGAAACTCCAATAAACACATAAAAGGCACATAAATGTAGCTTTAAATGCTGTTTGCTCCAAGTTTATTGAGCGTGCCTGATGTGGCAATGTTTAACAAAGCGGGCAGTCTCACGAGGCTAATTGCGGCAGAGGTTTGGCTCGCCGAGCTGCTATTTGGCCTAAATGTCGAAACCCAGTCAAGGTCAGCGAGGATTTGCACGCCCTGTGAGAGAGGGGTAACGTCGCCTTAGGCACTGTACAAGCACGAGCTACGGTCTCACCTGCGGACAGAACAGGGTTGCCGTGATATTTCAATGCACGATTCGACAATAAAAGATATTGATGACTGTGCCAACAGCTTTCCACAACTTTGTACATGTATTTAGTATTGCTTTGGTGTGCTTCGCCCGACTTCTAGTGCGGTCACATTTAATTCACTGGAGCCTGTAATAAGTCTTTAATCATTGAAAATTCATAATCTGTAACCCTTACACCGCACATGCTACACAGGAAATGATTAAACTAAGGGTGAATATATCTATGATAATGTCATATTAACGTCGTTCCGTTAATTATTCAAGATTTTTTTTCAAAAAGTACTAATTTAGCAGATAACAGCTACTTATTCAGAAATTGCATGTGCTCGTTATTTCAGAAATATTCCGATAATTACAGATTAAAAAAATATAAAACAACTGACAATTATAACGACATTGATAAACAGACAACATGATTATCGTGGCCCCCCTGTACTTTGTATGATAGCTCATAGTAATCACCACATTGTGGCAATCCTAAGACAAGAAAAGCAGCTACCATGGCGAGCAGAAATCCCCGCCACGATGCGTGGAACTCCAGCGGTGGCGATGTTCCGTGAAGGTGGCTTGAAAGCAGCACCAAAGGCACTGCTGTGCAGCCTCTATGTAAAGAGTGGGTTATTAACATTTTTTATTATGCATGCTCCTACATCCGTTATCTGCCATCACCAACCTGCACTGACCAGTGGTGGTGCAATATGGTTAAATAATCCCCATGTCCCGCAGGTGTGGGGAGGCACTCATCTAGCAGTGGAGTAACAATGGGCTGCGTGACATGTACCTCTACAGAATTGTAGGCACCTTGAACACGCCTGCAAAAGTTGTTAATTTTAAGTTGTTTATTTTGAAAGTTAATCAAAGTGATCAATATGCATGGAATCTGTTGACGTGTAACTTCTACGCAGTGAAGGCGAGCCACTCGACAAGCATGTGCACGGGTGCATAGCAACATAGCAATTGAAATCTACATATCAGATGTTTACATCATCTTCGACACGCAATCTTACCGCGATGCAATTTTGACTTCCCGTGTTGACTATTTGTACAAAGGGAGATAGCCGTTTTAAAATACATCTACAGTATTTCCTTTATCGTTGTCAATGAAGCAATAACCATACACGGTACACACACAGACTGGAAGTTAGCAATAGTTCTCCGCCCCCACCCCAAAGGTTCCTTCTGTCCTACGCAAATAAACAAGGGAAGCTTTAGGTGAAGGAAGTTTAGCCCAAAGGAAATAGTTCTGGGAAGGTCTCTCCGTGGCCTTGCCAGGAAGGATGTGTTGAGCTGTTCCGGTGATAACGTTCGTGCGAGCCGTTTAAAATATTTGAGAGGCGGCCACTACCTGGGGCAAAGCCACCAATCTTTGGGGGGGCGGGCGGCTTCAACAGAAAGCTTTGATTGATGGGAGCGGAGAGTGCATGGTAGGGAACAGATTGAAATGAGAAGGCAAGAAGGTATGAGAGTCAAGGGGGAGCAGAGTGATGCGAGAAGGGGGAGTTCGTGGGGGATCTTGTTCCATTGCGTGTGACTTGCCACGCACACTCCGCTGTGTTGGCAGTGTTGCTATGCTTGTGTCACCGCCTTGTTGTATTTTCTGTTGCCTAGAGTGCATTAACCCTGGAGGTCCTCAAGCAGTCACCGGGAAGATTACCCAATTATGATGCATTGGCGTTAGATTTAATCTCAGAGGTAGTATATTTTTCACATTACATAACAATGTTTTCGCTTTCATTAAATCAAGTTAGATATTACTGAATGCATCTCGTTTGATGAGTGTGCCCTTCACCATCCCCTGAAACATGCCCACGCGGTGTAACTTAAGTCTCGTGGGGTTCACATGTTTGCATGTCACACCACATGCTGTGAGCATGTACAGCAGCCCTTTTGTCAATCTCCTGCTGGATGGGGGCATCGCCATGCCCTGCGCGGGTCGTGGGGTTTTTATTTGTCCAGAATTCTCCACGAAAGTTACTATGGGCTGGATAAGGTGGTGAGCATAGAGTTGGGAGCACAGAACATGGACTTTTATTTCACTACCCTATGCTCACCAACAGGTTAGGCCGGCAGCCTCAAAGGCAAGCTGATTGTGCGTAATAGTCACAAATCCAAGTACTATCCAGGTTCAAATTTGCTTAACTTGGACGAGGTGAGGTGTATTTCAAGTGATTTTGGTCACAAGCATATATAGCGCGATGTTTACTATCGCACGTGTATGCTGCAAATATTGTGCGTTGCCTTTACCTGCTGCGCCTTGAGCACATGCTGTAGATTATACAGTGTTTATTGGCTTTAGTTCTGTGTGCCTGTGTATAGATACTGTTTTTGTGTTTGTTTGTGGAGTGCATTACAGAGTTGCGGTGTGAAGCGTGTAATATCCTCCGCGTCTTGTGTGGCAATGTCAAGTAGAGATGTTATATGTCACGTAGACCTTTATTATATACCAACAGCAGTGTAAAAAAAAAACACGGTTCATTTTAACACGTGTTTAATTGGAATCATAATCTTTATTTAGACTGGAGGAATGTGATGAGCTATTAAACTTTTTTCACAGATGTCCAGGAGATTTTACTCAGCCTACACTTCCTCCCAGTCACCCGGAGGCCAAAGACAACGATTCCTGCATGGACATTGACAAACTGTTGTGGCAAGTGCTGTGAGCGAGCAACGATGAAGGACGGTAGGGCACACAAGTGGGTGGGTGGCCACAACCAAGCCCCGCCACTTTTGTCTCCCCAGTGACGATGTTTACACACCGCACCACCTACTCGTTTTTAAGGCTGAGTCGACCTAGAGCCCACTCACATTATGTCATGTATCCCCAGCATCTCCTACTGTCTTGTATAGCAATGGAATATTATTTACAGTTATACATTATGTAGTGTACTATGTTATATGAAGTATATTTTATATGGTATGGTATATTTAATTTTGATCAACCCTTGGTCAGCAAGTCCTCCACCTTCACACGGGACACTGGTCACTCCACATCGCGTCATGTGTAACATTTTCTTCCTGCATTCTGCCTCTTTTTCAGAAGTTACCTGGCCACAAATGATAGCTCAAACAAAGTGGCTTGGCACGCGATAATGTATAGCAGCCAAACACTCTAAACGCGTGTCGATTCTAAACAGGACCTGGAGAAAAATCCACACGACCACGGAGAGACAGGTTCAGGATCAAACCCAGGACCTCCTACATACAAGGCGAGGTAGTTAACATCCCGCCACCGTGGCGCCATATAGACTGGTTACATATATTCTGTACATTGTATTTAACTTTGAATATCGTGGACTGTCTTGTAATGAGTTAGCGATGAACCCAAGGCCAGACAGAAGGCCCTCCACACAGTCGTATGGGGGGCCCTGCAGAGCTGGTACACTGTTGTGTGTAGTGCACTCTGTGTCACATGTAGAATTACATCGTGCATATTGCTCATTTACTCTCGACCAGCACGTCATCCAACAAAACAAAGATCCCCCTCCCCGGTAAAGCCTCAACAGAAGGTGATGTTAGCGAGCAACTATGACGGCTGGCACGGCACCACGCCCGGCCGCCTGTCTCCCCAGTGTCGATGTTTACACACCGCACCAGGTCCTAATTTGTTTTAGGCCGAGTCGACCTAGGGGGAGGCCCATTGCCGGTGTTGGCCCCGGAATCGAAGTCGGGTGGCCGGGTTCGTGGCGCATCGTGTTCACTGCCACACCACCGCCACCACACCGTGCCCAGCCTCCCAACCACCCCCTACCGTGTCGTCTGTACAGCTGGTGCATCGTCTGTGCAACGTAGCACGTGTCACAACACAGGCTGTGGTCTTATCGTCGGACTACACGTGCCTCGCCCTCCCCTGTCCACGCCGTCCCCTCTTGTTTCACGTCTTTCCACAGGAGCTGACATGCCGTCCGCGCGGTGTACAATGTGGTGCCTTGTGAGTGGCATGCTCACGCCGTGCCACGTTCTCGCAACCATCTCCTTGGCAGTCTTGCCATGTCGCTACGCGTCCTCTACAGCTGCTGCCACCATACACATTCTGTACAATGCAGTGCATTGCGTGCTGGTGTATCATGGCGAGTGGGGCTGCTCCCCGCCTGTGAATCCTCGAGTCAAAAAGTCTCCGTCCCCATCTCCCCTCCCGCGTCTCGTCCAAGCTCGACCTCAACGTCCCCCCCCCCCATTCTCTCTCCGCTGCTGCCCTAACCTCCTCGAACGTCCAAAGCGGCCCGACGATCCGCGCCCTCACCTTCGGCCAGGACATCCTCCACCGTCACCTGGAACCTGCCCACACCGAACGCCTTCCCCACGAGGCCGCCGCCGCCGCCTCCACCACCACCTCCACCGCCGCCCCCGTCTCGCCTCGCGTCGAAGAACTTCTTCATGGCCCCGGCCCCGGCCACGCCGTCACGCCGACATGCGGGGCCAGGCCGACATCCCACGCCGGGCCAGGGGGGCCAGGGGGGCCAGGGGGGCCAGGGGGGCCTCGCTCGCGGTCGCCTCGGCGCGCTGTGGAGATCGTGGGGGGCGGGAATTTACATTAAAAAACCCCCTCGGCGGCTCTGATTCAAACGGCGGCCTCGGGTGTCGAGCCTCCTGCTCCTCTTCCTCGTCGTCTTGTTGTTGTTGTCGCTGTTGTTGTTGTGGTGGTTGTCGTTGTTGCTGCTGCTGCTGCCGCTGCCTCTGCTCACTTCCCCACTGGGGAGAGACAACATGGCGCCGTCCCACAATGCAGCGCGGCGCTGGCTGCCGTGAGCGCGCGCGCCAGACAAAGACAAAGGCGCCGCGTGTAGCCGCAGCGCGCTGCTGGGGCAAGGGCGGGGGGCGGGGCCCGGCACTGTGACGCACGAGGGGCTGTGGGTGGTCAACTACACACTCACCTACACTACACACACACAACTACACACAACTACACACACACACACAACTACACACAACTACACACACACACCTACACACACACACAACTACACACACACACAACTACACACACACAACTACACACTCACCTACACACACAACTACACACACACAACTACACACATCTACACACAACTACACACACACACAACTACACACACACATCTACACACAACTACACACACACACAACTACACACTCACCTACACACACAACTACACACACACACAACTACACACACACACAACTACACACACACACACAACTACCCATACACACACACAACTACACACACACACAACTACACACACACATCTACACACAACTACACACACACACAACTACACACACACACAACTACACACACACACAACTACACACACACACAACTACACACACACACAACTACACACACACACAACTACACACACACACACAACTACACACACAACTACACACACACACCTACACACAACTATACACACACAAACTACACACATCTACACACAACTACACACACACAACTACACACACACACCTACACTACACACACACAGAACTACACACACACACAACTACACCACTACACCACTACACACACAACTATAGACACACACAACTACACACACACAACTACACCACTACACTACTACACACACACAACTATACACACACACACAACTACACACACACACAACTACACACATCTACACACACAACTACACACATCTACACACATCTACACACAACTACACACACACACAACTACACACACACACAACTATACACACACACACAACTACACACACGCACCTACACTACACACACACAACTACACACACACAACTACACCACTACACTACTACACACACACACAACTATACACACACACAACTACACACACACACAACTACACACATCTACACACACACACAACTACACACACACACAACTACACACATCTACACACACATACAACTACACACATCTACACACACACACACAACTACACACACACACAACTACACACACACACAACTATACACACACACAACTACACACACACACAACTACACACATCTACACACACACACAACTACACACACACACAACTACACACATCTACACACACATACAACTACACACATCTACACACACACACACAACTACACACACACACAACTACACACATCTACACACACACAACTACACACACACACAACTACACACATCTACACACACATACAACTACACACATCTACACACACACACAACTACACACACACATCTACACACAACTACACACACACAACTACACACACACAAACTACACACAACTACACACACACACATCTACACACAACTACACACACACAACTACACACACACATCTACACACAACTACACACACACACAACTACACACACTACTACACACACACACAACTACACACACACACAACTATACACACACACAACTACACACACACACAACTACACACATCTACACACACACACAACTACACACACACACAACTACACACATCTACACACACATACAACTACACACATCTACACACACACACACAACTACACACACACACAACTACACACATCTACACACACACAACTACACACACACACAACTACACACATCTACACACACATACAACTACACACATCTACACACACACACAACTACACACACACATCTACACACAACTACACACACACAACTACACACACACAAACTACACACAACTACACACACACACATCTACACACAACTACACACACACAACTACACACACACATCTACACACAACTACACACACACACAACTACACACACTACTACACACACACAATTACACACAACTAAACACACACAACTACACACAACCACACACACAACTACACACAACCACACACACAACTACACCACTACACACACATCTACACACACCTACACACAACTACACACAACTACACACACACAACTACACACACACACCTACACACATCTACACACACAACTATACACACTACTACACACACACAACTACACACACACTACTACACACACTACTACACACACACAACTACACACACACTACTACACACACAACTACACACAACTAGACAAATACACACAACTACACGCACACACCGCACACACTGCACTGACCACACACACACATTGCATACACCACACACACTGAACACACCACACACACTGCACTGACCACACACACACATTGCATACACCACACACACTGAACACACCACACACACTGCACTGACCACACACACACATTGCATACACCACACACACTGAACACACCACACACACTGCACTGACCACACACACACATTGCATACACCACACACACTGAACACACCACACACACTGCACTGACCACACACACACATTGCATACACCACACACACTGAACACACCACACACACTGCACTGACCACACACACACATTGCACACACACCGCACACACTGAACACACACACACTGCACTCACCACACACACGCATTGCACACACCGCACACACACAAACACTGCACACACTGTGCACACGCACACACACACACTGCACACAGACACATTCATCTACACACAGCGGACTCGCACACCCACCCACCCATCTACTCACCCACCCACTCCGTCCATCGATAACCGGCCACGATAAGAGGAATATTTGTTCCACGTGTTTTTGTACTGCTTGTTGTTGTTGTTGTAACTTTGTGACCGGTCCCCACTGGACATCTGTGAAAAAGAGCTTTAGAGCTCATCGGATTCCTCCTGCAGTGTAAAGATTCTGATGCCGAAGTAGACTCATGGTACAAGCAAATCAGGTCTCGCTTATTTGATTAACCTGAAGTAGAGAATTGAAGTGACCAGCTGGGAGACTCATTTGCAATAAAACTTCGATTATAAATATTGTCATTAATAATTATTTACATTTGTAAGGCGCTTTTCATCCGTAGACTTTTGAAAGCAGGACACGTGGTGGTAAAGGCCAATTTAAAGGGGAGTTTAAAGGTCAGCTATTTAAGTCTCATTTTAAGCCAATTTAAACTCACCTTTAAATTTAAACTCACCTTTAAATTGGCTTAAAAACGAGACTTAAATAGCTACAACGACTCTTGTCTTGACAGTATTGCCAGAGGCACAGCATTCGATCGCTATATTTAAGCACACTTCGGATATACATACACTTTGAATGAGGACACTTCTGATACAAGCAGACCAACACATGTACACACGTCGCATATAAGCACACATTGGTTATAAGCACATATCAGATGCGAGCGCAGTTCGGATATAAGGACACCGTTGGTACAAGTACACTTCTGATAAGTGCACTTCTAAACTGACACATTTTTTACAAGGAGTCATGTTTGCATTGACCACAATACCTGCGGTCGGAATGCAAACAAAAAACACAACTCTGATCATGTATGCACTGTCCTTGAAATTGATTGGTCCTCACCCGAGACAGCTTTTCTTAGAGCCTAGTCTCACATGGTGTTGGACCAGATGACGTCAAAAGGTGTCAGTTTTGTTGCCAGATAAAAGGGTAAAAAAAACAAATATATTTTGCTACCGGCAAAGGAGGTTCCAATGGTGCACTTCTAAACACAAGCGTACGTCGCGGATATAAGCACACTCCGTGTGTGCACACCAGCAATCCGGATAAGCGTGCACTTGTGATACGTCTGCACTGAGTTGGTGTTCTTCTTGGTTCTTTTGGTAAAGTCACGTAGAAGGGAATAAAATAATAAAAATATAACATAATAATTATTTTATTATGTTTTATTTTTATTATTTTATTATGTTGTATTTTTATTATTTTATTACTTCCCTTCCACGTGACTTTACCGAAAGAACCAAGAAGATGAATCCCTGCAGTCACGAAAGCTTTAAATCGAAAAAATTTGAGTTGTTGTTACATCGGCAGGGACGGGTGGCTTTCTGACCACGGGCTGTGTGAGTGGACACGTGGTGGGTGGCCGCCTTCATCGGGCAGCAGTGGATCGATCCTGGTCGATGGAGGCAACAGCAGGGGGGGGTGTCAGTGGATCGATCCTGGTCGATGGAGGCAGCAGCAGGGGGGGGGTGTCAGTGGATCGATCCTGGTCGATGGAGGCAGCAGGAGGGGGGGGGGTGTCAGTGGATCTCGGCTCCCCCCACCACCCCGCCCGCTCTGGCGGTGACTTCCCCGCCGCGCGAAGGGCAGGCGGCTTCCAGCGAAGATCGTCGTTCCATGGTTGGCATCAACACTCCGACCACCACTACCACTCCTGTTACTGACGATTTTGATCAACGCATTAGCTGCTAGCGTTAATGGGGAACACGAAAAAAACCGTGTAGACGACAGCTTTAATACGAGATCGTAGTGGGGGTGTGTGCAGGTAAAACTGCGTCCGTGTGCGTCACCGCGCTCGGCTCGGCTCTCTCGTCTCTCCGTTCTGTTTCGCCGTCTTCTCTTGCTTCGTGCGCCGTGCGGGTCTCATGAGTTGTCGAGAACGACGGCGGTGACGAGCAACGCGGCCTTTGGGTGACATCGCCGCCTCCACTCACATCGGCTCACGGCGTCAAAAGCCGAGCCATGTCGCGTTTCTTAGGTTTCTCTGGGCCCACGTGTCTGCGTGAATTGACGACGAAACGCGAAATATTTACACCGCAAGAGACACTAAAACATCCTGTTGTTAGCAGCTGGTGACGACGCACGGAGCGAGCGAGACGCGGGGGGGGGGGGGTAATGGAGCCTTGAAGCCGAATCCACGAATCTTTAACTCGGCCACGTGCTCCGAACCACGTGGGTGTACAGTAGCAGTCATTGTCAGCCACGCGGCTGCCACAATGCTGTAGTTGATGCGCACGTTGTGTTGGTCATCAGCATTGTTAGACCATACTTCACCACGTTGGTCAATACGGGGAGAGGGGTGACACATACAGTACGTGGTGTGGCCCAGTAGGGGGGTACAGCTGGGTGCATCAACTGGTCATCTCAGCCAGCCGACCCATGGCACCTGCTGGGTCTGTCCCGTGACCTGCACCTAGCCTGGCACAGGAAGGGTGTACAGCTGCTCCATCTACCAGTCATCTCAACCAACCCATGGCACCTGCTGGGTCTCTCCCGAGGACCTCCTGTCAGCGAGCCTTCAGCACTTCACGTGGCCTCAAGGTGCACATGGCCTGGCACAGTGGACAGAGTTATTGGTGGCCCAGCGCCGATTTTAGATATCACCACTGACGTTATACGTCGGTCGGAAATCGAACTCGGGTCGCCGGATTAGTCACCTGCACCCCCTCTCCACGTACCGTATAGAGTAAGCCATTCACAGAAGTTAATTACCACTTCGTGTTAGGCGAATGTTTTGTACGGTACCTATGCGTATATCTACAAGTGCGGATATCGTGATTTATATCGCTGCTATCTCGTTACAAACGGCACAGACCACGCGTCTGGCGTCAGTGGCGAGTGATATCCGATGTGGTGGGGGCAACCAGCATGGTGAAGTAGTCAAATCACTCCCACGAATCCGTACGGCCTGGGTGAGACACCCACCCAGCAGTGGATTGACAAAGGGGCTGATACACGTTCCTGTTGTTACACGTTACCTGGTTTCTAATCATAGTAATGCTGCATTTTAGGCCCAGCTTGGGTCGTTAGGGAGCCTAAGTTTGACGATGGGTTTTCAGACTGATAATCACCACACTTTGGGGTGTGTACAATGTGATCTCTCGTGCCCTTCTCGAACACCAAATCCCAAGAGACAAAACCGGAAAAGACCGTGCCAGCAGTGATCAACGTCAGGGCAGTGTCAAGTTTATACAATTTATTCTTAGCACAGTCCTGGCCTAATTAGATGCAACGGTGCATACAATTGTCAAGCAAAACATTAAAACAATCGAGCGTGGCATTTTACATGTTTTAAATGCAAGTTACAATAACATTGCACACCCCTTGTAAAATATCAGCAGCTTGATTTAGACTGGAGGAGAAATCCGATGAGCTATGAAGCTCTTCCATTATGGGCGGGTCAGAAAGTTAGAACAGCAAAATCGGATTCCACGGGCTGATACATAACATGCTGCAATGTTGTTCTGGAGTCGAGACCATTAGGAAAAAACACAAGATTTAGTGACATGTCGCATATTTCAGAAAAAAAACTGGATGTTTTGTTTACATACATTAATGGTCCTAATAAATCACCCTACACAGCTAATAATTACATGGGATGTTTTTTTTTATAAACTTGTAAGAAAGAAACTGTCAACTAAACTTGGTCAAGCTTAGTTTGGCCACGTTTTTTAGATGCCTGTAGGAGGCAGTGACGAGGATAAATGTTTCTCCTGTCAACTTGAAAACCATTGTGAGTGTGCGCCTTTTGTTTATCTTATGAAGTGCTGCAATTCATTTTCTTCATTATTTTTTAAAGGTGGGCAGGAAGGACGCGATCTCAAAAATCTCAAGCGTCACCCCCTCCCCGAGCGATGTCTGCCATGCCGCTCCCCGCCTCCGCGGCGTCTCTCCTCGCCAGCCTGGGCTGCGGCTTCGCACTCGCGTGGTTCCTGCGAGGTCGCTTGGCCACCGCCCCTGCCCACGGTCCTCCGGCAGACCACGCCGGCCAGGCACACGGTCACGAGGGGGGCGGCAGCAGCAGCGACGACGGCTACGACAAGGATGACGACTTCGACGGCGGGGACGACGCGGACGACGTGGACAGCGACGGCAACAGCGTCGGCGATGACACAGGAAGCGACGACGACGCTGACGACGCCGACGAGCACAAGATGGTGCTGGTCGTGCGCGCCGACCTCAAGATGGGCAAGGGCAAGGCGGCGGCTCAGTGCGCGCACGCCGCCGTGGCCGCGTACCGGCTGGCGGCGGCGCGCCAGCCGGGCGCGCTGAGACGCTGGCGCCGCGGCGGGCAGGCCAAGATCGTGACGCGCGTGGAAGACGAGGCGGCGCTGCTGGAGCTGCAGGAGAGGGCGCGCGCGCTGGGGCTCGGGGCGCCCCTGGTGTGCGACGCCGGGCGCACGCAGGTGGCCGCCGGGTCGTGCACAGTGCTGGCCGTGGGGCCCGGCCCCGTGCGCGCGGTGGGCGAGGTGACGGGGCACCTCAAACTGTACTGAGCACCGGCTCTCTCTCGCTCTCCTACGGCCTTCCCTCTGCAATGCACTCATCCCACCAACTCTGCTCCCCCCTCCACCGCAACCCTTAGCTCTGAATTGTTTTCGGTTTGTACCGCGTGTTATTTGGCATGATGTTTGACAATTTAGCCCACGTGCTGGGGCTTCTCGAGATCTTCCTACCTTCTGGTCGTGAAGAGGTTCCCAGCAGATATGTAGTGAAACGTAGGACATAATGCCGAACCCCACGGTTACAGCCTGAAAGCACATCAGAGCTATACGGCACAACTATGAAAAACCCACGGTCCCCAAACCTTAGTCGCCTTTCTCCAAGTCATGGTGAGTGGTGCACATCACCTTTGGCAGCCGTGAAACTGGTGAGAATTCTGCATTCCAGTGGTGCTGGGCTATGTGGTGGGCAGCAGAGGGCAGTGTGCAGCTAAATATATTGTAGTTTTGTACCCCCTCTGTGCCCCCTGCCTACGCCTTCAACCCACACAGAGCAGCGTTATGGAGTATGGTCAAATAACCCCCACACGCTGTTGGAAGGCCTTAATCCAGCAGTGGAAACCGTTCATACACAAATGGTATAACGAGTGATACTGGCAATGTTCAAGACTGGATCATATGTTGTGCTATAGCAATATAGTTATCAGTATTTTCGGTATCACCTTGATACTGGGAGTCTTGATAAACGTTATTTTGCTATTTCCCTTTGCAAATGTATTGCTCATGGAGCAATATCTATTTCATGACTTTCATTACCAAGGTATTTCCTGTAATGTGCGATACACTGGTAGAATAATTTCCCAGCTGTTGTGATTCAGGAATGGGTATGAAATGTTAAGGTATCAGATATACGGTGAATATTAAATACAAGGCCTCTACTGCCAAGCACTGCTTTCACTTAACGCCGGAGACCAATATTCAGTGGAAATCAGCCAAGTTCACAAAACGCATCCAATGGTTTCCTAAAAATGTTGAAGCTTATTGCATCCGTTACTCTTTAATAGTACAATAGAAGCTCAAATAAACTGTTTACAAACAAGCAATTTGCAGAATGCATGGATTTTAGATGAACACTTATGGTAACTTGGAACGTGGCACTGCATACATTTTCTGTATTTCTGTACAATCTTTGACATTTTTCCCATTAGGCGGGCACGTTAATACAAATATAAATTCAAGCAATGTGACCCCAAAGCTGCTGGCACGTTTTAAGCTGCCATCACTCATTATGTGAGTGAGGAGACTTCAACTTACAAACGGCCCGTCTTGCCAGTGACTGCCGCCACAGCACGATGGGACAAAGTGGATGTCACAAACGAGCCACGGCACCTCGCTGATCAAGGAGCAGAAAGCATCGCAGCGAACTCCGGTGGTCATCCACGCAGTAGCGGCTTTTGGCCAGCCCACGAACAAAGACGTCGCGCGTTTTCAGATGTGTTTCTGCGGCCGCCTGGAATGGTCTTCCGATATTAGGAGCCACTGGAGCTTTGCACTTTTACATCTTTAAAACTGCTTTTTTGTGCTTAGTTGTCCTTCCCCCCCCCCCGTACCTCCGTTGAGTGCGGTTGGCTACGTACGGTGCGAAAGAAATTCAACATACAGGGTAGCTCTAGATTTGAAGCTTTCGTGACTGCAAGGATTCATACTCTTAGTTCTTTCGGTAAAGTCACGTAGGTAAAAAATGAAATAAAAATTAATAAAAATAAAACAATAAAATCACGACGTTTCGGAGGCAACACAAGTCTCCGTCATCAGGTGGGACCGTCGCAGCCAGATTTGCTGTATACCTGATGACGGAGACTTGTGTTGCCTCTGAAACGTCGTGATTTGTTTTATTTTTATTAATATTTATTTCATTTTTTACCTACGTGACTTTACCGAAAGAACTAAGAGTATACAGGGTAGCCAGGAACATTGTCAGACGTGAACTGCATGAACATCACCCGAGGATGTTTTTTTTTCCATCTTCTGGAAATCCGAGCAGCAAATGAGCAGAGTGGTCTACCCCCTGCTGAGCGGGTTTGTTAAGCTGAAATAATGGTGAAACTGTAGCCGCCTTGCCTTAAAGTGTGACCCCCCCCCCAAAAAAAACTCTCAAAATTCCTCCCAGTAACAAACTTTACTTTTTTATGGATTAGATTTGCGATTGTAGCCTATCGCTCTCCAGTGTTTAGTTTTCGGGTTTTGACGTTTGACCGTGTGCCAAATAACATGCAGTGCAACCTCAACACACATCGGAGAGGCTATTATATATATTTGTAATCAGGTTATTTGTGCATATCTATGTTTGGAGTTATTTGAAGCAATAGGTAAATTGTAGCAAGCCAAGCGATATTCGGTTTTTATGTTGGGCGTTTGAAGCTGCGCATCAAGAGGCAACACATCAACTCGTGACCAGAAAATATTTATTTCAACAATTGTCAAATGCCATCGATCTTTCCAATGCTAACTATTCAAACTCTGCACTTAATTTGAAAGCTCAAAGGAAACAAGTTAACAGAGCAGGCTGCTGTTATTTTGATTAAACACGGAAATAAGTTATATATGTTACCTGGTTGTCGCTATACAATTTTTGTATAAAACGCTTCACATCTCCAGTGTAAATAGACACGTTAGTAAAATACAGGACGCGGTGAGCCTTCACTCTTAGTTACACTATGCTACAAGTTACCTTGGGTCAGTAGTTCACAAACCGCGAGCACCGTGTTCCCCACCACCTGAGCCAAGCTCCCATCGCTACCACTCCAGGCGCGTGTCTCACATCACCTCCGCACGTGTGCAGTGTGCATCCTGGCAGCGATGGAAGGGCTGCGCTTGAGGCGGAGGGGGGTGACCGATCGCTGTGGTGTGAGAATCGTTGCGTCGCACGCGGCACTTAAACTCAAGGTTCGATGTAAACTGCACAAAAGTTGTGCAAAAAAAAGCCGGCTCGGGTAACACGGAGGGACCAAATTCGTTTAAATAAGTACGAGCTGATCAGCTTTCCCGCACGTTGTTTAAGCTTATTCTTACCGGTGATTAAGCGCCGAGTTGTCAGCTTTTCTTTGAATGCAACTGAAAATAGGGATTAAAAAAGTGGTCACATTACGAGTTCCATGATCGTTAATTCCCATTTTTGGTTTTTATCACAACTCTTTTCCCACATATCTACTGCAAGAGTGTTTTGTGTGGGATTATTTTCATTGTTTTTTTGCTTGTTTAACTTACAATAACAAATCTATTTTAAAGCAAAAGTTTTAGACTGCATTTTAAAAGATGGTCCAATAAACCACAAGCTGTTAAAAATGTAAGACCCAGCAAGCATACATGCTCGTTGGCGTTTTGAGCCAGTTATTTTAAAGCTACTACAGCAGATGCCAATCACGAACAGCATTTGCTGTAACAATTATGAACGGAAGGAACACTGTTGGTCCAATTGTTTTGTATAAGTGATAGTGACTTTTTTAAAAGTTATTTTCAAACTGATCAAAAATACGCACTTATGCAAGGAACGCCTTTCCCTTATAAATAGAACAGAATTCCACACTCAAGTAACTTTTTTGCTCTCGGGGACTTGAGCTGCGATAAATCGAGTTCAACCACTTGTGACAATATACTCAGAACTCGTTAAGTTTCTGACGGTTCTGAGAGAATAAAATGCAACGTGTGTAAAAAAACACATGTCTGGACTCTGTTTCTTTTGATTAACTTACCAAAACCAGGGCTTGAACCCTGAACCACAGACGTTCTGAGCGATTTATCTCCGGCACAGTTACATTAGTCTTGTGCGCCCCACAACTGCCCGTTTAACGCCCCTTTAGGTGCAATGCCAAGCCCTGCTTGCTATGCCTGCAAGAGTAAGGAAAAAACATTTACCTTATATACTGCAAGTACACTCAAATACTGAACATCTAAATGTGACAACAAGCATAAACACACAGACATAAACATGAAACGCTGAACTTGATGAATATAATTATAATGTATTTGCCCTGCTGGTCAAGCTTCAGTATACTGTATAACGAAATGCTAAACATCAAGTATTTGTATTCCATCAGTCGGCAAAAGCAATGAACGGCTGTGGATTATAAGGACTACACTCGGAGAGAATATCACAAAAGCATCCTTCAAGTTAAAAATGTCTCACTCCCTCCCCCCCTGCAGTCAAGCATTCGAGCCCCATAGCAAAAGCCATCCTTCTGCAATTTAATATTAAGAGGTACTGCTCACACACTACGAATGACAATGTGAGGATATGCCACTGTTCATGAACTTTTTTGGCGGGGCCTGTGGTTTTCTCGGAGGTGGCCCCACAACGTGAAAACACTGGCAGGTTTGTGCTTTATTTTAAGAATGCTTAAAGCATTGGGACAATGGGTTGGGATATGCCCACAGGTTGATGTTCTTTTTTGGGCAAATGTGTTACATTTACACGATAGTCCACACCGACGTCGCCAATCGCAGCCTCGCCCTATTTTTGTCTCCCAAGATATAGGCGCCACCTGTGTGATGAAATCGCCCACAATGCGCCTGATTACACCAGACTTGGGAAGCTAAGCAAGCTTTAAGCCTGGATAGCGCTTGGATGGGCAACCGCAGTGCACAAACTCGCACTGACCGGCGTGGTGAAGAATGGACCAATATCCTTCAGGGCCATCAAGGTGTGCGTGGTGGGGAGGCCCTTTCTGGCAGCAGGTTAACAAAATGGGCTGCACGTGTAGAAAATATGTACCCACGGAACGTGTCACCAGGGAAAACCTGATCAATATAAATAAACCCTCCTGGTTTTCCCCCCTAATATTTTCTGATGAGCAAATGCAGCCACAGCATGGCATTTTGGTCAGTCACGTTCACTAGGCTTAGTAGACACGTGCACCTGGGCCCAGAGTTAAGTCCATGCATGCCATCTAGAGGAAACAAAGCTTCGAATGTCATGTGGAGCCACTTAACGAAGATCACATGAGAAACAAAAGCATTGCTTGTGTACACCATTTCAGGGTTATTAAAGAAAGTGCAGTGTTTTTTTTGTTTTTAAACGTGCTACAAATACCATATGAGAATTGTTCCATGAAATAGAAATAGCCGCTTCGATAGGTACAGCCCACTCTGAAGAGATATGTGCATCTTGTAAAAAAAAATACTTCATTCTTGTTTTAAGTAGTGTTTATAATTCAATTCAAGTGGTGTCGTCTTTGAAGGATTAGTGCCCTCATTTTATGCGCTCACGCTTAAGCCACGGTTTAACACGACAGCTGAATTGTAATTATACCGTCTGCGATTGCCTCTGTTGCCATAAATCACAACCATAAGTTTCATAGTTTTCTCCAAACTTAGCACTGTCGTGCAAAAAAATCCATCTTTTGCCATTGAGCTGTCCATTCAGCTGGAGGAAATTTGTATCAACTAGTCTCGTTCGGCTCTTTGGTTCTTTCGGTAAAGTCGCGTAGAAAGAAAATAAATTAAATAATAGAGTAGGACGTTTCAATTGCAACACAAGCAACCGTCATCAGGTAGAACTAAATTTGAGAGAGAGACAAAACACAGACACGGAGACACACAGACAGACACAAGCAGAGAGAGACAACACAGACACAGACACACACAACATAGACACGCAGAGACGTCTCACACAGAAAGACACACAACATAGACACAGAGATGTCTGTGTGTCTATGTTGTGTGTCTCTATGTGTCTGTGTTGTGTCTCTCTCTCAATTGTAGTTCTACCTGATGACGGTTGCTTGTGTTGCCACCGAAACGTCGTACTCTATTATTTATTTTATTTTATTTCCAAGTGACTTTACCGAAAGAACCAAAGAGTAATTCCTGCAGTCACGCAAGCTTCAAATCAAGTTTAGTCTCGTTAGGACAATCGAATCTCCTTAGGTGGGAAAAAAGTTAAATCGACTTGTATCATTATTCACACTCCCTGTTTAGGTTGAGAACAAGCACACGATTCTACCGCACATGAAGACTTTTTTCTGGAACCTACTGAAACACTTCATCAAATGGCGCTGCCATGTTATAATCATGAACATTTGAGACATGCAGTCTCTTTAAATCCATTTTACTGCTGGAGGTTATTTTCCGTTTGGTGTCGAGCTCTCCAGCAAAGCAAGGGCTATTTCCTTATGTACTTTATAGCTTATTCTAACTCATAGAAAAAAGTATACGGTATAAAAATGAGACGAACATTTCACATTTCTGTACGATTCAATATCTTAAATGTTGCGGGGGTCCTCTAAGCAAACGAAGGCCGTCCTCTGGCATTAGCTCACGTTGCGATATGATCAATAAATAAGACCTCAACAAAAAGACTGCTCGGCCTTGTGAGAGCAAGGATGGTCTCATAACAGAAGCTAATTGCAACTAACGGTAAAAAAAATGCCAGGTGTGGATTTATTTTTTTAGAGAGGAAAATTCACTCAGCACGTGAGAAAGGGTTGAGAAACAGTGAGTATAAATTATACACGTGCACATCTGTAAGTAAATCAGGCATGGGATTCGTTCATCCTCAAAAACACAGCCATTTGACAAACAAAAAACAACATTAATCAGCTTTTGAAATCGTATTTGGCCCCAAGGCCAAAACACATGGCACCTCAATCCAAAAAGCGATGAGCCTAATGGGCTGTGCCAAGCAATTCAAGTTGTTACGAAACAATTTAATACATTTTTGGATACATTTTTGGATACATTTTTCGAATGTTCTCATCAATTCTGGAATTAACTGTGTCGGATGCATTCAAGGTTAAGACCACTTAATTGATCTGAGCATATGTAATACGGCGCATTCAGCAAATTACTTTTTTATATTTCAAAATATCTTAGTCTGGACTCTAGGGTATCGACACGTTGATGACACACACATTCCTGCATTGACCGTTTCTCTGGTGTAGCTGTGCTCCGAAACGTACTGTGCAGAGCCCCACAATGGTCCTGCCATTCCTTGCCGACGACTGGCCTGCATTTTAAAAGGCAGCACCACAACAAGTCCACTGGCCTCTCTCGCCGTTAAACCAGTTAATTCCACATCAACATTCATGAGCTCTGACAGAACACCTAATCCAAAAAACTGCACCCAAATAAGAACCAGCTGACAAAAAAAAGCATCTCTGCTTTTCCACTTGAGGCTGATACCAAGGATCCATAAGCACCAGCGAAACTCCATTCCCTACTTGCAGATCTGTCGCTGTATGTGCTGCAGGAACTCGGAGTATGACATCGAAGACTCAGACCTGTCCTCCACAAGATGCTCGATGAAGATCGTCCTGTTGGTGCTGTCGTCCCTGCAAGCGGCAACATCAACGGTTAGAACACAGGGAAGTGGCGCAATGACGCTTTGGGACAACTACCGCAAGAGAATGTCATAGAAAGCAGCCAAGTGCAGGGTTAACGAAGGCTTGAGAGAAGAGGCCGGGAGGCTCAGGGGTCAAAACACTGACGGGTACTGCAAGATCTGACCGCGTCCGTCCAGTGCTCGCCGAATACATTCTAAGGTCGCACTCAATACACACAAAGTGCTTGCCACAAAGTAACTGCAATGCCTTGCTGATCTCTTTAAGGAGCATAAACCATCACGCGAACTCTGGTCATCCTCGCAGCGGCTTTTGGCTAGCCATCGAGCAAAGACGGTCACTGCATCGCGCGCTTTTAGATGCGCTTCTGTGGCCGTCTGGAATGCTCTTCCTACCAATATTATGAAGCCACTGGAGCTATGCACTTTTAAATATTCATTAAAAACGAATTTCTTAACAATTGCTTTCTGTGTTTCGTTTATTGTCCTTCCCCCGCAACTCCAATTAGCATGGTTGGCAATGAACGATGTGAAATAAGTTCAAAATACATCAATGCTGGATTTCAGCTGCTCACGATTTAAACCGGATTTTCAGTTGCAGCGAATTGATGGTCTAAGCCCAGCCACCAACGACAGGACCAAAAAAAATTTGAAGTGATTTTTTTTCATCTAAATTGCACACAAAGACTGTACATGAACGTGTAACTGATAATACCCTATAGGCAGCGTATACTACATGGTGCGTCGTACAGAAATATGAGCACACCTAATAGACCACAGGACTAAATTGCACTGCGTGGACACGTTTCAAGTGACAGTCAAGGGCATGCCTATTAAACGCAATAACGACATAACACATACCGTGCATGCACAAGAGAGACCATTACTACATAATGCACAACATACACCGACGGGCGACTGCATGCTTACTACAACAGCACATGGCCAACTTGGAGGTGCAGCCCACATCGTGTTGGGAGTCTCTCATCCAGCAATGGACTGCTAAATGGGCTGTACATGTGCATCTGGTTGAACATACGTGCATGCTGTATCACACAACCGTATTAACCGCTAACATTAAAGAGAAAAAGTGGCTTCTGAAATCAGCATTGACACATGTCACATGTGGGACTAACCCTAACCAGACCGTGCCCCCCCCCCTCCTCCCGTTTATTTCCCTCTGTGACCTTCCCCATTCTTTATTTTATAGTTGACTCCCTTGTTAGCTGCGTGCAAGGGGCTAACCCGACAAAAGAAATGAAGAACATGATATGTAATTCGTGTACCTGAGCATCGGGTCCCCATTCAACTTGCACGATGCAATAAATGTGACGATTTTATTTTATAAACATCGTAAGCGGCTAAATTTTTATTTAAAGCTTTCGTGACTGCAGGGATCTGTATTCTTGGTTCTTTCGGTAAAGAGGCATTGTAAAAGCCGCTTACGATATTCTTGGTTCTTTTTATTATTTCCCTTCTACGTGACTTTACCGAAAGAACAAAGAATATCGTAAGTGGCTTTTAAAACGCCTCTGCAAATCAGCCTAGCGATCAGGAGCGATGCGTCTTTGGTGGGGAGCATACTTGATGATGTGCTGCGTGGAATGGAAGGGCCTTGGCTCTCGAATCCACGACAAGAAGTCTCTCGTTCTCTCCGACGTGGTGTTGTCCAGTTCGGGCAAATCGACCTGCGAAAAGAACGCATCGCCAGGGACTCTGCTTCACCGCACCATTGCACCGTGAAATCAGGGCACTGCACAGAAGTGGCCTCTCAAGATCGCACACATCAAACACCAAGACGTGTGCTCGCACACACGCACAAATACAAAACACCCCCCATGTAGCCTTTATAAATAGTTGGGGTAAGTGCTGTGGGTGAGCACCTGTGGAGGCCAGCACAGTGCTTGAGGTGGTATGACCACCATGCCTAGACAGCCTCGTCTTCCCAGTGATAATGTGTACATACCGCACAAGGTACACATTTAATGCCAAGTCCACTTAGAGGAGAGCCCCAGACCGGCTCAAGATATTCGCCACTAACATCAGCTGTGGCCAGGAATCAAACTCAGTTGACGAGGTTCATAGCAAAGTTAATGAACAACTACGTTACCACTCCCCAAACCACACACAGACACATGTGCGCAAAGACAAACATCTATTCTTACACAGAGAGCATCGACTTGGAGCCAGCATGGCACACAACAGCGTGGCCTACGCACACTGCCACTGGTGCATGGCCATGTGTGGCGCAAGCTCGAGAAAAACGTCACTTGAAGCAGCGGGAATGAATCTTACCATTGTGTTCGGAATGGAGATGTAGTTGGGAAAACCAAGGACGTCCTTGATGAATCGGTTGCTGCAGTTCCTCCCGACCCAAATGTACAGCACCTATGGATGAGGGAAATGAGATCCAATGCTTCGATTTAAAGCTTTCGTGACTGCAGGGATTCATCTTCTTGGTTCTTTCGGTAAAGTCACGTAGAAGGGAAGTAATAAAATAATAAAAATAAAACATAATAAAACAGAATTGTTTTAATAAAACAGAATTGTTTTATTATGTTTTATTTTTATTATTTTATTACTTCCCTTCTACGTGACTTTACCGAAAGAACCAAGAAGAAGAGATCCAATGCGTTCGCTGTTCCATTCATTCATTTTGTGCAGAGTTCTCCCACTGATGGCCCACTGGCCAGATACGGCCTACGAAGCTTCTTGGAGTGGACCCAACAAAACTATGGCCTGTCAAGAAACATGGCTCGCTGGGACCCAGCGAGACACATATTATTGAGATGAATGGGAGATAGACAAAGATGAGAGAGCTGCAGACAAGGGATACAGACTGGTGAGATGAACGCAAGATGTACAAGGGGAAGACAATATACCTGAAGACAATATCAGTAGCCACATGTAGAGCTATTGACGTCATGATGCCATGTGATGTCATCATGTCCATACATATGATGTAAGATGTCGTGTGGCCTGCCAGCACATGCTAATATAAATATATTGTTCACTAGGAAATCTATTTAAACACCAAACAGAATATGATAACTGATAAACATACTACAATGCTGAAATCGGTTTTATAATTTGCTGTTGTAGTAATTGGTAATTATACAGTCCTTTGTCAAAGCACTGCTGGATGAAGGTCTCTCCATGTTTGACCACTCTGGTCCATACAAGTGAAAGAGGTCGGGGGAGACGCAGAACTGGTTCAATTATCACCCATCACTAATTTTAGCCCAAGCTGCAAATCGAACACAGGCCACCAGGTTTGTAGAGCAAGTGCACTTATACCACCGCGCCACCACTCGACCCCTTAGGAACTGGTAACGGGTCCCGAAGCTCTACATCGACGTTTTGGTGCATAAACCGAGAATATGAGGTCACACCTGGCAATACTCATTGCAGGACAAGTAGAGTGAAAGTACCACATTACAAGTTCCAGTGCCCGACTCCTTCCCAGACTGCTATTTGGCCAAGAGTATGGAGGGTGGAAGGTGGGCCTTGGTACAACTACGGCTTCTAAAGCCATTTTCCCACTGCCTTGCACGTCGAAACAACCCCGCGCATTCATTCAACGGTGCCAGCAGCAAACACCTGCAAATGCAACATTCCCCCCCGGGGCTTCTCCCGAGGCTTGTTTGTGTAATATCCCAGCATCGGCGCGGCGCAGCGCAGCAACATGTTGGTTATGGACTCTCAGTGACACTACCCCCCCTCCGGCATATTTTCATTGGCAAGGCTCAATCACGACCCTGACGCCTCCTGTATATTCGGAGTTTGCGTGTTCTCTCTCTCTCTCTTCCCCCCCGCCGTGGTCGCGTGGATTTTTCATCTGGGTCCTCTGGTGTTTCCCTCCACATTTATAAAGCATGAGTTTAATGTGTTTGGCTGCTATACATTTCCACGTGATAATCCGCTGCGTTGGGCTATAATTTCTGGCTTAGGTCGCTTCTGAAAAAGAGCGATACAGCTCAGTAGGTCTTACCTGGTAAATAAAATAGTTTTTTTTTATTCTTTGCAATCAAAACAGCAAGGTAACTCTAAAACACCCCTACACCTCCATTTGAGGATGGTATCCTGCTGTGGGAATGAATAAAAGCACTTTGCCAATGTCCACAGCATGCGGTGATGCCACTTCTAGAAAATCCCCATATTCACCTGGTATGTTACTCTGAAGGTGCAACTTAAAACACACACAAGCACCAAGTGTGTGTGTGTGTGTGCCTATACAATGGGGAGTGGTCACGTAGCGGTTAGCGCTACGCTGCGCTACGAATCCGGTGACCCGTGTTCGATTCCCGCTCACGGCCAACACCAGTGGCGAATATCTGAACCGGTCCTAGGCCTCCCCTAGGTCGACTAGGCCTCAAATTAGTACCTGGGGCGGTGTGTAAGCATCGCCACTGGGGAGACAAAGGCGGTCGGGCGTGGTGCAGGCCACTCACCCCCTCTCGTGTGCCGTGCCGGCATTCGTAAGTGCTCGCTAACAGCACTTGCCCCAACTGTTTGTTAAGGCTACACGGGGGATCTTTGTCTTTCTGTATCTCCAGGGCGGTCCAAAAGTCAGGACACAAAGGGTTATTTAACTTTTATTAACACTGGCATTAAAATGTTTCAATTGTCTATTCATTACGTAAATATTGTAGCTAGCTGTTATTAATATATTTTTTCCTGGGGGTCACCTATAATCATTTACAAGCCTCACCTGAGAACTCTGAATGAATTGAGATAAAACATAAATGATAAATGTTCAAGATTACACTTACACCTGGATTCTTGAAAAAGTCCTAAATTCTATTCAAAAGGGAATTCATACAAACAAAAATGAATATTAATGCAAGTCAGTTCGAAAAACGTTAAAATAAATGCCATAACCCTTTGTGATTTGTTAAAATAAATATTTTACCTCTGTGCCCTGGATTTTGGGCCACCCTATATATATTTAAAGACATATTATAGTAAACTGACAATATTGGTTTGACTGCCATCCAACAGTTCTCAATAGCACGGCGCATGAGAAAGTGCTGCCCCCAAGTGTGTGGTTAAATGAAAGAGGTCACTTCAAGGAATTTCAGAAGCAGTGTTGATACTATATCCGCTTCTGCGGGTCGTTCTCTTTCGCATGAGGCTGTTGCACTGCCCTCTGGGCATTCCATAATGGATGCTCTGTCTCACGACACGATGCTGATAGCGCAATTATAGTAAAACTGGGAAACACAAAAACACAACAAAGAATTCACTCACTCTCTCAAGGCCACATGATGCTAAGACAGCATGCGATTTTCACCGCGGCTTTGGGAGCTGGTAAAATTGAGTCAATGAATCAACTAAAAGTTGAAACCGTCTACTTGATTGGGGTCGATTACTTGGGTCCGTTTAAGTTCTAAGGCCACCCCAACAAGACGGGCCCAGCGTGACACGACCAATGACTGTGATGTCACCAAACCTTGCCCCATATCACTTCCCGTCCAGCGACAGACGTAAAGTAACAGAGGGGAGACTTTTGTGTTCCCTCTCCATCTCCAGTCATGTTTTACGATTAGTCGAGTAATCAAACCGATCATCGGTAAGAGTAATCGACGGCTTAAATATTCGGAGATTCCCAGCTCTAGACGCGCTCCTTACGCTGCCGCAGTCCAGGAGGAAGGCCCCGTCCGTGTTGAGGTGCTCAGACGACAGCTGGAGGATGGGAGGCTGTGGGACGCTCTTGTCGTTGATATTCATGGTCACCTGAAGTGAAAAACGTGGAGAACCCGACTGTCACTCCGCAGATTGTGCACATACAAAGCAACCACGTCAATGAAATTCCAGGACGCAAGACTTATCGTCGAAAACAAGAACTATTTTGTATTGCAAACGTTAAATATTGCGCCCGTTTGGGTATTAAAGCTGCCGTTCTCACTCATCGCTACGTGAATGAACATCGCAATACGACTATCACAGAAACTGTTAAAGCTAAGTTCTACACTCTTGTCTTGGCTTCCTGTGCTCTTAAATACTGCTCCACCAAATATTCGCCACAATGCTCCAACACTCTATGAACTGCACCAATGAAAAGTTGACTCCAACCTGCCACAAACCATGAAAATAAAGTTAAATTGTTTAGCCGCTCAAATAAACATAGAGTGACTCTCATCTCTGTTGGCTGGCTGTCAGTCAGTGATGAACATTCCACATTTTCATGGCATGGTGCCAGCCCTCTCCATGGGATGATCACCGCTGACTTCCTCCGACGGGGGATGGCCGGGCGGCTCTTTCGGTTAATGCCTGGTCAGAGCCCTAAGCTGACACCAGTGAGATTCTCGATTTAAATCGGCATTGGGCATTCATGATTAAACTGGATTTGCCAATGCATTAAGGTGATGGTGGCAACCTCCTTTCTGTTCAATTTGTTTAAGTTAAGTCAGTGCATTACAGCTCTGAGAACCAAAACGTGTTCGTCATGAATGCGAAGTGATGAACACAATTATAGCCGAGCATGTAAAAGGCACCACCTTGTGACAAGAAGAGCAATTCAAAGGGCCCTCAGATGTAGTTCTGTAACATTATCTTCAAGGGACCATTCTCACAGACGAGGCAACATTTCTGCATCTTATGACGCTCCCAATGGACATTTCTTCACATTGCACTCACAACACTGTTAGAATAGAATTGGGAGAAAATAACTCAAACAAAAACCTGGCAGCCTCGCAATATAAAATACTACAACACTGCCCTACGATCCGACAGCTCCCGTCCGTGAACCCGGACTCGCACGTGAGGCGTGCGTGCGCGATGTCCCCACCTGCTGCATGAGGTTGTCGATGCGGTACAGGTGTGGGTGGATCATAGGCATGAGGTGCACGAGCGGCTGGCTCTTCATCTGGCACATGGCGAACACCCGCTCGTCCAGGCGCGTGCTCGTGCCGAGCCGGAACGCCGTCTGTGGGCAACCGGAGGTCGTGGGGCAGCGGTGAGCGGCGCCACGCGGGAGCCACGCGGGAGCCACGCGGGAGCCACGCGGGAGCCACGAGAGCCCAGCATGCTCCAGAGGCCTTTCAGTTCCAGCTTGGAAACCACTTCGCATACTGGCGCTGAAGAACACTGTGCAGGACGCTTTTGGTTATGACGCTGCTAGAAAAACATTCTAACGGGCATTTTGTCCTCGGAAGTATTTAATTAGCAGTGATGTTACATTTCTAGCTGCACAAGGAGATGACGGGACGTGGAATATCATGTTATCGGGAGGGGAGGCGGGCGCACGGCATATGATGTCGTATGACGATGTCACACGTCACGCTTGCCTATCCCGAATCCATCTAAATCGGTGATGACTCCTCACCTGCTACAATCAACGACACTCGGGGCTAGGTCATACACGGAGGACATCACAGATCAACAACAAAGGACCCCCCCCTCTGGCCTATCCAAACGAACGAAATGACCCGATTTCGCCCCAGGGCCCACAGCGTTGCGTGCCGGTGCGAGGTGGCGGCCCACGTGTTTGAGCAGGGCGTGCACGTAGAGCGGCAGCAGGCTGAGCGAGCGCGGCGAGACGAGGCCGCCCTGCTGCAGGTTGGAGACTGTGGAGCGGAAGCCGGACAGGGAGTCGGCCACGGCGTTCACCAGGGCGTCTCGCGCGTCGGGCAGGCTGGACGTCACCGACCGCTCCACCGCTGCAGCCCGCGGCGGCAGTGGCGACCGGGGGAAAGAGGGAGCGCCCGGAGGCGGCGACGTTTAAAAAAAGAAACGCACGCAGGAGTTGACGCCCGCGCCGAGATTCTCCACGCCTCGGGTGCGGAAATGGCTAGCCAAGAGGTCGGCAGCCTGTGGCTCTTGAAGGACTGCACCGTGGCGTTATTTATTGAGGACCCCCGTTTTTCTATTCACATGAATCACGGCTCTTCAAATATTGAGTTTTTCACCGAATTCGAAAAAAATAATTTTGGATGCAGACTCCTGGGCTAGCCACTGGGCTACCGCTCTCCCACGTGTTATACCGACATTCAACATGTCCGATACAATCTGGGTAATTTGGTCATCGGAAATGACTTTGATGGGAAACTTTTACATGCCTGAAAACTTCTGTTTAAATTCCTAAAGAACTCCCAGCAAGTATATTATTCTGCCCGAACGCATGATCACAACCCGGAAACACATCAAGTGCTAAGCAGCACAACCGCAAAAAGACCTACGCAGTGGCCTCTCGGCCTTCCGCAACCAACATCACTCGTACGCATCGCATTGCAGGACAGTGAAAGGCTTTCCAGCAGTTTCCTTGCTGTGATTGTCTCACCCGATGACGGTCGCTTGTGTTGCGATCGAAACATCGTGATCTATTATTTTCTGCCTACGTGATTTTACCGAAAGAACCAAACAGCATAGAGTACAGCCAAATGGCATCACTTGCTCGACCACATCGAAGAGTTCAGCCCCCACAATGCTGTTACCAATCCTGCAGGGGGTAGGGGATCATCTAGACTCACCCATGGTGGCGAGCAGGCCCGTGATGGCCTGCACGTCTGCTCCGTGGTAGATCTCGGCCAGAGTGTTCACTACAGGCAGGCACAGCGTGTGCACCCGGATTCGACGATCGCCTAAACAATCACACACCACAGTCACGAGGACATTAAACACAATACAGATGTTATTGTCAACGCAGGACGGGTACGATAGGATAACCTTCTTCTGCCAGCGATCCATGTTAAAGCAGTTCAAACAAAAATGAATAAACAGCCCTTTGTGAATCTATTCCTGGATAAATAGCTGTCGACACCATGTGTCTCAATGGAGTTGTACGACCATACTTTTCCACGAGGGTCGGCGCTGTATATTGAATCGGGTGCCGAGGACCCGTTCAGGTATCGCTCGCCTCCGATGTTAACCAAGGCCGGGGATCAAACGCAGGTCTCTGGGTTAATAGGGCAGCGTGATAACCACGTCATGGGATATGGGCGCTGCATCTGACTGTCCGTGCACGCGAGTCAGCGCGTCGCGCCCCTGCTGCCCCTGCCGCCTCCCCACCCACCACCGCCGCCCCACCTTTGCTGGATGTGTAGAGCAGCGCGGCCTGGAAGGAGCAGAGCGTCGTGTCCGTCAGGGTCTCGTCGATGGACATCTGTACGGCGAAGCCGGCATCCGGGTTCACGTTGGGCAGCGACAGGAGGTCGGTGGAGCGCACGAAGAAGTTCCCGTGGAACGTGTGGATAGACACCCCTGAGCCGTCACCGCCCGACAGACGGAACGAAACGTTTATAATCACGGACAATGCGCAGGCCAGAGGCTTTCACCGCCAAAATTAAATAACACACGCGTCCCTCGGACAATGAGACTTCTGGACAATTTTTTTTTTTTAAGCAGCAGCTTGCAGATGGTCCAGGATAGGCATGAGTGGAGAAAACAGTCAAGGCAGACCCCACACGGGTGAGAAATATTCCACGAAAAAAGTAGACTTGAATCAGACAAATTCAAGACTGGTTTTGATTTATCCGTCTGCGATTAACCTATAAATATGGCGCATTGAACAGATGCTGGTCAGATGCCCGGTAGCGTGATCAGCAAATAATTGAAAACCACATTCCTGAAGCTCAGGGCGTGAGCAGCGTTCAAAACAATGCGGACTTGTTATCAGCATCTCCACGCTGTCACGCGCCAGGCGGTCCCAGTTTGGTGCTGCATTGCACGATAAACACTCCAGCATTGGACCTGTGCATTCTCGAATTGGCTTGTATGGTGTTTATTTGCCTTTCTTTATACATCGCGTGCTGGAAATTGCCTAAATTTATTCCGTGGGCTTCCCACCACAAAATTGGCCAGATATTTTGAGACCACCGCTCGAAATGCCGTGGGGCTTCCACCACCGGGGCTGTGGGAGCGCCGACGCAGACCGACCTTTGCTGCAGCGTATCCTCATGACGGCCTCGAAGCCGATCTTGCGCGTGAGGTACCGCTGCAGGTCCTTCTCCAGCCGCTCCACCTGCACAGGCGTGTGCACGCGGTGGAACGACGGGTAGAAGTACACCGTGCCCGACGAGTACCTCGAGACGCACGCTGCACACACGTGGCACACACGTGGCACAGATAAATCACCGTAGGAGGCTGAGACGCAAATCAAGCAACAACAACTGGGTGCCACACTTCCTTTACAGGATCAACGTTGATTCACAGCGATGCAACAGGCTAAACCCCGCCAGGCGCCCTGTGACGGGGCGCCACAGTGGGGAGATGTTAACAACCTCGCCTGGTATGCAGGAGGCCCTAGGTTCAATCCCAACCCCTGTATATTTGAAATTTGCATGTTCTCCCCGTGGTCGTGTACATTTTTCTCAGGGTACTCTGGTTTTGCCCTCAACAGTTAGAATCAATATGCATTTAGATTCTTTGGCTGCTATACATTCCCACGTGATAAGCCACTTCATTGAGCTATCATCTCTGGCCAGGTCGGTTCTGAAAAAGAGGAGTATAGCTCAGTGGGCCTTACCGGGTAAACTAAAAATTGCTATGCTTATAGCATCGCTGAGTCAGTATAAGTGCTCTACACCTCCCTCTAATGGAAGCTCGTCCACCAGCAGTCTCAGTTTTGGACGACCATTTGATCGATTTGGCCAGTTTTCAATAGCAACACGACGTAATACTACGTTCATATTGGATCATCCTCACGACAATTAAAGTGCACAGAGCCATTACGCTCTACTACGGACATGGCGACACGAGTTAAGATTCGCAACCACAATTGGTCGTGGCTCCCGGTTCACAGTCACGCACTGACAAGTTTGGTGAAGTATGGTCAAACAACCCCCATCACTGAGATGGCGTTGGGAGGCATTCATCCAGTAGTGGATTGACAAAATGCCGCAGACACTTATACTAATTATAAAATGCATATTCGCCTCTGAAAGCCCATGCAATTGGCCCCAGCCATTACGGGTTTGAAGTTGTCCAATGCAAAAACCTCTATTAGATTTATAATGAACGGAGCATCGATACGGAGTAACGTTTGTTATAGTTCCCAGAATGCACCGTGGTTCATAGTGTAGGTCACTGCAGTGACACTGCGGCTGACATCACTAGAGGGTGCTATAGTGGCGCTCTTGAAAGGCATTAAACCATGATTTTTCATTCTTTTCTCATACCGACAAAGATTGACAATGAGCATCAGGCAGGCTGGGATATGCCGCTGCCTCAGTCGGCAATTCAAGATTTGTTTTTCTATTTGCATTGTGTCAACCATTAAATGGTTCATAGCCACACGCTTGAAACGTATGTGATCTTTCTTGCCAGTATCAAAATTTTGGAATAGGTTGTACCCTTTCTGGCAATAAAACAGGAGTTAAAATGTTAAAACACCAAACGGAAACCTTTTGCAAGGAATCCTGTGTGCATTATCCACACATACTTGTGGTGAACATACAAACAAAAATATGCTCTGGTAATTTATGCATTGTCTTTGAAACTATTCTTATATGTATGCGATCTTGTCAGAACTCAGAAGTAGATTCAGGTCTGAATCGTGCTTGGATGGGCGACCAACGTGCAAAATAACAAAGGCCGTATCAGGCTGATGTGGGGCTACGTTGTGGACAGCAGTGCGGTCAAATCCATTTCTGTGCTGCACTTCCATGCTCCCATCTATAGGTGCACTGCCTTCAACCTGCACTGATAGGCACGGTTAAGTACGGTTACATAATCCCCACGACAACACACAGGTTTTGGGAGGGTCCTTATCCAGCAGTGTTCTCAGGAGAGCTGTAAGTATACATTTGTGATCCACATATATCGTTTAAGAAAAAGTTAAGCTACAGCTCTTCAATTGCTTGCTCATGTCACTGCTGGTGGAAGGACCTACCATGTACGTACTTTGAACTTCTTTCACACCGTACATAGCCAACTGGAGGAGCTCTAGACGGAGCTCTAAGTGAACATTTACCTAAGGTAGCCAGGTCTGCATACTGTCCACTGAGCAGGAAAAGGTCCACAGCAATCTGATGACCGGAGCAGTCCAGGGCCAGCTTCTTGTAGAAATCCGTTCCAGGTCGCAAGTGCTGCACATTCTGCAATCAATATGCGTTCAATCATCAACCTTGAGGAAGTGGGCGGCTATGCATGCTTAATGTCATTTCTGTGTAGACTTAGAATAGACCCGCAGTAAATTAATGTTTTTTTTTTATATCAGCCTTGTATGCATTGCTCGTAACATTAAAAGAGGGCAGCCTTCCTGTGTAGGTTGCATTTAGGCTGATATTCCATGCAACGACGATGATGTTAAAGATGTGAATGCATTCCTACGCTGTATCCCAGCATGAGCATTCATACAACAATATTACCGCAGACAATTAATTTCACTAAAGGGGAAGAGAAAGGGAACAGTGCACTTGGAACCAAACCTGGTCGTACAATATCACATATTTATCCAGGATTGTTTTAACACATTTCTTTTTCAAATATCCTTCATTGTCGTATTTGGGCAACTGGAACTTCAACATGTATTTTGCACTTGGGAGAAAACCAAGATCCACAGACGGCTTCACAACCCCCTCGCCCCTTTGGAGAACCCACACAGTTGTAAAGTCTCACAAATCGCTTTGTCACGTAAGCAAAACATGCCACGTAGTTACTAACTTCAGCCCATCGGAGGATTGGAGAGTAAATCCACAATGTTCACAATTTTAGTACTGTGACGTTTTGCTGGTAATTACATCCAGCATCATTGGGCGATTTTGCCAGAATTGTACTTGCGCAATCTAACCCCAAAAAAATGACCTCTCGTATGAATATTGATGGTGAAAGCCGACGTAGTCAATCTGAAAAACTGGCGTGACACACCAACGCCTAGCCTCCTAAATGCCGGAATATAGGCGGACGTCCACCATGCCTGGGCTCACCTGTGGATTGATTCACTTGCACCCGCGGAAAATGTATGGCAAGATGATCTAAGATGACCGTAACTGGAGAAATGCGAAGGTTAAATTTAAATGCAAATACTGTTAAGAATTAACACACATTCGATTGAAAGGCAAGTATTTTCATTACTGCAGATAATGGTAGAAATTGAATTTGAGGAATGCAATCTACTTCTACTCCATATCCTGCCTCATAGTCTCATCAGCTCCTGACAAAGCCCACTCGAAGTCTTTGAGGAAACGTCCCGGGTTTTATAATGCCTGATGAATGCTCGCGTCAAATTGCGAGCGCATGGCGCTCAAGCATTCCTTATTGCCCTCCGTTAAAATGAAACGAGAAAATTGATTTTTTTTCTATTTTAAAGGGGAAGGAATTTTAAAATTTCTATGGGGAGACAAAGGTTACTCAAAAGCTAATCCTTTAAGTAGGAATCCATCTTAATTTGTGTCAAGGCTAGAATTTGATACAAAAAAAACATTGCATAGACCTCATTCTCTACTCAATGTGGAAAACGGATCTGTCCCAGGGAATGTAACTCTGGTTGGGTGCCCATTTGGCGCTCACCGAGCGAAATTACAGAGGCTCTGCTGCCCCAAAAAGGCAACCACGGTGGCCGATGTAGCCGAGCATTGAAAGTTGCATTAACACACCGTTACATTGGTAATGGTTCAATTAATTCAGGACCGACATTACCCCCAAATTACTTGATATCAGATCTGGCTGGATTCACTTCAAAGAGGTCCGGTGAGTGCTACCAGCAGACTGTTCGTGACCCCGCTGTTGGTTCGCAAACCCCACACTGGGAAATATATCTCAGAGCAGTGGTTTCTAAACGATGGGTTTGACTTTCCAATAATCCGGGTGATCATATCCACGTAGGGTTTTTGTTTTCGTTCGGATGGAAAGACAATACTAGTACAACATTAAAAAAAACTGTCTCTTTACTTTTCTTTTATTTATTTGTATTTACTACTTAAACTTTCTTATGGCATTCGTTGCGCAAAGTTGCACTTTATTTTGCACGCGGTTTAAATATACTTTGCTTGGTCGGTGTTACCCGCTGAGATTGAGATGGGTTGCTTTTTTCGTTCCTGTTGTTCCATGCCCCTTGTACCGTTACCATTCTGTTGTGATGTGCACCGATGGCTACTTTACTGAGATCGATATTGGCACAAAAAATAAAGACTGTTCGCTTGATTGAAGGGTAAAATCAAGACAAGTTGGACTGTGTAGGCGAGACGAAATAATTCAAAATTAACAGCACCAGCTGAAAAATACCAGCATCATTAAACAAATGCAGCTTTACGAAATGAGAAATGCATAAGGGAGCTTTCTGGGCTGAAGCCCACCTTATGAACAACTTCTGCTCTCATGGACGCAATTCTATATTAGCTTTCTGTGTCAAATATTCAAATTAGGCCAAGACGAAAACACGTAATGGCATTTACTTACAGAAAAAAATCACTGCCTGTCGTTTTTGATGAAGGTGTACGATCAGGATAATATACTTAGGAGAACTGATTACAATATTTTTTAAAGCGCCACGCGGTTAGACTAAACTAAACTTTTTATACTACCAGGTAAGGCCCACTGAGCTATATCGCTCTTTTTCAGATATTACGTGGCCACAAAAGATAACTCAATGAAGTGGTTTATCACATGGAATTGTATAACAGCCAAATACTCTAAATGCATGTTTCTAAATGTAGAGGGAAAAACCAGAGGACCGGGATAAAAATCCAAGCAACCAAGGAAAGAGAACATGCAAACTCCAAATATACAGGCATCAGGGTCAGATTCGAACCCATGACCTCCCGTATGCCAGACTAACTATTGAACATCTCGCCACCGTGGCGCCCCTAATAAATAGAGTATTACTTCTTTCAAAGCGGTGTTATTGAAGTGTTGTAACACCGACCACTGCCCAACTGAGAAAACGCAAACTCCAAGCATAAGTGAAGTGACGATGCGACTGGGTCCGTGACGCAAGCGACCGCGGGCGTGCACGGCGCTCCCTCGCCTTGGTGCTGGCGCGCACGTTGGGGTCCTCGCGCGACTGCAGGGCGCCGTGGCCCAGGTTGGGCAGCTGCGTTTGGAAGACGGTGACGCGCCCGCCCGTCGGCGCCACGAGCTTGTGCGCGGCCTGCAGCGCGGGCCCCAGTGCGCTGCGCGTCTCGTGCGTGCGCCGGAACCGCTCGGGCAGCGCTCGCACCAGCTCCCGCACCAGCTGCCCCACGCACGACGAGTCTCGTCAGTCCACTTCGTCGTCATCATCAACATCTCGGGGATTATTGAATGGTGCGTTACTTTCATATTAATTATGATTCCATCCATCATCATACTATGCATTGTCATAATCCTGTGTCGTACCAAAATCATCATCGTCATTAATCTGAAAACTAATTTCTCTAGAATTGCTTTTTGTATTTAGTTTGTTGTCCTTTCACGCACCTCCAATGAGCAAGGTTGGCTACGTACTATGCAAAAGAAGTTTAACATACGTACATACACCATCATCGTTATCGTAATATTCGTACTCCCATCCATTTACAGTCAACTCGCGCTTTTCCGAGGTAAAATAAATGGAAGGATGGCAGCTAAAGCACAGCAAGGAAGCATAGCAGAGAGTACAGGTGGTGCATAATGCCGGATATCTCAGCCAGTTAACCCATGACAACTTGGTCTGTCCCGTGATCTCCTGCCAGTGAGACTTCGAGACTTCAAATGGCCTCAAAGTGTACGTAGCCTGACAAGTTCTGTGTCAACGTTACCGCCACTCATTGCGACTGTTGTTGCTATGACACGCGATGACCACACACGTGGGGCCGGTGGGGCATCGTGGTTACACACGGCGTGACGGTACGTGGTTTGTTTTAGCACATTACCTCCTTCTTGTCCTGCAGATTGACAAGCAGATGTTCTGATGTTGGGATGAACACATCTATTGCAGAGAAACAAAATAAAGGCAAAAGATTACATTGAAAATGTGTTGTGGTTTTCATTATCCCCCACTCAATTCCGTTCACATTGTTTGTGTATATACAGCGCTTTTGTGAATCTACTGCTGGATGGGGATTTCTCCATCCTGTGTTGGTCATCGAGGTTGTCTGACCATAGTGTGCAGGTTGGTAAGAAAGGGGATACACAAGACCAGTTCAGATATCACTCCAATATTTGCTGATATGAGCTGTGGCCAAAAATCAAACTCAGGTTGCCGGGTCCATAGCAGGAGTGCACCAAACTACTGAACCACCGCTCCACCCCAGGCAATATATAATGCAGGTAAATAATAATTTAATTATCGAGGATAGCCTCAATCAAGACTGAAGACTGTTTGCCACTCACAGCAGGCGCCTGACTGGACAGTGCTTCGACCAGCTTCGACAACTGCGCACAGTCCGTCGTGTTCTAACTGTGGAGACTGAGGATGCTCATCCACGCATTCATCATTAGCTGCTTGAACTACTGCAGCAACATCTTCGGCTGTGCCAGCTGTTCACCTGCGGCCACTCCAGTCGGTGTGAAATGCGACAGCTCGTCTGACGGTTATGGAACAGAAATATGATCCTATCACGAGTTTGATACGTGATGAGCTGCACTGGCTACCTATTAAATACAGGATTGCGCATAAATTATGCCGACTCGTCTTCAACAGTCTCCATCAATCTATTCCGGTGCGTGCCAGCTTCAACAGACCCAAATCGACTCCGACTACGATCCGAGGCGACCTGCTGTACCCACGTGTAAACCTCGTGCGATACGACCAGCGCAGTTTCGGGGTCTCCGGCCCAAAGACCTGGAACACGCTACCAAGCTCGTGTTCGGGATCCGTCCCTGAGTCTGAGCCGGTTCTAAAACAGACTCTAAACGGTGTTGTTGGTTTAGAGAGCCTGACTTCAACATGTGATCAACGCGCATTCGTGATGGACTGGACTCATAAGAGTGTGCACTATCAAATGTTCTTACTTATTTACTAAGGCCCTGCACTGAGATGTTGCGTGAGTTTTGGAGTTTCACAAATGTGCTCGATTTTACCAACCGTTGCTTCAGAGTGGTGGATCACAGGCATGGATGGCATCATCAGTGCACCTCCGAGCCACACGGTCAACCTCCACCGAACGGCGGAGTGGGTTTGGGCGTTTCACACATCTGTACGATCCACCACACCATGTTTCAACAAGGTGGATTCACAGGCTAGCGCCAGCATGCCTTCCCCAAGCTACACGATCACCCGCCCCCCCCCGCCTTCTGCCAACCGACCGCCACGGTGAAACAGGGAGGCCATTCTGGACACTCACCGTCGATGTCGGGAACGACCAGCATGTGCGGCTGCGAGAGGCTCTCGTGCATCTGGTAGAAGTGAACGCTGCTGTCAAAAGTGACGAAGCCGATCTTGGTACGGGAATCTCCAGGCAGCCTGCAATGGTACGCACAGGTCACAATGTACATATACATCACAAAGACATGGATCCCCCACGGGCCCCCGTCCCTGCGTGTGTTCTTCTTCCCTCATCTTCCCCTCCCATGCTCCCGCTCGTGGTTCCCACCTGGTTGGGGCAATGAGCTCAATTTTATTCTCCTCCGCTAAACCCAGGAGCACCGAGTTGAGGACTCATTGTTTTATTTTTATTAATTTTAATTTCATTTTTTACCTACGTGACTTTACCGAAAGAACTAAGAGTATGCAGTCATGAAAGCTTCAAATCTAGGACTCAAGGCGAATGGATATTCTGACTAAACAACCCGCAAAGCAATCACTCCAACCATGAGGAAGGAGCCATCTGAGGATCCAATCAAAACCATCACCTTGCCATACACAGCAGGGGTAACCAAAAATATTTCCAAAATCATGAACACAAGATTCAGGTCCGATTTAACACAGTATATACAATTCGTGATCTGATCCCATCTGTGAAGGACAAGATTCCTGACATTCAATATCCCGGCGTCTACAAACTAAGCTGTACCTGCGGCAGCAGTCACATTGGGGAAACTAAGCGACATGTCTCAGACCGTGTCCGTGAGTATAAGACGATGGTACTTTGCAAGCCTACTGGATATCAACAAAGATTCGTTCATGAAGCCATCCATATATACAGACACAATTTCAACCGAGAGGATGGTTATAAACTAAGCAATCATTGGCAAGATGTCATCAACCACTTTTAGGTCATGACTTGATTTGTGTTTTCTTGTTAACCTCCACCATCAGCAGTGTGGGTGTGTGGTGCAATGTCGCCGATCTCTACCTCCTCTCTCCCCCTATCTCTCCCCCTATCTCTCCCCCGTCTCTCTCCCCCTATCTCTACCCCCTGCCCTCTCTCCTCCTATCTCTCTCTGCTGTCTCTCTGCCCCCTATCTCTGCCCCCCCCTCTCTCCTCCTATCTCTCTCCCCTCTCTCTCCCCCCTCTCTCCCCCCCTATCTCTACCCCTCCCCCCCCATCTCTACCCCTCTCTCTCCCCTTATCACTACCCCCCTCTCTCCCCCTATCTCTCTCCCCTATCTCTGCCCCCTATCTCGGCCCCCCTTCTCTCCCCCTACCTCTGCCCCATCTCTCTCCCCCTTGTCTCTCCCCCTATCTCTGTCCCTTCTCTCTCCCGTCTCTGCCCCCTCTCTCTCCCCCTAGCTCTGCCCCCTCTCTCTCCCCCCTTTGTCTTCTCCTGCATTAGCATTGGCTGCCCCGCTCATGCTGCTAACACACTTGGACTGTGCCACTCGCCGCTCAGCGCTGGCTCCACAGCTCTTGCCCCCCACTCCTTCTGCCTTTATAAACAGTTGCAGTTGGAGGCTTGCCCCCCTTTTCTCTCCGCCTGATGACGACCGCTTGTGTTGCAATCGAAACGTTGTGAGTTTTTGTTTTTTAATAATTATTATTAATTTTATTTTCTATCTACTGTGATTTTACTGAAAGAACCAAAGAATATAATTCAACAACTGTTGGGTTATTTGATCGACTTTTTTTAATTGTTTAAAATCGAATCAGTAAAAACGGCTTCCCGAAATACGACGGTTGCACACACTGAAGTTGTAACGGATACTTATGCGCAACAATTAGATGCACATCTCACGAGCATATACGTACATAAATATCGAATTTCACTCAATAACTAATGACATTGTCTGGTGTTCAGCCGGCAGGGCATGAAGGTCACAATTGGATCACGAACCGCCCCGCCCAACCTCACCTGTCCAGGTTTTCAAGCAGAGACTCGCAGACCATGGAAGGTATCCCGAGTCGATGGCGCCATACGATACGTCGAAGAGGAACAGGTAGACGGCCGGCTGCGGTGGCCGCAGCTGCGAGAGAGACGTCACGCGGATGGGGTGAAACAAACTAATTATTTTACCAGGTAAGGCCCACTGGGCTATAGACCTCTTTTTAAATCCTTTATATTAAGTTCACTTGCTTGCTTGCGTGCTTGCTTGCTTACGACCGTGCAAATCTTTCGGTCGTTTTTTAACCCACTTCCCGTGATCCAATCGAGCTGACATTTTGCACACAGACTTCGTGAAATTTTTTTTACAAAATTTTTACACTTTTTAGGGAAAAATATTTAATTACCAATTGCTTAATACTGGCAGACAATCATCTGACCCATAGGTGGCAGCCATCTCAAGCCAGAGGACGAGAGGACTCTAGCCGCCACGCATATAAAGGATTTATAGTGAAAAACTTTGTTTTTACGGGTTATACTTATTCAGAAGTGACGTGGCCATCACAAATGGCAGCTCAATGAAATGGGCTCATCACATGGAAATTTAGAGCAGCCAAATACTCTAAACGCATGTTCATTCTAAATGAAGAAGGAAAAAACCAGAGGATCGGAAGGAAAAACCATGCAACCATGGAGAGTTACAGCAGGCGTCAGGGTCAGCATTGAACCCACGACCTCCTATATACCAGGCAAGGTCGTTAACATCTCGCCACCGTGGCGCCCCTTTGCAACACGACGAAACTTCTCACTCGTGGAAGTCACTTACGCCACACACACTCCTGAATAAAGCTGGCATTTAAAGAGCCATTAGAAACCAAGTATCGCTTCAATGGCAAAGGAATAACTTGATTTTGTGATTCTTATAAAGAGTTAAACTCAAGTTTGGTGAAACAATTATGAGATCAGCAGTCTATAAGTGACTTTAGAAAGTACAGGGTGATCCATTCTTAGAAACGCCCACTCAGTTTTAATGACGCCCTTCACTCTCTTCCTAACAGCTTCGTTGAATATCGTGATAGCTCTGCGGTAGCTTACATAGGAGAATGTTTATAGAATTAATGAGATTTCATGAGAGAGGCATGTGCAGGCTTCGAAATAATAAAATGTTGTTTTGATATAATTTTTCCACATCATTTCAACACGACTATTCTAAACGAATAGCCCGTAAAGTAAGAAACGTTAATTAAAGAATAAATTACAAAAACCAAACCAAATCATGTCTCACTTGTACAAATCATACCACGAGAATGAGTTATAATAAACATTCTATTCTGTCCTGATTTCCCTAACAGCAGTGACAAATCTCCGAGCCACAGAGCGGGCCACCACATGATACTCCATCTCAATCTATGGATTTATTCTACCCATAGACCACAATTCTCTCTCTAGCCGTGCAGACATGGTTCATTTTTGACCAATTAATACCCCTCATAGCTGGTCTTGGCTGCATTAACCATCACCGCACCAGCTGTGTGCCTGTGACTAAATCATCCAGAAGGGCGCTCAATCTCACCAGATCTCGGACGCTAAGCAGCGTTGGATAACCAGAATGCACAACAGGCGCTTGCATGCTCCTGCCGGGCTACGTTGGCAGCACAGGGCGGTGCAGTAAAATCGATGTTTATACTGTACCAAGTTTCAATGGATATGCTCCCAGCCTTCAGCAACCCGCAATAAGCAGTGAAGTATGGTCAATGAACCCCCACAAACCACACAGTGTAGAAAATACCTCATCAAACCGATTAGCACGAATGGCTACGTATGGTTCAAATGAAGTTTAACGTGCATAGGTAAGTATATTTAGGGCTTTTGTGTGCAACTCGTGGTGATCGGGCCAATCATCAATTGCTTCACTGCACTCACGTGGAGGTAATAAGCTGTCTGGCATGGGTGTTTGGTCGCCGAGCCACCTTACCAGCTTCCGCAACACTGCTCTCATACTCACCATGTACTCAGAGGGAGCGATGAATTCGACGGTGGAGTTTAGCACTTCGGGCCGTTTCTGCGGCTCCCCGTAGCTGCGCGTTACCGGGTTGTACATGAACTCCTCGGGAGCTGGTGCCGGGAAACAAAAACCCCAAAAATGTTAAACGCATTCAACACAATCTGGATTACTCTCTTCAATGATTGCGACATGATCAATAGTAATCTACGTCTCTTACTCTATTCAATGACACCTAACATTATTTACGTTGGTTTAAACACAGGCCTTCCAGACACAGTTGCTAGCAACACACATACCAAAAGTAAAGATGGCACTCAAGAGCTACACTCTTCTCATACTGGAGAGTTCGTCAACTCTATATAGTGTTGGGCCACATCATGAAATTAGTGTTTGCTGTCAGGCCACTTGACATCACACGGCACATGTACAATATCATGTCATACACATGTTGAACTTCTTTCGCACAAAACATAGCCAACTCTGCTAATTGGAGGGGCAGGATCGTTATGGCATCATTCTGTACATGTGGTCACGAATCTACATCTCTCTCATGTCCAACCCCTTGAATATCTCTCATCTAACTAATGTATGGCTCAGTGAGCCATCTCTTTTGGTGGGCCATAAGTCTGGGAGCCACTCAAAAAACGTTCATGGGTCATTATGTTAACGTGGCGGTGACGTGGCCCAGCCGTAGTGCGTTTGCCACATGTTGCAGAGGTTTATGGTTCAAATCCAGCGGCTGCCCTGGTTATGACTGCGAGGTGTATTAACCAACACAATTCCCTCCGCATTGCAGTGATCGCCAACGACCCCGTGACACCATTCGCAAGCGTTGGGCATTGCGTGGGCTGGCATCATGGTCCAAATTTGCCAAATTTGAAAAATGACTTGCATATTACTCAACTGGAATATACGTAGAAATCATCGAACACCCTACTGCGAAAGACTTGGCAGGACACTTCCTTAAAAAGAGTCATTAAACTCGGTGAACCTTTCCTGGTAATAGATTTTTGTATCAAATAATACTACACTGGCCCGTGGGGATCTGGAGAGAGTAACCACCGCGGCACGCAGCTCTCAACGTCGAGCTGTCCTCACCGTCGTTGATCCTGTAGCAGATGTTGCACCGCCATCGCCGCTGATCGATGAACGCGACGAATGGGTTGATGTACGTTCTGCACGAGCGGCATCGCACGATGACGCTCGATGTGATGACCGGCAGCTGCTGCACGCGATCCATGGAACGGACGCGCCGGGTCAAGGGAAGCTCTGGGACAGCGCGTGGCTGCTGCAGTGCATGCGTCGGTGTTCAGCAACTGAGGTTAAACTAAACTATGTTCATTTTACCAGGTGAGGCCCACTGAGCTACATAGCTCATTTTCAGAAGCGAAATAGCCACAAATGATAGCTCAACGAAGTTGGCTTATTACGTGGACATTTACAGCAGCCAAATACCCTAAACGTACGTTGATTTGAAATGTGGAAGGAAAAACCAGAGGACCCGGAGAAAAATCCACAAATTTCATGTATGCTACGCCAGTCTTAGTAGATACTCATGAACAGCTTTTGGTATATATATTCATTAACACAAGTATTACATGCACTGATGTTGAGAAATTAATGATGCAATTAACTTCAGACCACATGGTCCTGTGAGTATTTTGCAATGAATGCCCGGGTAGTAACAAACATTGCAGAAACACTGTCAATAAAATGCAACAACCACGAAGGAAAAAACACGAAATGGGATTAAACAAAAAGCCACCATGACCATGAAAGACAAAAAAGCACAACTTAAAAAATCTCGAGGCAAATGTCTGTGTCCCACCGACCCAGCCCACACATGTTGTTGGCAAATTGCTGAAGATGTGGTTGGACATCATCACTGTGAGAGCTAAGCACATCTAATCCCCTGCTAAACAAACAAAACCAAGACAAGTGCTGTAATCACAAGATCCCTAGACCTCATGAGATGCATTTAATTGAGATAAGTGCAATCCACCCATCTGGCTCATTCACTTGTGAAACCAAGTCTTGCACGCCAATGGTGGGCTACTAAAAGTGACTTCACACAGGCCTGCTGCTACGGAATGGTGGTATAACAATACGTAGCAGGATCTCTTGTAACATATGACAAAATCAGCCGGAATGCACCTGACCTCAAGAGAGATCAAAAACGAAGTAGAGTTGAGCCTGAACAGCGCTTCTATGAGTGACTGCATGCAACAAAGCGGGTGTCCACATGCCGCTGCGAGGCTATGTAGTCAGCAGAGAGCAATGCAGCAAATCCTTTATTGTACCGTACTATGCTCCTTGCCTACACAAACCCACACACCGATCAGCGTGGTGAAGTGCGGTCAGATGGCCCGCACCATGCACAGGGAGGGCCTCATCCAGCAGTGGATGTAACATAATCAGTTACGAGCCATTTCTGTTGCACTCTTGTGGATACAATTGTGAAAAAACTTCAGCAAAGGTCATTAAGAGAGTGCTGTGAGAGCCGATGCGTAACGGTGCACATGTATTACTGTGCCCCCACCCCCCTGTGGTGATGAACTGAAATGTAAAAAAAATTCCACACTACAATTCATGCTAAATTCTCACGTGGGCGTATGAAGCTCTAACAATGCAATTCATTTTTCTGGCTTCGAAGACTGCACATAAAAAAGCGCCATTTCACATAGGAACCCCTTAACTTTTTATTTTATGACTGCACCAATTGTGTTCCGATTTGTATTGTCAAGTTTGGCAGCCAAATCCCTAAAACCCACAACGTATTTTTTGTATTTAATCGTTTTATTTGACTTATGAGCTTAAGAAATTGGCATTTCAAATAGTTGCTCATTCATTGGAGTCAACATGAGGTTGCACCACATGGAGGCCACATGATCATCCCAAAAAACACGGGCTACTTAAAAAAAAAACCCCGACGCATTCGCTGGGAAGCCAAGGTCTATAACTGGGTTTCAGCCCCTGTCTAAAGGCACTCGGTTACGCGGTGTGGGAATGCACACCCACAGGCTGTTAACTTGAGAAGATCCCGCGCTATTCACCATGAGGGCAAGCCATTGTGCGGTGGATGTCATGGGCAATTTTGCAACGGAAAAATACCCGCGGATGATCCACCCAATGGACGAAACACGGGGGGGGGGGGGGGCAACCTTCCTGTGAGATGAGCTATGCGCCACTCTACTGAACCGAGATATCGTAAATGCATAATTTTTATAGAAAACAGATCCGTCCGTGTACCGTACTTCCGTGCTCCCACAACGATGCTCCTCACTTTCGGCAACTTACAACTGACAAGCATGAGAACCGAACGAAGAAAGAATCTCTTTTATTTTTGGCCCTTCAATAACAGTCGCACATGTACCACGCCTAACATCATTGGTGAGCGATTCCTGAATCTGTCCAGGTTTCCCCCCCCCCCCCTTTCTCCAACATGCAAAAACCAGCATGGTAAAGTATGGTCAAAGTACCATGACCAAGAGAGGGCCCTCGCTCAGCAGTGGACTGACGCAAAAAGGCTGTGTACGTGCACAAGTAGGGCACCACCTTCACATGTGCTCGCCCGAGTGAAACCCTTTACCGCGAGATCTTTGAAGGGATGCAGCACCAGACCCAGGGGAAGCTTGGCCTTGGCCAGCAGCGCCGGCGACTGGGGCAGGTTCACGAGCGTGGACCGCAGAACCCTGGAGGCAGCAAAAAGAGTTGTGCATGAGAAAATCACCTCACTGCCGTCACCGTCGTTATTGGCGTTATTACAACGGTAATGAGGGCGAGAAATAGATGGACGGCTGTGTCATCAGAGTACTGATTGAGCATCGCTGAGATTCTGAATTTGAGTTTATGACAACAGAATTGTCTTCTGAGTGCACAAGTAGATGGTCCACCAGCTTTACTGAACTTTAAAAGCTGATGAAATAATAGTAGCAGTGGTGCAGTGCTCTGTGCACCACACTATGAACCAGACGATCTGAGACAGTTAAATAAAAGCAGGCGACATTTGAACCCATCTTGTCCCGTCCACTTCAGAAACTCGCACTCACCAGCTTGTCAAATAACCCCATGATTGACGTTGTCTGAATGTATGTTGCCTTTAGGTTCAGACTCCAGTCATCCTCGCAGCAGCAGCTTTTGGCTAGCCATCAAAGCAAGACAGCCACAGCATTGAGCGCTTTCAGATGCGCTTCTGCGGCCGCCTGGAACGCTCTTCCTTCCGATATTAGGAAGGCACTGGAGCTATGCACTTTTAAATGTGGATTTAGATTTTTGTGTTCAGTTGGTCATCCTTCTCCCGCACCTCTAATTAGCGCAGTTGGCTATGTACGGTGCGAAACAAGTTCAACATACATACAGAACCATGTGCACTACCTGGTGAAGGCTACATAATTTGCCCCGGTTCTTACCCAAGTTATTTTGTGTGAAATTATTACCACGAGTAGAAGCTCTCCAATAATGATGGCTATGATGACGATGATGATGACAGTGCTGTTGCTAGTGCTGCTGGTATTCATATACAAGGCTGCACTCGTGTTTGGGCTCAGAAAAACGAGTAGCTGTATCATTTTGTCCTGGTCCCTATCAATAGTTATCCAGCATAGAAGTGTCAACACTATCTGAAATTCTCCAATAGATGGTATCGATATGTTTACAACCTTGCCTGGTATGCAGGAGGGTCGTGGGTTCGATCCCGACCCTGACGCCTGCATATTTGGAGTTTGCGTGTTCTCCCGGTGGTCGTATGGATTTGTCTCCGGGTCCTCCGGTTTTCCCCTCCACATTTATAAACATGTGTTTAGAGTATTTGGCGGCTATAAATGTCTGTGATAAGCCACTTCGTTGAGCTATCATTTGTGGCCAGGTCACTTCGGAAAAATAACTACATAGCTCAATGGGCTTTACCCGGTAAAATAAAAATAAAAAAGTTAAAATAGTCAAACGATGATCATGACGGTTGGAGACAATGATGGCGCTGTGAATAGCGGTTAATACTCGGGGCTGCAGTTGCGCTTGCTGAGGTGCGTGTGGATGCGGGGCCTCGGGGCGGGCGTCGGCGTGGGCGGCAGCACGAAGCGCTCCTGCAGCAGGTCGACGGGTCGCGTGTCGTCGTAGGGCATCCCCGAGGAGTCGCGCGGAGAGCGCTGCAGCGCGAGACCCTGCATACGTGTGCTCAGCTCGCTCAGCCCGGAGTAACCGCCCTGGCAGAGGGGAGTGGGAGACATGGGGGGGAGGGGGGGAGAACGAACATTTCAGTGTCGTCAAGCAGCCACAAGTTGTCAGTCAAGATCAAGAGGTGCCATCCTGGCCAAAGCCGCCGGTGACATTGTACCTCAACACGTTCTGCCTTCTGCAAAATCACCACAGCTGCTGCACGGTAGCAGCTGCTGCGACATTTTCCACAACTGAATGTTTTAAAATGCGTAATAAAGTCAAGGAATATTAATTTAATCAAAATTTTATTATTGGTATCATTTCAGAGGCAGGCAATGCTGTGTATCACAGAATAGCCCATGGATGAGGATATCACATTACTACTTTCTGGGGAAGTAGATATCACAGATAATGATGATTTTCATATTTTTTCCCCAAAATTTTCCTAGCTGTGCAATCCATGTCACATCACGATTGTGGTACATCACGTTATGGTACGAGGTATCAATTCAGATCCCTTCTGGGCGAGTGTCATTAAAGTCCTACATCAACGCACAATCACTGTTCTCCCTTCGAATGGATAGTGGCGAAGAGACGGTGCACGCATGCGTGGCTAATTGAGCATAATCAGAAACCAATGGGATGATGCGAAGGCACGTAGGCACAAACAAAGCCGCAAAGATAATTACTTTGCACGTACCTGTTGAGCGGGCCTTCCAATGTGTGCAGGCGAATTCGAGTAGGTAGACTGCTGGCAATTGAGCTTCGTGTGGCTGGATTCTTGGGGTGGATTCCTTTGGGTGCTGGACACTGGGGGGCGATCGAGGCAGGTGTGTGTAGCATCCAAGTCTGTCGCGCAGCGGAGCGGAAAACAGAAACCAATAAAAACTTCATCCAAATGCCACTTTCATCGCATAGCATTCAACAAGTATCTTCACGAAGTGCAGTGATAAAATTAGCAGATGTGGAGCGCATTCATTATAGACTCTGGCTGCGCACAATTTCCACTTCAATTACGCCGCATCGGTTGGGAATATCACAGGGCGTCTAATATATGCTAAGGAAAACAAACATTTCGCAGGAGTTACACAATGCCTTGGGGGCCCCCATCTTGTTCTGGGTGATATGTTTGTCAAGGCCAAAACACTGGCCGACTCTTGCACTTCCATCTCCCAGCATGGCGCGCACAAAAAAATGCCGCAATTCCGTCAACTCCTGTACCACTCTGCATGCCGTGGCTGCGCATTCAATTGAGCCCCGTGTGTGTGCATTAATGAGAATCTTCTCAGCCAAGGGTTCAACCTCCGGACGTTTACATATGAAGGGAGAACCCCCGGGGCTGCTTTTTGCACCTTATATCCTGCGGGGCCCCATTCTCACAAGTCCCTCTTACATATTTATATCGACTATTCTGCAGGGTATACAGTCAGCGGTGAGCGCGCTGCGCTACAAACCCAGTGGCCCAAGTTCGATTCCTGCTCACGGCCAACACCAGTGACTGATTATCTATATCGGTCCTGTGCATCCCCTAGGGCGACTCAGCCTCAAATGAGTACCAGGTGCGATGTGTAAATATCGCCACTGGAGAGACAGAGGCGGCCGGGCATGGTGTTAGCCACCCACCCCCTGATGTGCTGTTCCGGCCATCATAGGTGCTCACAAACAGCACTTGCTCCAAAAGTCTGGTAAGGCTATACAGGGGTTCTTTGTATTTGTCTTTTGATTAAACCAATCGCAGAATCTCCGACTAGTGATGAGCAAGTGATGATTAAACCAGCGGTGTGTGCAAAACAAATACAACTGCACATTTTCTGCAAGCAAGGTTAATCTCCAGCCTGGCTAATCCACCCACGAATAATCGCGAGTTACCCCGTGTAGTGTGGGGATGCGCGTGCAGGCAACAGATGCCAGACACTTAGCCTTCCTTGGTGTGAAGGTGCTCAAGCACACATTGTAGATGGCAGGGGTCAGCAACCTGCAGCTCCGGAGCCAGATGCGGCTCTTAAAGGACTGCTTCGTGACGTTATCAATGAAGGATCGCCATCTCGTACTCACATGCATTGCGGCTCTTGAAATATTGAGTTTTATTCGACCCCTGATGTAGGGTCATTTGTATTGTTAGGGATGGAATTATATGTCAGTCCATCAATTAATAGAGTCTTAGGCTGCAGATAGCACACATTGAATCGAGTATGGAATAATTGTTTTCAATTCCTAGATGTTGAGTGTAATGGGTTCACAGCACCTCTGTTGGTTCAAGGTATCGGTCCCTGAACAGAACTGTGATTTGGAATTGAGACGATCAAGTGAGCAGTTGCAGATTGTCCTGCAACTGATGTTGCATGAGGCCTGGATTTGAACCCGGTTTTCTAGGAATGCAGGCCGTTTGCAAAACCACGACATTTCTGCTCCCCACACGCAACAGCCTCGACAGAGTTTTGGGACAAGTGCTGTTAGCACCTTTGAAGGGAGGCACAGTACACGAGAGGGTGGGTGACCAATACCATGTCTCGCCGCCTTTATCTCCCTAGTGCTGATACTTACACACCGAACCAGGTACTAATTTAAGATTGACTTGACCTAGGTGAGACCCAGGATCGGTTAAGATATTCGTCACTCTTCTTGGTCGTGGGTGGGAATCAAACTCGGGTCGCCAGATTTGTAGCGCAATGCGCAAAAAAGGCAACAAACACACACGCATGCACAAACCTGAAAAAGCTATAAAATACTGACATTTAATAAATGCGTTAATGTGTATTACTCACCAGAATAGCCACCATCCTCCAGGGCATCATAGCCACAGTTCTCTTGAAGGTCACTGCTGCAGGAAGCGTCTGAATCTAGTCATCATCACCACCGTAACCACCATCATTTCGCAGCATTAACACCAACATCTCTGTTATCCCCAATACCCACCAACAGCAGCCAGTAAGCTTAAGAGCAAACACAAAGACCCCCGTATAGCCTTAACAGACTGTTGGGGCAAGTGCAATTAGCCAGCCCCTATGAACAATGTCACGGCACACAAGGGGGTGGTGGCAATCACCACACCCAAGCACCTTTGTCTCCCCAGTGGCGATGTTTACACACCGCACCATTAACTAATTTAAGGCTGAGCCGACCTACGGGAGGCCCAGGACCAGTTCAGATAATCGTCACTGGTCTTGGCCATGAGCGGGAATCGAACTCAGATCGTGGGTTCACTACACTACTGGAGTAGACAAAGACACACTTATACGCACTTAAAGCCAAAAAGATAGGGCTTCTACGATCGATTAAAGAACAGAATGATAACACTTGCCCAGACAATGACTGACGTCTGGGTGAGCGTGTCATCACCTGAGTCGTCGTCAGCTGCAGATGAGGAGGATAAAGGTGTAGCGGTGCCGGAGCCGTCACAGTATGATGAGCTGACGGCTCTCATCCCTGTTGGAAACGCAAGCGGCTTAGTCAGCAAAAAAAATAATTGGCATTCATGCGAAGTTAAGAACACAGGGCACTAAGCTAATCAGAGAAAGATGCCGACTCCAACTAATTAGCCAGAGGAGGTGAGCACACCCACCACCATCCCAAAACCTGCTGTCAACGCCGCATGCTTTCTTACCCTATTTTATGTGCTGTGCTAACGAACAGCGTAGACAGGCAAAGGAAATTTAAGCCAAAGCTACACGGTGCAGTGAAACCACGGCTAGATGCATGCACACTTGTGCAAGTTTTTCAGAACGTAAATGTGAATTGTATTTTTTGTGGCAATGAAAAGGGTTTATTGCAGTTCGGACGACGTTGCAGCGGCAAAACATTCAGCGACACTCACGTCGGTAACGGCACAACTTCGTTAATATGAAAGCGGCAGCTAGGGATGAAAACGATGAAAGAGTGTGTCGTGCTTCTAGCCCAAACTCGCTCAGAAAACAGCTCTTTAATCGCATGGCAAATGAGGCCTTAAGTAAGTGCTGGTCTGTCACAAATATCTTTAAGTGGCTTTTATAAAAAAACACACACACGCAACATTTAACAGTTAAAATAACCCAATACCAACACTGTGCCATGATTTAATCCACGATCGTCACTGTGTACCAAATTATATTTAAATCTTACAGGTTACATGAGACTACTTGAAAAGTCGGGTCACATGGATGCGAACCAATGCCGTTGCCAAATCAGGAAAAGAACCTGCCATTAAAAGGCTTTCCTCTCTTAACACTTGCCAAGAATTTCCAACCACAATGACATCATGAGGGGGGAAGTGGGGAGTTGGGGACAGTTGGCTTGATCAAACAGCTGATTCAACACTTAACATGGAAATGTATATTACTCTTGGCAAATACAAAAATAATGGCGAGGTGGCTGTGACTTTCGTGACCATTTTTCTCCTTTAAGTTTTTCTCACCCAGATATCATACGTTTACAGTACAAGCGGCACATCGCACAGCGTATAAAACAACGGGAGCGGCTGCTACATCTAGAGCCGCGGTGCATTGCGGACAGCTTTACTTAATTTGCCAGGTTCCTGGCACTCAATGGGGCCTGTGGGTAAAAATGGAGAAGTATCACCTGTAGGATAGCCGGCGCTCAGGTGCGTTTGATGACTCGTAAACGCCGCTTCGGCTGAGTGAGCGGGCCCCATGGACTCCGCGTCCGGCGCGTTCAGCGCGGCCGGTGGCACCACGCCTGGTGCAGCGTGCGACCGTGGTGGATGCGCGCCGGCGGTGAAGTTCGCTGCTAGCAGATGTTGTCTCGTGGTCATGTCGGCCTCGCTCCTGGGCGGCTGCGGCTGCTGCTGCGTTCCGGAGGCAGAAGCAGCAGTTTCCAGCGCTGAGCGATGAGGAGCAGCGGCATTGCTGCTTGGGGGTCGCAGGGTCGCCGAAGCTGCTGCTGCTGCTGCCGGCGGCCGTGGGGCGGGCGCCGCCGTTGCTGCCGCTTGGTGGCGGGGCGGCAAAGCGTACGGGGTCGTTGCCGTCACGTTCGGGACTTGCTGGAAGAACCCAGCATGCGTCTGATAGCCATAGCTTGAGGCGGGCCCTTTCTGGTAGCAATTCGGCTCGAGGGGTGGGCCACGTGTGGTCGCCAGTTGAGGAGGAGGAGGACAACGTTGGTGAGACGTAGGCATGGCCGGGTAAGGCTGTGAGGGTTTTCTTGGTCCATACGGTTCCCCTGCCTGCACATTGGGTGCCGCCATCCGGTGCTGCATGGGAGGAGGAAGGCCTCTTGGGGCACTGGCGAGGTGTCCCGGGAGGGGCGACTGCCCCACCACCACAGGAGCTCGGCTCCCTGGTGGCTGCCCACTCGTCAGTGGTGGCATGGTGTGATGCCCGTAGGGGTGCTGTGCGGAAGTTGGAGGGTGGTGATGGTGGTGGTGGTGGTAGGACGTGGGAGGGAATACCAGGCCGTTTGTGTCCACCGCGTGAGCAGGCTGGGACTGGTAGGGGTAAGCATTGTAGGGGCCAGGCTGTGGGATGGCTGGGTACCAGTTGTGTGCAGAACCTGCCAAAAGAAGTAACACGAAAATAGAAGATAAACCTGACAAGCGTCACGCCAATATCCAGTTTTGACTTATTTCAAACAACATATCAGAATATATTTTAAATTCCACAATGCTAATACAAATCCCTATTTATATACAGACGCTTTATAGCAACCAAACAGTATATTGGGCAAAGAGGTGCTTTGTTTCGTTTAAACCATTTTAAACATAAACGTGTAAATGAGCGTATGTATGTTACGGTAACAAATATTTCTCACAAGACAAGCCGATTTGACAAAAATAAAACGCTAAATTATATATATATACTGCTCCTTAATATTTGCTTAAATTATATTTTATAAATGTTTGGCCATTTGTCAATCCACTCCTGGACAAAGGCCTCTCTTCAGCAGGTCGGTCATGGGGCTTGTTTGACCTTGCTTCACTCCGCTGCTCAGTGAAGGTTGATGAAGGGGTAGAGGGGGGTGCACAACCACTTCAGATATCACTCACCACTGATGATAATCAAACTGCGCTATGAAGGGCCATTGCCCGAAACGTCGCTTATTTTTTTTCTTTTTGTTCTACCAGGTAAGGCCCACTGAGCTATAAAGCTCTTTTTGAGAAGTGATTTGGTCACAAATGAAAACTCAACTTTGCAGCTTATCATGTGGAAAATGATAGCAGCCAAATACTCTAAACGCATGTTTCTAAAAGTGGAGGGAAAAACCGGAGGAACCGGAGAAAAATCCACGGGGACATATGGAGGGGTCAGGGTCGGAATTACTTCGTATACCAAGCGAGGTCGTAAACATCTTGCCAATGTGGCACCCCTAATACATACATATTCTTATTTCAAAGCAGTGTTATTGACCAATGTGTTGAGTTTTTTGTAATCAAACTCAGGTCACCAGATTGAAGTATGCCAAAACACTGCCAAACACTGTTTCTGGCATATTTGGACCACATATATATTGAGTTTGAGATTATTTTTTAACCTCCAATAGAAATGTTGTCATGAAGGCACATTTTAAAAACTGGAATCTCAAACCCAGCATATTTAATAACATCTCACTGGAATTATCCCAAACCATTTCGGAGCATGTGACAGTGAGTGGCAAGATTTTTTTTTTGCAGTCTTTGCTCCAATTCCAACCTTTTCCACATTTCTGCCTTTTGCAACTCCCGTTTCCTGGCACATTCGCTTCACAAAAAAACACACGTGTCCCTATTTAGACACTTTTCTCACATCCTGTGACCAGCAATCCCTGCTCAAAAATTTGACAGCTATTCTGAAACCGAAAAAGCAATATATTTTATTTCTATAATCTGAGCAAGTGAGGGGGGGACGAGAGAGATTGCATAATTTATGGACATCTGTCCATTCCACATCCCTTGGTGTTTTCAATTAAAGCAAACATTTTGATAATTAAAATTGTGTTCATGTGAAAAAAAATTATATTTTGAGTCAAAACATCAAATTTCAAGGTCATAATGTAGATTTTCACACTGTTATTACTTCAACAAAACATGTACGAGATTGGTAAATGTAGGGGGATAGTACACATAAATGGAATTTCAGGTACATATAAGATTTAAAAAAGTTAATTGTGGTATTCTATCAAGAAACCATGCATTGATATGCATAAAATTAATCCCACAAAAAAGATTATTCGTTCTATAAATACACTGGAATTTTGTTACAAGAATGTATACAACTCAAAAAGAGACCACAGTTGGGTAAGATGTGCAGAAATGGTTAAGGCAGAATGTTATTATATAATTAGCAATTCTGATAACTGTGGATAATAGACAAGCCCCCAGGCTGTGTTTGGCCAGAGGATAAACAAGAACAATGCTTTCAATCAAAGATATGATAACAACAATGTCTGAACAAACTCAGCTGTGCTGACCCAGCACCACCCCCCACTACAATCGGGTAATGCAATTTACGTGCCGACAAAATGTTGCCTTTCAGCTACGAGAGACGTGTTATGTTGTCTGAAGGACAACCCAGTCAATTGTTTTGTTCTTAGGCTAAGGCTTAAGTAAAATTAACTACAGTGTACATACAAGCAGCTAGGACAGAACAAACACAGCAAATGCTGGGCCCCACAAAGCGTAGGGCAGGTGTTGGCATAATTTGTCATCGCAGTCGCCACGTTTCCATCGCGACCAGTCGGTAACAAAACTGTTCCCGCAAAGGGAAGAGGCTTTCCAGGACCAAATCGATCACCAACCAGTAGGGCTTGGCACATGGCCACACAAGTGAGAGTGAGACCAACCTCCACAACCATCCATGCTGTCACGAGGGGTCAATGTGGGGGGAAATACGTGAGTACCGTGACATCACTTGTTATTTTAACTCTTCAGCCATGTTTGGGGTTTAAAATATGAACTATAAGACACTTGTCAATCCACTGGTTGGCTACGTACGGTGCGAAAAAAGTTCTAAATAGATAAGTACAGTACATATATACGAAGGCCTCTCTCCCTCACCGTGTTCGTCGCGGAGATTGTTTAACCTCACTTCGCTGGTCAGCGTGGGTTGTGAGGCAAAGCGAAAGGGGGCACGGGTCTGGTTCACATATTACTCGCCACTGATGTGAGCCGTGTCTGGGAGTTGAATTAGGTCACCGGGCGTATAGCGTAGTGCCCTCACCACCTCTCCAAAGAAGGCACCAACACAATATCCACGTTAAATGTTGGTGGCTTGGGAGAGGACCGAGCCCGGCTAGGGACACGTGGGGACAAAGAGGCGCTTAATCCTGGCCCAGTAACCTCGCCAGCACCTCGCCAGCACAGGGCGGGTACAGCTCAGCTCTCACACCGAGATAGAAATGAGGTTAAGGCGCAGAGCCCAGTTCTTTCTCATTTCTTATCACCCCTCTCCCATCGTTCATTATCGATTATCGACGTGTGTGGCAATGACAGCTTCATACCGCCTTAAATAATAATTAATCCGAGAGAATGTGTGAGAGCCTGACAGCGAGAGAGAGACGTGAGAGTGTGAGTGGCTGACAGCGAGGGACGTGAGAGAGAGGCGTGAGAGAGGCGTGAGAGAGTGAGTGTGTGACTGAGAGAGAGATAGGAGAGAGAGGCGTGAGAGAGTGAGTGCCTGACAGAGAGAGTCGTGAGAGGGACGTGAGAGAGAGGTGAGAGAGAGGCGTGAGAGGGTGAGTGTCTGAGAGGAGAGAGTGAGTGTCTGACGGAGAGACGTGAGAGAGGAGAGAGTGTGAGTGGCTGACAGCGAGGGACGTGAAAGGGACGAGAGAGGGACGTGAGTGAGAGAGTCGTGAGAGACGAGAGAGGGCCCAAATCGCCTCGTCTCCCACCCTCCATTCATTAACAGCGCCGCTCACCGTTGTCGCGCTGCAGCTCGCGTTCTGGAGCCGACATCGTCCCCCTCCCCTCCCCTCTCACCACCGACGACGACTGCGAACAAGCGAGAGGATTAGTAAAAGCGCAATAATCGATTCAAGTCGAGGGCGACTAAAAGTGAAGAAATTAGCGGCAGGGACGCCGCGGCCCAAGGCGAGCCGTGATGCCGTACAGTCCGTGTACAGTGCGCCGGCAGTGACGTCACTGCGAATGGGGAGGAGGGGGGGAGAGCGGGGGGGGGAGGGGGGGCGAGAGGGGGCAGAGGGGTGGGAGCAAGAGGGGGGGCGAGAAGGGGGGGGGGCGAGAAGGGGGGGGGCGGGAAGTGGGGGGGGGGCGAGAAGTGGGGGGGGGGGGCGGGAAGTGGGGGGGGGGGCGAGAAGGGGGGGGGCGAGAAGGGGGGGGGGCGAGAAGTGGAGGGGGGCGAGATGTGGGGGGGGGCGAGAAGTGGAGGGGGGGGCGAGAAGTGGGGGGGGGGCGAGAAGTGGGGGGGGGCAGGAAGTGGGGGGGGGGGGCGAGAAGTGGGGGGGGGGGGAGGGCGAGAAGTGGGGGGGGGGGCGAGAAGTGGGGGGGGGGGGCGAGAAGTGGTGGGGGGCGAGATGTGGGGGGGGGGGCGAGAAGTGGAGGGGGGGGCGAGAAGTGGGGGGGGGGCGAGAAGTGGGAGGGGGGCGAGAAGTGGGGGGGGGGGCGAGAAGTGGGGGGGGGGCGAGAAGTGGGGGGGGGGCGAGAAGTGGAGGGGGGGCGAGAAGTGGGGGGGGGGCGAGAAGTGGGGGGAGGGGCGAGAAGTGGGGGGGGGGGGCGAGAAGTGGGGGGGGGGGCGAGAAGTGGGGGGGCGAGAAGTGGGGGGGGCGAGAAGTGGGGGGGGGGGCGAGAAGTGGTGGGGGGCGAGATGTGGGGGGGGGGCGAGAAGTGGAGGGGGGGGCGAGAAGTGGGGGGGGGGCGAGAAGTGGGGGGGGGGCGGGAAGTGGGGGGGGGGCGAGAAGTGGGGGGGGGGGAGGGCGAGAAGTGGGGGGGGGGCGAGAAGTGGGGGGGGGGGCGAGAAGTGGTGGGGGGCGAGATGTGGGGGGGGGGGGCGAGAAGTGGAGGGGGGGGGGCGAGAAGTGGGGGGGGGGCGAGAAGTGGGAGGGGGGCGAGAAGTAGGGGGGGGGCGAGAAGTGGGGGGGGGGCGAGAAGTGGGGGGGGGGCGAGAAGTGGAGGGGGGGCGAGAAGTGGGGGGGGGGCGAGAAGTGGGGGGAGGGGCGAGAAGTGGGGGGGGGGGCGAGAAGTGGGGGGGGGGCGAGAAGTGGGGGGGCGAGAAGTGGGGGGGGCGAGATGTGGGGGGGGGCGAGAAGTGGGGGGGGGGGGGCGAGAAGTGGGAGGGGGGGCGAGAAGTGAGGGGGGGGCGAGAAGTGGGGGGGGGCGAGAAGTGGGGGGGGGGCGAGAAGTGGGGGGGGCGAGAAGTGGGGGGGGGCGAGGAGTGGGGGGGGGGGCGAGAAGTTGGGGGGGGCGAGAAGTGGGGGGGAGGGCGAGAAGTGGGGGGGGGGCGAGAAGTGGGGGGGGGGCGAGAAGTGGTGGGGGGCGAGATGTGGGGGGGGGGGCGAGAAGTGGGGGGGGGGGCGAGAAGTGGGGGGGGGGGCGAGAAGTGGGGGGGGGGCGAGATGTGGGGGGGGGGCGAGAAGTGGAGGGGGCGAGAAGTGGGGGGGGCGAGAAGTGGGGGGGGGGGCGGGAAGTGGGGGGGGGCGAGAAGTGGGGGGGGGGGCGAGAAGTGGGGGGGGGGCGAGAAGTGGGAGGGGGGCGAGAAGTGGGGGGGGGCGAGAAGTGGGGGGGGGGCGAGAAGTGGAGGGGGGGCGAGAAGTGGGGGGGGGCGAGAAGTGGGGGGAGGGGCGAGAAGTGGGGGGGGGCGAGAAGTGGGGGGGGGGGCGAGAAGTGGGGGGGCGAGAAGTGGGGGGGGCGAGAAGTGGGGGGGGGGGCGAGAAGTGGGGGGGGGGGCGAGAAGTGGGAGGGGGGGCGAGAAGTGAGGGGGGGGCGAGAAGTGGGGGGGGGGCGAGAAGTGGGGGGGGGGGCGAGAAGTGGGGGGGGCGAGAAGTGGGGGGGGGCGAGGAGTGGGGGGGGGCGAGAAGTTGGGGGGGGGCGAGAAGTGGGGGGGGGGGCGAGAAGTGGGGGGGGGCGAGAAGTGGGGGGGGGCGAGAAGTGGGGGGGGGGCGAGACGGGGGGGGGGCTTCAGAATAATATCATGTTCTATGGTATTTTGGTAAAGTCACGTAGATAGACAAAAATAAAAAATGATTCAAAATATCACGACGTTTCGATCGCAACGCCAGCGGTCGTCATCAGGAACAGGCTGTGATTTCCTGCAGTCACGAAAGTCAAAATTTGGCTTCAGAATAGCTTGATGCGACAAGATTCGCCCGACAGAGCTTCGTGTTGAATCTGAATAACTTGATCGGTCACGTAACGCACACGATACAGGCATTCTTTACCAATCTTATCAGCGACCCTTTCACGATCCATTGCGTGTCACTTTACTAAACGCTCTAAAATGATATCATTACATTGAATTGATGTACGAAAGGGACGTTCTTGACTTGCTATGTTCTCCAAAGAGAAAAAAAAACCGTAATTGTTATTTTGCGTTGTGCGACGATGGGAGTTTTCCCCCTTTGTGGCAATAAAACAGGGGGTAATTTAAGACGTGTAAATAACCAAGCCCACGCCTTGTCAACCCACACGGTATACCCCGTATTCTTGGACAGGGAAATCGGGTTTTCAGATCCATGGAGCGTACAGCCGTTTCAATACGGGCAAACATTTTTGTCTATTTGTTTGTGTTTCCACCTTGTGATGGGATTTTGTAGGATGCACTATGAGATTTATAAGAGGCACGGGGTGAGCAGTAAGGTCTGAATTGGTCTGTAATCAGGTAGGGCACTGATAAGGTGCTGACGGGTGTAGTGACGTGGAATGAGTCATCGGAGCGCGTGCCACTGGGATAATAGTAGACAATAGAAGTAGTGGTAGACAATAGAAGTAGTGGTAACAATAGAAGTAGTGGTAGACAATAGAAGTAGTGGTAACAATAGACGCGTGTTCTGCTACTGCTGACAGTTGTATTTGGGAGAATTTAATATTTCTCTGATGTTCTTTTAGTCTCGTGTTGATCATTCGTCCTGTTTGCCCAACGTAACATTTACCACACGTGCAGTTAATCCTCTAAACACCTTCTGTTGATAGCTTCGGTAATACATCTTTTGTACCAGATATAAATTCTGTATTTTATGTACCGTACCAAATCTGACTCGGATGTTTATGTTTTTCCAAACATCTGGCTAGTTTATCAGTTACTCCCGCAATGTACGGTATTTTGATCGTTTTAATCACTTGGGAACTTTCAATGCTCGTGTTATTTGATTTGGTTTTGGTATTCAATTCCCTGTTGATTTGCGCATCATTGTAACCGTGTATTTTATGTTCAAGAGAATAATGACTCAGGAATCATTACGTGAGACGTATTTCGTTTCTGGATATACGTTTTGTAAACAGCTCAACTAATTTAACCCAGCAGCTGGTTGTGCTTTTCATGATGGTGACCACAGCGTTCTTCTCATTGCAGGTCACTCGCGCAAATGAGACTATCCTGGGTCTGTTGCGTTCTCACCTGGGTTAAACAAAATAAAATTGACTTGATTCCATATAGTCCAGGGGCTTCCATAACTCATATTGTGAAGGGCAGCGGTAGCCTCTTCATGTGTGACATATGGAACATCCTCATCAGAACAAAATATTAGATTTAGGGTTTTTCTTTTCTTAAGAGATCTGCATAAAGTCCCTTCACGAGTTTTACTCTTATGTCTATCATATGGTCTGGTTCTGTCTTGCTCTCTAACTATTTCTCATTAACAATGCAATACAATTTGGATTTAAATGCAACATGCCTGGAGAAAGTTTTCAATCCGTGCATATAATCTGCTTTTGACGAATATGTTGAGTATTTTGTTGCGTGTGCTATGACATGGAGAGAGACATGCACAACTAACACATATAATGGAAAACACCTCCAAATGCACAGAGGCATTGGAGAATTTCATGCTTTAAATTACACCGAGAGGCAGAAAGAGTAACACATGAATCAGGGAACAAACGCCAATTGAAATAATCAGATTTACTGTTATAGAAAATAAGTGGACATGGAACAAAGAGCTTTAAGCTCATTGGATTCCTCCAGTATGAATAAATATTTAGATTCTGATATTCTGATTCAGAAGTGGGCTTGAGGAGGAGGAGGAAACTCCTATGGCCAATGGGAGAGACTGGTGACAGAATAGCAGCCAAAGGCAGGAAGATGCCTGCGACGACGCCTGCAGTGGAGTAAGTCGCCTCACGTGGCATCACGAGGCTGTGGCATCACACTATTGTGGGCATGGCTTCATCTAGCTGACATGTGGAACAATTACCTAACAATGCTTACCATACGATTAGATATTTACATGCCAAATCTCTCTGCCAGTAGGCTCTTACCTGTTTCAATTAAGTCCCATTATACAGCACTGTTGGCAATATATAACATTCTGCGCTGTATTACTGTGAACTCTGAATATAACACACAGGTAGCTCTTCACCACTGCTAAGCACTTCATCATGTCTGCAATAATCATCCAACTCTTTAATGTGGCATTACAGGATATACCTATTTAAATTTCATCATGGAATTTTAAATAAGGCATTGAGTTTTAACCTCTCTTACACATAGCATAGTGTAAACATAACTATTATTGTTGGTAATGTACTGTTAATCATAAGTGCATTCCTACGTTTTGTATGTTTTTAAATGGCATTTCTATTCTTCTAAATGTTTATCTCGAAGGGTTCTTAATCGTTTAGAGTCCATTCATCTGTACAGTTTATTCAATATAATATCGTAACATGCAGTGGTTCAGTTCTGTGTATGCACCCCACGCATCTGCAGACCATTAGCACTGATTGCTAACAATATACTGTGCGATACATTACAATAAAAAACACAAATCAGTGCAGTTTAATTTGGTGGTACACTATACATTCCTTAGGCGAACTATTTGTTTAACTTCGCTAATAAACCAACTTGTTCTATTACCGTCGCAAAACAACAAACACTTTACAGTGGCACGTTGAAAAAAATATATAATAAACGAAACATTTGGTTTCAATAGAAAAATGTTCCTGGCTGCT